TATTTTCAAGTGTTTTTGCCGAAAGTTTCGTTAATTTTCAGTCTTATTCAATACTTCTTCAAGATGAGATCGCTTTTAATTTTTTCTTGTCTTTTGATAACATTGGCTTCAGTTCATTCACGCGAGATTTGCCAGCCAGAATGCCCTCCAAATTCAACTTATGATCCATGTGGGCTGATGCCTTTCTGTTATCCAATTTGCCAGTAAGTTAATTACTGAAATTATTCGTATTTAGATAAATAAATCGATAAATTTAAATTATCAGCCATATACGTGGCCCACCATGTCGTGAAGGTTGCAATCCTGGATGTTTCTGTAATCCTGGCTACCTTTCAGCGGATCCATTCTCCGCTGTGTGTATTCTCTCAGAAGATTGCACTTGGGGACGAGAACGAGGTTAATATTTTACAAAAAATCTTTGTATGATTGAATGTTCAACGAAGCATAAATAAAGTAATTATTGCAGAAAATATTTGAGTCGCAAACCAATTTCTTGCTGATGTCATTCAATGCCAGAACTTTCAAATCCACAAGTAGCAAACTCGAAAACACTTTTTATACTTTTAACTTAACAACATCTTAAACAAATATTTTCTCAAGTGTTTTCGTTTTTATCTATCAAACAGTAGCAGAGTTGGCTTTCAATTGAAATTATCGTGCATCGTTTTACCTTAAATGATAATTCTTATTCAATGAAAATTATAAATAAGACGTGAGTGCAACTTCATCGTTTTGCCATTAAAACACTTTCCAACCTTACTCATCCTTCTCCACAAGTTCATGAAAGTTTATGCTGGTGAATCTTAGTTTAAATCAATTATTTTTTCCTTTCTCTTCTGTAAATTAAAGAAAACATTAAGAATGGGCCGAGTATTTAGGGGCCTTTGTGAACTGACGAACAAAAACATCCTTTCAACGCTAAATGTAGAGAAAGCATAAGCAATAACAAGTTTATTGTACTTTCTTATCACGTTCCTGCATTTATCAAGTCGTTTTTGTCAAAAAAGAAAGAAATAATGGCTCGACGTCCTAATGGACTTTCGTGTTTGGTTGCGCCCCTCAACACATGCCTCCATCATGTTTTCATCCCTCGATGATTTCTCAGTGCATATACGTTGGATGAATCCTTAAGCAGCACCAAATATCCAGCAATTTTTTCTGATGGCGAGTATATTTAAGTCCTGTCTGACACATCTTCAAAAGTGTTTATGGTGAAATTGAGTTTTTAACTTCACAATAACGAAAATATTTATCGTAAAGTTTCGCTGATAAAACTTGTTGAACTTCAATCATTTTCGAATTAAGAAGGAGTAATGTTGAACAACATATGTCTGACTTTTCATGTAGTAATAAAAGATACGAATAAGGAGAATTGCTAACATAAAAACTTCAAATCAAACATCAAATTCGTTTTATATCAATACGCTTGACTGAAGTCTTTAAGTGTTGAATTTTCTACCTTGCAACTTTCTATACAGTTTACATTGATTTTATTAGCATTTGGAGATCGAATTATTGTGGATAAGCAGAACATATTCGAGAAAATGTAGAAAAAGTGGAAATCAGAAGAAACAAAAAGGCATAAAATGTTACTCTGGTTTCACCTCAACGACATTGGCAAAAATTTTTTTGTGGTGTGAGCGACAAGAATGGAAAATGTAGAAAAGCAGAAGGAAAATGTTAAATGAAAATGGAGCAACATCAATTTGTTGCTGCCTCTGACCTTTTACCGCATGTGAAAATAAATCGAAAAATAAGAGAAGGGAAGAACAAGAATAAGGAAAAACAGTGAACGAGCAAAAGAAGCACAAGAAATCATCTCCCTCGTTGCCATCGCAATCGAATTTTATTTTTACGAATTCCGATGTTGTTCCGCAAATATAACTTTTTATGATTGTTATGGCTGTTGTTTTCTCTTCTGATCTTATATGCTTCATTGTTATTATCGTAACAAAAAAAATATGAAAGCAGGCGGAGAAGTTATGAAAAAGATTTTTCTGTCTATTGAAGACAAGACAACAGAAAAATAGTAAACACCATCCATTACAAAAAAAGGAGGAAAGAGAAAACAACAATAATTTGATAAATTCTTTCGAAGTGGAACAGTGAATTGAATAAGTTGCTGTTTATTCTATCAACATACGTGATGGCCGTTGAACAGAAACAAAACTAACTAGCTACATGCAGCTGTTTCACTCCAAGTAAACCGGAAATCTCTGCAACACGATGACTAATTGCAAGCAATGTCAAGCGAATGAAAAGCTTTCGTTTGTCAATATTAATCAAGTCACACATTTAACCGATTGACAATGTTTGCATATTTAATACATTTTCATCATTCAAGTGACATATTTCACGTTTCAACTCATTTTTAATGTTCAGCGATTAAAGTTTTTCACAGGAAAATCAAATCAAGAATTGTAGTGAAGTGAAAGAGTCGACACATTAAGTAAATTGATTTGTGTGCACCTGGAATTTTATCTGATTCCACATCTTGCATTATTAAACAAACGGAATGGAAAAATCCAATATTCGCTATCCATTAATCTCACCACATGAATGACGTGTTGCCAATGAAAAATTAAACAGAAGTGCATGCAAATTGAGAAATTTTGTATTTAATTGAAAATTTAAATAGAGATCTACGACTTGAAATACGATACTCCAACGTTGTTATTCAAGTTGGGGGTGAATAAACGTCAATATTTATTCTTACTTACATTATTCTGATTATAATTCATTCCAACTTAGTGAGTACACTTGCTTGTATCTTCGAATTAAGCTAATAAAGTTGTTGTATTCAAAGTTGCATACACAAGTTTCATGTTTCATTTTCATTTCAATGAATTTGTCAGATGATAAATACAAGCAACGGAGGGATAAGTGGGGGTGTACGTAAAGGAGATTAATAAACAACAGACATACAGCAGTTCATTTTGTATCGACATGTGTGTAGCAAGCAACAGCAAAACAATGAAATATAATAAAGTGTAATTTATTTAATGGCCAGTGCATAATATGTTATTTAGCAGCATATGTGGATTATTTTCCGTAAATATCTCGAAATTTCTTTCTACATTCTGATATTGTATGTTGTGGCAGCGGCAGTGGTTATTCTGCTTCTGTAATAGAGAAAGACAAATTAATTAATTCACATGCAATTTCGTTTTCCCTATCGGCTCTTGAGTCAATTTATGTGTCCGACACTTATATATTTATGCTCATTTCAAGGGGGAATTGGAGAGCTTGTTAATAGAAAAAAAGTTTCATCTAAGCGTAAAAAATTAAGCAATCAATTTTGATGCTGGTGTCGACAAAAACGAGGGCCAATTGCAATAATCCCAAATAAGTTCTTCAACAACCCTCTTTGGTTTTATTTTTCTTATTTGTTACGACGAAATGATGACATTGAATAAATCGATGTAGAAATTTGTTAACATTCAATAACTTAAATCTTTTGTATAAAGTCAAAGGCTTTGAGCGGATTTTGTTATCAATTCAATTTATTTATCGTCCATCTATGAAAAAAGCTAGAAACGCAATCAGTTTCCTATGAAACTTGATATTAAATAAATTTCTCTTTTTTCCAATAAAATTCACGTTCGTTAAAAAAATCCAATAAAAAAATTGTTCTGTGATGAATGTTTGAAACTAAAAAAAAGTTCTTTGAATTCGTATTTCGGTTTTTTGTGTTCGATTATTCATACACTTGAATTGATAATGTCCGTTGTTTAGAGGGACGCACACGAAACGGTTCAACGATGTCATGTTATACTTTCATGTACTGTTGCGAGGGTGGAAAGAACCAAAAAAAAGTTTTATGAGCAATAGAAAATTAGAATTGGCATCCCGTTGCTAGCTGAACTCTTTGTCCTCAATGCTATTCGTAGTACCAAACAAAGTGCGGAAAACATCGACAGGTTGTGAAGAAGAGGGAAAATAAAAGTCTGTCGTGAAAGTATTTTGTTAAATTTCCAATCACTTACTCCTTTCTACTCTTCTATGACATGCTTTCCATGCATTGCATATTTAGATGAAATCAGGAAAACATTTCACTTCTCTTCTATGTTTAAGTAGAATGAAAAAACGTTTTCAACTTTAAACAAACCTGCTGCATACTTATTGAACTCTCTGAAGAAAAATAATTCTAGAAAAGCTTTCCATTTAAACTTGTGCTTGAGGGTTTCTACAAAAATAATATTTTACTTCACATTGTGATGGGAAAAATGAATTCTGAAAAAATATTTGAAGAAAAATATGAAGTCGAATGAACATTCTCGTTTTATTGATTTTCATTTCTTATGATGAAGAAAAATTTTGTAGCTTGGCTTTCCATTCATCCGATAATCTTTATTCGAAAGTTTTTATATTTAGGTTTATTAAATGGGTGACGATCAATGAACAAAAACCTTTTTCGTATCGTGGAAACTCAATTTAGCGGAAACATCTCTTAAGCTTAAATTATTTGAAGTAAATATTCCATTACGCCTAACCACTTTCTGTGTTGTTCAGAACCATTCTCGTAAAGTGCTAAATAAAAAACACTCGGTTATGCATCACAAAACCGATGAGAATAATTGCTAGACAGTAAAGTTTTAATGAAGCGTTCACATAAAATTGCGGTACTGAATTTGAATATTTTGCGCAATGAATTTCATGTAAATTGTCTTTTTTCGGTTTGATATCGCTTGATGTAGACGTTTTTATTTTTTTATGTTTCGAGCATATGTGGCGAGCATTAAATGTGACAGGTTTGTTTGGTTGTCACTTTATTTAATTTTTTATACATAAGAACTAGACATGAGAAGCTAAAATTAAATTAAATAAAAACCTTTTGGAATTCTTTAATTAAAGATGTAAATAAAAAGCTTCATGAGAGTAATTAAATCTACCTCTGTTTACAGTTTGATGTTTTAATCAGAGAAATGCTTGCAGCTATAAAGTTAATTATTTTTTATACTTTTTGTGTTTTTATTTTTACTCACAACTCGCACGTTATGCGACATCAAAATAAAGTAAACTCAAAATAAAAAAAAGGGAAGCTTTAAAGCTTCTCCCCTTCCCTTTAAATAATCTCATGGATTATTTTATTCTTCCGTCATATCATTTTATAATGAATTTTCTTTTCAATGTCTTTGTCACTCACGAGCTCAAAAGCACGCAAAGCAACGTTTGCATAACAAAATTTGCCGTACGAAATTAATCATGTTATGTTTACCTTGCTGAAAAAAGAATCAATTTCCTTTCACACGGATTGCTGAAGTAGCGAGAAAATTAATTTCTGCCTTTTCATCGAAGGCTTAGACACATAGACAAAGTATGACTAACTTGGAGTGAGCGTTTAAACACTTGCTGCTATTGAATTCAATTTTACGCCAATTTTCGCAGCATGAAAGGTTAAAGGAAATTTGTTTTCGCTTGCTTCATTCTGTGTGATGAGATTTTTCATCTAACTCAATATAAATACGTCAAGTTGACATGTAAAGCAACATGAAGCCATCATCAGCAATTTCATCATACTTACAAGTAGCAGTTCATTTTATCAGTAATGAGACATATTGCTTCGCTTCTAATAAATTTCATTTGTTTAATTCGATTTCAATTACTCGTTGAATTCATGGAAAGCTGTTAAGTGTGAAATATTTCCATGAATGAGACACTATCGCAACTTTTTCGCACCAAGCAATGAAAAAGCGCCATACTTTATGAGCTGAATGACAATTACGATCTAATTGAATGCTAATTTATTGCTATTTCACCCCATTTGACTTTCGATGCTCGCAAATGACGCCCAGCAATATTTCAACAATAATAATCAAATCTCGTATTTAACTGAATGATAAATTTGCAATAATGAATGATTAATGTGTCTTTCTTGGTGAAATTTTATACTGTTCTGCTTAAAGGATTACGAAAGGATTTATTATCCCGTCCCTTACAAGACTGAAACATCCTTTAATCAAACCCCCTAAACTCTTGACAGCTTTCTTAAGTTCGAAAGAACGAAAAAGTTTTATTGCCATTAACAAATGAAAAGAATTTCTTCGAAGATTTTTCAAGAGCGAAATGTTCATTTATTATAATATTAATTTAGTTAAATTTGTTTAGAATCTTCGTGAGATTGAATCAGAAAATTTTTCTACATATTTATTCATTCTTCTGTTTGCTTTCGATTTTTTCTTGGAAATTCTTTTGATCTTGATATGAAAATCTTTTATTGTTTTTCCTTCAGACCCACATCCATGCATAAATATCCTCTTGATTTAGGTCATGAAAATTATGAAGCTGAATTTAAAAGATGAAATATAAAACTTCATATTTTTGTGAAATGTTCCCGCCAGCAATTTCTTTTATTTGAATGGTTTTACATGCCAGAAGAAAATGTTGCAAACAAAACAACAACATGACATTTAAAAATCACATGAAACTTTTTGAAATTCTAATTAGTTTTAATTGCTCAACAAGGCTAAAGTTTCCAGCATAAAATGTTTTATATTTTATCTTTGAAATAAAGCTTGTAATGTAAACGAAATCTCATCTCTACCTTAAGCTTTAAAACAAATTTTATTTCTTTGTGAAAGTCATATATTTTATTGGTCGTAACGACATCACCTTAAGCTTAAAATATTTGAGCTTATGAAAAGAATTGTTTTCAGATTCTACAAGACACCGATGAGGCTTGACTATGTAGAAATATAAACAAGAAACTTCCTGATGGCAAAACATAATCCTCGGTTTGTTTTCCTACAGGCAAGAACTTGGTGTTCTCTGCGTGCTCTGTGTTCTTCCTTTTCCTTTTGTAAAAGAATTATTCATACGTATACACATAAACAAGAGGGAAAATGAATTGTATCGTGATAATGAATACATTTAACTTCCTCGCCTTCACATCATGGCAGAGAAAGGAAAAGATTCTTTGAGGCGAACAATAGAGTTTGTTTTGAATTAATTTAATTTAAACAAATAGCTGTGAGGTTTGATTCATATATTCTCAAACACATTTTAGTCTGTTAATCTCTCACATTTTAACCTTTGAATTATATTCACTCAGACCATTGGTATGCGCAATAATGCCATGAATGATCGTTCAGATAGTACAACTTGAACTATTTGAATTGGAAACTTTGTTTCAAGTTGAAAACATTAAGTAATTAAATTTTCAGAAGACACATTATTGAAGACAATTCATTTGTATCTATTAGATTGAGAATGTTAAATTACTTAAAACGTCATTATCGAATGAGTTTATTAATAGATTAATTAATTAGTTAACTAAACTAAATTATTTTAGAATTCCTGTGCACATTTTTACTTCAAACATCCCCCTAAAAAACATTTTTATGTTCCAAACTAACGACGTCAATAAAGTTTAACAACATCATCAACTTTTGCCCAAAATATATTAAAAAATGAGTTGAATAAATAAGAAAAATTGTCAAAGCTCAGAAATGTAAATATTCGATGACTTAAAATCTTATCAAACACCTCATCTTTAAATAAGAAGGGTAAATGAGTCAAGTGGGGGAAAGGAAAACTCAAATGCTCAACCTTTTGTTTTTAATAAACAAAGCAAGCGACCCAACTTCATCATGAATACTTAAATACAAAATTTCTTTAAGCTAAAGTTTCCTTACGTCAATGTTTGCCATGCTGTTTATTCATGAATACCTTTAATTATTTTTAGATATCAGCTTCATATGTTATTAGTAATAATTATTGGGTCAGAACATTAAAGCCAACGCTTTGTATTTAACATGCCTTTCAAATGAAATTATATTTGAACTAAATACTGAACGTGGTGAACGTAGATATGCTAAAAATATTACAAGCATAATAACAATGAATTTCAACAATTTATGCAGATAGTTAGAACATTAAAAAACGAGAGAGAGTTAAACGTTATCGAAGTGTAGACGACAATTTGCCTTCTGGATGTGTTGTAGCTGTTCATTTAGATCTCGCATGATACATGGCGCACCCGAGATGCCTGAAATACCAGACAAAAGCAATAATTTTAATGATTATGAATTTCCTTCCTGTTTGCTAGAAGCTTGCTATCCTCAACTTGGCAGTCGACTCACTGTCTCTTATTTTCATCAGAGAATTGTCCCACAGAGGTGATTAAAAATAATTGGATTCTTGCCATGAAGTGGCATCACATTCCATTGTAATGATTATCGTCTTTATCATTCTTTCTGAACCTTACTGATGCTAGCAAAAGGGAATACCTTTCAATGAACAAAGTGACTAAGATAGTTTAATGATGGAGAATCAACTCTGAAGTTATCAGATTCCAGGAATAGTTTTCGATATTAAAACAAAAAACTTGTCCATGTGCCAATAAATCAAGGCCCACTTCATTAAATTCAGATCGAAATTAACAAATATTCCGATTGTTTAAACCACAAACTGGTAATTTTACCTCAGAATCCATTTTATGGTCATAGATTGAAAATCAATGCACACGTAATCAGTGGATGATACTGAAGTGGACATTAACTAAGTTCAATAAGTAGATTGGAAAGTTTGTCATGAAAATTAATGTGAACATCCTTTTAAGATTCGAAAATAATCCTCAAATAATTCCCTAGACGAAGTTTCTTGTTCTTATTCTAATTCAATCAAAACTTTGAGTCTACACCTGAGTTATAATTTATGATTCATTAGTATGCATAATCATATCAATTAGATATTTGCTTTCACTTATTTGATAGCCTTTGCATGATTAAGGAAAAGTTTTAGAAAACTCATTGAAATCTTTCCAAAAGGCTTAAACATTTCGAATTAAAAGGAAGAAATTTTTTACAGTAAACTCAATTGAATCAAGTTTGTCTGAGGATTCAGTTGACTATCTACAAGATGATTGCTGCCATTGTAGAGTTTAAGTAATTTAATTCGCTGATTTATTAGTCTTTCTTCCAATACCAAAACACATTTAGAAAAGTTGTTGAAGGTCAGTCGATAAGGATTTTAATAATGAAAGTATTCGCATTGTATCGAAGATATTAAACTCGGAAGGAAAGCAGCAACGCACAGAATATTAATCATAATTTAATTACATTTCATTCTCAATGACGTGAGAAGCAAGTTTATTTAATGGATCGATGTGAATGTATCAGAAAGTAAAGAAAGTAACATCATTACAGCAACGAAACATTATTAATTGATGAGACGAATAAAGTAAGATGAAGGAAAATAAATTGGTTTTATGTCATCGATGTGACTGGCTTTTTTATCGTTGTGAAAGTATCATGAAAAAAGGAAGTAATGATAATTGCAGGTTCATTGAGTTCGTTGAATGCCATCTCGGACGATTGTTTTCTCTTCTCTTCAATCGATCTTGATTCTTATGGACATCAAGAATTTCCCTTCGACCTTTTACGAAAACGAAGAAGAAAAATATGTGCGTTATCATCCACCCACGCATTCACTACAATATGTGCCTTTTCCTATTTTATTTTCATTTCATTGCAAAAAGAATTTTCTTTCACCTTTCTCTTCATTCCTCAAATATTTTTCCTTTATCTTTGCTCAAAAAAAATTATATGATTAAAGGATTCCATTCATCTCTGAATCATGAAAGAGTTAGGGGCATGAGAGTGGAACAAAAGAAAGGTTCTTCGTCATCATTCCATTGAACGTTCCACATATGTTCGTATTCAGATTACTCCAAATTTCATTCCACTCTTGACTTCCTTTTTTTATCCTTAAAGCTAAGCATGAAGAATACAATTTTCTGGTCATATGAATCTTTAATAAAATGAACTGTGCACCATTTGTTACACATTCGTAACATTTTCTTACAGTTTACAGGAGTTTATATGACATTTGTTATCCTGAAGAACTTCTTTATTCATTCGTTAAAAGTTTTATACCAACATTGTGCCAATCTCTTAAAGCTGTTGTGTTCTTGTATCCAAAGTCCCATTTTTGTGTTACTTCAGTTGAATTACATTTTTCTAAAGTTATGATGTTCAAATCGAAGTTGGCCATTAAACATTTATCAGAATTTGGATTTTTTATCTGTTGTGTATCCTAAAATAATTAAATTGTTTTTTATTCAGAATGTCTAATTAATAATAAGTAAGTTAATGAATGTACCAGAAGATATCTAAACAACTGATCACCTTGACGATGTGTACATTGCGTAAATTGAGATAAACTCAGGCAAAGGTCATACTCGTTGTTAGGCTCAAGCGTTCGTTTCCATGTTAGCAAGAAATATTGATTACTTGATGGATTTGTAAGATTTTCAGAACACTCGACAAGATTTAACTTATCATCAATTTCAGTTGCGCAAAAATTTTTGTTAGCCATACTTTGAATTGCACCAGACGCAAAATGTGGTTTCTTTTCAATAGGAAACCAATCTAGAATGAATGGCGCAATAACTTCTAAGTAGTACTTGAAAGATTTACAATTCAATGATTTTCTAAGGGAAACTTGCTCTGAAATGTCACCAAAATCAATCTGATATCTCTCGGGATGATCTCGATAAAAGAGAAATTTATATTCGTCAAACCAAACCTCAACAACTCTTCTGAGATTTCTCATTTCATGGTTGATTCCATTCATTTGTCTTGAATAAGGAACTTTGATTTTACTTACATGACCTGTCCATAATGAAAATCTATCTCGATAAAATAAAAAGAGAAATTAAATTCCATTACCAACATGAGAACATGGAACTTTCAACAAACTCCCACCACATAATTGTAGTTTGAATGACAATTCATAGTTCTCTCCGTTATACAAAAACATTCCAGTATCGTAACCACCAAGTTCGAAAAAGTATTCACGATTTATTGCATAAGCACCGCCAGTCATCGCTGATAATAAATGATTCACTCCTGGCACTGAATATTCTTCTTCATTGAACACATAGTAGTGATACCTGAGGTTCCAGTCGAAACCTGTTGAATCTCTTATTTCAATCTTTAAATCATAATTAGATAAGTTTTTCAAATCACCTCCATTCCAATTATCAGCGAGTGGTTCATATTTGAAATTTTCATGATTAATTGAATCAATTGTTGGAACTGTAGCTGTTCTTCGATTAATGACAATTGGATCTAACAAAGGTGGCAACCAATTTGTTGTGACTTCCATGTGTGAATCTAGAAATAAAATAACTTCCCCTGTAGCTAATTTTGCACCTTCCATTCTTGTTGCTATTAATCCTAATCGTGTTGGGTTATTATAAACTTTTACTCGTCCATCGAAGTTCTGTTCGACATACGAACTTAGTGTCTTGTAAAGCTCGTCTTTTGTGCTATTGTCATTGACGAGGATTATCTCATGAAGAAGATTTCGTGGACTTCGATAGAAGATTGAAGAGACGCATCTCAGAAGAATGGAGAGCGGCTCGTTATAAAATATCACGATGACAGACACAGTTGGAAGATTCTTTAAATATTTTTTGTCCAAACAACTGCAAATATAATTATTGTTAAGACTTGAAAGTCGTGGAATGATCTGCGCAACTTTTTCTTTCTGTGATCAGGTAAAGATCTTGTTAAAGACATTTTATTGCTAACCAAAACTGAAACTCCTTCTAATGAGATCAACTTTTGACTTTCTTCGATTTCTTTAGTATCGTTTAAAATGTAAGGAGACATTTCACCAGGTCCGACACGAGTTTTCTCATAGTTTATAAAGTTATAGTCGTGCCAGTCAATCCTTCGATTTCCACTTTGATCCGTGACTAACTTCGAATTCATGCGGTAAAATATTAAAACAATCAAAACAATCAAAACTAAAATAATTTTCTTTCGAATGAAAAATCGAATCATTTTCCGACAAAAGTTAAATTAATACTGAAATCGACAGCAAAATTGCTTTTTAAAATCGTAATTTTTGTTATTATGCACGTTTTTTGTATTGTTGAAATAAAATGTGTTAATTAGATATCAGGAAAAAAGCGGTTTCAATTTTTTTTCCCTTGTTTATTTATTTGTTAAAAATGCTTTTCAAATCTAAACGATTTTTAGTCGTCAATGATTTCAGTTGTCGTTATACAAAGCGGCAATGCTTAGAGGCAGTTTAGACTTGATAAAGTAATGTCTAGACTCGAGAAGCATAAATCAGTTCATCGAACCTTTAAATTTATTAGTTCACAATGGTTTGTTTATTTATGTCTCATTTTATGTTACAAATCAGATTAATTTATTCGATTTAATTTTATTCGATGATTTAATTCTGAAACTGGAAATAAAAAATATCAGCGATGACTCAATCTGCTTGTCACACATTTTTCGCCTGTCAATTTTTTAATTTTTGAATCTTCTATGACCCGAAGAGTATGTAAAGTCATATAAACAGACTAATCAGCTCTAACGATGGTTGAAATGAAAGAATTAACATCGTCTACTGATAACCCACACAAAGGAATTTCTCAATTGAAGAGAATTTCGAGTTGTTTTTTAATCTATGTGAAATTGATCAGTTGAGTTTGTGTAGTGAGTCTTGAAAGACGTGTTTAGTGTTAATTTTATAAAAGTTTTTTCTTTCTAAGATTATCTGTAGGATTCAAATTAATTGTTTTCGTGCAATAATCTTAACAATGTCTCAAGATAATGCGTAAGAAGTTGATGAATTGAAGTTACTGCCAACCACATATTTTTGATTTACATTCCAGGAAATTTGATTTTCGGATTCTAACAATAACTTTTGTTCTTAATATCTTGTCGTATATCTTTGATATCATCACTTATCCTTTCTACGTTCTAATTCAAAAGCCATGGAGACGTGTTACTCATCGTGTAAGAGTAAGTTAAGCTCACAATAAAAGATGTTTTCGTGATTTTACACAGTTTACACTCTTAATTAACCGATAACAGTCTCTCAAAGCTAATCGCTATCATTTTGATTTTATTGTAGGCGCAAGCAGTAAGTAAGAGCGATAATGAAATCACATATCACTCTGTTGACCAGCCGGGTAAAATTTATATTCGCATGCTTGAAACTCACACTGACACATTGGAACTAATGTTCAAACGTGTCGCAAAAATTCACACAACAAAAAAATGCCTCGGAACACGTGAGATTCTCGCCGAAGAAGATGAAATACAACCAAACGGAAAAGTTTTCAAAAAATATAAATTGGGTGACTACAAATGGATGAACTTTACTGAAACGGAAGAAAAAGCGAGATTTTTCGGACGTGGCATGCGTGAACTTGGCTTGCAACCTAAAGATAAAGTTGTGATTTTTGCTGAAACAAGAGCTGAATGGATGATTGCTGCACATGGTCTTTTCAAACAAAGTTGCACGATTGTGACAATTTATGCAACACTTGGCGATGAAGCAATCATGCATGGTGTCAATGAAACTGAAGTTAAAACCATCATCACATCACATGAATTGCTTCCAAAAATCCGGAAGATTCTCAACTCAATTCCCAACATCAACACAATCATTTATTTTGAAGATCAACTCAAGAAAACTGACGCTTCAGGTTTTGGTGACGTTCGTGTCGTTCCATTCTCTCGAGTTGTAGAAAATGGAAGTGCAAGTAAATTTGAAGAGTTTCCTCCACGAACTGATGACATCGCCTTCATCATGTACACTTCGGGAAGCACTGGCACACCCAAGGGCGTCTTACTAACTCATTCAAATTGCATAGCAACAATGGAATGTTATTGTGATGTAAAATTTAAATTAAATTAATATTTCTCATCATTTAATTAATTAATTTAAAATTTGCAGCTTGAGATTCTTTCTGGTGACGTTGGAATTGGTTTTCTTCCACTTGCTCATGTTTTTGAACTTCTCGCTGAAAGTGTTGCTTTGCTTCGTGGTGTTCCAATTGGATATTCAACACCAAACACTCTTCTCGATACCAGTTCAAAAGTTATGAAAGAATCCAAAGGCGATATGACGATATTACAACCGACAGCAATGACAATTGTTCCACTTATCTTAGATCGAATTATTAAAACGATTGATGACAAGTTAAACAAAGGATCAGCTGTTGAAAAGGCGATTTTCCACCTTGCATATGATTATAAGAGAAAGTGGTTGGCTCGTGGATTTTGCACACCAATGCTTGATGCTTTGATATTCAAGAAAATTGCAAAAATCTTGGGTGGACGAATGCGAGTTTTAGTCACTGGTGGAGCTCCATTGTCACCTGAAACTCAAGAAAGAATTCGCGTTATTTTATGCGTCTCTGTTGTGCAAGGTTATGGATTGACTGAGACAACAGCTGGCGCGACACTTTCTTCTGTACGTGATTCTTCGGTTGGTCGTGTTGGTGCTCCATCTCCACTTGTTGATATCAGACTGGTCAACTGGGAAGAAGGACATTATCGTGTGACTAATAAACCATATCCACAAGGAGAAGTTCTTGTTGGAGGCTTCACAATATCTCCAGGCTATTATAAACTTCCAGATAAAACAGCTGAAGAGTTCTTCGAAGAAGACGAAAAACGTTGGTTCAGAACTGGAGATATTGGTGAAATGCACCCCGATGGCGTCTTGAAGATTATAGGTAAGGTTTTTGTCATGTGAACAATTCAGTTATAAAGTTTTTCAATTCTTCAGATCGTAAGAAAGATTTGGTAAAACTACAACAAGGCGAATACATTTCATTGGGAAAAGTTGAAACTGAATTGAAGACAAGTTTGCTTGTCGACAACATTTGTGTCTACGGAGATTCATTGAAAGAATATTGTGTTGCTTTAATAGTTCCCAATGCAAAAGCATTGAAAGAATTAGCTGCAACTTTAAACATAAGCGGAAGTTTCGAAGAACTTTGTTCAAATATTGAAGTTGAGAAAGCAGCATTGAAGGAAATCACAGAACAAGGCAAAAGATGTCACTTGGATAAGTTTGAAATTCCTGCGAAGATTACGCTTTGTAAGGAGGTTTGGTCGCCTACCATGGGACTTATAACAGCTGCTTTCAAGATTAAGCGAAAGGACATTCAAAAGACATATCAAGCAGACATTGATCGAATGTATGGAAAATAAATTTCTATAAAATGAAAAGTTAAAACAGAGTTTAATTAATTAATTATTGTTGTTCTAAATAAAATAATAAAAGAAATGAAATGCCGAGTTGATGATGAACATTTTATTGTTTTAATTAAAGACAGCAGCAATCGTCGACATTATTACCAAATGAAAACTTTTCAAAATTAGAAGGACAAATTTTGGTACAAATGTCTGTCTCTCCACCCTCACAAAATGGTAACAACGGATCAATATCTCCTCCTGCAGTAACCAAAACAATGTTGTTGATTGCTGAGAATGAAATTTTATTAATTTGGATTCAATAATTATTTTTTAGTTACCAAAAATGACGATCAGTGTTAAAATAAAATTTGATGAAACTTTTCCCATTGCTACCGTTCAAAGAAATGCAAGCAATTAATGAAATATAAAATATTTTCTGTTTAAATACTTTAATTACTTTCTTAAAGTACGTTCAACTAAATGAAGCTCACGAATCTCGAATCTTTTTTTAAACAACGATTTACTCGTGAAACAATTGGCCATTAACTGCTGATGGTAGTTCGATCAAAGCACAGGTATAAAATTAATTAGACACGTTTTTAAAAGTTTTCTATTGAATCAGAACAAATTTTCAAGTTTTTATTAAAACAACTTTTTTGTTTTGTAAATTTTCCTAGCCAATTCAATTTAAAATGCATAAACGTGGGATTTCCTTTGATTAAACTAAAATTTAGTGTAAAGGATGAAAAGTAAAAGCAGAGTTTAATTAATTATTCCAATTGTGCAAAAGAAATAGCACGAAAAATAGTTTTTCCTTTTATTCATAGTTTTAATTCCATTTTGAAATTAATGCTTAATATTTTTATCTACAAGCTACATAAAAATTCCTGACACAGGAATTTTTTTTAAAAAGAAGAAAACAGAAATAAATTATGCATTTTCCACTTAGACGTAATCTTTCATTTCATTAATTTTGCATGAGAAGGCAAAGAAGAATTTAATTTTTAGAGAAGAACGTTGAGCGTATTATGAGTTCCATTTCTTTAGTGACGAGGGTTGTGGATGTGTTTTGTCGTTCATTACAGAATTCAAGGAATAACGAAAAAGACATCATCTTTGTTGTATGAAATTAATTACGATGGAATAACGTAATGTGCTTCATGTTTTCTAGTGTACATACTCAAATCAAATTATGTCTTTTAATTGAATCTAATGAAAAATAGATATTTGTGTAGTAAAATTGCGTAGAAAAGATGAACAAGGAAGGATCCTGAAGACAATTACAAAAATCTCTTCGAAGCACTTCGCGATTTTCTTTATGTGCCTAATAAGAAAATTTTCTTCCTCTGGTTTTCATGTCTCTTGGGATTTTTTTTATATTCCTTTTAACAAGCCTTTTGCGCACTAATTAATTCTTTGAAATAGAAACGAAGCCTTTTGTCGACAGCAAGGCAAAGAAAGTTGTGTAATTAATTTCTCATGATGAGCACAGCGCTGTGTTGGGAGAACGAAAATAACGAGGATAAAAAATTAAAATGTTTTTGATATTTAATTACACAATTGTTGTTTGATGCTGCGTGTGCATTGTTATTTTATTCCATTTTGTTATCATATTCTCTTTTCCTCAAAAAGCAGACACCCTCGCGTTTTGTTATCATCAGAGGGGTGGAAAATATTCACGAATATTGCTCTAATTAACAATAATTCATTTTCATTACTGAAGCATATTTTGATGTGCCTATTTTTATGATATGAAAGTTCTTCTGATGAATGTTACCTGATTTTTATTACTCTTTCCACCCCCCCGCGCATATCAAAAGTTAAAAAGGGATGAAGCACGAATAAGAAGAGAGAAAACGGCTCTAAAACGTTCATAGAAAATGAGATGGGAATGGAACGTGCTTTGAGACATCAGCATCACAAAATGAGCATTTTGAATTAATTACAAAATAATTCCCCAAAATTAAAACAATAAATAAAATTAAACGAGAAGAAAGTTTTTGCTTCATGTTTGACGTCACATCGCATTGCAAAGAAGCCGTAAATATTGTCCGAATGATGAATTAAGAGAAAGGAAAGTCTCATAAATTAAGGGATTTTAAGCTAGTTGCGAACGCAAATGAACACCCAAAATGTTCCCGTCTTTCATGATTAAAAATGTTTCTCTTTTTCATAGCATGTGCTGCTGCAAAGATGGAAAAATATTTTTCCATCTTCAAACCCACGACTCGTAAATTATAAAACGATTAGAATACTTCTACAGTCATTGCTCTCACAGCTCCACTTTGCCATCTAATGAGTGCAATTAACATTTTATAAAAATTTCTTCTTTTAAACATTTTATTTAAGCAAATTAGTTTGAAGCGCAATTAAAACTTCTTAATTTTACTGAAAGAAAAAAAAAGATTTTGTTTGAAGAGAGGCGTTTTGATTGAAGAAAAACAATCCGATAATTTATGAGAGAAAAGTTCTTAAACGAACCTTTGATCCATGTAAAACATTTATTAGATCAAAACTTGTCATGTACATTTGTCAATTAAAAAGTTTGTATAAAATTAAACTACTTTTACATACAAAATTTCGAGAATTTTTAGATGTTTGATTAAGGTAGACAAAATAATTTGATAATTTTTCCACCTTAGGCTGGTTTGGTTTTTGTAGATATTTTAATACTAAATTACAATGGACGGAGTTAGTTAATATGTCTTTTGCTCTTAACTACATTTCTTAAATAATATTATTAAGAGATGATCAGCTTTCGAATGTATTTTCCTCTTAAATGGTTGATTCCTCTCCGAATTTCTAAGCATTGAATGTTGAGTACAAATTAGACGGCACAGTTTTTTATACGTGACTCATCACTTGGTTGTAGTGTTTTTGGGTGTTGTTTCTTTTCGTTTATTTGTAAAAATCCCGATCGACTGCATTTGTGCTTTTATATTGCAGATACATGCAAAGCAACAACGAACAGATGAATAGGAACAATATCACTATTGATATAATACACCAAACATAAAATGATTCGATTAGGATCATTTTGTTTTATTTTTTAATTGAAGAAATTTATAAATTTATTGAACACAAAAACTATGTTGATATATGCTGCTTGCTGTTGAACTTGAACTGAACTTAAGTAAGTTCTGCTGTTGTAAGGTTTAATTTTTAGTCGTTAAAAATAACATGAAAACTATTCCGCTTCAATTGATCAATAATTTTTTTTCCTTTGAAAATTGCAATGAAATATGAAAAAAAAAAATTCATGACTAACTCGCCTACCTCACATTTTATTCTGTTGTACAATCTAAATGAAAGCTAACAGCACGATATGTTTACTCTAGATTGTATTAATATTTGTAATGCTGAATGTAAACAAAATTTGATTTTTGTTGAGAAAATAACTCTTTCTAAAGGTATAAAACAAATTTCAAATAGATTTATTTATTTCCTGTTGTAGGTAATTTAAAATTTTCAATAATTCAGAAATGCATTAATATTAAACTACAATTTCTCGATGATGATGACGAGTTGCAGGTAAATTTTCTGTTTGCTCTCGTATGCAGCAACATCGTTGAATTAAACAGAAGCATGTGATGAATAAACACAGCATCATCGCTATTAATTTTGACGCTCGACCGAAGGCAGTTCCTCGGGGAGGCTTTCGCTCATTCGAATGTGTTTGAGCTGATACGACGCTGAATAGAAAAATTATGAACAAAATTGTGCTTCCTTTCTTCATTTCCAAATGTTCTCTGTTGGGACATATTAAGAAAAAGTTTTGCAATGATTTTTTTCCAATGGAACACTTACGCGCTAGAAATGATCAGGGAATATTCTGTTTATCCGGATAGAGAGGAAAAACTCAACTGGTTGGACTTTCTTCGAAAAGAAGGAAAAACAATCAATAAACGAATACTTTCTCTATGATCTCATGGCAAATCGGAAACAAGAAAAAAAGTTTAAGACGTGTTTCAGCAAGTTTATTTATAAATATGAAATAACAAACGTTCACACATAATATTAAGATTGATTTGTAATAAATTGAAATGTATTTTTGCATGTCAATAAACATGTTTTAAATTTTGATCAAAGATCATTTTATCAGCATAAAATTTTAACAGTTTTGTAGAATTTGAATTTTCCACGTTGTTTGCCCCGTGGCGGGAACTTGATCAAGTTGTTTTTGAATGATTGAAAGTGCACAGAAAAGGAAATTTTTTTTTAATATTTCTCCAAGAAGCCTCAAAGATACTAACCAAATATGTCGATATTGTTAGCTAACATTGATGCCACGTGTGCTAGTCTTGGAACGCGCGAAGGAAGCAATTATGCTATTGGAGATGACACAATTCAGAACTTAAAGGTAAGAAAAAGAAAACATTTTCTCGATCTCCCAACTGATCATTTAATTTTTCCAGCATCTGATTTGGATTTTACGTCGTGACAATCAAGATTCTCATGAATATCGTCGTTACATTGGCCATATGAAAGTACTTCAGACTGATCTTCTACCCATGCTTGTAGCAACAGGAAATAATTCTGACTTATCTGACATTCTTCTTCGTTTGCTTGTGAATTTGATGAGTCCTGCAATGGAATTCTTTCGTGAAGACTTACCAAAAGACGGAGCTGGACGTAGGATCTATCTTGATCTTGTCGAAATTTCTCAAGCCTATAAAGAAACATTTGCAAACTATTCAGCAGTTTGGAGGAATCTTGTGGAACGTCTGAAGAAAATTCTTAATATTGTAAGTTGTGAAATGTTTTTATAGATTTGATAAATTTATATAATTCTCCCGTAAAGGATACAGGAGTTCGATCAGAAGAACAAAATCTTGTCGCAGAGAGAATCTTCGTCTTAACTCGATATGTTTTGCAAGTTCCAACGAATCCACAAGAAGAGAACCGAACAGAAAACGATATCAACATCCACGATAAAGTCGTATGGGCACTTAATGAGTCTGGAATTCTTGAGATCGTAACTTATATTCTAAGCTCTGAATATGAATCACAATTCCAAATTTACGCACTTGAAATCACTCAACTTGTCTTTCGTGAGCAGAAGGTTGAAACGCTTGCAAATGCGTTAGTTCAAAGATCGGTAGCTGAAAAGCAAGCAGACGAACAAGCACTGATCGCTGCTCGTCGAATGGAAAAATCAAAACAACAAATTCGAATACCTCCAGCAAGACATTCGAGATTTGGAGGAACTTACGTTTATAAGAATCTTAAATCAGTTTCTGATCGAGATCTCATTTGTCATCAACCATTGGAGCGTGTCGTACAGAAAGATTTTAATCACGACAAGAAAAAGACGAAAAAAAATTTCCGCTTAGCTCGTGATGATGACAAATTTGAACGTCAAAGTGCTTTTTGCATCAGAATTTTCCTTCGCGAGTTTGCCATCGAAATTCTCACTTCAGCATTCAACAATTTTGTTCGTCAAATTCGTTGGTTGTTTGATAGAAATCGTGAAGCTGCCGGTGGACATCAACAATCATACTTGTTATGGGCCATTCGATTCTTTCTAGAATTTAATCGTCTCAACGACTTCAAACTTCATCTCATCACTGAAGCTTTGAGCACTGGAAGCATTCATTGGATTTGCAATCAAATACAAAACAATGTGGAGATGCTTCAAACAGACAAAAAACGAAAAATCAAATGGAATCGACGTTTGCAATTAGCAATTCAAGCTTATCGTGAAATTCTGCACAATCTTCAAGTTATGGAGCTGGATAAAGATGAGAACACGCAAGCGCTGCTAGGGAAGCTCAAGAACAACATGTTTTATGTTGTTGAATATCGTGAGATTGTTTTACAACTCCTGCTGAGCTACAATGAGAATCATTTCACAAGGTGAGTGAGTAAACTTAACGAGGGTTGGCTGGGAAAGGTTTGTTGACGACATTGGCAAACTTTTCTTTCCTCCAAACCACCCACATAATCGAAATTAAAATCCAGTTTCATTCTTTAAAAATATCTTCATCAACAGAGTTTACCTCCGTGACCTCATCGACACGACAAACGTGTACCTGAAAATGATGGAAAAGTTTTGTCAAGGAAATATTGTGGTACAGACGAAGGTGAAAGGGAAGACGAAGCGAAAAAAGCCGGTCACGAAACCGAAAAAGCAGTCGAAGGAGGAAGTTTTGGTATGGAAAATATTAAAAGGGAAAATTCATCAGTTTTGTAACGATGAAAATTTATTTAAGTAACTTCCAAAAATCTAAATTTTCCTTCATTTTCTCTTTTCCCAGGATAAATTGCACAATGAATGGGATGCGCGTGTATCGTCAAACCTTTCAGTCGTTCTGGTAAATGACATAAATCTTCCGGAAGAAGAACATCCACCGAATCCTCTCGACGTCACATCTGAGAAGTCGAATGATGAGCAACGGTAAGGAAAAAGAATTTTCTTAAGTAGGGCTTGGAATTTATTTTCATTTAGTTTTCTAATAAATTCGCAAAGTTTCTTTGATAAACAATTATAATTCTAAACCCTGAACTTTCATTGTTGAACCTTCTCCAGTGACGATTGCATAACAAAGATTACCAAATATCTACGCGAAGAAGACTATGAACGTGCTGTGCTACTGATGAGAGCGGGACGTGCATGTTGGACTGAAAGTGAATGCTTTGGAGCGGAAAATATTCAACCGGAAGACGAACTGATGCTAATGAAGGAAATTTACTTTAAGGATATTGAAACGGGTGAGTTGAAGTGAAAGACTTTTTAATTAATTTCCCGTTCGGCGAAACTTTCTTTGTCTGAGTGGATTGAAAAGGCTTCGTCTTGTCATGGGCATGCCATAGTCTGATTAGAAGTAACATTTTATACTGTGAACTTCTTTTTTTCTTCATTCTTCGGGTCTTTCCTTTTTCCGATTTTTATTAAAAATTACTGAGAAAGTTTAAAATGATAAAATTATATTTAATCCATCATCAACCGAATCTGCGGAGAAAATTTATTAAAGGTTTGACGACGGGACTGGATGGGTCAACTTTTTATTTTCATTCATTTTTGAGCTCAAAAGAAAATTCTTGTCGTCGGCTTAAATGAGTTTTCTTTTTGTTATAATAAAAATTTTTGTAATATCATTGAAGCTACCGTCGTCATTTCTATTAATTTACAATCCTTTGAAAAAAACAATTTTCATTTTGAAAATTATTTATGAAAGTTAAATGAAAAGTCCAAAAGGAAATTTTTCTTTCACTGCAGTCGTGTTGAATTTTCATTTCAAAATAGAATGAGAAAAGTTTCAATCATCTCAGTCCTCTTAAAAATACGGTGAGTGTTGTAAAAATGAAGGAAAATGAAGGAAAATGAAAAGTTTTTCCACTTTCAAGACGATATTGAGAGTTTTACTTTTTTTACCCCGTCTGCGTTTCGGACTTTTTTTTCTGGTTGATACTACAAAGTAAAAGCAGAAATGAGATGAGAACTTTTCAGTACCAGTTCGTAGCAAGTTAAAAATTATATTCCCAGAAAAGTTTCTCATGACTTGAGTTTTAAGAAAACGAAAGAAAAAAATTAGGAGTAAAGCTTGGAGAAAGAAAATTTCAAGTGAAAATAATTGAATTAGCCATGTGAGAGCTAAACGGCTTAAGATGATACGGAAAATTGAAGGGGCGAGTCATGACGGGAAATTCTTAATTATTCTTTGAAAATAAGTCAAAAACAGCTCCAATCCCGGTAAGTGACCCCTTACAGAAATCCTTTAAAACTATGTAACTTCTGCTTCTTCACATTCACTTCGGGGTAAATTGGCACGAAAGGAAAAAAGCCACAAAAGTTTTTGTTAATTATTTTAACTTTTTAATTGCTTGGAATTTCATCCGGAATTGTGGATGGTGGGTTGAGTTAAAGAATAAATAGAAGATGTGAGCTGGTTTCAGGGTGAAGTTTATTAATGTTTAAACCACAGGAATAACATGATTGTCCTATAAAGAGAAAGATTTCTTTCTTAAACTTTATTCAACGAAACTTCTAGCACAGCTTCTGTTTATTTGCATTCCAACCGCACTTTTCCTAAAAGCAAAATATAATGAATGACATAATGTGGCTTTTAGTCGAGAAGAGTGTTTTGAAGTAGAACATTCATGCTCACAAATGACACTTCAAAATGAAAAGGATAATTGAGATTTGTTCGGGAAAACCTCACTCATACGTAAATGTGACTTTTCTTTCATTCTCCATCACGGTCGCTTTCATTTCATGAAAAATTTAATTCAACTTTATGCAAAGAATTTCTTTCTACTGCTTGAAACGTCAATGGGAAGTGCAGAGATTGAAATTATTTAATTTAAGTTGTCCTAGATACGCAAATTGAAAAAGAATTTTCCCCATATTTGAAATCTGCATCAGTATTGAAGGAATAAAAGCAATTTTCATGATGAAATTTGCCTGTTTGTTTAATTTTATTTACATTTCACTGGTTAAATGTTTTCTTCACTAAACTCAAACTCCACTTACGATACGATAAATAAAAGTTAAACTTTGCATGAAGAGAAAACTAATTTTCATTAAACGCATGAGATGTGACTGAGTGTGTTTGTTGTTTGTTGTGTGGCAAAGCATGAGAAAACTAACTTTAATTGCTTCAATAAAGAGCCGATGGAGTTGGTAAAATTATTTTATTATTCCCATCAATGCACACAAACTTTTTCTTTTCTTCCTGTCAATTTCATCTTCTCGATGCAATCGTTGATGGAAAAGTTTCCGATTGAAATTTATCGTCCGAATCGAGTGATGTTTACATTTTCTCCCTACTTCAATCCTCTAACATCTACCTAAATATTTGATGATACTAAAAGAGCAAATGAAAATTTTTTCTTCTTCTCTCGTTGCACAATCATCGAGTCGTTAAATTTCTTTGCTTTAATTTGATTTTTAACATGAGATGAGCTTATTCATTCATTTGATTTAATCAAAATCATATCCTGCTTTTTAAATCCAATCATCATATGCGTGTACTTGTTGTGAGTGAACGTGCTGCGCTGTTATCGACGTAAACATAAAGCACTTTAGCCCAGATTTGATTTTAATCGTTTGACTGAATGTGATGGAAATATTTTAAGCGGTAAATGTTGACTATCTATTTAGTTGTTGTTATTATTTGAGGGTGGAACGAGAAAAATAAATCATTTTAAAAGCCAATTTTGTGCATGGGTTTGAAAAAGTTTTTCGTTTTTGTAAACATCAACAACAACAGCAAAATCTCTTGATAACTTCAACCTCAACTTCGGCAGAGAAGCTTCTCGCACATAAATGTATGGATGAAGTCTACTGTTTGGTTTCTGCTTCATCGGATTTGTGGTAAAGGAAAAGAAATGCATGAAAATTTCATGAAGGAAATCTTAATAAAAAGTGAAAGATGTTTGTTGCATGAGAATGAAGAGATTTATTTTCAAAGAAAATTTATTTCGAAGCCATTGTGTCTCGAAATATTCAATCGATATAATGAATAGAAACGAACATTCAATTTCTTTGCATTTAAATGCAAAAGTAAACGTAAACACGTCTTTATTTATAGTTAATAAAATTTAAACGCCAAAGATTTTCCACCAAACACGGGTGGATCAATGATAAGAACGAACGACGTAAATATTAATGAGAACGGTAAATAAAGCCATTGAAGCATCACCAGAACCTGTAATCTTATTTAGGTCACAGGAAAAGCTTCTCGAAACATTTTTAATTAGAAACTTTAAGCTTTAATGTTTGACGAGATATTAATAGAACCTTCGTAAGGCTCGATTCTACATAACACTTAGTAATGTAAAGATTTATAAAGCTTTCATTTATGAGAAAGATATTTTGAAAAGCTTCTTACACTAAAACTATAAATAATTTTTGATCTTTAAAGGTAGCAACGACAACGAAGGAAAATCTTTCTGGGACGAGCTGGAAAACTCTGACTCCAATAACGAAGGTACATTCTAATGAAAATTTAATTTACTTTCCAAGAATTTTTAATGGATTTATTTACGAAAATTCTTAGAATCGGCTGACGAGGAAGACGACGACGACGAGGAAGAAGAAGAAGAAACAGCGTACAAGGAAGTTGTTTTGAATTTCTCTGATTTTGAGAAACGGTAAGCTGATGCTTTGAATAATTAATTCACTTCTTTAAATAAATGGAAAGTGTGAAATATCATTTTGACATAAAAGTTGAAAAGATGTCACTTTGCTCTTAAATCACAAGTCACACATTGTTTGAAGATTTCTTTTAAATATCATTCAACTGTTGTGCATGTGAAGCCTCGTAAAGATCTTTTTGACTTCCATAAAATTCTTTTGAATAAAGCAGACAGACAAGAAAGAAGCGGGCAATTGAATTTATGTTCTTGAAGGAGAATATGAGAGGCAAAACTAAGCGTAAAAGCCAAAAAGAAAATAAATTCAAGGCATAATCGTGTGGGTGGATGGTAGGGAAAAAATGTTTACAATCTTGTGTTGTTGGCTTAAGGTTCCGATAAGGTTTTCCGCTTTTCTTTTTCTCCGTTCGAAATACCATCAAATACCTAATTTTGTTTCCTTCTCTTCGTTTTTCTTCTTTTACATTAAAAACATAAAATAAAAGCCACAGAAAGGAAATCAGGAAGAACAAGGTGAATAAACATCGACTGATCTCGAGACTTAACGTCATATTCACGAGATAAAAGTCATTAAATATTTCTTGTTATTTTACAAACCTGTCAATTTCATTAAATCCGAGGAAAATCTGTTTTGAAAAAGAGAGCGAGAAAGAAAATTTCGACTACTTCATGAGTAAAATTCGTCCGACATAATTTACAAATTCTCTACTAAGTGAATTTAATATTAATGTAGAATAATTAAAATAAATTTACCTCGGAACAATTTTATCCCTCTTGGTGTCTCCATCCATGGTCCACAAAGATTCTATTCAAGCAAAAAGATTTCTCCCCATAAACGGTGATAATTTTGTACAAGCCAAAAGACAAGAAAAATGAGAAACAACAATTTGTGCTGTCGATTAAGAACACCTTTCGCATTTTCCTTTCGTCCTTACTTACCTGCGGGGACAGACAACGAATGGAAGTATTCGCATTTCATTCCCTCTTTTTTCTGCGTAATTTTAAAAGAAAAGTACAGTAGAGAAGACGAAGTAGATGGCATCATCATAATAATTTATTTTAACTGCCTTCAGCGAACGTTATTTCCAAGCTTTATCGCCGAGCTTATCTCATCTTTCTCCGGTGTCTTTTTTTTCTTCTATTCTTTTTTGGTGCGAAGAAGAATTCAGGAAAAAGAAAACAGTTTTTTTGAGTTACTTCCGTTGACTTTATTAGCAATTAAGTATTGTGCAAGAAAAGGGATGGAAACGAATTTTCATTGCTGCGATATTTTTTTTTGGTACATCAAATGTCTCGTTATTTTTTATGGATGCTTCTTAAATCTCGTCACATGCGCTATAACTGTTATTTCTCCCTAGAATGTAATCATTGATATCAGGTGGCCTTTTGTAAGCAACATTAGATTCTTATCACTTGAATCTTTGAATGTTCAAATGGATGTGAAGAAGGAAAAGATCGAGAATTGGTTAACGCAGATGAAAAAAAGTTGAAATCCCCTCGAGATGATGCCATGGTGCGGTTAATATTCGCTCTTCTCATCATGATTTATGATGCAAGTGTTTCTTTTATGATATTTGCTATGAAACAATCGAAAGAGTAAGAAACAAATGGCGGTTGGTTGGCTGTTTGTATTTTCTGATAAGACAAAATATCGTGGATGTTGTTTGGTGTTGCCAGCGATGGTTGAAGCTTGAGCTCACCGTGGCTTTTATTTAGTCACAGTCACATAAATCATCATTACGGTGGCGGAAAAAAGAAATTAATTAAAAATCCTGTTAGTTGTACAGCAAGACCGAGTCGGAATAGCCTGACGGTGCTTTAATTAATTAATTAATTTATGGTTTCTGATGTGTGATGGGCACTTCTACTGTTGATTTATTGCATGTGGCAACACTGCAACATCGGAAGAGTTTTCTTCTTCATTTTATTATTTTGAATAAGTCATAAAGTCTCGGGAGCTTCATAAAAGTTTCTGCCAAGCTGCAATGATAATCAATAAAAGAGAAAGAAAGAAAAACATTCTTTTGAGATCAATTTAATGAAATTTCAGCTCGATTGATAGAAACGAAGCTAGAATTGGATAAATGAAGCGGAGGGAAATATCGTTCGGAACATTTTCATTTTGATTGAATTTTCATCCATCATTTCATTCAAATTGATTTCGTGGATGCACGACGAGAAGTTGTGGGAGTTAAATATAAAAAAAGGGGAAAAATATTTCCTTTTATGGCTCTTTTATGAGAATTGCGTGGGTGGAATGAACGTTTGATTTATTGGACCGGGATTTCGATTTAGATAAAAAAATTTTACATCACATGAGTGAATTTTGATCTCAACTCTTCCACCACCCGTCGCGCTTGAAAAAAGAAAATTTGAAAACTTTGTTAATGCTAAAAGGAAAGTTTTTCTCCTCCAAAAAAAAATAATAAAAATAAAACTTTTGTAATCTTTCGTTCGAAGAAAATTTCACATAATTCAATAGCTTTATTAGCTTATTAAGTCGCTCGCCCTCCACCCACACAACCCCGACTGCTCATAAAAATATTTACGAAGAAAAATTCCGAAAGAAATTCCCAAGAATCAATTTCTAAAGCTTTCAACCTTTTCCATTGAGCTCCAAGCGACTTTCAAATGAAGAAATGAAAAGATTTCTTTTTTCTTCGAAATGCTTTTTATTCGTTCAACTCCCTTTTTGCTTTTAAGTTTACACGATCTGTCAGTTTATTAAATGAAAGTAGATAGATAGAGTTGAATAAATGGCCTTTAAACCATCTACAGATACCAAGCATAACTGACATCGTGGATAAAGTGCCAAGGAATGAAATTTATTTCTTCTTTTTCTTGCTTCCCTTTTCACTGCATTTTTCAAGCTCTGCAAAGCTGTTAAGATCTCATGAATTCCGTTTCGCTTTTACACGTTTTTTGTTAGCACACTTGGTGACTGTCATGCAGTTTATGAACAAGGTGGAGTGGAAAATCTTCCACCCACATAAAATCTAAAGAATGATGAACGTAAAATGCAATTTTTATGGTTTTAAATATCTCAGTAAAGTAGCAGCATTGAACGACCAAACGATATTATGGTTGTAGGTAGAAATGAGAGGATTTTCTTTAAGCAAATATTTAATTTACTTGTTCTAGTCGACAGGCCGAGAAGCAAGAAAAAGAAGACAAGGAAGAATAATCGCTTTGGGAAAAAGCGCACGGATGGAAAATATAAAATAATTTATGCAAAATAATAAATTTTCATTACAAACGATAAAAAAAGATTTTTTTCTCTCTCTCCTTCGTTCGTTGTACATAGATTGCAACAAAAAATATATTGCAACGAGAGCTATGGAAAAGTTGTTTAAAATTAAATATAAAAAAAAAATCGCCATTGTTGCGACTTTTTTTCCTTGTCGCTTCTTAAAAAATTGCTGCTTGGTGAATCTCCAGTGGATGAATTTGCTTTACAATAAAGAAAAAAACGAAGAAATGAAGAAAAATCTTTAACAAGAGAATTAAAAACTCTTTCAAGCTACTAACGACTAAATATTTAAGCGACAATACAAGAGAAAGCAGTACAAAAAAAGTTAATTAATTTATCATCGTTTATTTTTCTCCTTTTCATGCACTTCGTGACGTTTCTCGTTAGTTTATTGAATCCAAAAGTTGTTCGTGCTTGCACATGGTGCCTCCAATTATGGGAAAAAATGAACTACCGTGAAATCAAAAGTGCAGTCACGCTTCTTCATCGAATCGCTGTAAATTTAAACGTGCCGGTGATGCTGATGCAAGCGCAACTTTTTCGTGTGTTCCAACAAGTGTTTAATGCACCGCGCGATAATCGTTATGAAGAATTGAGAAGATTAGGAATCTTCATTGTCAGGAACTTTGTGAAAATTGCACCAACTAATCCGAAAATCTTTGCTGAACTTTTATTCTTCAAATCGAGTCGTGATTGCTATGAGATTGAGAATGGATACAGCGTGTCATCTTACGGTGGTCATGAGTAAGTTTTTATTGCATTTCTAACTTAAATTAAATTCAAATAAATTATTCAAAACAGAGCAAAGCAAAAAGTTTGGAGTGAAGAAGATGAAGACGAACTTCGTCGATTGTTCATGGAGAATCAAGAATCGCCAGCAAATGATCAAGATGTGGTTGATTGGATTGTTGATAATTTGAGTGAAAAGTCAAGAACACGTCGGGGTGTTATAAAGAAACTGAAAGAACTTGGTTTGATTTTCAAAGCACCAACAAAAAGATCAAATGCAGCTGCTGTTAACAAGAATTTGTTCATTCAGGAAGAAGATGATAAACTACGTGAACTTTACGATGAGCATCGATTGGAAGCAGATTGCTTTGAGAGAATTATGGAAGCCTTCAACAAGAAACGAAATAAGAAATCGGTAGCCAAACGAATGGTACAATTGGGACTCATCGCTGATGAATCTGAAATTTTACCAGCGAAAAAATCATCAAGAAAACATCGTGAAGGCGAAAGAAGAAATGAAAGTTCAAGCGAAGATTCGCAATCAGAATCTGATGATGATTTTGTATCGAATCGAAATTCCATTTCTAAACCACTGCGTCAATCAGAGACAAGAAAATATCAAATGAACACTCGAGAAGTAACAAGTCTTCGTATTGAACTTGAAGAGTCGTTAAAAGAAGGCATTGAATGGATAATTGAGTCGTTAAATGAAGCGGCTGATGATTTCGAAGAGTCGTCTGATGATCCAGACGACGCAATTCCAATCGTTCCGCTTTCTGATTCACACAAATTTTCTTTAGAAAATCAACAATTTTTGAAGCTTCTCGAGGGCATCAACTTAATCGCACCACATGGAACGGAAATTTATTGGAAAATTCCTGCTAATATGATGCCAGATGAATTAAGAAGAAGATCAAAGATGTTGTCGGGTGAAGAATTGATTGAAAATGTCATAAATGATAATCGAAATAGTAGTGACGATGAAAGTGAAGATGAAAATCTTTTCTCACGTCTTCGTGCACATCGTGATGCTTTAGTTTACAATCAAAGTGACCATGAAGATGACTCTTGCTTGCCACTAAAGAAATTAAACACGAAACTTGTTAAAGAGTTAGTTTCGTCGGTTTCTCTTCATCATGGCGATGCTTTGAAGTGGATTGTAAAGAGATTGAATGAGAAAGAAGAAAATGTTGAGCTTCTGTTGACTCCATTGAATGAAAGTCACGAGACGGTACCAAATGACGTCAACTTTCAAAGACTTCTTGTCTCAATTAGCTTCATTAAACCTGAAAGTGTTGAATCTTTGTGGAGAATTCCACGAGAATTAACTATAAAGGACATTAAAGAGCGTGTAGATCTCCTTGAGACTGAAGTTGTTGAAGAATCAAGTGATGATGAAAGTCAACAAATGATAATAAAGCGGAAGAATAAGAAAATGAAGAAAGATGAACATGAAGGCGGTGAAATCAACACACAAGCATTGAAAGACCGTCTCGCTGAGTTGGAAGATTCAAGTGATGATGATGAAGTCGTTGAATCTGTTCAGAAAAATCTCGAATCATCAGACGATGACGAAGAAGTTTCAAAAGTAAAAAATTCAAAGAAACGCGAACGTTCCAACACTGAGACACCAGATGAGAATGAGATGAATGCAACGAACAATCAATCAAAACGCATCAGAAGAATCGCAGACAGTAGTGACGATGAGTAAGTAACAATTGCACTTCATTCATCACAAAGCTCTTCTATGTTAGTTTCATTCAAGTTTAAGATTAAAATAAAAGAAAAAAGAAAAATAATTGCATTGTGATTTTTCATTTTCTTTAGACATTTTCATCTTTCAGCGAGATAGAAAACGACGACTGAAGGTGCATTAAAAAAGCTTCTTTTAAATAAAAATGCTTTAAAGCTTCTCTTTTTTTTTGAAGTCTTTCGATAAATAAGCAGAAGAAATCTTTTATTGTGAAGGCTGCTCGTAAAAATTTCTCGTGTTATTCCCACATCTCATTAAATGAATTTCTAGAGAATGAACGAGACAAGCCGAAAATTTAAACAACGAGGAAAAGCGGAAGAAAATGGAAGATGAGAAAGAAAAAAAGCTTTTAAAATTGATGAAATGAGCTTTCTTCTCCGACCGTACGATGAAAAGCAGGTTCGTTCAATTTCCTTTAATTATTTTCCCTTCATCATGATGATAGCGGAAACAGAAGACGAGCGCGTGGGCGACTTTTTCTTACATCTTGTTCCCGTTTAAATCCAATATTTAGAAAAGGCAGAGTTTTAATGAGAGATTTAATTAAAGAATTGGTAGCGAAACTTCTTCTTAACATTCAAGAAATGTTTTTAATTTCAAATCGTCAAACTTTACTTGATTGTGGTCGTTGATTTGTTTGAATGTAATTTGGATTGTACAACAATTGAAGTGTTATGTTTATCCATTTACATAGATTGATATTCACAGTTAAGCATATCAATGACACTTGCTAACGAACACATCCACTCATTCAATTGTCATTGACATAAATCGATTCTGTAGGTAGCTGTACGAAAGCTGATAACAACAACCATTCATTGTAAATTAACTGCACTTCACAATTCTTTTCATCTCATTTTATGCTATTCACATTTTCCCTCATTTCAACGAATAAAATAAACTTTCATTTGGATTGCTTCCAAGATATTTTCTTTTTCTTGTCTTGTCTGATCTTATCGAGTGCATTTTTATTTTTGTGTGTCATTCAACATGAAAAATGACATGAAAAAAGAAATTGTGTTGAACATGAATTTTCTTTTATTATACTAGCTGTCGTACTCGTTGAGAATTTCGCGATGGAAAATTACGAAAGAAGAAGAAATGCTCAATAAAAGTGATTTCTGAATTTCTGACTCGACAAGAATCAATGGCAGGGATAAGCGTCAAGCATTGAAATAATCATTAAATCTCAATGGAAGTTGCTTTCGTTTCCATCCCTGATAAACATCGATTTTGAATGAATATTTGAATAAAAGCTTTCTTCCTCCCTTTCGAATAAGAATTGCCATTTACTGATATTGCAACAATACAAATTTTTATGGTTTTGTAATGAAGGAAGAAACGAGATACGAGCAAAAGGAAATATGTTTTATTTCTCATACATTATTTCTCTCTTTTATCATTTTTCGAGTGCCAAAAGAATGTAAAATGTTGTTATTTGTAATGGGAAACACTTTTGAAGAAAATAAATTTATGAAATGACTTTTTTTTGTGTCGACTTGTGGGGTTCGTACAAAAGCGAAGTTTGCATAAGGTAAGTGAAGATTTTTTAAAGCTTTTTAAAAGCTACTGCAATTTTATGAGACTTGAAATATTGCAAAAATATGTTAAAAGAAAAGCTTTCTAATAAATAAAAGTTAAAGCTTTGCTCTTCGGGAATTTTAATAGAATTCCTTCTTTCTTCTGAAATTTTTAGATAAGTCGGTGTGAAAAGTTTTATTAGTTTCATTGATTTCAGTTCAACAAACGCCTTTAAAGCTTTGAAAATGCTTCCTCAACCATCACCGGTTTTTCCTCCCGTTTATTCTGAAACTCTAGTCAATTATTTTTCCGTCTCTCCAAAAGATATTTTTTTATTATCATTTTGCTAAAGATCTGGAACAAGTGATTTTCTGGCTCCAACAAACGAGCATTTTCTATTTTGTTTCTCTTTCTCTTTGCACGTACCAATGTTTCGACTTTACAAAAATCACTTCACATTTTTCTTTTCTTTTTTATCATTTCTCTTAAAAACTAGAGCTTTTATCATAACATAAATGATCCATTTAGTTCTTTCTTTTGATAGTTTTTTATGTCGCAAACTGTGACTGTTTTTAGAAAAAGAAAATTTCTCTGAAAATTTAGCATGACACATCAAAGGACTTGAACTGAAAATTGCTTTTATGACTTGAAAAGAGATTAACTTAGATAAGCATGAAAAGATTCAATGCTACAATGTTGCCGTGTATTTAATTGTAAGTCTCATCATGGGACAATGTTCTTCTTGCTTCAATAAATGTATAAGTATAAAAAAGGATATAAAGCTAGCCGCCTTTTGGTTGCTTGTGGAATATTTTTCCCATCAACTTAATCTTGAATTCATTTTACTTAGACACAATCACGAGACTTGGCGATGTTTTACGATGCTTCTTTTACGAGAGTTTCTACTTCTTTGTTGTTTTTTGATGAATATTCATGAGTCAATTAATTAATGAGACATAATACAACTCCTTATCAGGCCTTTCATAGCACACCGTTCTCTCTTTCTCTCTCCCTCTCATAGTTTAGTTTCCTAAGTTAGCTTTAAACGAGGTCAGTAATTTAATTAATGGAACTGCTCTCCGGATTCATCTCCCATAGCGTATAAATTCTTGTTAAGTTGTCACATTATGTTTGTCGTTTGCTTTTTCAAGTGGGAAGATTATTTAAGTAACAAATGACGCATTTTGATTTATCTTCTTAACTTAATTTTAATCATCTAAAATAATCCAAATTAAATTATCGTAAAAATTATAAAATGAAACTAATTTAAAAATGTAAAAATATCTCAATATCAATTATCGTAAATAAGCATAATAATATTCATTAAAATCTTTGTTTATAAAATAAGTTTATATGTTGCATAATGTTTTTTATGCTAAATATCTAAAGCATGAAAATTCATTAATGCTTTTAAATATTTTCCCTCAAACCTCATCCGATATTTACGATCTACATAAGTAGAATGTTCCTTGTGCTATTAAATTTAATTGAATGATCATTGCAATGGTTGGCGCATGAAAATTCGATGGAAATTATCGGCGTTTTTTAACAACAGAAACATGGAATTCGAGGCTAACATTTAATTCTATAGGGAAGGAAATTATTTAAAACACAGAACGGAAAATTCTTTTCTCATTTTCACAGATAATTTTTAAAAAGCAAATCCCATCGGTAGGTGTGAAAGGGATTGTTTCGATCGATGGGTCGCTTTTGTTGTTGCTGTTGTTGAATGGCTGCTGTGAAGGCCTGTTGAAAAGGCGACGTTTGATAACGATTCAGCTGTTGAAATCGTAATTGTGAATTGGGTTGATAGCTTCGTTGATTGCCGTATTGTTGTTGATTTGTGGTTTTTGCCTCTTGGCGCTTGAATGAATGAACTTCATTATTCGAACTTGTGCTGTAATTTCGTTGTGACTGTGGAGCGAAAGGAGCCTTTACATTGTTTCTTGTACTGCTGCTCGTTCCAACCATTTTTGTGCCATCATATTCACTATTGTAGGTCTTGTATGTGTAGTAGTTCGATGGATTTTGTTGAGCATTAATTGAATTGAAAGCAAGTTCAGAATATTCGTTGTTAACATTCTCAAACGGTTTGCACAATCCAGGATATTTTGCCGAGTCAGACATCCCGAAATTTTGGCATTTAGGCATTCCCGTCGCATAGGGCTTCGATCCAACAACGTTTCCACTGTTTGAAATAATAATTAAAATAAATTATTTATGAATTCATGACTGTTGTTATTTGTAACGAGTAAAAAAGGGTTTGATGGATGAAAATTGATTCTCAAAGGGAAATTTTTCTTCTTCTTTCTTTCATTCATTTTCCTTCTCGTTTAATTGAAACGAGATGTGACTGCAAGTTTTGATGGTAATTCGAAATGTGACATTAATCATGAAAGATGACAATGTAGTTGAATCAAATTAACTGAATAATAATGTGGAAGAACGAAGAATGGAAATAAATGTAGCAACATACCCAGGTCCATAGCTGAAAGATTCGTTCATTAGTAAAATTCATCTTTTTCTCTCATGCGCAACAAAATTTAGATAACTCACTTGCAAACGTAGAGTTTGTTGTATCTCGAGTTTTGGTAATAGCTAAATCCGCATCCAACCAAATTTGTGTCGCCCCAAACGAGCTGGAATTATATGAATGAACGTACACATTTATATTGCAATCTTTATTAAGCAAGGAAAGCTGTTGGAGAATCGTACAAAAAGACAAGTGGAAATGTGGAAATGAAAACGAAATAAAATTATTGTTTACTCTGCATTTTCATTTAGATAATGGATGATGTCTAGTCAGTGTCCACAAGAGAGTCAGATGTAAATTATTAAACATTGCAGTTAAAATTGTTACGTAAGATTACAAAAAACAATTTTCGAAATATCTTTAAAGGATTTTCTTTTTTAATTTTATCTTAAAGATAATTTTCCAAAGAAGATTATTATTTTAATGTGGGGTTGGGAATATTTAAACGTCGCCTTTTCTAAACGGTGCTCTCATTTTCCTTTAATCTTAATTACATTATGGCACTCCTCAGCCATAATAATAAAACAATTTTAATGACTTTCTTTCTCCGTAAATGTTGAAATGAGAAGAAGAAGCATTTTAAAATTTAAATCCGAGAAAATCCAATTTTTTCTACTCTCTTCTGCTTTTGTAGGATAGAATCGAAGGGGAAAAGTTTGTCCTTTTCCGACCGAATGTAATCCTTTTGCTAGCGTAAGCGTAGTCGAGTAGAAATCACAGAGAATATTGTCGGTTTTGTGGGATCCACGTTTAAATTCTCAATTTTATGCTTCAAAAGAAGTCTTGATCTATATTTTCAGTTTCTGCCGCTGTCTTCTCTTTTGTTGTTTTCTCGTTGAACTTAAATGCACTCAACCATTCAAAATAGCAATCGGATTTCAAGTGGGAAACGGGAGTAGTGATGGAGAATTTATCTTGAAATTTGACTCAATTATGGAAGCTTTTATGAAAAAGCTTTTAAGTTGTTTTTAAGCATTAAAATTTCCTTCAAAGCTTCTTCGTCTTCTTTTTATTCTTTCTCTCGCTCTTCAACGCCATCAAATCCCTCGACATTTTCAGTTGAAAATTCATGAAAGCGTGTAAAACAGAACAAATGAGGGGGTGGATGTGAATGAGAATGAAGTCAATTCTAAGCTTTCAATTTGAATTTGGTGAACAGCAAATAAATCCTAATTTTAAAAAATAATTTTTCTTCGAATTTCCTTTTGTCGTTTAGCCATTTTGCTATTTTTTCTCATTTATCTAAATCTATCTTTTATCATTGCCTCTGTGGAAATTGAAAAATCTCTTTTTTATTATTTTATTGTCGTAATTTTTGCATTCATTTCGATGATGAGAGTTGGGAGTTATTCGCCGAATAGAGCAGGATAGACGTCAAAAAAAAGGGAAGGCGGGTGTGGGAAAAAAATTGGAATATAAAATGTAAATGAAAATCCATTTAATCTCTTGCTGCGACGATGGAGGAAAAAATCACGCAATAAAATTGAAATGAAAAAGTTTAAAATCCCCTAAAAATGAATGAGATTATTTCTTCTGTGCTGTCGTTGAGACTTTTGGATCTTTTTTTCATTTTATTTTTGTTTTGTTTTGATGGTTTATTGAATCTTATTCAGCAGATTCAACTCGAGGGATTTTTCTTCAGAGAATTTTTCCACGAAATTTACTTCCCGTCACATCAAATTAGGCAAACATTTTTTTCACTCTCTCACTGTGATGTGATGTGGGTGATTTCATAATAAAAGAGAATATTCGTTGTGGCATTTCCTTTCAAAATTTTCATCCTAACGATGCCAGAAGTCGGTTCAACATCAATTCCAAACATTTCACTTTAAGCTATTTAATTATTTAAAAGTATAGAAAGTTTGTTGTCATGTTTTGATACCCACTTGTGAATAATGCCCTGTTTTGACAGACCATTTCGCCCCCCATGCATATTTTTGAACTTCGTTAAACCAATTTCTGATGCGTTGAGGAAAATTGCCGTCGTCATCTGCTAACGGGGCCGTGCTCCACAGAATACCCAGATTTTGTCCCATGATGAAACGACCTAATGAATAATTAACGAATAGCAATTAACATTTAATTTATTTCTTCATTCAGATTACTCTCATTTCCCGCTTTTGATGACAATGATTGCGTTGCGCATCAAAAAAGGGTTAAAAATCAATTCTTTCATCAAACATTATATTTCAAATGAAAAGTTACAGAACGTCGTTCACCACGAAGGGTTCGAGGAAACTTTAACCGCTTTTATTTTTAGATTAAAAGCTTTCCATCTTTCTTCAGTTATCAATCAATTTAATTAAAAACTTTTCATTATTTATGTTTCATCTAAGCATACTAATCAATCTAAAGGCAAATTGAAATGTTTAATCATTGACAAACAAATATTTTAATTTAATTTTCCCATTCAATTCGCTTTTTTTTTGCTCGATTTTCTTATTTTCCACACACGTTGATTCTGTTTCATGCATCGTTGAGTTTTCAATTAAATTTACTTTCATGATGAAAGTAGTGAATTAAATTATATTCGAAAATTGTGCTAGCATAAGACTCAAAGGTATTGAAAATTGAATAGTCAGTATTTGTCAAAAAAAAACAAAAATCTCGTTGAATTGCAATAAAACAACAAAACATTTAATGAGCTTTTATCGAAAACCCTGTTGTTCAAAAAAATTGTGGAAATTTAACTTGGAACATCAAGCAATTGAAGTCACCCCACAGCATGATATCACATAATGATGTCATAAAAGCGTCAAGCATAAATTATGTATTTGTTCAATGCATTCAACCAGTAAACTCTCTTTATGATTCCGTTCATTCGTTTATGTTTGATTTCCATTCAATTTCATTCACGAAAAATTACTGGCTGTGGGGAGTCGTCGTTGACGCTGTAAAGTTTGACAATAAAGATGTTATTCGATTCAGTTCAATGACCGTCAATTGAATTTTCCCTCCGAATAATTTTATGTGAAAACATCTTCGATAACAGTTGAACTCACCTAAATATCGACTTGGATCGTGTTGAAATGTACATTCATTTGCCCATTGCTGAGCTTTAGCAGCCAATTCGTCATCCCATCGCATCTCTTGCATGTTCTGTGCAGCTGGTTGACCTGGAACATGACCTGTTGCGACAGTTTGACGTAGAAAGTTGTGTTCTTCTAATATCAGTCTTTTCTCTTCTTCTGTCACGCCGTGCTCTGAAAATAGGTAGGAGAAATTGTGAATTATATTTTTGAATGTTAGTTGAGTTGAAAAATTGTCAAGGATTTTGAATTTTACGACATGAAAGCAAGCATAAGTTAAAGAAAAACCAGAGAATATTATTGAGCAATCATTTATTTCATTATATCAATAATCAATTGAAAATAATAACTATTGGAATCCTTTAGCACTTTACATTGTATATAAAGAACTCTAAAATTTTCAATTTTAAGTTAAACTTTTAGAATGCTCAACGTTCCTAGTTCATGTTTTATCCGATTATGCAACAGCATTGATCATGTTCAAACGGAACTGGTATCTTAGTTTCAAAGAATCCACAACTAACTTTTTCGCACACATCTGAATGACCCGCAAGACACTGTGGCGAAGAAGTCAAACCAGGTTCTCCAGAACTTACATGGTCAATCAAGGCGAAAGCTGAATAAAAAGCAGTTTTAATAACTATTGGCTAGAAAAATTAATTATTTTACCGTAAATTATCAAAAAAAATCCGAAACAAAATGAAATTCTTGACATGTTTTAAGTTCAACTTTAAGTTTATATTCGAAGAAATTGAAGTCAAAATGATAAAGCTTATTGTGAATGGTGCTCCTTATATATACTTTGTAAATGCTGAATCAATGTCCGAGTAAGAATAATGCAATTTATATTTAATGTTTTACGACTACGTGATTCATAAATAAATCTTAATTTGGTTTTGCTAATTAAGCTTCTAATATTTTAAATAGTTCTCGAAAATTAATTTTAAATAAAACGAAATAGATATTCATAAAAAAGTCGATAACAAGTTTACTTGATGTTAACCACCTTTGCGTTTATTGTTTACATCAGACGACAAACAATGAAAATTTAACGCTAACACAAACATGTCACTTCTAACATCACGAACTTTGTTATTGTTTATTCTTTTTCTTATCATAAACCAAAGCTCTTGAATGGTTAACGATTATCCGAATAAAATGGGATCATGTCACCATAAAACATTATCAACACAATAATTCCCATTCACAGATAAAATCGGAAATATTACGAGATTTTTTTTAAGCTTTATAAAGTTTTGTATGAGGTAAAAGCTTTTCATTGTAAATTTATTAAGTTTCTGTCTTATGATGAATAAGACATTAAAATTTATTTTTTGTCAAGATCAGTTTGGACTTTAATTGGCAGTCTTAAAGTTGAATTAGATTACATTCATTATACAGTTCAGTACAAATAAATTCATTCATCTAATCAAGTTGTCTACCTCAAACACATTCGTTTCTCTCTCTTTCCCTTTTAGTTGCCATAAACGAGGTCATCACAGGTAAAAAAGATCGCGAAAAAGTTCATGACATTCAATTCATAAAATGTTTCATAAAAATGTTCGTAAAAATCCTTGACAACTTCACCATTCGCTTTCGTCGCTGTCTCTTGCTTTTATGTGCTTTAAGTGGAGAAAAGCTCATGAGTCATGTACCGATGATCATCATCATTGCGATGATATCGCTTATTTATTCAGTTTTCGCTGATTTCGTTTACGACACAAACAACTCGGAAATGAATGAAGCTTTAAAGATTAAATTTTTGTCTTTTCATCGTCTCAACTTACTCAGAACTCGTCCTCCACGGCAACAGAGCGTAACATGAAGAACACTCGAAATGATTACGAGTGCGAAGCTCCAACAATTATTATTCATCGATTTGCAATTCATTTTTCTTTTATTTTTATTTTTATTCTATTTTCTCTTCCTCGAAGGCCACCAAACTTTTTAATTAAATTTTTTGTTGCTTTTTTTTCACCCACGCAATGAATAAGAAAAAATATTAAAAGCGGATTTGAAGCATAAAAAATAATATTTTTTGTGTCCTAAATTCAATATCGAACGGAAGATCTGCGAAATGGCAGAAAATTTCCTTTCACTGTTTTGTACTATTTGAAAGATTGGTAAACGGCAGTCACTTTAAGCAGCTCGTTGCTCAATGCTTTTAAGCTTCTTTGTTGTTCAAATGTTTTCCTTCCTTCCTTAATTTTTTATCACTTATCACACGGCAAATCTTTCTTCATCTTTTTTTAATTGGAATTTCTTGTTGACGATTTTCTGTTCCTTTTATTCCATTCATTCACTTCACGTCGTGTGTTTAGAGCCTTTTCCTATTTTTAATGCTTTGATATCTATCAACTGTCACTCCCAGATTCCACTTGCAGACTCTTTCACCCTCTTAAAGAAATTATTCAGAATTTTTCATTTCCTTTCCTTTTTTTGCTGTTGCTGAGATACTTTTTATAAATTTTATGAATCTTCTTTCGTTCTGCTGTTTTATTGAGATCTTTTTTTTCCTAAAGCATTCAAGTTTCTTTTATTCACTTTGAGATTTCGCTTTCAGCGATAAAAAGTCTTGTTGACTTTTTTTTTGTTCTTGATTTGCTCCAAAATTTTTCCACTGAAATTTGGAGAGAGACAAAAAGTTCTTCCAGTTCAACAACCACTCTTGACGACTTCTCAAAGATCACTGATTAAATGTTCTGCTGTTGAACTTACAAGAGGCAAAATCACATCTCGCATTGAAAAATGTTTAGTGGTGGGAGATCAATGAAAAAGAACTGGAATCGATTTTTATTTCTTCGTTTTTTTTTTGCTCGATTATTTCTTAGACACACCGGCGACGAAATGGTCAAGGTAGATTTCACGATCAATTTTTTTATGTAAAACATGCCGCGATGTACATACATATGCCGGTAAATCAGCTTACACCATCACACGCAAATATCGATTTCAATTTGGCAAATGCTAATAAGCTATCAAACCTGTTGCTTCGACGTATACTTAGATGAGACAATTCCACGGTATTATGCGTACACGAGAAAAAAAGAGATGAAGACAAAAAAAAAATAAATAAACATGAAAAGAAGAAGTTCAATAACAGCAAAGAATTTGCTTGCTGCTCGATATCATGAAGATGTTTTTCATCGCGACAACGACGAGCAAGCAGAGCACACAAAATGAATGAATTTGTATAAGCGAGTCGTCTCTTCTTCGCTTAGCATTCTTGACGACTATTTGATATCGTCAATCAAATTTAAAGCCTACACACAATAGAGCTCGACTCAAAATGTTTATTCTTCAAGCAGATTCTTTGATTAAGCAGCCTCATTAGTGTCTCGTTTTTCAGAAGTCAATGTTTTGCTTGAAAGCAAACCTTAAGTATATTTACCTTTCGTTTTCATTGAGCCTTGAAATGAACTTTTGTTTATATCGTTAATTAATGAAAAGATTCTCATTTAACATTACCACAAAAAGTTAGATCGAAAAGTAAATAAAGCTCATCAAGATGTCGAGAAGGCTTTTGATATGAAAATCACGTTTTTGTATTTCGTTTCGATCTTTTCCTTTTGATTTCGACACCTTGAATGAAAGATAAAACAATGAAAGTTTTCCGAGATATTTGAGCATCAAATTATGCTTCCAACTACAAAACATTGATAAACAAGATTTATTCAATTCATCATGAGATATAAAAGAAGAAGAAAACTTAAAATTCTTATTAAATTTATCACCAACCGACCCTAATCTGCTTGAAGAAGAAAATTTATTAGATCTAAACTGAAGTCCTGAAAATTCCGAAAGATTTGGAAGTTTAGACCACAATCAATCTTAAAAGATTATAAGAAATCTTTCCAAAAGATGAAAAGCCACAAGACATTAAGAATGTTTGTTGTATCTTTAAAACTTTATCTTAATTTTAAACTCAAACAACCCAAGAAACATCATTGAAGAATAATTGACCAGAAAATCTTCTTTGGGAATTTCTAAATTGATTTTTATTATTTTCCTGAGGAAAACTTTCGGATTAAAAATAATTTTGCTGTCATGCTGAAAACTTTTCGCATCATTTTTGTACTGCAAATAAATCGAAAACTTCAACAAACATTACATAAGATTTGACCAAAAAGGAAAACATACTGTAATTAATCAAACTTTTATTTCAGCTTTCAACAATTTATTGAATCTTTTAACGCAACATTTCACTAGAAAACCTGCTTCAGACTGAAATCTAAACGTGACTGATCATTAATTATGTGCTGCACGCTGAATACAAAGCTTAAGAACGAACATAAATCTGTTCAAGTGAATGACGGCAGAAGGAAATCAACGGAGAAGAAGTTAGAAAGTCATTTAACCGATTCGACATTGAAAAAGCTTGAGGTGAGTCAAGTCAATCAATGAAGCTTCCGAAATCTTTTAAAAAACATTCTTCGTGTCAACCTTTAAAGAAACACGATTTTCGGTCTCACAGATAATAAAGAAGAAATTTGAAACATCATCGCCTTGGACTTGGAAACCTTCAAGTTAATTACATGATATAGCGAATAATGAAGTTTCAGTGACGAGCGTTAAATAAGTAAGTAAAGAGAGATCATTACACTTTGTTGCTTTTAAACATTAAAGCTTTAAAGTAAAATATTTAATAACTTCATTAACAAATTGTTCATTGAATGAATGAATTACAACTGTTTGCATTTAAATAGTAATGACAGGCATATCGATCATTGAACAAGATGAAATAAGCTTGAAATCTACTCAGAAACATTCAATCAAAGCACAAGTTGCGAAGATATTTCGATGAAGAACATGTAGTTAAGCTTTGTAGATTAAGTCTTATTGATGATTTCTCATCTTGAAGACACCATTCTCGAAACACCATCAATTACTCTTGAAATAATAAAGCTTGACGTAATCTTCCATCACCGAAGCTACTTGAACTTTCCTTTCTTTCTATCATCTTCTCACGTTTTTGTTCTTTCTTGTTACAAGTATTTGATGATGTCTCGAATTTGAGAGAATAAACAAAGATATCCAACAATTCTGAGAAGCTTTAAGAATGTAGATAAGTTACAGGATGATAACTCGTTGATGATACTCAGCTTCGTTTCTTCTTTCATTATAATTTTATCATCACAAATCAATCACAAAAACTTTCTGCATAAAACTTGCTTTCATAGCAAATGTTGAATAACTTGAAATTGTAATTAGTTTGATGAAGCTTCTTACATTTTCTTTAAAATCTTAAAGTCAATATCAAAGTTCAACCCAACAAGAATTTTCCGCACTCATGCATTTTAAATGTGACACATCTAAAAATGTTTATTAAGTGATTGATTTTTCAGATAGCTTTTCCGAATCGTTTCCATCAGTTTTTTGCGTGCTCGGCAAATTTTCTCTTCACTCGTTTTGGGTTTGAATGAAACTTGAAAGTTGATACAGAAACTTTTATGCAAATTACAAATTGCTTTTTCGTTTTTGCTAACCCGCCAATGCATTCGTAATTTTGATTTTCATGCATCACATTTTCCGTTGAGGCTGATGATACTGAATCAGCTCATGCAGTTATTTTCCTTCAGTCAATTTTATGCATATTGAATTTGCTTTAAAACCCCAATTCAAAAAAGATAAAAACTGAAATCATGTTGAAGTGCTTTCGTTGAATGGAGGAAAAAAGAGTTTTGAAAGCAATTTGAATAATGGGCTGCGAGAGCAGTTTTTCGTGTCACTCAATTTAATGTCAACATGAGATGGGAAGGAATTTAATATGTCGCGTTTTGATTGATTGCTTTTACAGTTTAAAATATGGCGAGAACTAAATGGTTCGTTCATGAGTACAGCGAAGGATGATGAATTGATTGCATAATCAATTTTTTATTTTAATATTTAAATAAATTTAATTATTTAGTGAGATTAATTATTTTTATAACTTACATAGAGTGGAGAATCATCGTAAATTAAAGCTTCGCATCGATTTTTATGGCTTTATTACATTTTTCAAAAAAGGTCTCTCACCTCTCGTAAAACTTTTCAATCAAGCTTCATTCGCAAGTTCCCACATTTATTTAAAATTTACTAAAACATTTCTTTTCAATTAGTGACAATTGTAAGCAACAAATTGAAATGAAAATCAATTTCATGAGTGGAGAAAATTGAAAGTTGAAATTTTAAGAGACAAGTTTGGACAGGAAAGGCAACAGCTGTAAGAGAAAAAGAAATATCAACAAGAAACTAAAACATAGCAAAAATGCTGAGTCAGATCTTTTTTTGTCATATCAAACTATTCACTCGGACTCAACATCAAGGCACAGTAAAGTTCTGTTTATTTTTTTCCCGCTGAATCGTATAAAAAAAGTTCATTGATACGAGACTCGCAAGAGAAGCAAAATGTTTGCTTTTTTTGTTTAGTTTTTTGACTGTTAGCAAACGATAAGAAAAGTAAAGGTAGAGAAGCGATAGCGGGACGATGTGAACGGTTTTTGAATTTTTTTTTCTTATTTCGAAATGAGGATATCTTCTGATAAAGATCAAACATTTTTTTAAACAGTCTAAATGGGCAATCAAGTCAGCAAACAAAAAAATGACCAGAGATAGAAGCATCAGAAAACCAAATATGAATGAGAAAAAGATGATGAGGTAGACAAACAAGCCCAGGTCATAAGTCGAGCTTTAAGTCATAAAAGATAATAATTTAGGTGATTTGTGAATCAATGTGAAAAGTTTCTTGATTCATTAAGAGACTTATGGCGGATAAAATTTGAGAAGACTCGTCTTGCAATCTGGCGAGGTTCATTGTACGCAGTTTCTTATAAAGTTCGAAATAAAAGCAACATTTCGACTTCGTCTGGGAAGTTTAATGACATACGCAGTTTGTGAACAGCATAATAATGAAAGTAATAAATCAAAGCATCGACATGTTACGAAAATTGAAGCCCTAAGGTCTCACGAATAACAAGAAATAATTTAAGAGTGCGTTGATCCTTTCCCTTTTTCCCGAAAACAGTTCACATAAACATTGTAAAGAATGGGAATGAACCAAGAAAGGGAATGATGATGATAACATCGACCTTAAATATAAAATATAAAAGCAAAAGCGTTCTTTTGCTTGCAACAATGTTGACTAAAATTCCGATATTTTGGCAGAACAAAATGTTAACTAAAAAGCAGAAAGAAAAAAAATGTTGACATGTTGAACATTCTTTTTTCTCTTTTTAAAAAATATATAAATTATTCCCCAAAGCGACATTCATTTGTGTTCCAGCCCAGGCCGATTTGACATGAAATGTATGGATGAACATGAGAATGCAGAACAAAAATTAGCGCGATAAAATGTTCGTGCGAATCCCAATGTACGCAAAACAATAAATTATTCACACAAGCTGAGTAGATCATTTGCTGTAATGTTTTAATTAGTTGCAAAAGGACAATTCTGTGGTATGAATTAGATTAATGTAATTAATGCGTAATTATCAGTTAGTTATTTTTTCAACAAATTGCTTAGTCTCTTAATTAATTGAATTCGCTCTGACGGGTCATTAAGTTGAGGGGCAATAATCATTAATTGTTCAAGAATGTATATTTCCAGGAAACTCCGAAATTTGATTACAAACGAATTTTGATTAAATTTTCCGTTGATTGCGTCAAATCTTGAATTGACTTAATTTAATGATTCTTGTGATTTGAATTGTAAAAAGCAATTGATGCTTGTGGAAATGTTTTAATTAACATTCGATATTCAATGAAGTTCAAAGTTTCCGATAGATAAATGAAAATTTAATAACTTTCGATTGTTTTTGAGAAATAATTTTTAATTTTTAAATTCAGTTACTCAAATTGAATGGAAAGCTGAAATTAAAAAAAGCAACAACAGCTTCAGAGCACGTTTTAATCAATATTGAAAATTGTTAAATTTGTGTAAATATTAACTTTGCTTCAATACATTTTCCGACAGATTATTTGAGTTTAAATTCAATTTAAAATGAAACTCTCATGCCTTCCTCGAAATATTTCTAGTCGAACTCCATCCCTGATCACGACAACCACTTCCCAACATCAGAAATTTAAAACTTCATATAATTCCACGCAGCTATTAAACAAGAAAAAAGTTTCAAATTGTTTTCAATAAAACTTTCATTCAACTTTAGATTTAGAAATATCTTTTAATTGTTTCCCATCTGAATGAATGATTTATTTAACAACTTCAGAAAGTTTTGATTAATTTTTTTTATTTCAATGCTCGACTTCCCATCACCATCAGACATTTGAGAAGATTTAAAGCTTTGATAATAGCGAAATTGAAAGCAAAGTTTCAATGTTTGAAATCGCAACACGTGTTCATTTCTCACCATTCAGTTCAACAGACTTTCGATTCGATTCAACACGAGGCCGCAAACCAACAAATAAAATCAAATAAATGGAATTTATGATACCCAAACTCAGCGAGTGATGTAAGCTTTTATTTCATCAGAAATCTCTCGTTCTTAAAAAACAAAGATTGAAGAGAAAAGCATTTTATGAGAACTCGAATGCTTATTGACTAATTTCTCCGAATTTCGCCACTAAATAAACCCGCTTGTGATTCGCTTTAATTTGAAAAAATCTGTCATCGAGCTTCTTATCAACAACTGAGAGGAATCTCATGTCAATGAGAATTGAAAATTTATTTAAATTCCTGCTTAAGTAAATGTATTTCAGTTAATCGGCTTATTTCGAAACGTAAAGTTCACTTGTTCATTCAAACTCGTTGTTACTGTCTAAATATTTCGACGTCAAAAGATTTTAGGGAAAATTAAGAATGATTAAAGTATGATCAAATTTTGCTGTCTAAATCTTCAATAATTGGATTCGTATTTCAGATGAGAATTCTTTTCGGCTTTATAGCTTATCTAGGATTACTGAAAATATCTGTGAATGCGAGAGTTGCAGACCAACCGTCATCAGTACAATCAGTCGTTAATCCAGGTCAATAAAAAAATAATTTTCGGCAATACAAAACTTTAATCTCTCACGATGACAATAAGTTTTGTGACAGTTTTTAGACGAATGCGATAACCTTTCCTATTTTCAGACAAAGCCGAATACAGAGCAAATGTTATTGGAACGGAAAAACATAAATTTGGCTATGAACTGGGAGAAAACAAACATTTTCACCACACAACAACCGACGAAGACGGAGTCAGGTTGGGATGCTATGGACACGTACTTGAAGGGAAAAAATATTCAACCCAGTATGTTGCTGACATGAAAGGCTATCGACCTGTTCATACTCATGATTTGATAACAGTCTACCCCAGGTCCGGCGGTGAAAGGTGAATAACTAAAAGATGTAAAAAGCAAAAATGTTCTCAACAATTTATTTTATAACAGAAAAGCTTCGTTCATACGCTCGTTTAGCGAAGATGAAATTTTAAGTCAGAATATAAGATTTTTCTTCCCCGATGGCTGCAAAGCGAAGGAGGAAGATTTGATAACAGCATCATCAAGACACGTGCCTGTCGTTGTGGCTCCACCACCTACGAAGACATTTGTTCTAGCTCCACCACCACCCACAACAACACGAGCACCAACAACACGAGCACCAATAACTCCGATACCAACAACACGAAAGCCAAACTGCGTTTGTACGTGCTCTTAGATTTCCTTTCGAAGGATTCAGTAATAAATGTGTTCGAAGATGATGTCACGTTACACGATTATATCATCAGAATTCATTTCTCAATGTTTTTGATTCATTGTTTAATCTATCAATGCTAAGATTGCTGCCATTCATTTTCTATCTAATCCCCAATTACTTGGCAGCTTTAGAGAAATTTATCAATAAAATATATTTAAAAGATTCTCCGACAACCTTAAAAAAGACTTTTTTATCTTTTTGTTTGAATATAAACGAGAAACGTGAATTAAAAAAAAAGTTGTGCAAAAAGAAAGTGAAAAATATTCTACTGAACTGTATCGATTTTTAATGATCTGCTTTCATTCTCTTGATTCCAATTTTTAATACCACGAAAATCATTGAACCACAAACCGCTTGAAAAAAGAAGAAGAAATGAAAAATGATTTATGTTGTTGGTCGAGCTTTGAAATAGCTCATTAGTGATTCCACTCGATATTTTTCCACAAAACTTCTCTTCTTTCTTATTATCACAAGTAAGTAATGGGACATTGGAGAAAATCGATATTTAATTTCTCATTAAGAGTGAACGGGAAAGAAAAGAATTCTCATGAGATGTCTCAATCATCAAGACGCTGCGGGAAGAAAAATTGTAAATTGGCAGAGTTGACGGCTTAAAAATTAATTCGCAATGAATTGAGAAAATATTTTCAATCGTTAAGACGATTCAATAAAGAATTTTAAAGCTTGCAACAATCATCGTTGGAATTTTTCACTAAAGAAGAATTGAAATAAATAATTTTTGACTTTAACAAAAGTTATTTGACAAAGAAGATGACTTAATTTATTTAGCTTTGATGTCTTTTGTTTCTATGTCGCTAAACAACATCTTGATGACAAATAAATAAAAACGCCAAAATGTCTACGATGAGATTGCGACTTATAAATGTTGAATTTACGTTTAAAATCTATAAAACCAATGGTTATTTGAAACTTTTGTTCGCGTTTCAAATGTCTTTACTGGTGAATGAATTTAAATGAGATAGAATTATCAAGAATTCATTTTATACCATAAAAACGGAAATGATCGAAATTTCAACTGAAATTTTGTGGATTAAGATTTGAAGTAATCTGGATTAAATTTTAATCTTAATCTATTAATTAAAAGTTAATCTGGATTAATTCTGAATCTTTGAAATTCCAAGAAAAAAGTTTAAATTACAGAATATTGTGACAATGTAAGAGAAAGCTTCTTTGTTAGATGTAAATAACAATAAAGGAAAAGAAAAGAAGAAGAAAAACATAAAAACAGAATGAAAAAGAAACATTTCCGAACGACTGATTTTATTGGAACGTTTATTATGATTCGTTGTTGCTTTTCTTCCTTTTTTTTCTGACAAAGTCAATAAACTTTCTCTTATCACGATGACTGTTTTCAAACGAAGAAAAGTTCAGTTATCGCTTTCTCTCAATTCCTTTTTTCTAATAATAATTTTTAATGAAAGATCACAACCGTTATTGATGGTAAGTTTATGGACTTTTATGCCCTTGTAACTTTTCTGCCTCTTGATAATATTTTTGACGTCCTCCAGAGAGAATTCTATGAAATGACGAGACTTATTTTGCTTCCCATCCATTCTATCAGACCTTCCTTAAGAGAAGGGTAGAAGAAAAGTGAACACAATTTCCACAAAATTATAACTTGAACTTTCACATCGAACTTCCAATAAGCCATAAATTTTGCTGAACAATGTCAGCATCAACAACAAAACTCGCTCTCATGTGATGGTCCCTTTTTGTCCTCAGTCTCAGAAATTTCAAGTAAAAAGCTTAAAATATATAAATAACGTTGTCATGTGAATGCCGAGGGAAGTGAAAACGATTCCATAAATATGAAGCCATCAGATCTCATAAAGCTGACTAAGAAGCTCAATTTTACCCCTTTTCAAACTGAAGCTTGCTTTTTTCTACGTTTTTTGTCGCGCAAGTTTCAATTCAATGATTTTATTTAGAATCCAAATAGAATCCAATCGTTGTGAAGCTTCGGAATTTGACGCGAGAGAATATTTGACAACTAAATCATGGATTAGATAAGCTACGTAAATTGCGTGTGCACAAACCAAATGCTGATGGTGCTTTTTGTAATCCTATTGAGTCAGTTAGTCAAACATTGTCTATTCCAATGAATGACATTTATCGGAAAAAGAGAGAAGTATTTACGAATGATTGGATGGAACAATGGGGAAAGTAATGTGGTAACAAATAAGATATAAATAACAGTCCACGATACATAAATTTCAATAAAAGCTAATCATTTTGCAATTCCCCAGCACATATCTGTATGACTATGTGAATATATACGACAAGAGTTGACGTAAAAAATGGTTATGAGACTCGATAAAAAATCGACTATTGGAGCTTTACGATAAAGAAAGGATCATTTCTTTCCCTCTAAGACTGAATGACACTGAAAAGAAAATTGCAAGGAAATTTTCACAAGCTTTTCACTGTCTGAACATTTTAAGAAAACGAGAAATTCCCATCAGTTCTCACCAGTGCAAAAGCAAAGCTGTATAAGCTGTTTTAAGCATTTAAGGTAGTTCACAATTTAGGAACCAAAAAAACCTTCTCTCGATGATATTGAAATCAAACATCGAATTTATTGAATCAATTTCGAAGCAAAGAAAAAAAGGAGAGCAAAAATAACAAAATCGGCCATAAAAAATGATTATCCGGCATTTTATTTGACACATTTATCAAATTCTGTTTGAGGCCCCATTGGGAAATTGTATAAAAAGAGCTTCATAAAAATTGAATCTCAGCGCAATGCGTTGTCATTGATTTAGGTGATTGGGCGTGTGTGTGAGTGTGGTACGTAAGTGAGGTTTTTGAATTCTAAATGAGCTTTCTTGAACTTATTCTCGATCTAAGATCTTTAAAATTATGCAACGAGTCACTCGAATTACAAATGAAACCTTAAAAGTCAACAACAAAGCGCTCTTGCAACTCAAAGTTTTGTTTTATAAATCAATTCAATGAATTCGATAAATTTAACGAATGATATCAGAATCGTCGACAATATCATTGATGATAAATATGTGTGAAAACAAAGTCGTTTCATAAAACAATAAATTCTTTCTTCGCATTTGAAATGTTGAGTTCAAATCATAATCAAACACACCCTAAAAAATATTCAATTCAACTTCAACCATAAAGAAGACGAGATGAAAAATCAAACATCAGCGTTTTATCAAGACATTCCAATTTTATAATCGTTCTGGGGTTACTCACATGACTCATCCATCACACCTCAAAGCTTCGAAATCTCTGGTGACATAAAACGATCGGAACGACAGAAAACATCGCTTTTCAACGAGCAAATCAATAATTGATTGCCTTTAAAACTCCTTTTGTCGTCTCCGTCTCACTCTTTCCCAAAGTGTCGTCTCCAAATCGTCTGAGAACGTCGATAGAATGAATTAAGTTATAAAATGATGATTCATGTTTTGAGGCAATAATGAAAAGCTCCCCACAGATGTTCTCCTCGGTAATCATATTGTTTGGAAATCTTCAATCTTCCATCTTCTCCTCCCATTTTCATCTAATTAAGACACCAATAAATTAATTAAGAAAAGACTGAAACACGATGCTGTAGGAATAGATTTTGGAAAGAAATTCCTTCTTTCGCTTATTCATAACGACAATGAGGATCAAAAGGTTCAATATTTAAGAAGATAAAGATAATTTGTGACACTTAATTGAGTATTCTTAAATGAAATGAATTTTGAAAATTGATAATCAGTAAAATTACCAATTTTTATTCAAATTAATTTTAAATGATGGGTTGAGCTGAAGGCGCTGAATTAATTGAGCACAAATTCTTCCTGTCATGTTTTTAAGAGTCAATTTCTTAATTCAAAATATAAAATAAAGAACTTGTTTTTAAAAGCAGAATCTCAAATGATGTCATCAGTGGAAAATGAGAATCGATAACTTATCAGAAATAGATATTTTGATTTCTTTATCTTTTGGATAAATTACAACAAGGAAACAAAACGTTGAACTTGTAAAACATTTCCTTCTTTAAAAATTCGCTTCTTTCCCTCAATACTTTTTGAAGGAATTCTTTTTACATATTTTAGAAATCTTTAACGATCATCCATGAGGGAGAGAGAGAAGGGAAGGGAAGGAAAAGAGATAAAAAACTTTTTTTACGATCACAGAGTAGAGCAATAAATTGAAATATGTAAATTACATTTGTCCAAACTCAAACCGATTGATATCGATGAAGAAAAAAAAGAATCAGCGCAAATGTATAAAGAATTGATCGATTTTTCTCATGCTCATAAAGTTAGTTTTATGAATCAATGATATCTTTGAAAATAAATACTTAATGATCTTATAAAATGTGTTTTTATTAAATCATCTTAAACGAGTATTTTAATTTGAGATTTCGATGTAAATTCATTTTTTTGGCGTGCTCGTAAGTTGATTTCATCATAAAGCGTCTACCAAATGTGGTTTATTTACAACCATTCACATTCACGTGGTCGTCATAAAGCACCAACATACTCAACATCGAATAAAAACTTCGCACAAGACTACTCAAGTGTAAAGAGTCAATGAACAGGCTGATAAAAATGTTCTCAGGAATATCGTCATCTTCATCTGTTATTAAGAAACTAGTCTTAGTGCCCATTTAAATTTATTTATGATCGGAATTTTTTTGCATACGAAATTATCAAAGCAGCAATTCTCGTTAATGTTCTTGGCGAAAAAGGCAAAAAAAATCTTCTCTCGTTTCTTTAATCCAGATTGTCATGTCATATTCAATGTGAACGAAAAAATGACTGCCGAAGACAATAATTTTTGTAAAGTAAGTTAATAATGGAATTATCGATTTAAGTCGATAAGATGGAAAACTTTCCAGCATGCCTAGGTGGTTTCATTGCAGATTTATCGAATGCAATTGCAGAAACTTTGCCAATATTCTTTCATTGTCTTCAATTTCTATAAAATAGAAAGGATTTTAAATGATTGTGTTTAATAAAAAAAGTTCTTCGAACTTTAAGAAAGTGAACACAAATTTAAACTTTTTCGTCTTTTTCCCATCTCTTACCTCATCGTCGATCTGCTTGAATAAAATCAGCCCATAAAATGAATATTTTCTTCTCGTTCCATTTGATAAAACTCACTCTAGTGTTAATCCGACATTTATTTCCCAACAATTCAAAATAAGTTTGCTTGTTGAATGAAAATTTAATTCTTTATTTTTCGTTCTTTTCGACTCTGCAACGGCCACAACATTTGAAAGTCAAATTTCAGCTGCCAGCCTTTCGCATCGTTCTAATGACTTCGAGGGAAACATTATTGATTAAGAAAATAAATTTCATGATAGATAATAAAGTTAGTTTTATGTGTTGAGCATTTCTCTCGTTTATTGGCGCCTAGCTTATCGATAATTAAATGACAAATTCAAGAATTGGCTTGCGGTGTTTATGAGACATTTTTTGAATATGAATGTTGCGGGGGTTTGGCACGAGAATATCTCACGACTTGACTTAGCTTCAGACTTCAGTTTTAAAAGATTAAATATTCAGACAACTTCTTTTTTATTAGGAATACAAAATCAGATGACCAAGCTATTGATGTGGTGATGAACGACAATGTAGTTTTTAATTCTTTTATCTTATCTGTGATAATAAAATTCTAAAGTTCTCCTTCCATCTCATTTTCACTTGAGAGAACATCGCTCAAAGACAAATCACGTCATTTGATTATTTTTAGGATCGAAACCTTTTTTTATTTTCACAAGGGTAGGAAATGTTTACAAATGATGTTAGCTTATAAAAAAGGTTAAGCAAGTTCATTTGAATTTACAATTCAGATGATTTTAAGAAGGAAATATAAAAATAATCTGACGTCAAATGCAAATCATCCCAAAACATTGGGATTTACATTAAACGCGGCGGAATTAAAAGGTTTTTCAACCTCACCTTTTCCGGTTTTACTGTCAAAACTAAAATGTCACTTTTTTAATCTAACTCGCTCAGATGACAAGCATTCGAGAGTGGACTTAAAATATTGAAAAAGAGAGAGACAAAAAAAAATTTAAGCAAATGCCAAGTCTTGATTCTGGAATGCAGTTGAAGAGAAAATAAATGACTCGTGATATTTTGAACGATAAAGAACTTTAAACCAGATTCAACTGGAAGTTCTTGGTGGTAAATTGCAAAGTAAAATGACACGATAATAAAAATGACAATCATGTAGACTTATTCACTCTATTATTTATATTCTTAAGATTATACCACACAAAGTTTAAATTTTTCCACTTTTTTGTGTGATAAATTTATGCAATTTTAGGGTTCGACTCTTGTCGTCTTCCATTTTAATGAAATTTCTTAGAAACATTCATAAATCGTTGACTATTAGAATTTTATTGTTGTCAATTATCTAAACATTTCTTTGATATTATAATCTTAAATAAAGACGAGAAAAAAGTTTCAACTTTAAGTTCGACAGGCAACGATGAAAAATTTCCTGTCGACAAATTCTTGTTTAGATTTTTGCACAATGAACTGAAGATGAGATTTGAGAGAGGAAGAAAAAAAACGCAAATGTTTGTTAGTGAGGCTTATAAAAAATATGTTAATTATTAAATATCTTTTTCTCCATCCTCCACCATTACGAGACTGCATAATTTATATCAAATTTCAATATCTGTTTTGCCATCGGTTCATTCAACTCGATCGTTGATCTTTTGCGTTTCTCTTGAAATTTAATTTCCTTTGAGTTGGTCACCATCGATAAAATATTATTTTGAATTTAGTAATAAATTGAAGCATTTGTTTCTTAGTATTGCGGTTGAATCACTTTTGTTTTCCATTTATTTATTTATTTATATCAACATTCAATAAAAAGCTAAGAAAATTTTCAATTTCAAACTGCCTAACTTCGTGAAATAAAAGACAGAAAAAGGTTTTCGATGACGATCATAAATCCATTTGATCTAGAAAGAATGCCAAGGAGCTTCAAATCCCATCAATTTCCCAAACCAAAATCAATTTGTATGCTTTCGATTTATCTATGAAATGAAGACAAAAATTTATTCAACCCAACAATGGACAGCTCACTTTGAACAGAAGAATGAAGCCTGAAAAATAATTTTTGCACGTTTTCGCCCACACAATTGATTCTTCCCGAAAATGAAAAAAGGAAAGAAAGAAAATTCTCCAATGATGTAATTTGAGAATGAAACGTGCCCCAATCTAGGATGATTCGACGCCTTCGCCCTTCATTTTCCATACCAACGGACGCATGAACAACGAGAATTGAATTTGAGATGTGAATTGGGGGTTTGCATTCACAATAAATTGATTACGGATAGTCTCCGTCCATCGCTATCAATTTACCTTAACAATTTTCACCTAAAACTCCTGTCGCTCATGTTCACGTATTATTTTACTAAATATATTGTTCAACGCCAACAACACAAACGTGATGTTATTTCATACTTGAACCCTTAAAGCTGATGAGTTCCATGCTAATGAAGCTTCAAAAGCTCTTAATCATGAAGTATTGAGTATCATTGTCTCTTAATTATTTTGTAAAATATAATTCAAAACATTTTCATTTGAAACTCTTTGTTATCTCATTATTTAGCTTCTGAATTTATTTTTGTAACAATGACGACAGCTTCTTAATGTCATTTAAAATATTTAAACGTTGAAATCGATTTTTATTATTACTCAAAACTTTTGAGACGACATCAATTATGTTAATATCTTTTATTGCCACTCATCTTCATCTCAATCAGGTGTCGCTTTGCAGTTCCAATTTGAGCAACAACCATATAAACAAACCCCAATTTAAGTATCGATTATTCGTTTTTAACATTCAAACATTTCATAATAAGTTGTCCGATTGACTGGCAGACATGGAAAGGCGTGAAACCTGATATTCCATCGACTCCGTAACGTCTCGTTTTGACATTTGTTAGCTAAAGGTGAAAAAGCAAATTGAGAAAAATGTGAAATGAAAATGTCAATTAATGAAAATTAAACTTCCTAATCAAATGCTTTAATTCTGCTGAAAATCAATTGCCTTGCGTCGCATCATTTTCCCGTGTTCAAAAATAAAAACAGAAAAAAAGAAGAAGCGTAGCTTAAAATAATCATCTCAAGTTTCACAGTGTGACATGAAGGCGTTAATCACTCATAAATTATATGATTAATGCTATCATCAAAGATGTAACATTAATCTTCTCTTTGTGACGTTCAAGAGTGCGAAGCATCAACAGCAACAACAACGGGTTAAGAATCACAATAAATATTCAAATCCCTTTCTAAACACTTTAAATTGTTTTCCGACGAGTTCTCACGATAGAAAAGCATCCACCCCCACAATTTCACACCCGCAGGTTAGCTACCGGAAAATACTTTTAAGAATTATGAGGGATTACACAACTTAACGTTTTCTCTTCACGTTTACCTGGCATAAAATAGCTCCGAGCTACAAACTCTTTCTGTCGCCTGCTCCAGAATAAATTAACTTCTTTGTGAAGAAATTTTCAACTGTCATCAGTGTGAAAATTGAAATATTTTCCGTGGGAAATTCTTGGCTTTGTTGGAATTTGTTAGAGCTTTGTGAAGTGTCGGTTGAACTTTAACCGAAAATTTTCGGCTTTTCTATTCAAATATCTCTCAATAAAGAATTAAGTTGAACAATAAAACGATTGTTTGTTGATTTTGTTTACAGGTGACACGCCAGGTTGGCTGGCAAAAACATTTCTTGTTAAATAATAAATTTTATCAAAAATATTTCGACACTCAATCCGAATCAAACTGCGACATCACAACGAACTCGCACAAGTTTTCCCATGACCAAGATCGCTGTCTTAAAATCAAATGATCATGAATCACCTCATCACAGCTGGAAAATCAATAAAATTCTATTCAATTAAAGTTAAAATATCATTTTCGAAGGAATTATTAGACATTTCATCTCATCATCGTTGTAAGAACATCGAAATTTTATGGTTCGAGATTTCATTGAAATGGTACGTGGTGCGTTCGAAAGATTATTTTGATCATCGTTATTTCGACTGCCTACGGTTTTATGAGCTTTTTTGAAGGCATCTTTTCATTCGTTGATGCTTTTCTTGATGTTATGAAGAATATAAAAGTCCATCATTGCCGAACCCGAACCTTATCTGTCATGAAAACAATTTGCATAATCAGAGCATCAAAAGAAGAAGACAAAAATTATTTAAATTTATACATTTCTGTCCTCAACAAGTGCGAAAGCTTTCCAAGTTGTTGCCCAATATATTTTATGCATGTCGTTTCTTCTTTACTTTTTTTTTTATTTGAATGTCTAACGTCTAACAAGAACTGCTAATGAGTGTGTAAACAAACTCATTATGTTTTGTTTCGGAGATTCTTTCTTTAATGCTTATTATGCTTGTTCCATCATCATTCAAAGCAGGCACAGAGTTCTCCCCAGGGTACGTCTTGCCTTCGTGCACTTGAATATTCTTTTCCTTCACTCCCTTTGGGAATTTCCCTTGCTGTAAGCTGGTATCGGACTTAGTAAAAAACTTTTTCTAACCGAGATTTCTCAACATCAATTTTATGTTTCTTACTAAAAACTTTTTTTGTGAGATTTCCTAGAAATCTTTCGAAGTTTTCCTTCTTCTTTTTTTACGCAAAACAGAAAATCGGATTATAGACACAACTACTTGAAAGCAAGATGAATATAAAAAAATAAAATTCGTAAAATGTTGAAAATGTTTATGAACACCAGAAATAATTCTAAGTAGATTATCAAGAGATTCCATTTAACTTTTCTCAGATACTTTCCTTTAATGGACGAAGTTTTCCTTCGAAGCTTATTAAGGCAAACAACTTTTTTTTCCAATACTTGATTTTATTTCTTTTTTTTCTTCATCTTTTTATAATAAAACATGGACATATAATAATAATAATCATAATATATTATCAGAGTAATTGATTAATATAATAATTTCTATGGAATAAAATTTATGCTTTGCATGTTTTTATCATAAAGATATAATTTTGACAACATTTTTCTTTCATCTATTCTGATAGATATGTTTAATTACTGCTGATATGTATAATTTAACTCATCAGTTTAATATCATACTTGATAGTAAAATATATTTATGTGATATGTATGTCTGTTTGTTCTCAAAGCAGTAGATTTGAAACTAGTGATTTAATTTCATACGCTTAATATAATTCTTAGAAAATATATATTTAATTTTTATTTCATTATTTCGAATATAAATCCACTTCATTGAACATTAGAAACCCTTTTTTTTAATATTTTTATTTACTCTTCTCTCTTCATACCGTAAGTAATAAAGTTGGGTATAGAACAGAGATTAAAACGTATAACATTTCATCATAAAACATTTTTAAATGTCATTAAATTTAGAACACGAATTTTTTTTCCATTTTACACAATTATTCAACTTCAATTTTTGGTTTTCAATGATGAAAAACCTTCCTCAAAAAAACTGCGCTTGCCAGCTTTTTTGCATCCATCTAAAGCTTTTCTTTGACATTTATCTTAAATTACTCGTCTTTACGAGGAATTGTAAAACGAAACTCATTCGAATTCTTCACTTTACTCGAAATTTTCTCTTCGAAAGGATTAAATAATTCTTGTTTAATGTTTTTCTTTTCAACACCTCAGTGATGTCAAATGAAATGAAGTTGTCGTTGGGATTTACTGTAAGCTTTCAAATGGAAAACTAAATATTTTCTTTTAATTAATAGCTTTTCAGATTTCTTTCCAATTGTTGAGTTTTCACGGGTTTTTTTATCAAAACTTTAATAGCATTTCGAGGTTTTCTTATAACCTTTTCCATAATTTTAATTTATTCGATTACCACAGGAACCAAAAGTGGTAACGAGCGAATACATTAAACAGCATTTCAAGAATTCTTTCATTTCACTTTTTCATTTCCATCGTAAAAAGAAGTAATTTTGTTATGATCTTCATACCTCCCTTAAAACATTACGCTTTGAATCAAATGCTTCTACATAAGAACGTAAAATTCTGGGAATGCATTTCACATTTTTAAATAAATATTTAATATTCGTGAATCATCTTCTTTCAGCAAAAATATATTTTCTTGTTAATATTTCTCAAACGACTAAGGTTAAGATGACGATAAATAAAGAGACGAGTTTGTGATTATAAAAAAATATATTTTTTAACATTTTATCGTCTCTAATCGTTTCTTGTTTCTTTCAATAATACAAAAAACGAAACAAACGTTTTTGTTCATCCATTTTGTTCATCGATAATTGAAATTGACATCGGTTTATCATTTTGACTTCTACGTGGGGAACATTTATGTTAATTTCGTTACTCTCACGGCTGTTGTGTGTTTATTGACCACGGATGAGTCACGTTGAAGCTTCAGAATGTATGTTTCTTTGTTAACAATTCTTTTTTGGGCTAGGAGATCCAAAAAAATCTTTTCTTATGAATCATTGAGATTGCTTTCAACTCTATTGTGTCATTTACATCCGAACAAAGTCTAAAGCAAGCTCAATGAGAAGCTTCACTCATGACCAAAAAGTTAATTCATTTATAACTCTTACGAATTGAGCAAATGATATGAAATTTCAAACATAAATGTTTAGTCATCGAATTTCTACAGTTTATTCGAAAGCGTTTTAAATGCACATGCAATCTCTTTAAATGTATGTTTGGTTTAATATATCTTCTTAAATAAGAGAATTTTATGCATCATAAATCTCTTTTTGATTAGATAGATAGTTTGGAAATTGTCAAAACAGCTATTTAGCTATATCTAGCCATGGCTTACATAAACTGATTATTGATTTATGTTTTTGTAAGTGTGCTAAATGATGTAATTTTCATACATTTCTTTGACTATCAAAAATCTTTTGTATGTGTTCAATATTTTTACTTTTTATGCTTTCATAATCATTAATCAACTCACATTTATGGTTCATGTTTTAACCATATTTAAGATAATTTATTTATTATTCCCCATATGTAGTTATAAATATATTTATGCTCATACGTTTTTGACAAATGATATGTTTTCGATTAAAAAGAAATAAAGTTGAGAAAATAAAGTAAAATCTGATATGAAAAGATCACAAACATCAACATAGACTATGCTTAGATATCTTCCATAGTATTCTAATTTGTTATTATTTTCATTATTATTACTTTTACTTTATCGATATGCTTCTTATGTAAAAAAGTGTCTACGAAAATAATCAAAGATTTATGTATTTATCTAAGTAATAAATGTAGTTTCTATCTCATCTAATAGTTAGTAAAGCTCATAGTGAATAATTTTATGTCGTTTTAATTGGAATATTTTGTGACTACCTTGATCATATCTTTTTTTTGCCGTTTCCCTTAACCATCAAAACAACATAAAAGCTTCTTGAAGAATCATCTGAATGAAAGTTCAAAAGAAAACAATGATATGTGGTATTGTTTGATGGAAAACTTTTCCTCAACCCAAAAAAAGTCTTCCCATAATAAATTCAGAATGACAAACAGAATATTATGAATTTTCCCCCTGACATAACAAATATGATAACGTCTTGTCAGTTTAACAATTAATCCAAGAATAAAAGGTTGAAGGGACAGCAAGAGATAGACGAAATCGGAGTTGGGGAAGGAGGTAAAGATTATTCTTGTCTAACTTTGTCATCTACACACCAAAGCCTACAAACATTTCTTAATTTTTTTCTGAGTTATTCTTCTGCTTTACTGACTAAACACACAACATTATGTGTCAGCTTTGTTTATTTACTTCATTGGTTAACAATATTTCTTCATTTGTTTCCATGGGCTTGCTTTCAGTTTTGTTTACTGATATCATATAATCGCCAAATTTCATGAAAATTCTGTCTGCCTTCGACTTTGTTTGTTTGTCTTTTATTCGCTTGAATATTATCTCTTCCTTTTGTCAATATAAATAATTTCCTATATTTTATCATAAAAATTGTAGAAGTGTATAATGATATGTTCCTAGATAAATTTCATTTCTTTTACTTTTTCTCAATCGCATTTGTCATAGTGATATGTATACGATATGGTTTTTGGCCCGAATGAATCATTTTGAAGCATTCAATCAAGCTTCTCTGAGCATGTGAATGCCACAAATGTTTCCACAGTCAAATACACACAAATTGAACGAGTATTTATTAGGCTGCATAGTAGGCAGAAGCGTACTGAAAGGTTTTCGTTTTTATCCTGATATAAAAACACTTTTTCTTTACTTTTATTATTAATTTGTGTTGCTACAAAAATTTTTCACCTCAAAAAAGAAGATCGTCGTAATGTGACGTGATTTAATTGGTTTTTATGCTATAAATATGTAGATAGGCACTAATCTAATATATAATAATGACCACTGTTTGATATGTGTGAGTGTATTCAGTGTTAATCTTATTCATTTAACATTTAAGACAACATTTCTTTCAAAAGTAACTTGATCTAGTTATACAAAAAGTTACGGCCGGTTAGTGAGTGTATTGTGTAAGGAGGAGGTGAGATGGGATAATGTCTGGTTACAAAATATCCTTTCCCATTCACTTAATATGTGTGACATTCATTTAATTATTTGGAAGAACTTAAAAGTGAAACAAAAATTAAATTTATTCCCAATCAAATCGAAAGCTTCTTTCAATCGAGCGCCAGGCTCCAACTCACAATATGTCATCAAAATATTATTTCTTGGTTTCGATCTAAACTTTTCACCTCAACATCGAACAGCTAAAAAATGACAAACTGAAGGAATCTCACTAATAGTTTGGTTTTTTATAAAAAAGTTGCATTTCATGTCACTTTTCACATCGAATATTTGTCTCATTTTAGGTTTTAGATATGTTTATTATTTATGTTAATGACCAGTTTGTTTTCATAGAAAAATATTATCAAATTTGCTTCTTTTTTCATATTTAAATTCTTGGTTAAGCGTGCAATTGGTTTTGTATTTCGTTCTTTAATTCCACATTATTTCTTCATTCATTATTGATATGTCAATGATATAAATGTCTAGCACATTACTTGTCTCATCATCTAAGTAGATTGATAAGTTTAATTATTATTTAAGGATATTTTGACTTGTTGACTGATGTCATAAACAATCAAAAGCTTCTTCTCCATTTTTTTGTAATTTTTCTTAGAGTCGATCAAAATTTTTATCTTCCTTCAAATTATTATCAAATAGTTTTCTTATTCGCAATGTTTAATAAAAGCATGTCATAAGAATTTTCCATCATTTAATTTATTTTATCGTGATTCAGTTATTTTTATTTATGTTTGACGTCTAATACATAGAGGTATATTTATTTGCATTTATTCTGCATTTATTTGATTCATAAAATATGTTTTCTTGTGGGTGACTGTGTTGACTTAAGGTTTGAAACTATTTTCTGTAGTTTGTTGATTTTTATGCTTTTGCAGTTTGCAGAGATATTTGATTTGAAAATAAAATAAACTTTTCATCTTTCTTCTAGGAATGGAAAAATATTTCATTTATTTATCAAAACTTTGGACTTGAATTCAAGTTGCGTCACATTGAAATGTTTGATTGAAATAATCAAGCATCGTTGAGTGACGAAATTGATGATCAGAAGCTGTTTGTGCAACTTTTATTTGGTTTTATTTTATGATTAACACTCAAAGAGAGTGCTCACGTTAAAGGATAGTGAAAAGGCCATACGAGTAAAATTGAAATTGTCTAAATTTTGAGTTTTATCACACTCATGATGATTTTGTGAATATTTCAAAATTGAATTAAAAAAAATGCTCTAAATATTTGTTGTTGAATGCATTAGATATTCATTCGTCTTTCCAAAATCACCATAAACATGTAAAATTTGTTCGGTACCTCATTCATCTCTTAGGATGTCTGCTTTCTTCTTTTTTTTTCATAATTTTTTTTCAGTTCCTCCCGAAACTTTTTCTATCAAAAAATGCATCGCTGCAATATTCCAAAAGAACTTTTCCATTTTGGAAACTTTTATTATCTTTTTTTTTTGCGTAAAATGTCTTCAATCGTGCATATCAAAACATTTCGGGTTCGAAAATGAAAAGGAAAAAAGTTAAGTGTAGTTTGTGCAAAAAGCTTTTTCCATTTGTTCACGAAATCTTAATAATATTATGTTGCAATCTTTTTCTTTTTCTTTTTCTTGTTCATCTCATTTAAATGTGTGCTTCACCTATAACACGAAACTACAAACTTTTAAGCTTTCCATTGCATACTTCAACTTTCATGAATACTTAATAGAATTGAATCAAAATAAGAATCATGAATATCATAAATCGTCTATCGACTGACAAGTGCATCACGTCGAAATGGTACAAATTTTTTGTTATTTTTTTTTTGATTAGGTCTTCATGGAAATACTTGACGAATGATAGCACTTGAGAGCAACCGACTCTCAAGAGTACTTCGAAAAATCAAGAACGCAAGGAATTGTGCTTAAGAAACTAAGAAGCTTTTCTTCTGATATGTTTACGAACAAAATGCATCTAAAGATCTAAACATAGATATTTATGTGTGTACTTATGTAGATTCATGCTGTCATATCATCAACAAGTGTTCAGTTCATTTTACATTTTTACTTTGCTTAGATATTTATTCAATTTACCAAAAGAAGAAACAAACATAATTTGGATTGAAACATGTTTCTCTTTTGTGAAGCGTGGGACAAATGCTGATGTCTCAGCTCATCCCTAACAGTGTATCTTTGGAAATAAAAGTTATTAACTTAAATAGAACGCTTTTCTATTTTCTTTATGGTCGCTAAAGCTACACGCTATATTGATATGCATTTTCATACGTACTCTAAATTATTTATTTTATTCTCTACATCATTCACAAAATTGATATGCCTTGAGTATTAGTAATGTGCTTATCTCGTTCATTAATTTTACATTTCTTTTCCAATTTTCTTTTCTCTTTCATATATTTTCTTTATCTTCGTGGTTTTATTTATTTAAAGCTTCACCGATATCATTTCATCTCATTTTTCACATTTTTTTGTTTCTAAATTATGAATTTGATTATTTTTAAAAGCATTTCAACTTTTATAACTGAAAGATTCCTACCGCCTAGAACCAGTCCAAATGCAGTGAACATAAAATTTTCTAAAAAAACTCAACTTTTTGTTTATTTAGTGTCTAATAAAAGTAATGCATTTTTATGAGAAACTATAAATTAACATCAGAAGCGCCATTGCTGAAAGTAATCGCAGCCAACTGGTGTCACGATGAATACTCGGACTCGATGAATTGTCTTTCGTTCTGGCATCGCAGTTAAGTTTTTGTGGTACTAACAGAAGAGAAAACAAAATTAATTAAATATTTGTGACAAAGCACTTAAGCAAAGCTTTATGGCAAAATGCTTTAAAAATAACAAGCGTAAAGTATCACATCGCATTAGAAACTTTGTTGCAACAACGAGGAAACTAAGAGTATAAATTTTCAATGAAATTTTATCTTTAGCTTTAAAGAAGATGATAAAACATAAAACAAGTAAATTTATTCCAACACCAATTTCAACAAATCATATTTCTTTTCAACAACTTCGAGAAATAATATAATTTACAATAATCCAAGTAAAAAATACAAAGTAAACATATTTCCTTAATATAATTTAAAATAAGTGTATACTCAAATTAAGAATACTACTGAATTACGAAACATTGAATTTAAATCGAATGCATTCATTAGTAGAAACACATAAATTATTTCGTGTCTCATTTGTTCAACTCAATAACTTGTTTTTAGTTCTCTTAATGGGCTTCATTGGATTAAAGCGATTAAGAGAACTAAGGAAGGAAAAAAAACAAAATTTATGATCATTAAGTTTGGCCATTTTAAATGTACATTGTCAGCATGCAATCAAGTAGATATTGCACATTTACCCCAGTTTCTCAGTCGCGGCAAGAAATCATTCCAAAATGCACATGATGTTGCTGCAGGCCCTCGCCCATATTTATCGGCTCTCATGTCCTCTTCCCCCTCGGCATTGAATGTGTAATATATTGGATTGTCAGCTCTATAAAGTGGCCAATGGATTCCATCCAGTGAAGGGTTTCTATTGAACAAATAAGGATATTTACATTAATTCATTTTAACGGACTTTTTTCAAAGGATTTTTGTGTCTTTGCTGATTTGTTATATTCTAGTCAAGTTTACTACCATTTCTTTGTTATAACATTTTAATCAAAGACACATTTTGCTGCGCGTTATACGCAGATATTATCCTTGTTTTGTTCAAGGCCTCTCGCGTCTTCAACAAATATTTTCTCTTCATTATTGAAATTCATCTTACCCAGTTTTAGCAAATTTGCTAACTGTCTGAACCATCATTCGACTCAAATCACGCTCTCTTTGCCTGTAGTGAATTGTGGAATTCATGGGATGTCCAAAAATGTACTCAATTTCGTCAGCATGCATAACGCCCATCCATTCTCCCCATAACGATGTGCTTGTTCTCTGTTGAAGAAAATTATTCTATAATACGAAAATTCTGACAAGAGTAAATTGATTATTCAGCTTTAGGCCCTTCAATGAATTTTCGATTTTCGTTGAGCATTTTTCAGACTCCTTTGTTTGAAAGGATTCTGATTTAGTTTGCTTGTCGAATTTTAGAGAAATATTTCTTAGTAAATATCTCAGTTAAGAAAATAGTTCGATGATCATTGTTATCAAGTATTTTATAGCGTATCTAAGGAGATTCTGATCGCTTAAATGGATTCAGAAAAGAATGATTCCATTAAATTCATATGAAAAAGCAAAGAGAAAAATATCATGCAGAAAATCATTTTTCACGATTCAATGATTTGAAAAAAAAGTTCATTAAAACATATATGAGTTTTAAATGTGAAAGGTTGGAGTTAAACAATTTTTATTTTCTGTAATTGACTTGTTGATTCTTTAAGCCGTTGGAAACATTTACGAGAAATGGCGTAGGAAACTTCAATTTGGTGTAAGTATAAAAGCAATAAAAATTTCATTATCGTTAATTCAGGATCTTTTCATTTAATATTGAACTAAAGTTTTTTTAATTATTCATCCTCATTTGACCTACATTTTCTCTTCGTTGTAATGCAAATATCTTGATTTTCATTTAAGCTTACATAGAAGGAAAAGCTGCCATGAAATGTAAGAGAAAATTTATTCAAATTTTGTCCCACAATCGATGCTGGGAGATTTACGTTAAACGGATACTACGAAGAAAGGTAAAGAATAATCGCATATGGAATTCACTACAAGTCAATTTATATTACAAACAAAACGTGGGCATGAGCTTCACTTACTGAATATTTGTATCAAATATAGGAGCAAAAACACGATTGGCAACCAAGTAAGCTTCAAAAAGTAAGATGGAAATTTTCCATCTAACAACACCTGCCAAAAATCTCATCGAGGAAGGAAAATATTTATGAAGAATGCTTGGTTAGTTCAAAACAACACCTTGCTAAAAGAAATTTCGATACAATTCACAAATTCTGGGAAGAACTTAGTTAAATTTTTCTAATTTTTGGAATACTCGAGTGTTGAAGTATTTCTGAAATTAAAAACTTAATTAATGCCTTGGTGAGAATGATTTATGAACAAACCACTTTGACATTTCCCCTTTATTTATCCAGAATAAAATTATTTGTTAAGTAATTTTCCGGCACATATCAAATTTGAACGATTTCCCTTGGGACGATTGTAAGGAGAAATATTTCAAGGCTGGAATAATAAACAATGTTTATTTACAAACACAAACCAACGTTTAGCGTATCATATCACATTTCTATTTTTACTTGTTGCTGCACTTTAAGGGAAAACCAAACAAACAGAAATTTCTTGGAAATAGAGTGAAATTGATCAAAAGTTTTAAAAAGCTTTTTATTTCTTCCGAGAAATTTCTACTTCCGAGAATGAAAGTTGAATCCAAGGTTGAATCAGTACAGGATTATTCTTAATTGATATTTAACATTGCTTGATATCCTTCCAAGAAAAAATAAAACTTTTCTCATTTTTCTATTGAATTCTTAGTTAAGTTGTCATTTCACAATAGAGAAGATGCCAATCATAAGTCACAATAATTGTTCATCTCAATTCAATTCGGATTATTGCAATCGGATAACCCAACTTTTACAAGAATAATATTTGGTGGAAACAATTAGAAATAGCATCAAGTTAGAATAACAATCAAGGTCAATCTTAAAATAATTAAGGCAGAAAAAGAAAATTGAATTTAAACGCATAAAGACTTCATCCAAATTATTGATTTATCACTTACTCAATCTTATCTGTGAATGTCTACGTAAAATCAAAGCTTGTAAAGGCATTTGTTGATTCACAATTTTATGAAATTTCTAAGAATTCGTAGGTGTTTCGATGAAGCTACTCGAAGTAAGAATGAGAATTACCAGAGTCATCATTTGCTTGCTTCTAGGAAGCTTTTATCAGAATCAATTTAGAAATACAATAAGTAAAAGAAATTCAATCCTATTACAAACATTTAATTACATTTTAAAGAATCGGGGAAATTTCTTTGTTTTTACTGAATTCGTAGAAGCTTCTGATGGAATTTCTTAGAAATTTGTGTTGAAATGTTATAAACTTTTATGTCTCAAGCAGAGATCAAAAACTGTTCCGTTCCCTGGTTTGAACTTTTCTATTCATGGATTTTGTTTTAATCCTTCTAATTTATGCATGAATGTAAATTAATTAATTGTCTTTCTTATAAAATATTAATGTCAAAGCCTATAAAGTTTTACTTTTCAATTTCATTTTTCTAAATTCGCCCACTCAAATATTATTCAACAAACAGCATAACTTTATGCTCTTCATTCAACTAAAATGTTTTGCAAATTTTAATGCTCTGATGCCGTCTACAAAGTTTTATCACCTGAAGATATTTACTTTTATGACTTTTGCCAACATTGAAAACTCTAATTCTCTTCTTCCGTGTTGAACTTTTGACATTTTCCTTACGCACAATAAAGACGCAAAAGCTTTGAAATTAAATTAATCCAAGGTTTGCAAACCTTTCTGTAAAGCCTGCTTGGTACGAAATTTCCATTCGTTTGTTCATTTGTGTGGGTGTTTGTTGAGAAGGAGAAGCTTATAAAATCGTTAGGAGAAGGAAAGTAGAACATATGAAATCACTGGCAACGATTAAATTGCTTAATCAGAGAGTCATGCTGTAATAATTTATTAACGTCGTTTAATCTCGATTGAAAAGAACTAAAAGGTCATGATTTTCATCATCTCGAGTTGTTTCTTCAGAAGTAATATTTACTTTAATTTACCCACGATATTTACCACGATTCAATTGATTTATTGAGTTAGGTTCAGGACATTGTGGAAACAAAAAGGAATGAAATTCAACTGAAAAATTAAATTCTGAATGTGGAAACAATAAAATCGATTGATATTAAATATTCATTTCTGTTTCAAGGATGTTTTGCGATGGATTTTTGTTCTCCTTTTCAGTAGAAAATTTCTTCGTTTCCTCAAGAGTTTCAGTGAGTTTCTCGTGAAAGATTTAACCAGCGTTTGTACTCTTCTCAGAACTGAATTTCTGAATAAATTGAAAAGAAAATCAAAGAAGAAACAATCTGAAGTTTGATATAAACCAAAATGTAATTAAAAGTTGAAAGAAAGTTTAAGAAGAAAAAAACATTTTTTTGAAGTGTAAAAAATATGAAATAAAAAGTTTTCTTCAAATATCAGGGGAAAATAATTTTTTTAATAATCTAATAAAGTTGATGAGTTATCAGCAGAATTCAATAAGCGATTATTCTCCCCCTACATAAATCATCCACGCGAGTTATTTAATAAAGATTAAAGAAATAAAAAAATATTGCAGACAGTTACTCACGTGTGTGAAGTAATAATAGTAAACACTCGCTCCACGATCTGCAAGTCCAATAGCAAACTCATTTGTTGGACAAATGAAAAAATGGTCTGCAACTGCTTTTGCGACCTGCTGTTGACTTTGATAGCCATCATTTGCCGACTCGTAACTTGTGTACTGTGGAAATATAAAGAAAGGAAATTTGTCATTATAATCAGATGATTATCTGTGGAACATCATTGAACGTCTTCATCGTCTAATAAAGCATTTTATGTATAAGAATCCTTATCCACAACGTAAATAATCATAAATGTGAACATGATATATGGAAATTTAAGCTTCATGCTGTGCGCTACAAAGCTCTCTCGTCAAATGCACTTATCCTCCCGCTTGAATCGCTCACATAATCAACTGCCTCTACAAAAACTCACCATAAACTTTCTCTACATAACAAACGAAGGAAAAAATGAATACATTTCAAATAAATCTTACAGAAAGCTTCTGAACGTTGAAATTTTATGACAAGAATTTTTGAAATATTGAATTTGAAATGCTTTTTCTTCCTCTCAACATTTCAAGCATTTGATTTAAGTTCTTCTGGTAAAAAAAGAATTTCACCGTGAATAAATAATTTCATATTCACGCCGCTACTGATATGAAAGGCTTAATGATGTAATCAAAAAGACGTGCCATAAATTGCTATTGGCCTCGATGAAACAAATTAAAAAACTTTTGCAATTTTTCTTTCCTCTCACGAAAACTTTTCATTTTTTTCTCTTTTTTCGTAAAAGTATCTGAAGAATGTGAGAGCAAGTGGAGTGACTTGAAGCTGTTAAAAAGGTAATGGGAGGTTTTTGTTACGATGCAGAAGAAAAAAGCTCTTAAAGTGGGGTGTGAATTACGATAACGATGATTATGAGATTGAGAAATCCCAAAACAATGAAACGGTACGCAACTTCTTCAGTGTTTACTTTACGGGCGAAGGATCTTTATAAGCTTGTGCCTGTGTCAGCGATTGCAAGGCATAAATGAAAACGAAAGATATCAACAACGAAAAAAAAGGAAAAAGCATCATCATAAATTACAATGCCGGAAAGTCTGCTCATGAGACTGTGTTAGCTTCTCCTTCATCATCTCACCTGGAAAATGATCGCTTCACGTTCAGGTTGTGAAACTTTGCTAAAAATCGTGTTCATAATGTCGAGAAACTTTTCCCTCGATAGCTGGGTCGGTGAATCGCGATCGAAATAATCAATAAAATCGTACAGCAGAAAATATGTGCCTGCAAAGAGAAGAAGAAATGAAATAAAAATGGAGGCAATGAGTGTGTGTTTGTAGCAAAAGTTTTCAATGCTTAAAGTTGAAAGCTTTCAAGGTCAAACGAATCATTTCATTTTTCATCCCGAGGATGAATGCAAATTCACTGCTTTTTCAATAGACTTCTCACAAGGATATTTAATCAAAAAAGTTTCCGTTTCGATAATCTGAATTCTCGACCTTTTTCGCCGACATAATAAACTTTTCTTTATTCATTTTCCACGAAGCTTCATTATCATTCTATGGGAAGAGGAAATTGCTTCAATCTTAATTAAGGTCCGTAGAGTCGTTTTCTTTCTGTTCTCTTTGTTTCTGTTTTGTGTTTTATTTATTTTTTTTTTCAGAGAAAAAAGTGATTAGGTCGAGACAGAGAAAAATAATTTATGAATATTTAAGAGCGGCTATTTATCAAAACGTTAGTCGGTAAAAGGAAACAACACCTTGGAAAAAGAAATTAGGAGAAAAAAAGAACAGGACAAATTTCCTAGAGAGATGTGAAAAGTATCATCTTGTGATTCCCCCCAACTTTTCAACCGTCCACCCACCACTGTGATGATAATTTTTTTATCACGAGAATTGGACGGAGATGAAGATTCATTCGCTTATAAGCACAAATAATTTGTTGCTTGTTTGATCGTTTGCCCTTTTCAAGACATCTCCACATCTTTCCACCATGAAGAGCATTTGGAAGTTTGCGAATATATGTGGAAAATTTTTACACACACGCGCGCGAGAAACTTACAGAACTACACCTCACCATTGGTTAGTCTGTCGGATCAAGTTAAGGTTTCTCGTATGGAATCTTTTATTCTCAACGAGTGTGTCAATATCGGTAGCAACATTGATATAAATCTCCCTGTTTAGGAACAAAGTTCTTCGACATTTTTCTCCCCGTAATTCAAGAGATTACAAATTTTCATTTTCGTTGTTTGTTATTGAATGTTTTCGACTGGAAGAAATGTAAGCAAACTTTTTCGCTGAAGAAAGAAGGAGAAACGATACGAAGGAAGTAAAGTGAGCGAGATGGAGGGAATGTTTTCGGTGGGGGGAATTGTAAAAAAAATTTACTACCACCACGTGAACTGCCACGTGAACTTTCAATGTCCTTTAACAAAAGCTTTTACCTCGAATTGAAAAGTTGAGCTTTCTTTTCTTTTTTTTCTTCGGCGACGGTTTGGGTATCGATAAGTAAAAATGGAGTATTCGTGACAGAAATGTTTAAATCAACCAAGGGAATGCTATAATCACACCTTTTATTGGATTTTTTTCCTTTTTTCTTTCCACTCATTTCATGTTTTTACTGGCTGTCACTTTTTTCTTTTACTTTTCTCATTTTATGTTGTTTTTGTTTTGTCGTCGACTTGATTTTGGCTAGGTTGATTCAGCATTAAATACCTTCGTAAGCTGACTAATTTCTCCTATTGAATATGATTGATCTCATTCACCTTAGTAGCACAAGTCGAGGGTAATTGACGGATAGAATTAATGAATTGCTTTTAAGTTATTAAATCGACTGTCAAATAGTGAAGTGGATAAAATCAATCAAGAATTTTTAATTTATTAAATTAATTTAAAGCTCACAGATGAGGTGGTTAATTTTCATCGCATGCTGTGAAGTTGTTTTCACTCATGAAAATTCTATCAAGAAGCATTTCTTGTGTTAAATAAAAGTTTCAGGTAAAGAACGAAAGTCATCGACTTTGTGCGATTCAGATAGTGAACAATATTCACCGTATATTCAACCCAATCTTACCCCAACCCAAATATTTTTTGTATTTTTCAGCTCCGCGGATACTTAGCAGCGATGGATGACAACACCGTAAAACATGATAAAAATTTCCTTTTTTTTCTTGTCCCTTTATTTTTTTTAAATGTTTCATCTTATATACAATTATGTCGATATTCTTCTCCCCAAACGAGGGTTCTTATTTACTTAAGTTTTGCAGCAAAAGCTCGAATATCTTTTTTTTTCTCCCTTCCCATCATGATGCGGGATCAAATCTGTTATTCGTTCCCTTCGTCAGCGAGAAAATAAAAGGCCTGGGATTGTGTAATAAAAAAAAAAGAACCTTGAACTCCGTCGAAAAAAAAAAGCTCTTTCTTTGCTTATTTTTTCATATAACTTCTTCTTATTTCCCATTTTAGTAGTGGTGAAAGATTTATTTGTGTTAGTTTGTGTTGTGAGCTTTTACTACAAAAAGCTTTCTTTTCTTTTTCTCTCGTGAGTAGAATACATTATGTGACGATTGGATGATATTGTAAATGGGGTGGTTTTATGTTTACTTTTAATGGAGTGTGATGAAAGGTGGTAAAAGTTGTGGATTCTTTTTACACACACACACACATTCCCTAAAGAAACGAAATCGTTTATAAACGCCTCGCTTCATACGATATGCGCGCACCGCACTGAATGTTTACAACAATCAAAAAACCACCGAGTATTGTTTTCGTCGACAAAGCTTTTCGTTTTTTATCAACCTTAAAAGATAAACAATATTGAACGGCAATTGGGTAAATGGAGTCTTCGAAACTGTCTGTCACACGTAACGATGTGATTTGTATGTGTTTCATTTCAAAACATTTCTGTTATGGTTCAAGACGAAATAAAATAAAAATTCTCAGTAATCCACAAGACACTTAAACAAAAAAGAAACATAAAAAGCACTTGGAAGATAATAGAAACAATACATAATGCGAAAGAAAGACATACAGAAAAAAGAAATTCATTTGAATATGTTAATAATAAGAAAGCGCGACGAGGATTTTCTTTATGTGTTTGCGACTTTGTAATAAAATCAATAACATTTGAATGTAAGACTCTTGTTAAAACAATTCTTAACAAGGTTTAGAAATTTGTTAAAACAGAAGCAAATAAATAAAAAGTTAATTTCTTTACAACTTTTTGCGACAAGACTGATTACTTTGAGTTAAAATCTTAACTTACTCATAATAATTACTTCTTTGAAATGGAATATTTACTACGCATTACTCATAAGGAAATGAAAATTACTGTCTTTTGTAGTTTCACATTTCATGTCTTTCATTTCGAATTTTTTCCCTCATCAGCTTTGTTAGCAAAGTTTATTAGGCAAGGTCATGTTGAGAGGCTCTTCCGCAGTCAATTTCTTTCTTTTTCTCCCTAGTCCCTACCATTGCGCAGGGGAGACTTTCGTTTCTCTTCGGCATCGGCTGGTAACGATAAGCTTTCATGCTTGAATACAATTTACGATTTTGCCTTATCAAAAGTGAGATTACGAGAAGGAGAAACTTTTTGTCACGTGACAAATTCGTGTGACCTTTTTCAGTAATGTTAAAGACGGTTTAAAAGTAATAACATTCAGATCCGGGTCGAAATCCATTAGTTTTGTGTAACAGAGAAGTTTGCGTTTGTAGGAATATTAAATTTGTGAAGTGGAATCAGGGCAAAGCCATTAGAATTTGTAAGTTGGATGGTTACTGTAAGTAAGTAAACTCACCCTCATCACGATTACTTCCAACAAGAATGTCAATGCCCTCAAGATTAGCACTTGCAAGCATTGACATTGGATCAGCTGGCATAAATTCACCATCGATTGTCGGTGCAGATGGAAAGCCGAGTATGCCTGAATATGAATTCCATTGTTGTACAGAAATAGTCTTAGCATCAACAGAGCGCATGCAATTCAAAACTGCACGTGGAGATTCCTGATGTAAACCAGACAAAAATAAACATTTAATATGTAAACATTTTATTTTAAGAAATGTCAAAAACAAACCTTCAACATTGTTGCATTGCAATTACAGTCATCAATCAGCATTTCACCGACTTGAACAGCCTTTTCAGCTGTCATATGACTCCATGGTGCGTTTAATGTTCCTGATTGTAAGATTCCCCTCGAAACAAGTCCACGTGTCACGGGCGATAAAAGATGTAAACTGACACTGCCACCGCCTAAATATAGATAAGAAATGTTTATACATTTTCAGCTTCAAGGTGAATATTCTCAACGTTTGTTTACCTGCACTTTCACCTGATCATTTCAAGTTGAATGTCAAGGTTGAGCAAATAAATTAAGGAAAATTGTAAGATTAATGAAAGAGAAAAAAGTTTAGTTTTATTTTCTTTTTGTTTGTTTGTTTTGTGTCCTATCAAATATCTACTTAAGTGAGACGACTTACCAAAGAGAGTGATTAGATTTGGATCACCACCGAAAGCTCTCGCATTGTCTTTAAGCCATCGAATAGCCAAGGCTTGATCCCACATGCCCTGATTGCCTACGGAGATAATTAACACATAAATCAACAAAAGCTTGTAGATTACATCTCGACTTACAAATTATCGTTATACAACCACGTAGGGAATTTATTCGACTGGGTTTGATTATGAAATGATATCAAAATATTTTATGCGTACATTTAAGAAAAATTTCCATTCGGATTTTTTTTTTATTTTCCTTCTTTAAAGATGTTTTGAAAGCTTTTAAGCTTCTGAATTTATTCAGTTTAGTTAAATCCTCGAAATCATATTCAAAAAAATATTCAAAATTCTTAAGTGATGTACACAACAAGCGCATGTTTCCCAACATGTAATTAATGGCTTATATTATTGCTTAGTTTGTCACGTGTACATTATTCATTCATAAGCCTTGTAATTATTATAAGGATCGTGATTAAAACGCGTCGCCCTTTATAATGTTGAATACTTAAAAAAATTAAGAAGCAATTGTTTAGTGAAGATTTGTTTGATGGATAAATTTGTGTGATCCACAAATAATGAAATTTTTATACGGTTCCGAAAAGAATTTCTCAACTTCGGTTTGTGTCAATGTTTTATTTATTTATTTACCTGGAGCGTCATCTTCATGACCTGGTAAGAATGGCGCCAGATAGAGGAAACCAAAAGCACCAACACGATATTGCATCGATGCTACGATAACATTTCCCACTGCTGCTAATGTTTTGGCATTGTAGATGTCGAGAGTTGATGAGCCACTCATGTAACCGCCACCATAAATCCAAACTAACATTGGTAAGCCTTCAAAATCACGCTCGTGATGTTCGTTCATACTGTCGTGATGATTCCCATGTTTACCATTCTCATGAACTCGTTCGTGACGCAAACGTGCTTTAGCCGGTGCCCAAATGTTCAAATATAAGCAATCTTCAGACACATTTGTGTTGGGATTCCACATTTCTTCGCCAGCAAACCCGGGGAAATATTCATATCTAAACAAGAGAAATGAAATTTCAAGCTTCGTTTGTCAACCTTTCACTTCCTTCACAACAATTATCATCATCATCACCAACAACGACTTTCAAATTAAATTCAACGAGATGAGAAAAATCAGTGAATGTTCAACCGAAAACCTAATCGAGTTGGTCATGTTTGAGGATAAATCAATAAAGAAATAAAAAAAGAGGTAAGTAAATAATTAATATCGCCGTCCAAGTGGAAAGAAGTATCTTCATTGCTAATTATCATCATGATCCTTCATAGAAATGCAAATTAGAGGCGATTTTTTATTAACACGGAAGGGAAAACTCTTCAAATTGTTACATAAATAAAGCACTGAAAGAAAAAATAATGAAATGATGAAATGCTTTTGTAACCGCTTGCTAATGAGCTGATAATTAACTACTATGGCAGTGAAAATGTTGTTAGGGGGCGTACAAAAAAGGGAGTTGAAACAAAAGATGCCATCGGCACGATAAGAATAAAAAAGTTTTTCATTTAAATTCTTGATGAGTCGTTTGCTGCTTACAGAAAGGAAAAACTTTTTCGCTTCAATATGTTTGTTGAAGTTTTGTACTCTAAACAGAACAGAAGTTAAGCCGTGATGTCGATGTTGCGATAATAAAGCTTGAGTTACGTCCTATAAGCTTATCGAGAAGAAAGTTTTTTATCGACAAAATTTCTTGTTTTGCTAAGTTAAACTTTGAACATTTCTTTTGTTATTTATTTATTAAATGTACTTTCATGTAGATGGGATTGGAAGAGGTGACAAGGCGACACTGAGCTCAAAAACTTATTCAAAATGGTAATTGAATTATAAGAAGCCATGAAAAATTATGAATAATTCAATGATGTACTAAGAATCTCAATTAAAAAACATTTCCTAGGCAAATTTCTTCCGCAACAGCGAAAGCTTGGGAGGGAAGGAAAAAAAAGGAAATAAATTAGATGACAACGAAGATTGGCAAGTAATTTTGTAAATTTATTGAAACAGGTGAACAAGAACGAAGACTTTAAGCGATTTAAATTTATTATTCAAATTTTCCTACAGCATTTGTAGACTTTTTACTTTTCCTTCAGTTTTCTGTTCAATCAAACGTGAAGTTTCTCGCAATATTTGTCTTTTTGTTTTATTTTATATAAAACGACGATAAAGTTGAAGCGTGACGGTTAAGTTGATGGAGAATTTAATTTCTTTCGTGATCTTATTTCATAAAATTTTAAATCTTCTTAAATTAACTGACGGATAAGCCTTGAAACTTTGTCATTGTCAATTGCTACAAACATCCAAGAACCCAAATACCTAGAAATCAAGTCGTGTTCAAAATGGTTACAAATTGAGTTTTAAACAATAACAGCAACTTGTTTTTCTTTTATTATCTCGAATCGACTTTTAGCTTTTGCTCTTTAAAAATTTAGATTCTGTCGGAAAAGAGAAAATCCTGAACTATGCTAGACGACATCAAGCTGTACATTTCACTACGTGACTGTCATGTTTGAAGTTTGTTTCACTTTTCGAAGGTTTCAAGCAATAAGAAACAAGAAGTATGTAAGTAAGAAAATCTAATCTCAATCGATTTTCCTTTTTCCTCCACCCCCAAGCCACCCACAATCCTCAGCAGCACAACCCCGTTATGTTGCTTTGTTTTTGTGTTTCAGTTTAATTTAATTTCGAGTTCAATAAATTTTCTCACAAATCCGTCGTCTTTCATATTTACGTTTTCAATAATATCGAATCGATGATGTTTGAACTTTCGTTATATGAGTGAGATTGATGTATGAAGTCGAGGGAATTTCTGAAGCAAGTAGATTAAGTTTCAAGTGCAGATGATTTCATTTTCACAAATTATCTCGTGGGGATGAAGAAATGTCGTTGATGATGATGAAACAAGAAGAGTTTGTAGACGGCAATAATTTTCATTTCAAAAGAATTTCAGAAGAAATTGTCTCACCTTTCTTGAATGCACGAGGGTGGTAATCTTGTTGCATCATAAACCTGAAGAATGAGAGAAAAGCTGTCAGATTAGAAGCTTCAATGGTTGAAATTATTTTTCTGTTTTTTTGTGACATTTTCCCTGCTCTTGTTTTTTTTGAATTTTTTATGTTAAACAAATTATTGTTTGCTCGACCGAGCAACCTTTCTGCTCAGCTAACTAGATGCTGTGATATGAAAGGTCAAATTGTTATTTAAGCATGCTTCAATCACTCCCCCCATGCCATGGTTCAGCCGGTACCGGCTTTCGAAATCGTAGACTGTCAATGGGTGGCTTTGCAAATGGAATCCCATGAAAAATGTGCACTTCATGGCCCTCGACGAATGTCGACGAGCCTCGTATCGGGCCGCTGCTTGTTTGCACCACAAGTCTATCTATGATTCCATGCACTTGACACACATTAATCCAAAACCATAGAATGCAAAATTTCATCATATTTCTCGTTGCTCACTCGACAACACGAGAAGAATTTTCTTTTTTAACCGCAGGTTTCACTTCCCTCCTTTTAATGATTCGTCACACACAATTTAAAACCGATTAGAAACGCAGAAGAAAAGTCTTTTGAGTCATAAAAAGTCTTTTATTGCACTGAATACTTTCAAAAGCTTCTGAATTTCTTTCACAGTTCTACACAAAATCAAGAGATGCTTCACAAAAAAACACTTTGATTAAGTATCTTGATTACAATTTCTTCTTCTCTCTTTTTCTTCTCGCTTCTTCTGAACCAGCCAGAGAGAATTTTTCACTTCAACCTTGTTTTTTTTTCTTTTATTTTTCCTGCGAAATTTCTTCTTTCTTATCTTTTGTGAAGCTTACAGGCGAAGCTTAACTGCATGGAGAAATGTAAGAATGTTGAGTAATTTGAAATTCAATTGCATTTGAGACTCCTTTTGGACTTATTTACATGATAATCGTGCTTTTTCCTTGATTTTCTCTGAATAATGCAAACAACCAGAGCTTTCTACGTTGATTAAAGATTTGATTAAAGCGAGGAAGAAAAAACATGAAATATAAATTCAAAAACAAGACATTCATGTTTAATTAAATTAAAAGAATTAGAAATAAAAGTGAATTCGTAATTTAATATTTGACTGCTTATGGCCAGCAATGTGATGCATCATCTTTGCAAGAGCATTTCAAGAGCATTAATTGACTCAATGATACAAACACGATTAAGGTGAAAACAATAGCGAGAAACTATTAAGTGACAAGAAAAATAAAGAAAGAAAGAAGAAAATCAATTGAATGTGACCTTCGAAATGAACAACTGTGTTTGATATTTGTCGACAATTTATTAAATAAAAAGTAAATCGAGAATAACTCAGTATAGACAAAATCGTTCTGATGATGACAGCTTAGCTGTGTATTAAGGTAACTTAAATAAGTGTAAAAAGTATAAAATTGTTAACGTTTATCCTTGTTTAATGTTAATAATCCATTGACTTTGACTAATGTTCACTTTTATTTTGAACTTTTTATTATGCCATTTATTTAGTTTATGATAATTCAGACAGAATTAATCAAAAATCAAAACTATAATAATTCACTTGTTATTGAATTAGGCTTTAACGTTAATGATTATTAACCGGCAAGTTGATGTCGGTCATTTAATGAGCGGAAAATAAAGTTACATATTTAAAACCCAAATTTGTTTATTTATTTCTCTACTTTATATACAACATGAGTCGCTGGTTTGACTCGACATGCTAACAAACAAAACAAACGTTCGCTCTACCCATCATAAATAGCTATTATGTAACTAATTTATGTAAAGGGAAAGCTTTGGACATTTGTAATATTTGTGCTTTTCTCGTTTGTTTTTTTTTGATGTCTCGCTCATGTGAGTAGTAGAACAAGAGAAGAAGAATCGTGCGCTTTAGTCGTTTGTAATTTTCAATTAAATCAACTTTCATCGTGTTTATTCGGTGCTGCTTTGAGTGGAATTTGAATGTGTGTAAATGACATTTCATTTTATCGTCTGGATTTAATGTTTTGTGCACAGAAGGGAATCAGGTGAAAGAAATTTTCTTTCTATTTGAACTCACGAACTCTTTTTTGATTGTGATTTATTTTTATTTTGCTTTTTCTGATGAAATTTAAAACGGAACACGAGCTAAAATTTTTCATTTTGCTTTTATGTTTCTTTCCATCACCACCCCCAAGTTTCACTCTTTATATGAGAATTATGCAAATTTGGTAAACATAAAACAAAGCACACCACACATGTTTATCGTAGATTGCCTATTTCCTCGTTCACTACTTTAACTCATGAATGTTTATCACTGATTAATTCCAGATGCTTTTCAGGTGGCTACTGTTACATTCTACGAAAAACCCGCTAAAAGAAAACTGATTCACTAAACAACTTGTTCTTGTTATGAAAATCAATCGTATCGAATCAAACTGAATAATCCCTAATAAGTATTGAAAGAATTCAGACAATGATTCGTGTGATGCGTGACACAATTGGCTCTTTTCTTCTATACAGCTAATGGAAACATTTTCGGATGCTCACAGGTTTCTCGTAGATTCGACTATTCCCTTTTTAATTATGCATTCACTCATAAAAGGCTCTCGATGTGTGCCATGATTTAACAAGCTTTATGGCATGAAAAGCATAGAGAGAGAGAGAGAGAGAGAGAGAAAAGAATGAGTATGATTGCAAAGTTAAGGGAAAATAATGGATACACATCTCTGTCTATAGACAACAAAAAGTAACAAAACAAGATTAAATATATGTTTGTATGCACAGGGATATTGTTCTCTTGAAACATTCATTTCACTCCCATTCCAATTTTCACTGGTCTCAGCAGCTGTGCTTCGGAAGCAAAAGGAGCTTTCGAGAGAAGATTGCAACAGAAAAAAAGAACCTTCAACGATAGTCACAGTCAAAAAAACATCTCTAAGGTCAAACGAAAAGTTTCTATTTTTTTCTCTTCCATCGATTTTTTTAGAGATATTTTCATCTCACTTTCTTAATGTCGCTATGAAAGATTAAAATATTACGCAAGCATTCTCGCTATAAAGAAACATTAATCTACATCGTAATTCACGAAAATCATTTCTTTTTTTTAACGTTTGAATCCGAAAGAGAAGGATGTAAAATTAAGATGAGCCTCGGAGTAAGAAGCCGAGCGGAAAAAAGGGAAAAATTCTGAAAAATCAATTAAGTTTTCGTATTCACTTCTACTTTTATTCTTTCTTTCTTTTCTTTTCTTCACATTGAATTCCACTGGGTTATTACCTTTTGTGAGCATTAATCGAATTAGGTAACACTGTTTTGATGGCTTAACATAAGAACAAAAGAACAGAAGTCAATTGATTTTTATGATATTTCTTTTTATGTGTAATATCGCGATACTTAAAAAACCGAACTTCATAACTTAACGAACGATAGAAAAATACTGAGCGAAAATTGCTATTTTTCAGTGTCGAGTCGTAAAAATGTTGTTTTGCGTTCTCGCTGTTGTTGTTACTACACGGTATCATTTTGTGCCTGCGCAGATAATACATGAGAGCTGAAGAGAATAAAGAACAGGTTCTGGAGAGAAATAAACATTAAATTATTGTTTTGATTTATCGTGCCATATAAGAAGGTAAAACTCTAGAGATAAGAATGTTTTAAGCAGATTGGTTTTTAAAAGATATTTTAATACAAAAAAGTTGTTAAAGTAATAACTTTATGTAAATGTTGTTGATAGAATCCTTAACACTTCCATTCAGAAGAATTGTTTTTATCTTAACATTTTGGGATGTTATCGAAACAGGTGTTAGAAAATAATTTAACGGCTTTAATATTTTTGAATTTTAAAATATTGTTCAATGTCAATGGCGTGTCAAACTTTTTCTGTAAATATTATTTTTAAGTTAAATAATGATGAATGATATCGAACGTTAAGCTAAAATAAAATCTTAGCAAATAAAAATGTATCATTTTTTTGAATAGTATAAAAAGTGATATCTTATAGAAGAAAACATTTAAGTTTGTAATTTTTCTGTGAATGCATCAGCCGAAGCTGAACTTTTGTTTACTTTTAGTGGTGTAACAATTGAAAAAAGTTTTTGTTATTCGGTGAACGACTTCGTAGGCTGCTCGACCATATGATTAAAGTAAGGAAAAATTTTTGAGTTTAGTGCTTCGAAATCACACCTTTAGAGAAATCTGAGTAAACAGTTCCATTACAAAAGTTTTTCTACAATTTGTGTTGATGAACTAAACAAGAAGACGATAAAAAGACATAAAGACAATGGAAAAGACAAAAATTCAACTTGATAGGAACAATGGAGTTAGTATCATTCGCCGGTTTCTTCACCCAGGGCCACTTTTGACGATTTGTAAGTATTACAATGTTTATCCATGTGTGTCCGACGAATTTTATCTGCTTATCTGTCTGTTTTATGACTTGATGAGACATAATGTAAACAAATAAAAGTCTATCGAAAGTGAAATCAGAAATACTAAATATAAAAGCAAACCTTTTCGACTTTTCATCACCGTCATGCTTGAAGACTGACGCTGTGAATAAAGAAAAACTAACAAAATTTTAATTTACATGTGCGTGCAAGTATTGAATTAAGATTTTCCATTACGACGAAATTAATGCCAAAATTAACATGATTTAGAATTATTTCTCAACGTTAATAATCTTATGGTGAACTGATTTAGATTTATTGCTTAAACAGTGAAGACAAATACAAGATTGTAAATGGATAAATTAATGTACTTCCGCTTAAACCCACCCACACTTGATATGTAAATTTATCAAAATAATTTCTTCACTGCACACATTAAGAGTTTCACTAGTAAACTTCACAGACAATTAAACCCATAACTCCATCATCTGATACGCTTTCGATATTTAAATTGAGACAACAACTATCGCCCAACTTGTCACTAAATCATTAAAAGATCCCAAACAGTTGATAGTCTCGATTCATTATCATTACCAGTTGACTTTCCTTTCGACCTTTTCAACTATTTCTCTTTCACATTTATCAGCAAACACTTGATGGATTTACAACTCAAGATTCTCCACAGTACAATGAAAATTGTCCCAAGCATTTCTAATCAATTTCCTCGCAATCTAAGGAGGGTTGTATTTAAATAAATCGTAATTTTCTCGCCCATTTCTTCATTCTTGGAGTTACAAGAAATGAAAATTTCAGATTCTCCTTTATAACGATAGTTAACCGCTACGTTATTCATGAATTTCACCCAAGAAGAGGAAATAAAATAAAAACGAAGAAATTATAGTCAAGCTAAAGGCCGAACCGAGTTTTTCCTACTGTTGAGCATTTAATTTATATATGCGAGTTTAATTCTGAAATACGAGACGTGAATTAAGAAATAGTTTTATATTTTTTATTTATTCATGAATGAATGAATGGAAAATAACACGAAAATGCTCTTCGCGACATGACTTGACCCAATTTAACATTTTTCCATTTTTGCTTTGAAAGGTTATTCGACTTTTATGATTTAATTAAGGAAGGAAAAACTGATTTTTTTTATTTTTCAGTTATCATCAAATCCATCACTATTCAAACACTCTACCTCAACTCAATGTGGTGGCCACCGCACAGATCGTTCGCTGCGTTTCTTAATCAGATTATATTCATCGTACTATCAGCTTTAACTGCCTTTAATTTTGTAATGGCTGCGGTTCTTGGACCATCGTACTTACCATTTGGATGGAAGCCAAAGAATAAGAAACACGAAAGTTACCTTCAACTTTGTTCGGTATGTCCAGGAACTTTTAAAGCACCACGCGCTCATCACTGTCGTAAATGTGATCGATGCGTAGCAAAAATGGATCATCATTGTGTGTATTTGAACAATTGCGTTGGACATGGAAATCATTCGCATTTTGTTTGGTTTCTTTCACTTGCTGTTGTTGGTTGTACACATGCAGCAATTATTCTTATTTGTTCACTTTATGCTGGGCTTTATCGTGATTATTATGTTTACTATCAAGAGTTTAGTAAAGCAACAGTTCGACTCACAACGTGGAGTTTAGTTTTAACAGTATTCAACATTGGTCTTGCCGTAGGAGTTATCATAGCAGTCGGAATGCTTCTCTTCTTCCAAATGAAATCCATTATTCGAAATAAAACAGGAATCGAAGATTGGATTGTTGATAAAGCAATTTATCGACGAAAAGCAATGATGAGAGCAGCAGAAGAAGTAGGAGAAAAGGATTTCAAAATCGATCCATTTGTTTATCCTTATGATCTCGGAATTTGGAAGAATGTTGCACAAGTTGTCAACTTTAGTTGCTTACCAATCGGCGATGGTGTTATTTGGCCGGTTGTTGATGGATGTGATCAATTTACATTGACAGTAAGTTAAAAATATTTTCTTGTAGAATCGTATTTGATTTTCTATCTTTCAGCGAGAGCAACTAGAACAGAAGAAAGAGAAACGAGCACGAACACGACGTTATAGAATTGTTGCGAAAGTATCTGGCAGTTGGATGCCACTTTGGTCGCAAGGATGCAAAGTTTGTGTTAATCCTCCGTTAACAGATGAGCCAAGAATCGCTTTGGAAGTTGATGATTTGGTGAATGTGACGAGGTGGAGGAAGCATTGGTTGTTTGGTGAGAAGGTTCAAGATTTTCCAGAAATTCAGTCGACAATGAATGGAAAGCAACAAAATGAAATTCTTAAGCAACAAATAGCCAAACGAAGATCTCGTGGATGGTTTCCAAGACAATGTGCTGTTGAGTTCTTTGAAGATAACGATGAAGAAAGTGAAAATGAAGTTGGGAATAACAACGAAGATATGAAAAAGAAAAATTAATTTAATTTAACACATCATGAGAATAAAATGACATGAAATAATTTCATTCTTAATTGCCATTCGATTTTTCAGATATTTGAAGGAATCTTCTATTAATTAAATTTTTTTCTTTAATTAAAACTGAGGAAATCTCGTGACTTTGTTACAATATCATTTAACTGAACGACCAAACTACTAAATTGTGAGATTTTTAAATATTTAGTGAAGCTTTTTCAAGTCACACATTGAAGTGTTTATTATAATTGTCATCAACATTTTTATCTATTTTTCTGATTATTAAAAGAACTCACGTAATTGATATTGAAATTCTTGTTTTACCTTCACTTCCTACAGCTCCATTACAAATCTATTCACCGTTCGTTATCTATGAAGAAAATTTCCCAAAATTTATTATTTATCAAATAGAAATAAATTTAATAGACTTGAGAATAAATTTCCTTCAGCTCCCTACATGCAAACGTATTAAATTTTAATTATCTGTGATATTTAAATTCAAAGCAATAAAAGTCTCAAGTGACTTAAGTTTCAGTTTACTTCTTAAACATTTCAGTCGCAATTTAAGAAAGTTAAAGCCAATGAATTTTGAATTATTTTTTCCTTTTTCCATCCCAAAGCGTGTTTTGAAGGCTTTTGGGACATGGATTGAAGAAGGATCAACAGTTGCTACTTACATTAAAGGAATCGTCATGCATTTGTTCTTCATAGAACTTTACACGTTTCTGCAGCTTGTTTTCTTGTTCACTTTTAAAGACTTTGAGGATTTTACTTTGTTGATGACACTTTTACCAACTTATATTGGTTTGTTTTTCAAAACATCAAACTTTGCTTTCAAGATGAAGCAAATCAAACGATTGATGGCGATAATTGAAGATCTTTCGACGTATTGCAAAGAAACGGAAAAATTGAAGAAATATTTGGAGAAAGTTGACAAGATTTCAAAACTTTATATGACTTTGGCATTCTGCGGTTGCTTGACTGGCGCTTTTTTGACAATTTATGAATTGCCATACAAAATGTGGTTTCCTTACGATATTAACAATCGATTCAACTATTGGATTTCTGCAATTTATCAAATTATTGACTCAAATATTTGTGCTCAAGTTACAATTTGCATTGATTTAATTCCAATCATTTTCATGTGTTACGTCGTTGCGTTTTTGGATATTTTATGTGATCGCCTGCAAGCCCTCAAGAAGGAAAAAATCAAAATTACTGAATTTGAAGATTTTCTAGTTCCAAGTAACGAAGAATTGTCGAAATGCATTGAATTCGGAATTAAAATCGGTAAATGCGTGGAATTGATTGAAGAAACTTTCTCGACTATATTTTTTGCGCAAGGATTTTTCAGTACTTTGATATTGTGTACAATTTCATTCTCGCTTTCTCTTGTAAGTATATTAAAACTTTCATCGGAAAATTTTATAATTATTTTTATATTTAAAGATCACTGATCCTGTGAAATTTGTCAGACTTTTCAGTTATTTAATTCCGATGTTGCTTGAGATTTATTTGCCATGCTACTTTGGAAATGAAATTACTTTGATGTCTGAAAAGTTGTCGGAAAATCTTTTTCATTCAGAATGGCCCGAAGAAAACAAAAAATTCCGATTTAACATGCTGGTTGCTATGGAAAAAATGAAGAGATCCTTGAAAATTGCAGCTTTCGGGGTGTTTGGTGTCAACATGAATACATTTACTGACGTTTGCAGATCAACTTACTCACTTTTTGCCGTTTTTAAAAATATTCATGGTCAGAAGGAAAATATTTAAAGATTGAAAGGATCGGTCAGCATTACAGTTTTTGGAGTGTTTGGTGTTAATATTTGCTGTTTTAAAAATATTTAGTCATAAAAGGATGTTAAAATTGTTAGATGGAAATTCAGATTGTTACAATTGTTTTTGCAACAATAAAATATTTTGCACATTTAACATTTGATTTTAATTATAATTAGGTAAGTTTGAAAATTCCATTCTTTAGGAAGACAGTAGAAACATCGTGATCTTGAAAGTCTGATGACGAGATTCGAAAATTCCATTCTTGTTTTCTACATTTTCTACGCTTCGAACAAATCCTTCCAAGGATTTCTAGCAGTTTCGTCCTTGCAAATGTGTCTTTGCTAAAAAGATTTAAAAATATTTTAGCCGTTAGAACCTTTCCTTTTCCTTCATTGGATATCAAATTCCTTTAGACGAACAACTTAGAAACAAATCAAGAACTCGATCATAATTTTCAATGAAAAAACTACAAAATATTTTGATTTAACTAGATATTTGAATAATAAATTTATTTTAAGAAATCTCATTTCAAAAAAAAAACAAACAAGTTGTACACATGGAAGCAAAATGAATAAATTCCAGAAATATCATAGTGAAATTGAGAAATAAATAATTTGAATTTCAATTTAATAACATTCTAGACTCATTCAATATTTCAATCGAATGAAAATGAGTAAACTTTTTCTGCCTGTAAAAATTCAAAACAATATTTTAAATGAGAGAATGACGAGTATCGTAAAGCAAGCAGGTGGAGGCGAACTGGCATGGAGTAAGGGGTTACAAAGCACGAGAGTTGGAATCGTTTCACAGTACATTAAACGGAAAATTTAGTATTATTATTCGTACCCATTTCTGTACTCTTGTTTTCTTTTTTTTTCCGCCCAGGAAAAATCTCTGGCTGAAAAATGATTTTCAGTAGTTTGTGACATCAGCAACGGGTTTAATGATGCAATATCAAGAGCCATCATAATAAAAAAAAAGACTTGAAACGGTTAGTAAAAGAAAATTGTGCTCCTTAAGACTGTTTATATCAGAAATTCTTTCTAAATTTGCCTCCACTTTGACTCCATTCCTTCACGGGTGTCTGGACGAGGGCGAAATGATCAAAATCAACAGATTAATCTCATCATTGATCTCACGGTAACTTTAGAAATTCTTTTTCGCTTCAAGGAAGAAAAAATTTCCTTCGCTTTTTCGAATGAAGAAAAATCAACAAATTTTCCGGCGGTCGTAAAAAAATGAAATATCCGGAGATTCGCAATCATGACGAGGAACGAGCGCAAGCTATAAATTTTCAACTCCATAAATAAAAAAAAAGAAACGTTTTCTGAAGTGCGCGAGAGGAGCAAATAAAAAGACCTTTTGTGTGATATCATTGTCATTATTCCCATCTTTTTATATTTATTCACAAATTTTTATTGTTATTTTTGATGTACATTTTTTTTGAGTTTATATGTCGAGACATTTGCTGGGGCGTCGAATGTCAATTTTAAAATCTTTAAAAGATGCAATTTGTCGTTTGATTTCTTTTCTTTTCTCTGGCTATTATATATCTAAATATGCTTTTACATAATTTGTCTAAATGCATTTGAAGGTGTTATTAAAGAAAAGAAATAACTGACAATGAAGCCCCCCGTGTCTCGATTCCACAATTGCTTTCAATGAACGATTTTCATTCTTCATCGATATTATCATGTTTAAGACGTAGCAACAGGCATCGTGAAAGCTCCTTTCTTCTTCCTTTCTGTATCGCAAATGATGTTTATAATGTGCTTTCTTTCGAAACAAATTCTTTCGTTCTTTTCTCTCCTCTTTTTCATATTTACAGATAATGTTCCATTAAAGATTGAAATAAATTTATCAGCGCAATTTCGAATGTTGAATAGTGAGAATTCTTACATGGTTCAACCAGCATGATTAGAAAAACTCACTCCTTAGTCCTATTCTTTTTTTAAGAAGAAAAATGTGAGAATTTCAACTTGTCAAAAGTTGTGTGATTGATAGAGTGATGAGTAAATTTAACAACACATGAAAAAGAGAATGAACATAAGACATTAATAGAGGAAAATTATCTGAAAACAACATCTCTTTAAACAACATTAAAGTGACAATGCCCTTTTTTGATAAAATTGAGATAAAACATGACACATATAAAAAATGAAAAGAAAAATAAATCTCTTCTCATCTTTTCTTCTTATTTCTTTTTATATGAAAAACATAAACAAGGAAACTTTCTTTCCATTCATCTCTCGGTTAGATATCTGTTGTTGTTACTTATCATTTCTAAGCTTTTAAAGCGGCTCGACGGAATGTGGAAGGAAGAAGGGACGGGGAAGGAAAGGAAGGTAGCGAAAAAAGAAGATGCATGACTTAATAAGCTTTAATGGTGACCAGGTGTACCTCGCCTTATTTTATTATCATTCCAGTCCCATCTCTTATAGCATCAGTATCATCAACAAAGAAAACAATAAAATAAATTCTTCTTAATATAATCTTCTTAACAATTTATTATGTGTGTTCTTCCTTATGCGTGTGATATTGTTGATGGTGTTATTGTTGATTGTTTGCTTGTTTGCTAGTGAATCTTTCTTTTCAGCTTATGATGCGACCATTCTCACATCTTATCAGAAAATTGTTGTTTTCGTTCTTTTTTGATATGTTCGAGAGGCGACTGAAGCTTTTTTTTTGCGTTGCGTTTATCACACATTCTTCCTTCTATGACAAAAATCCAATTATTGTTAACGGGAGAGAATGGATTGTTGTCGAAGAAGTAGAGGAAAAGATTTTCCAGGGCGTTATCTTTGTCAGGAAGATTTCTTTACTTGTCGGTTCATTCAATGACATGCAATCTCGTTTTTTCGATTCAACTCTGATGATCTTATAATATTACAAAATTCCATCGTGATAACTGCACAATGTCTCTCTATGTGTGGTTCTTTGTGCTTTTTAATTTCTCTTTCATTTTCAATTAAATACAAAATAATAGAAAAAAGAACAATTTCTATCGATACATTACATTTTATATTTAAGAACCACATACATGCATTTTGAGTTTCAAGCTTTCTTTAATGAAATTAATTTCCCAAATTTACAAAGAGAATGAATTTGAATTGAAAACTGAGAGCTGGAAGTGAAAATTTAAGTGAATGAATTAAAACAATTATAAAAATAATTCAAATTCCATCTCTGAAGCTGAGAATGTCAGATATGAAGCTTTCAACAGAATGTTAAGAACTCGTAGAATTGTGAATATTTGAGGTTTCTTCAATAATATTATCACCGGAAAATCCAGAGAATTTTCATTATTGGCACCAACATAATCATCCATGCATGACGCTGTGCACCTTCAGTCGCACGACTTGTCGAATAAGCCACATTTAAGTGCGGTCGATTGATGTACGAATCGCCTGCGATTTCATTAAAGAGTGGATCGAACGTGACATATTCGAACTGTTGTGGTTCAGTTGATGTTATTTCATTTTCCAGTTCTGTGGTCGTCGTGGACGTTAAAGCTTTTTGATTTGAATTGAATAAGTGAAGAAAAGATTTAGAAAAAAATGTTAATATAAAGTTCACTTTGATGTATCTAAATGAAAGTTAATTACTTTTTGTTGTTCGCTTCATCGTGGTTGTTCGAAGTGTTGTTGTTGATGTTGTCGTGGGTTTTGGTGTCGTGGTTGTTGTCGTCGTCGTCGTCGTTGTTGGAATTTTGATTTCTGTTATTAACGTAATTGATGAATGAGATAAAAAAGCTTTTTAGAATCTTTGAGGTGAATGACGGTCCATTAAAGTCATCACATTAATGATTTCTACAGGGACTAAAAAAGTCATCAAGTCAATGTATAGCTTACCATATAGACGAATGGTGCTATTGGCACGTCCCATAACGTTTGCGGCAATACACGTATAAATGCCGATGTCGCTCTCACCAAAGTTCGAGATAACCATTCGCATTGTTGTCTTATAATGAGATTGCACGACCTCACTGATAGCGTATTTGTCGCCTTGTTGTAGCACATTTTGTCGTGGATCATCGTAAGAATGATGAAAGCTTCTACTTAATGGTTCTTTAATCCAGTAGCTTACGGGACGGGGCGATGCCTCGATTATGCATACAATTTCTATATGAGAACGCTCAAGTACGTGAACCGATTTTTCATTCATGATTGTGACATTTGGTGCAACTGACGAGAGATAGAATAACATGAATGATTAATTTTCGAGGATTTCTGATAAATTACTTAAAGACATCTCCTCAATTTAAAGCAAGGAATAACTCACATTGCACATTTAACATAACACGCTTGGAAACAGCTGGAGGAACATCATTTTTTGCAATGCAGAGATATGCACCTAAATGTCTTCGATCGACATTCTCAAAGCTCATTAATTCACCTTCATATGCATCAGTTTTCAAAGTACGATTGTTCTTTTTTATTATTATTGGACTTCCATCGTCTCGTCTCCACGTTATCCCTGTTCGTGTTAAAACATGAGTGGAAGGGAAAACGAAAATAATTTAATCTCAATGATCAATCCGTAAGCGGATAAATTGACTTACGCGGATGGGGATTGCCACTGGCAACACAAAAGAGCGAGGCATTTTGACCCTCGTTCACCGTTATATCTTTAGATGATTCCGAATCGAGAATGTCGGGAGGCACTGAAATGGAAATAAAGGAGTTCATTGTTCAAATGGATGTTTATTATGTCTGGTCTTCATATGTCCACAGTCTGACGTTTTAAATACATACAATGAACGTCTATACAACCAGTTTGCTTTTTTAATGGTATCGTGTTGATTTGGCACCTGCGACAAATTAAATTAAATTTAGTAATGGTTAGAGAAAGGAACAAAAAGGTCGTAAAATAATAGTCTCTTGATTACATGTAACAACCGCGATCTGTTTCTCGAATGTTGTTAATCTTAAGTCGCCATATTTTCATTTCTTCGTTCTCGACACTGTAGCGAGAATTGAAAGTCACAACGCGACCCTGTAAAGCCAGAACTGTTTGATCAGCAGCCCTCATCCATCCTACTTTATAGTCGTCAAGATTCTCTACATAACAACTCAATACAGCCTCTCGTCCTACGCTTACACTAATGTTTTTGATGGGCGATGTAAAGCTTGGTTCACGATTGTGATGGTTTTGTGTTTCCGAATTGACTGTGAAAAGAGATAGAATAGAATTGTTTTAGAATAGGAAAAAAGGTTTCAAGATATACAAAAAAAAAGGATGAAAATCATTTATTAATTCTAATTGAGATCTAAATTGTTCAAATTAAAACAAAGCATTTATTATCTTCTTTCATCCGTCAGTCATGTTTCAGAAAAAAAGCTCCTTAAGTGCCCTTTCTCATTTATTTTTAAACTGTCTTGAAAAAGTTTTTAATTCGATTAAATTTCGGACAATTTGGTCATTTGCTAAGTAAAAAACGAAACCAGAAAAAAATTAATAAGCTGTGTTGACATTCAAAACGAGTCGTTGCGAATGATTAATTGACTTTGTAAATGTTTAATCGTATAACAATTTCAAGTTTTGATTACTGATTTGTTTAAATTTTCATTCAAGTTAAAGCCGCTTTACTACTTAAAACAATCTGCAATAAAAACAACTGAGGCGTTCTTTGCGCGATTATTTTAATTACGGAACCAGAAACCATAGATAAGTTCTTATTTTTCATGAAACCTTCCCACTTTTCACGGTCGTGCACGTTATGAATTTAAAAAAGGTTTCAAGCAAAATTTGTGGATTGCGTAGCTGTCTTTCGGCAAGACATGCCAGGTAAGTATTTCACTTAAAAGGTTAAGACTTCGACTCTAAAGAATTCCATAAATTGAAAAGCTCAAAATATGATAAAAGAGAAGGATACGAAGAAGACTCTTTGATGCTATTTTAAAAAGCACTCGAGAGCTTTTAAGATCATTGAAGAATTAATAATTAATTGCAAAGCAGTTCACAGAGCATTTCTCTTTACATTAAATTCTCGAAAAGCTTCTAATGTGAGATTAAAACTTTTTTGAAATTTCAAAGCTTTCAATATATCAGTGACGAGCTTTGTGTTCCATCCCCAGTATAATTAAAGTATAATAATTAAACCAATATTAAAAGTGAAGTGAGTTTACTATTCACATTACAAAAACAACCCTCGAAACAGTTTACGCAATTTTTTAAACGATTTAAATGAATTTCTAGCCTCACTTCGACGTCCTTTTTAAAGCTTTAGACACTCCACCGAAAAGCATTTTAATGGTAAAAGGTTCCACTGAGTAAACAGTTAAAAGTGTTTGAAAAATTTTAGTAACTTGCTTAGTGGTGAAAGGAATTCTCGCCAAATGGAAGTGATGAGAGTTGCTTCACCACAAAAAGTAATTCCAGAGTTGAAATTTATATTTCTGACAAAATTTCTACCGCTCATGATTAGAATTTGCCTTTTTATATTATAATTTGGCTTCAGGAGTTTCACCAAAAGGAAATAATTTCATCAGAAACTTTTCTCGTTTTCTCAAATGGCAGTTAAAGGTTGATACGCAAGGATAACTAAAAGTGTCATGTAAATATTATTTCTTTACTTCATTAAACATTTTCCCTAAGCTTTACGTTCACTATCTTTACACAAACAGATCCAAATGCACACATTCATGAAGTTTACTCAAGCAGGGGGTAAAAGAAAAATTGTTTTGAGAATGTTTGAGTTGATGCAATGAACCGAATTACTTTAATTTGATTTACACAACTTTCTCACTTCTTTTCCTCTTCTTCAACGTTCGACGACTTGTGCTTTCTATTCAATTAAGATAATTTGATTTAGCGGCTATTTGCAGCTTTTGGAAGGTCCGTGAAGCAAGTTGACATTCAAGAAGGGTTGAGAGATGAAAGGACGAGTAAAAAGAAGAAAAAAAAGGATACGACCGACGCCTAAATATTTAAGCATCAGCTCGACCGTAACTGAGGTGAATTAATCCCCTGAAGAAAAATTCACAGCTTTAAAATATTCATCGGGAGAAGATACTTCTGTTTACTTCGCTTCAATCAAAATCTAAACTTTTACCTTAAGATTTGAACTGACTGCTGTCACAGTAATTTGTTAATTAATTAATTAACCCTACGCTCAGACAAACTTCAAACACTTCGTTTCTTTCCTATTCTCTGTCTCTCTCATCTTACGGAAATTAATGTCACACAGGAAGCAGCAAATAAAAGGCTTCCTTTAAATAATCAAAACAAATTGGCATCTTCAAGCGTCTCGACTCTTTTTTTTTTCTTTACTTTACTTTACTTTCTCTTCTTATTTACACACCATTTTCCTTTTAATTAAATTGAAGCGCCTTTCCACAGACACTTGTAAATGTTTTTCCGACTGGGATAAAGTGAAATGAATATTTTCACCATTTTTATGACGGTTGCTTTACCGAGATAAATATTTCTTGCTGTGCAGAGAATGAAGTTGTTTGGTGTGCAGAAAGAAATGGAGACTTTAATGAAGCTGAAGCCCGGGAAGAAACAATTTATTCCTTTCATGGGTGGCTTTCGAAGGCTTTTCTGATTTATTCTCCAAGTTCTTCGTCTTTTACTTCATTTCTTTTCCTTTTCTTCTTTTTATTTTATTTTCAATTTGAGTTTTCTTTCTCACCCAACCACCCCCACATATAGATGTGTGTACGCCGAATTTATTTCGCTTTGATTCTCAATCTTTATTTAACAGTTCCCACCACCCTCCCATTCATATTCATTTGCTCGGGTTTGTTGTTTGTTTCGTTTTGCAATTTGTTATGTTCTACACATTTTATTGCTTTTCGTCGACGAAAAATTGCTCAAGCTTTCGTCTCGTACAACATCAGCATCTGTGTGTATTATTTCTTGAAATTGTTAACAATAAAATTACAATAAATTATTCTCCAAATTTCATGAATTTTTATGGGAAAATAAATTATTAATATTGGTGAAATATTTATTCGAGACTTGAGAAAGAGAGAGCGAGAGAGAGAAAGAAACTTTAATGTAAAAAGAAAGAAAATCTTGATGCATTTCAAAGTTCTGTTTTTATTGTAGGTCAATTTCCTAGGTGATGTCTGAATAATGAACACTTTGAAAGCATTGAAATATCTTGAGAATGAAATAATAAATTTTAATTTTAAAACAGAAGCTTTGTTTATTATCTTAACTATGCTATAATTATAAATTTTCCTTCGATGAAACTAAGAGTAAACATTAAATTACAATTGCACAGTTGGACGATCAAATTTCTCGATACGAAATTCGAAATATTGTGATCGTTGATCCAAACTCTGCTCTGATGTCGATTCACTTTAATTCATCTTAAAATTACAGATCATTAAACATTCCCAGCGAATAAATAAATACAAGAAAATTTCTTCAAGGTGGAATCATTTGCCAAGGATAGGATACTAATAATTGAATAAAATCGAGCAAATAAGAAATAAAACGACAGCATTAGCAATGAGATTATCCATCGAGATATTTTCTTTTCCATTTGATGAAAAGAAGCTTCGCAATAAATTTATCGGGAAAATAAAATAAAAAGAAATTGGAGCGAAAGTCTGCTTACTTGAACTTTTAAGTATTTCTCTTTTCCATCGTTACAGACTTTCTTTCTTCTTCATTCCTCGATTTCTTGCTGTGAAAGCGATGGTTCTTTTAAGAAGGTAATGGAAGAATAACAACAATCTTATGGATGTACACAAGCTAAAGAAAATATTGAATGAGATGAAATTTCCATGAACAGTTTTCGTCCATAAATTTCGTCTCGCCAACGTAAATCTCTTCCCTTCACTCCATCCAACAACACTTCGATGATTCGAAAGATTTCCACATGAAAAATTCAAATCAACTTTTCCACTTTTTCGAGGTTCCACAATCGATAAAAATCTACATGTACATGTAAAGATGTTTATCTAAACGTAAGCAATCAAATCGAAACTAAAAAGCATTAACAGACGGCTTCAACATAATGTGCTAAAGATAAAAAGCATTATGAAAAGAAGGAAAGATGAATAAAAGGGGGAGACGAGTGATGAAGCTGTAGCTGAGCGAAGCCCGTATATAAAAATTCAATTTTCTCCTTCATCTCGGATCGCTGAAGCTTTTGTTTATTTATGCTGAGCGCTAGATAGAATATATGGAAAAAAGAATTCATCTAAAATAAAGAATTCTCCTTCCATGCTATACAACCATCTACCACACTGACAATGAGATTTTTCTTGATAAAAATGAAAAGAAAAAAGAGAGAAAGAAAGAAGAAATAATAACCTGCCATTAAATCATTTCAATGGAATTGTTGCGTATCAGTTTGTTACAAACTATCTCATTCGAGTTTAATTTCTCTCACATTTATTTGCAAAGAATTGTTGATTGGGGTAAAGAATCAAGTGGAAAGTTATCGAATTGATATTAATCTTATTTTTCTATCAAGTCAAAAGAAATATTTATAAGTTGAGCTTCCCAATTGACGGGGATGAAGAGGTCAGCTTAATATTTTATATAGAGTAGTTCCAGTCAGTTCAGGAAGCAGTAAAAACGTCTAACACAGTCCATTTGAAAGCTGGATTTTCCACAGAGATTATGATGATAAATTGGCGCACACTTGAACATAACAGAGGAAGTAAGTAAGGTTGACGAATTTCAAATCTCACGTCATCTTAATTCCACTTCTTCTCTTCTTTTCCTTCTTCTTTCTTTTTGTTGCTTTCTGGCACTCGCTGTTGAGAACGTGAAACGTCTGACGAGTCGACAAAATTAATCTTTCTTTCTATTTTCCACTTTTCTTTATGAAGATGTATGGAATGAAAGCAAGGAAATGCTACTCAAGTGAGTAGGATGACCACTAATTTATTCGAATCGTTGGAAAAAATTAAGTAAAATGACATTGTCAGGTTTTAGAACAGTTCAAGATAAGTTAAAACAGTCACACAAATCATTTCAACAAATTAAAGTCTTTGAAATTTCTTTATCTCATGATCCGAAGCTTAATCTAACGAGACTTTGAGAAAATTTATTACAAAGCACATGACAAAGGTTAATTCTGGTCAATTGGCCAGCCTATCACCCTGAATAATCGAAAAGCATTACAATTGCTCATATCTTTTTCTCAATGGTATTTTGTATTGTTAAGATTTTTTTTCGTCTTTCATGATAACACAGGAAGAATGTGGATAGTCATTTATTATCGCATGAACACCATCTCAGGATGTTTGCTTTAATGCTTTTTTTGCTTTCTTTTTATTTATTTTCCGTCTAATCCACCATTTCTTCTTTTCCACACTTCCAACTTTCCGAGGGCTTTTCTCTACCACAAGAATTTCTATGGATCATTTAGTAATCAAGTTTGTAACAAATTTCGCAATTGATGAAAAATTCTTCAAGAAAAGGAAAGGAAAACTTCCACAGAAGTATTGAAGGAAAACTTTACAATCCCCAGGTGATTTTCTTCAACATGAAGATAAAAGCAGAAACCATGAAAATATCTTTTAGGTGGAAAATATGAAAAAAAAAGTTTGAAAAATAGGAACGGAAAAAAGAAATTTGTAAGCAATTTTCATGAACACACAAACAACTTTTTTTTTTGAGAACAAGAAAAAATTATAAGTAAGGAAGGAAAGAATGAAAAGTTTTTTATTTTCGAGTGAAACACAACAACGAATTGTTACAGTTGAGTGATAGCGTTGGAAGGACAGAAAATATTTCTTATTCAACAAACTATGTAGAACGGTAGCTGGTAAGATTTTTCATTCATTTGATCCCAGGTGCTTTCGGTGTCATCTTTTAAATTGCAAATGCTTGTAAAAGCTCCCATAAGGGTTGTCGTCGTTTGTAAACAATAGACGAAGAACTAAAAGGACATGTAAGCTTATGTGTGTGTGTATGTGTAGATGAGAAATCTCTTTGATGAATGAAGCAATTTTCCATAATTCTAATTTCAATTATTAATCTAACCTTTAGCATAACATTGTCTGTTTGTGGAGTGCATAATTATGCTTTAATAACAACATCAGAGAACATTGTTTCATGAATCATTTTATGGTGTCTGGATTTTGCAAATATTTCATCGGTCATTCCTGGCATGACATTCTCACAATGTCCAACATGTTTTGGCTTTATGCATGTCCAAAATTTCTTACATGCTTATCTGTCTTGAATCATCTCTTGACAAAACCAGTTTTCAACCATTGATTTACATTAAAATTTGTTGAAAACGATGAACGACAAAATTCCTAAGCTTCTAAGGAAGAAAAAGGAAAATATCGCCAAACTTCGCCATATTTTCGAATAAAAAATCATGAAGGTGTAAAATTTATGGCTTATGGAGAAGAATTTTACACACAAGGTTCGTTTCTCTCCTTTTTTTACCGCTATGCCATAAAAAATAGCACAGTCATTCCTTTCGCACAATAAATGTGCTTTTGCCGATCCAACTTATATTATTATTCTTTGAAAGGGGAGGGGGCGAAATTGCGAGGGATGAAACAAGATTTTTTCTCTCCATCTTTTTCACTAAATCTTTCCGAATGAGAACCAGAAAATTACTTTTTTTTTGCACCTTTGGAGTAAACGAAAAAATGATATTGAAATCAACACCTTTCGGGAGTTGCTCTGGTCAGAGTGGAAGATCCATTAATAACCTTTAACAAACTTAATCTAGCTGTGTGGATTATGGTGCTTTAGTTACGAAAACATGTGTTTCAAGCTTAAAATTGCTACACTTTTATCATGTTTATGGGTGGTAATAAAAAAATGTTCGGAGTTTTCACGAAGCATTGTTTTTGTTTAGGGGAGAGAACGCGGTTCACGACTGCGAACAAAGACGAGAGCAATTGATTGAAAACACCACGTAATTCGCAATGAAACACATGTTCAACCATTTAATACTTGTTTAATTGCGGGTAATGTTTCTCTCTCTCCTCGACATATTTGTGAGTTGTGTGGATTATTATGATTGAATCATTCTCTAGCCATTGCAACGCAACAATGATTCATTCATATGAGAATTTAATAAAACTTTTGAAATCTCTTTCTTGACAGCATCGATTTATAAGCTTCTCAGATGCATGTTCAATTGAGATATTTTCAAATTTAAATTGAAAAAATATCTTCTAAATAAATAAGAAATTCAGATAAACTAAAGTGAAGAATCTTTTGAAAAGTTGGAAGAAATATTTCTGATTCTATATTGAAATTAAGATGTTTCCAGAAAGAAAATTGTCAGGAAAATGTAAAACAGAAATTTTCGATTTCTTTCATTTCTTATAACAAGAATCTTTGGACTTATTTTGAAGACGAGAAAACTTTATCATGGCTCAAGGGAAAGTTTCTTGTGCAAAGAAAGAAAGAACAAAAAATTCACTTTAGATAAGACTCGTCGTCCACTGGAAAATAAATTTTTTCTCATGAGATTCTTTTGAAGAATGAAAAATGTAAGAGAACCTAAAAACTTTTCAATTTCCTCAGCATCCTTATATGATTAAAAAATAAATATTTGTATGAAGTCTCAAATTGGTCAGTCGCAGACATTGTGACATTTCTATTTCATCTTCTTAGTCTGGGAAAAAACAAGAAGAGGAAGAAGATACGAACAGAAGGAAAAGCAAGAGAAGGAAAACTTTTCACATTTTTCACCCCCCGAAAAATGCATAAAATATAAATTCACGGAAAACTTCTCTTGCCATACAGAGATATTCATCCAGGCAGCATGAATTTTCGACAAAAAAGAAAATTTTCATCACGTATTTGCAGTAGGGAGGAGCAGAACATTCCATCAAGCAAATGACGCAATATTTCATATTCTTCTGATTCTTCGTTTCTACACAGCAATTTAACGGATAATTTTTCTCTGATTTTTTTCTCTACTTTCATGGAAAGTTACACAAAACTGCTTAAACAAAATCTCTCACACATCTGTGTAATGTCGAGTGTCAAATCAAGCAAACGATAAATTTCTAAAACGAGAAACTAAAATGCCGTCTTGTTGTTTAATCATAACTTGTCATGTCAGTCTTGAATTTGACCTCGTCACAATCTCATTACATCCATGCACAACAAACATGGAGATTGATGTTTGTGGTTTTCTTACCTTTTAGCTTGCAAAACTCTCATAAAATCATCCCTAACAATGCAGTGGAGAAAGGAGGTGAATGGAAAAACAAATGAATATCAATAAAAACCAAAACCATCTACAAAAACACTCATCATAATCCCTGAGACGTAAAATAAGACAACAAAAAAATTCCATTAACATTTACACTGCTTTCAGCCAAAGTGCAGAGAATGGAAAATTTATCGTTGAAACGAGAAAAATTCCCAATGGTTCGATTTAATATTGTTTAGGAAAATTGTCGCAGAAAGAGCGCAAATAAGTTTTGGCGCATATTAGAATAAAGTAGGAATACGTGGTGGCGAATGTGTTTGTATCGTGGCTGCGTTGTTTGACACATGTGTGAATATTTTTGAACTTTCTGTAAATAAAAAAATAACTCCATAAATTTTCATTTTCAGTTAAAAAATGTCTCTTATCATCGCCAACTGTCCCAACCACTTCCAAACAGCGTGGAATAACGAAATTCGGTTTATTACGAACATGTTCACATACCTTTGCGGTGTTGTTTCTCATCTGCCCACAAAACATCAACAGCGTCATTGCTTCCCAATCATAAATTTATGTTCATCAAATTAATCACAATGTGATCGTGCTTGAAGGGATTCCGATTCTTCCAGTAATAAATAATAAAATCAAGTTTTTTGAATCTTTTCTCCCTTTCCACACATTTTTTTAAGCTTTCAAAGCTTTTTTTTTGGAGAAGAAAAATCATTTGACTTTTCAAATCCACCCCTTGAATGTTTCATGTTTCCTCAGTTCCCCTTCATTCATTCATTCATTTATACACATTTGGCGTTTGATGGCATGCAATCGGAAATAAAAATCATGAACGAGGAAGCATACAGAAAAAAAATAAAGAATTTGAGCAAACACCAGTACGGGAATATTATTTATGGCTTGTGATTCATGTGTGAAGCTTTCAGCTTTTTCTTTTTTCATTTCCCCTCTTCATGTGCTCTCAAATATATAAAAAATGCTTTTCAATTTCTCTGGCAGACTGTAGCTTTATTCCTTTGCCGATGTCTGATGAATATTAATTGAATTTGTCATTCATCTTCGCAATTTTTCTTTTTAATTCGGTTTTGATTTTTCCTATGAAATGCAAATTAAATTTAAATTTAAAACCGAATCCTTTTCCTTCTGTATAAATTTAATAACCAAAGCATCCACTTAAGTGTCGTAATCTTTTAAGGATGGAAATTAAAATTCCTTTTCAAGAAACTAAGAAACTTTGATTAATGTTCAAATCATTTAAAATCTTAATTGAAAATATCTCACAACAAAATCCAAGCGAAAGATGAGAATTTTCCGAGAAGTGTTAAAATGTGAAAGAATTCCATTACTCAGAATGAGAATCTTTAGTTAATTTTCTGCAAGCCTTGCCTTAACAAGCTTGTCTGGTCTTGTTAAAGTGATAAGAAGCTTATTCCCCACTCTATGCTTACACGAAAGTTTCTTATTTAGAACGAAATGAGAATTCCGCTAACAAGAATGATACTAATTTCAGTTCTACCTCTTACAGTTTGTTATTACACCTTGCTTCAGCTAGCATCTTCAACAGCAATTACGGAAAGAAACAATCTCACCTCGACTCTCAACTTTAATACGTTTGCACGTACAAAATACGAATAAGTGGATTAAGGAAAAAAGTCATCTTACTTTCGAGGCTTCGTAAATGTAACGCCCTTCGCAAAAATGTGAAAAGAAAGTTAACTTTGTTTGCGGGTGAAGTCAACTGTCGAGAACTTTCTCAACTTCTCTTCATGATCTTGTATCATTTTCGCTTAAAGTACTTCATGTAATTTCCCATGCGATGTTGAAAGCGGGCCTTTTCTTATTCAACAAGAAGCACTGCAGATGATGAAGACAATAAGAAAGTTTAAAATATTTAAAAATGTAGAAGCATCGCCTCGAACAGACTCTAACTTCTGATTTCCGAGAATGTCTTTGTCTCTCTTAGTTAAATTTTCAGTTCTTTTTTACTCTGTTCAGTCGGATGGGCTCCTGCTATGAGTTTATTCTCAGTTCTCACTTCACCTAAATGAAAATTTCTTGTTTATTTCTTTCAAGGTTGTTTTGTTTTTCTTCTCGTGCTTCCTTGGCTTGTGCCCCAAGGAGTTTTAGGCAAAGTGCCTTCAATATATTTCTTCAACCGTAAAAAGCAATTAAATCGCAGTTTTCGTGATCACTTTTCTTCAAAGTCTGATTAGGCGGCTGTTGCTTCGTTACTTTCTTCCCTAGAAGTTCAAATTTATAACCCAATGAAATGAATTTCTGTTTTCTCATAACAAGCTTAACACTGAATTCAACTTGTCGTCATTAATTTTCACAATATTTATAATCTCTTTTTTAAAATTGAAAACGTAATAAGATAAATTTCCCACCCACGTCAAAACCAAAGTAATGAAATTACAAACACTTTAAAGCTTTAGGAGGGTGGGTGGATGGTTTGATGATAGAATAAATTAGGAGTCGTTGTAAATTAATTCCCAATAATATTTAAATTGTTGTTGCGTCAATGTGGAATAAAATTTGTTTGTTTTTCAGTCGTTTGCTAACTTACTTATCTGTTTAAAAACGAATGAAAATTTTCAATGTTCAGATAATCCTATTAATATATGAAGATATGAAAGGAAAAAGCTTTCTAGAAAATGTACGTATAAGTAACATAATGAAATTAATTGGAGCTTGAATTTTATAAAAACAACCCAATGTGATTCTAAATTTTATTCTTTCATGGCAGTTACATATCTTCTTGCTTCTCCGAACCTCCCCTTCTGAACATAAAAAATGAGTTTTTAAGTTCACAAAATCTTTTCTTTTCAATTTCATATGTTACACAATGGAACATATAAAAGTTTAAAGAAAGTTAGTGAGAATAAAGAACTAACTTTTCTTATGTTTTTATTAACCAAGATCAATTCAAAATGTCTGAAACGAAAGAGTATCCAAGTGTTTAGCTTCTTCTACGTTTGAACGTATAAAGGGATTGAAACGATTATTGGCACGATGGGATACTCAATTTCGGAATGTTAACGAGATAAAATAAGAAAAGGGGAGAGAGAATGAAAGGATAAGACAGCAGAAGCACAACGTGATAGATTTTAATTCGAAGTAATTCAACAGCGAACCCAAAAAAGAAAGAATGGAAATTGTAAATAGCGAAGGGATGGATCTGAAACCATTTCGAATCCATTGCTCTCGTGGGGAAATTGAAAAGTCAAATCCATAATTATTGCGTATCCTTTTGAATACATTTACACTTTCGACCGGGACACTAGCTTGCTTTAAAAGCTTACTCAGAAATGGGCTAAAAATGTGGAAAAAACAAAGAAAGACAACATTTCCATGTTATGCAAATCTTTCATTGTCTCTACGGTTTCATTTCTCCTTTTCTTTCTTTTCATCATCAGAAAAATGAAAACTGAGCCCAGAATATTGCGGTGTACGATGGTGAAAAAAAGAGAAAGAAGCAAAGCACACATAAAAAAAGATCTTGTTGTATGAGGGTATTGTTGTCGAGGAAAATCGAGTCCAAACATTAAAGTTGGAAAGCATAGTGTTAACAAAGGGAGAAGGAAAAATATTTCAAAGCTTTGTGTAAAGTAGAAAGAAACAGAAAAAAATTAAAAGCACTTTTCACAGCAGAAGTGAAAGTCTGTGTGTTTATTAAACTCCTCCAGGGATAAAGCTTGATGCGACAAAATGAAAGACACAAAAAGTGGCATCATTGAAGCACTAGTACGGTACGCTTTGAAAAGAACGTTTTCTCATATTAACACACAAGTGCAAGCTCGGAAAATCCTCAAATAATCGCTTAAGAGTCTGATGGTGTAAGTTTAACAAGGAAAAAATGAGAAACCTGCAGGGAATTGAGTAATCTCCGTTGTAAAATGAATTAAGTTTTGTTTATGCATAGCCTGAGTGTTTAACTTTCAAATTTGTTAAAATGAAGATGAAGAAAGATGAAAGCTTATTTTGAAGAAAATTAAAAAATAAAAAAGCTCCATTTTCTGCTTTGAGACAATAAACTTACTTTTTCTTCTTGAAGATAATTAAAAACTTCAAGTTGAACTCTCGAGAAGAGTAAAAAGCACATGAAAATTATAAACATTTCTCTATCTTCTCGGAGAATCATTTTGAGTGAAATACAAATTACAATAAAGAAACATATTGAAACTTTTCTCCCTTTTAGCAAACGCTAAAGCGTTAAAATTTTGCATCATGGCAAGATGTAAAGAAATATTTTTTCTTTATGTTCTAACGATGTAAAGACTCAAAATAAATAAACCTGAATGCAGCGCATTTATGCAAAAATAGGTCATGCGAAAGAAGATTCTTAAAGCCACATTCATATGCATAACAGAGCCAAGATGAGGGAAATTTTCTAAATAAATTCTTCAAACTATTAAACTGATTATCTGAACAAGATGCTTTAGTCGTGGAAAATGTTCAACAGAAGCGAAAACTAAAGAAAAAAGAACTTTTAAATATCCTTATCTGTAGTCAACTCTTTAGTAATTCAAAGTGCATAGCAAACCCTTTGTAGCGATAGAAACTGCTGTGATCACTGATGTGTGATGTTCCCGTCTCTGGGGTTTTTGAGTGGTGAACAGCAAAGAACTTTTTAAAGTTACGGACACTGTCCTTTGATGGCAAACGCTTGATGCTTGCGAGCTAGCTTGCGAGTTTGAAATAGAATTGAATTTTCTGAATAGTTGCTTTTTATTTCTATAGAAATTATTCTTCTTACAAACAATCTAACCCACACTTCAGTTTGAAAGGGAAAATAAAGAAAGTCTCACTTTGTTCTATTTGAAGAATTTATGTGAACGATTCTTGAATTTGAAAAATTAATCTAATTTATTTCTCTCCTTTCTTCAACTTCTTTTAAAGGAAGACAAAGCTTTGAATGAACAACAGAGTGGAAAGGGTCAGGAAACTCTATTGGATGGAAAATTTCATTTATTTTATTACTCTCGACAAGAGCTTATAAAGTTCTTCAAGGAACTCATTGTATTCACTTCGATAATCAATCAGCATTCGTTTCCATCGCCTGATAGTCGACTAAAATTAATTTTAATAGGGAGAGAATTGTTTTGAAATCATTACAATTTTTTCTTTCTCTTATTCCCATTTATGCAAATTTATTTCGTCGTTATAGTCGTCTGGTAAGGAAAGAACGTTCTTACCAACATCGACGTGATGAGTCGAGTGAGAGAGAATTTTTTTAGCTTTTGAATGAACCATAACGAATTAAATGAAAGAAAAGCACGGACTGAGTTTAATTACAAAGTTTTATTTTAATTCCTCATAGCTATAGAAGCCTGAGACACGGAAACGCTTTAAGTAGAAGAAAAAGGAAAACTGAAATCACAACAATCGTTTTCCCTTCCTCGTCTTTTGTTCTTTTATATGTTGTCGTCAAGAGAGAGAAAAAAATGTCGCTTTACAAGGATTTTTTCTTTTTTTCTAATTGAATTATATTCGAGTTCGTCTCGCTTTTTTTTCATTCTTATTCTTCATCAACATTTTCAATCACAATGAGGGTTTTAATTTCAAAAGAAAATGTATTATGTACAGAAAATTGCTGAGACACTTTTTCTGTTTTCGTTCAAGCATGAGATGAAACTTTTTGTTGAAGTCATTTCTTGTTAGAATCTCGTGATAAGCGCGCGTAGCAATTCGAGTTAAAAGCCCTCATAACTTTTCTTGTGTAAAGCATTGAATGACATGAAAATCTTACTTGACAATTGTCAATATTTTTCATTTCACCATCATTTCTTATCTCATTCTTTATCCTTACATTCACATAAAGAATATCAATGATTACTCACCATTTGCAAAGTTGTTGGCAAAGATTTGAAACAAAAGTAATCCAAAGAGATGTTTCATAGTTTCGTAATTCTCTGTTATGATCTTGCTTTGTTACAAAATTCTTTTCTTCATTGATCTCCCACGAAACTGAATATTATAAAAAATTCTTTTCACCTTGAAAGCTTTTCACTTTATTATTTACAACTTGTCATCATCGTTTTCCACGCATCAACAGAGCGAAAATAGCTTGAGAAAACAGCTTCAAACTTTCTCCATCGTCATTTGATATGGTGTCAGATAATAAATTTTATGACAACTTCAACCGATTTTCGACACTTTCCTTTCCTTTCCTTTTTGAAAAGAAGCTTTCAGGTTGTTGATATTGATACAATCATATGCGTTAGTATTTATACGAGTTTTGTTACTCCCTCAAGACTTAGAATCATAAAAATCAGACGATGTGATGCTCAAATTACATAGCAAACACAGAAATGTGTTAATGCTTCGAAAGGGAGAGATATTATCATTATTAAATTTATTTGTTATGTGGCAGAGTATTTTTTACTGCGAAACGAAATAGAATCACAACGAGCTTAAGATCGCTTGTCGAAAGATACGAACGAATTGTAAGCGATGAAAATGTTTAGCACTTTATCATTTGATTGAAATGTTTATTGTTCAGGATTTTTTCTGCCTCAACATTGAAAGCTCCGTTAAATTGCCATAGATTTTACGTGTGAACTTTACGATGGATCCAAAAATTATCTTCTCTTAATTTCGTCCCGAAGAAAATTGTAATAAAAAGGTTAGAAATGTCAAATAAATTTTTTAAAAGATAATTTTTTTTTGTGTCACAAACAGCGATTCACTCGATTGCACGATTGAGAAAAGACTGAGAATCATTTGATATGTTAAGAACTCATCATTTGCTGCTCTTTTCTTATTATCTGTTTATTGCCCAGCTTCATTCTCTTTCTCGACTGAAAGTGAGAAGTGAAATGTTCAGCTGGCTAAAGGGGAAGCTGCAGACGAATAAGATGAAAACGAGGGGAAAAAGAGAAAATCTCAATCGAGAGAAAATTGTCAGGGGAAAATTTTCAACTTTCTCCTTCAACACTCGATGTAAACCACTGAAATCTCACGATATTTTCCCGCAATCCTTTATTTCTTCCTTGTTTCTCTGAAATTTATTGATGAGGTGAAGAAAAATAAAAAATCCTATTTGAATGTTTTTCCAACATTTTAATTCCCTGTTTTTGAAATTTAAAAGCAAAAAACAAATTAAACAAATTGTTAGAAGAATTTCTATAAATTAATGATTCATCATGCGGTGATGTTGATCAGAAAGTAGCACAACTTCACCATCTCATTAAGTGCAATAGAATGAACTTAAAAGTTAGTAACAATTATCTCATTAATTTTACTCAATATTATTTCAATTAAATAATTGCAAGCTTTCATAAGATGAAAAAACTTTTCATCTTTTTCCTTCGATTACTCAATAAATAAGGAAAATTTCTGTTATTTATTCATCAGCTTGCATCATCTGCATTCGCTTGAAATTTATGCTTATTTTTTTATTCTTTGATATTAACCAATTGAGGTTCAAACTTGTAAGTTATAAACGCAAACACCTCAACATTGCGGTTGCTTCATGAGATACTTATTTACATTTACATTTGTAAAACATTTAGATATGATAATTAAATTTTGTTTCCAATGTTTCGCTTTATTTTTTTGCTTTGTTTTGTAACATTTCACTTATAATTTACGAGCAATTCAGTTGGGGATTGTGGAGCAATGTTAACGTTGTTTCTGAATTAAAATTAGCAGTTAAATGATCAAAATCAACGGGAAGCTATTGCACTATTGTTCTTGTAATTAAATATTGTTACAACTTCATTAGAATCCGGGTCTGAAAATTGTCAACTCCCGATTATCAGCTTGGTCACAACCACAGCATTCATAATTTATTATGCTCTGTGGTATGTTTGGCTTTATATCAAATTCTCGATTTTAACATTGTCATCATTTTAAAATTCACTACAAAAACCACGTAGTTTCTTTAATTATGATCCAATTGATTTTTAACGATCAAAATTAAATTTCTACGTGCTCGAGAGTTTATCAATTAAGAACTTTTTTTCCTTCTCACTTTTTTTCCACATTCTGCCATGTTCGGCCATTAATTGCAACAAAAAAAAAGAAGATAAATTAAATTTAATCGTAGAAAGCAATTGATTTAAATGTAGAGAGAAAAAGTCATTTGATTTGAAAGTTGATCATTAAAGTCGTGTGAAACAAAACTATGCAATTAAATTAAAAAAGAAAATCTGCGCCAATAAATCACACAAAAACCAACAGAGATGAACGCAAATGGTGACATTTTAATGACATAAATTTCTTTAATTGTGATTATTTCAACCGTAAACTTATGTATTAATGATGTCAATTTACCTCATTTCTGCGACACTTGATAAAAGTGAAGTAAAATGGCGTCAAACATTAAAATTAAACAACACAATTTCAACCTTCCCCAGACCCCAACCAAAGCCTCTTTTGTTTCTCTAAATTCTTTAATAGCAAACAAGTAGAAGTGTAATTAATTAAGTATTCAGATGCTACTGAAAAAGGAAGATACTGCCTGGGAACGAAAATAATTAACCAAGATTGGTAATTATAAGCGAGAGAAAAACATAAATTAATCATTCGTAATTAACATTTACAAACAGATTTTATTTGTGCTTTAAAACTCTTAGAACATCACAACAACAAGCGACTAACTTAAAGGTAACAACATCAATTTTTTAATCGCTTAGCTTCCTGTGATAGTTCTTGTTGAAGCGCTTGTTTGAGTTCACACATCAAGTGTTTTATTTCTTTACCCACTTACAAATCCAATCCATTGCTTCTTGTAAGCCCGCACCGTCTATCGCTGAGCACGCCTGAATCTGCCAATCACGATCCTTCATCTTAACTAATCCTATCAATTCAGCTACCTCGGATGACTTTAAAGCACTAGTGAGATCTTGTTTGTTTGCCAACACAAGTATCGGTACGCTTCTCAATTTTTCATCCTTCAACAACTCGTTGAACTCATCTGTGCTTTCACCCATCCGCTTTCTGTCACTGCTGTCGACCTTTTAAAAAGAAAACCGAGTTTATTGGCGAATCAACCCAGACATCGGTTCTAAAGTCTCAAGTTCTGTTCATATTTAATCAAACTCTCACCACAAAAATGAGAACATCTGTGTTCTCAAAGTAATTTTTCCAATAAGGACGAATTTTTGCATTTCCACCTTTAAAAGAAATTAAGAGGATAATTAATAAATATTTAAAATATTCTTTAATGGAGGAAGTATAAAGCGACGGTGCTTGCCTAAGTCCCAAACATTCAAGTTTAAATTATTTGCTGCAAGAACGTAACAGAAATATTAATTAAAACATAATGTCGAATGTATATAGAAAATATTTACTAGAAATCGATTTTATGTTAAAGCCAGCTGTTGGTGTCGTAATGTTTGGCGTTTCTTCGTTCGCCAATTGCTTGAGAATTGTCGTTTTACCCGAGTTATCTAAACCTAGTAACACAATTCTCAACTCCTTGTCAGATGACGATCTGAGCTTACGAAGCAGTGAAAGTAAACCCTGTGAAATATTTAATTCTAATTGTACACTTAATGTAAAAGAAAAATGTTCACAAAAACATCAATTAGAAGTTGTTTTAGTAGATTGAACATTAACATTAATGGCAGTTTAAGAGCTGTACTCAAAGTGAAGATTTAATTGGCACTTGAAAGTTTTCATTCCATACTTTCATCAATGCAGATTCTTACAGTGTAACGAGAAGTAGATAAAAGAAATTGCAATTCACCTAAAGAAAATTTACTTAACTAACTAACCATAATTGATTTTTTAAACCGCACGAATCTTCCACAACGACTTGGCAAACTTTTTCTTCTTCTTTTATTCGATGTTCTCTGGTAATAATTTTAAGATTTGATAACAGAGCGAAGAGCTTTTGTAACTTGCAAGTGTTCTTTTTTTATTTTTTGCAGCACTTAGACTGATATACATAACATCTAGCAAATGTTTTGTTGCCATTGACATCGTGAACTTCATAGAAAGTTGGAAATAAAATGTAAAGTTAATTAAACGGCGCTCCTGGCTTGTCGTCATGACGCTTAAAAAATTCAAAACAAAAATATTTGCTTTCGTTCATTGCATGCTTTTAAATGGAATTGAAGTGTTTGCATAAGCATTAAATTGTGCATAATATTGAAATCACTTTTTTTTGATGAAAAAATGTCAGAATTTAATAGAACTTCAAAGATCGAACGTCTTAACTTAAGAAAGATTTCATGTTTCAATTAAAGTTATTGATTTTGCACATCTAAATATTTGCCAAGGGAATTTTGCTTCATTGCATATTTCACAAAGATTAATTATTATTAATAATAAATATCTGAAGAAATGTTTTGATTTCTATCTCTTCTCTATCTGCAAATTAATATACAGTCATCGATATTTTAAATTTAATTTATTACACAATTATCTTCTATTTGTCTAGTTCCAGGTCCTTGTCGTCCATTGACTTTCAAATGAGAAATTATGTAATTATTGAACAATCTTTAGAAATGTTGGGAAGTCTATTTGAATATGGATATTGACAGGGATGATCAAGTCATTATAGCTCTGTTGGGAGTTTTAATATTCTATTTGCTGTTTCAGGCTTTAGTATTATATTTAATACATGAGAAACCATCGAAATATCACTAATGTCGTTAGCCTTTCAGCACTTGTCTTGTCGTCCAAAACTATATAAATATTGATACAATTCCCCATCACATATCTAGAATGCGAAGAGGAAGGAAATTTCTTTTCCTCAGAATAAATAAATAGAACATGTAGAGATAAATGGAATTGGTGCTAACGAAATTGGAACTTTTTTTGTTCGTCTTCATCTTGTCATGAGGACATCCAAAAATGAATAACAAGATGATGATGAAAGTTTTTCTTTCTCAACTTTATTTTTTCTTCCTTCTTTGTAGTATCATGTGAAAGCTAAAGCTGTCAAAATACTCTGACTAAATGCACATATTTACCCGTGGAGTTCACATTTCTTTGATTGTCACTCAGATTTGACTGTCATGCTCCCATGGTGATGTCGTTTATTAGACTTTCTTTCTCGTTTGTCTTTGATGCGTACTTCTACATATATACTGAATAAGTTTTATTTTGAGAGAGAGAATTTTTTAATTAAAAAACTTCCATGTAAATATAATCACGACAAACAAGAAGACAAACAAATCCAAGTATTCTCTTTTCCTCACACTCCATCTTAATTACATTTATCATTGCTGACATTATTTATGTTTAAAGCATTGTGTTGGGAAGAAACAAAAGTGCTTCGGAAGGAGAACATTAATTACACTATACACATATATGCATGTTCGCAACGCTTGCTTTATGCTCTAAAGTAATTAAATACGAATCCAATGATTAAGGAAGGAGAATAATGACTCTGGCAATTGCTTTCTCATTTATATATATTTTAACGATCATTGACTCAATAAATTGAAGCTTTAAATGCTTGAGAAAGTTGAGATGCTTTTTAAGTATTTGAATATCAATAAACAACTTCATTCACAGCATCATTAATCATAAGATGTTTCAAAGGCGATCGAGTGATTATTTGAGTAAAGCAAAAAAAGATTTCCATATTTAAGTGTTTTGTGTATTTGCCGTTTTTTTGTGTATTCACTTCTATTCTTAGATAAATATCTTCGAATATGTATTACACTTTTCAAATCGATTCATCCATTAATATTGATTTCGATGCTTCATTCTCGTTTTCTTTTGGCATGAGATTATCTCCGAAAATCGGCCGAAAATGGCTAAACATTTTTCTCAATCAGTTTCTAAAAAAAAACGAGAACCAGCGGTCGATGAAAAAAGGATAATGATTTGCTTCATTCCACTTTTTCTATGCTACGAAGCAAGGCCAGCACCCAGAAGATTATTTTCAGATTTGCTTTTTATTGCCATCGTGCTCATGTCTTTTGCTGTGTTCATAAAGGATAACATTCATTATATCTTGAAATTGGGTTTATCACAACATACCTCACACTACATCAGATGTAACTTTAAGATTGTTGCTTCTACGATAATATTTCAATTAATTTGTAACTGAATCTCACTGGAAAGTTCCACATTCCCCTTCAAAAGTTTATCTAAAATCCATTGCAAAAGCAGAATATTCTTTTTTAATGTATACATTATAACATTAAAATGCTTATCATGTTGTTAGACTAACAAGACTCTTATAAAAAGCATGCTTGAGGCAGTGAGTATGCTCGAGTGCTGGCCAATCGATAAACATCACATAATTAGGCTAACACAAAATCATTATTTCAACAGTCAGAATATAATGAATTTACAATGAAATTCATGCGAAAGTAATTAGACTTTTGAAACATCCGTTTGCTTTATAAATATACCGGCAATAGATAACAGAAAACTACAATGAGTGCTATTTATTGGTTTTTGAACTACATTTCATTACATTCTACATTAAGTTTGGGTTAAAAACTTCATTCAGCCAATATCAAATGCAGTGGCAAAAAAAAATTCAATAGCTGAATATCTAACAATAAAAAAAGTTCCACAATCCTAGCAACCCTCACAACAATGTTTATCTCAGTTCCTTTTTTTTTGTATTTAGGATTAAATGACATTCACATGCATCTACAAAGAGATTTCTAACATTTTTATGTTTGTAGGTTTATATCAGTTTTGTAATATGATGAAATCTCGTCGAATAACAAAAAGATAAAATAAAGAAAGAAAAACAGAAACAGATTGGAACAAACAACTAACATGTTGTGCAATTTCTCATCATGCAACATATAGTTGAAAGATTAAACTTGGTATGCTTGTTTTTCCATCTGCTTGAAATCGCTTTGGTATCATTAAAAATTATTAATGGCTTGGAGTTTGGAGATTGCGGTTATTTTATTTTAAGTTGGAAAATTCTTTTTTTCCTTCCTTCATGTTTACTCAACAAGAATTGTTACACGAAATCACATTAAAACAACAGTTTGCTCCCACATTTCGTCTTAAAAAAATTAATAAAACTATGATTTTAACTTAATTCCTTTTACATCTTTCAATGGCGAAATCTTCTTGTTATCCTAAAAACAATTTTATCTTTCACTCACAGCGGAAGCTTTTTTTCATCACGAAAAAAGAAAAACAGAAACGGAAGATTGGCAGCAATGGGAGCAGTGCGAGATTCTCTAATTCCTGATATGAACAAAAAAAATTTAATATCCGTTTAATAGCAGCTTCGTGTTCCATTTTTACCCACCAACATTTAAGGGTAGTTTAAAATGATTTAGTAATGAATATAGGAGGATAATCAAGATATAAAAGACGCGTTTGAAATTGTTTATCACTGCGTTTCTACATTTTTAAGCGTCACATAATTACGCTGTTACAACGCTAACAAGAATTATAATTTATGAGCATGGCTTTTGCCATGTCCTTTCACAAGTGAACAGGATCAAGTGATGTTGACTTTTCTTCCGCATTTTCATGTCTTGCTTAGGAATGGAAGCGCCGGCCTGTAGAATCTTAAAATGAATGAAAGAAAATGAAACGCAAAGCTTTTTCATTCTCTTCCTTATAAGCCACACTTTTATGTGCTTCTTTATTTCTCCCATGCTGTTAAATTAATAATTTATGTTCCTTTTATGCTATTTATTCTGCTGTTTTGATGTTATTTAAGCTCGTCATTTCCCATCTGTACAAGCGTTGTTGTTGCATTTGATGTGGATAATATTCATGGGAAAAACGGAATATTGTGCGAGCTTCACGAAGAAAAATAAGCGTGACAACTTACACGCGAAGTGGGATTAAATTGATGCTATAACTGGAGTGGTTTAAACAGAAATTAGATTAAGCTATAAAAAAGTGCTTCAACTCTCTTGTGACACTTTTAAAATTTGTATTATGATAAAGCCCTTGGTGAAACATGTGTCTGTGAGGATGTCAAAACTTCACTTACAATAAACTTGAACACGATGTAACATTGACGATTTCAAATTAGGTTAGCAGAGAGATCTTTATCGGAACCTTCCAATGTAATCTGACTGCACGCACAATTTTTGCAAATAAAATGTTTCCTTCTTATCGTTGAAGGAAAAAAAAAATGGAAAAAGAAGGAAAATAAAGCTTCAAAGATCTTCAAAGTAAAGAGAATCACACGAGGCATTTCTTCTTTCTTTTTGTTAAAAGAACCATGATACAACGACGACAACAACGACTATGACAACATAAAGAAGTACAAAAACAACATATAAGTACACAAGGAAAAGGAGTTGGAGAAAAAAGTGCTTTTTATTACAGATCGAGGAAAATGTTTACTCATTCCAATTTTCCTCAATTTCTCAAACCAACCCACTGTCATTTCATATTCTTTTAATGGGATTCTTTGATGTGTTTTGTAACATTTTATTGAGGGTTTGAGACAAACAACAGATAAGCTTTTATGAATCTTAAAAAACTTTGTTTTGGACGAAATTTGAAGGAATTCTTGTCATCAGAAGACTTGCAAGTGACGTTATTTCGTTTCTTCCCTTTAAATTTTGGGTAAAATTTTCAGTACTCATATAAGATGATGTTCATCTCCATCATTTCCTTTTAAAAGATTTTTATTACAACAATATTACGCGTCTCTTTCGCCAAGTGCTTTGTCGTCTGACTCGCTCATTCACGCACCTTTTCATCGCGCGTTTCTTCATTGACTGTAATTTTGAAAAGATAAATCATTTGAGGGAAATATTCAGTGGAATATAATCCCACTAGATGACATTTTCAGCGAAGGAAAATCTCATATTTGATATGAAATTCTTTAAGAAAAATCGAGAAAGAAAATCTTAATTTACATTCGCACGAAATGAATTGGAAATATTTTTCAAATCTCTCATTCATTTAATATGTGGTATGAGTGGAATGAAAATTAATTTCCTATTTTAAAATCGTCTTATTATTCAGCACATTTATTGCGATGACATGCGGGGATATGGAGAAAAGTCGAAAATTTAAATTTCTTTCTTTATTTTTCTTCATAAACCTTTAGGTGATGAAGTTGAATGAGAATTTTTCCCTCCTCAAAGCAGTTTTGAAAAGTTTTTCTTTACTGAGAAAATATAATTTGGTAAATGAAGCTCGCATCTCAATTTATCTTTAAGTACTTACCCGTTTATTTCTTTACTTCTTCTTCTTGTGTTAAAAGGAAAATTTCTTGATTTTCAGTAGATCTGCGTTTGATTAGTTCTCATTTACACAAGAATTTTATATCAAAAACTTATAATTGGATTAATTTCCTAAAGTGAAATTAATTATGTGGGAAAAGATGAAGAATTTTATAAAAGTTTGGATCTTAATTCATTCCCAATCATGAAAAGAGTTTTCAATTACAAATAATATTTCAGTTTATCACTTGAGTGTAATTATGCAATTAATCTCGAATTTATTATCAAATGCACGCCATACAATGTCAAATGCTTTCTATCTCCTGCGGGGTGAAACAAGATAGAGAGATCTCTTAATTTGCTGGCAAGAAGCTAAATTAATTAGAAATGTAAAAGAGCAGCAAGCAAAACCACCCGCCCCTTAGTATATAGAATGAAAAAAAATGCTAATTGAGTTTATAATTCTTTCCACCCCCTAGACTTTCTCGTTAAGTGCAAAATCACAAAAGCGAATCTGTGAATAATGTTTCACATTGCTCTTTTAAATTAATGTTACAGATTTTCCGCCGACGGTTTGAAATTGCGGCGTGCTGGGATGGAAAAACATCTTAAGCAGAAGGGAATGCGCCATTGAGAGAAAAATTTTAATTTGAATGTTCGGTGTCGCTGGCACAAGAAAAAAAGGGAACAAAAACAGAAAACGGAAGTGAATTGCGTGCGATAAATTTATTGGGGAATGATAAATATGTTTGGTGCGACAGTAAGCAAGAGCGAAGAAGAGATGAAGGAAAAAATTATTCATTATACACGCATAATCGAGTTGGAAGGCAATCGATATTCTAATTTATGTGCTCTAAGTAAATACAGAAAATTAGGTGGAATGAATGACACCCTCGGGATATTATGACGAAAATTGGATTTCGATGTCAGAAACGTTTCGCTCTCCCCAACAACAAAATATTGTTATACCAACTACGAGATGCTTTATCACCTCATCGAAGAACGACAAAATTCTCTGCGATTTATACTCATGAATCATCTTCATGTGCATTGTTTAAACAAAAGTCATAATAGTAAAATTTATTCATGTTTTTGGGAAGTGTTATAAAATTTATGCCAAAAATATCAACTTTTACCAGCATACACGAATAAACATGCAAATCGAACAATAATAAAGACAAATACAAGAGAAGTATCAATTTCAAGAAGGTTAAAAGTTTTGTAGGACAGACAAATGGAAGAAACAATTTGATGATGAAAAGTTTTCAATTTGCTGCTGGAAGTTTTGTTCAAGCATGACGAACGGTAGGCATGTGAATGAGAGGAAAACATGATCCCAAATCACTTCGGAAAATGTTAATCAATATTGATTGATTTTTGATTGTTTTCCGAATCTTTTTCGTCTTGTTGATCAATTGAAAATTGAGTGCTTTCAACAAACGAGAAAAGGATAGTTTTTCTTCGTCTTTTACAAATTCGTTTCTCTTTTATCTTCAGGATGAGCGAATCTTTGTTGAGAAATGTCTTTCGGATGCTCGTTTATGTGCTTCGGGAGATATTCAACAAATGATAACGCTTTGAAGAATGTCTCAAGCCATCCTCGACCCGTGATTGACAGAAAAAGATACAGTTGGCATTCAGTGAGTGAGAAATGTAAGCAAAATCTACTCTTCCGTATCGATGGAGTATGGGACTTGACGACTAGGGAATTTAAAATGGAATGATGAGAGTTCAAAGCGGAAAATTAGCTAACTGTGTATGAACTGATCCTTTTTCTACTAAATCGAATTTTCATTTTTCTTTTTACTCGGGATTATGGGACTCATCTCCTGCTCATCTAAAATAATATTCTTTCAACATGAAATCACTTTAAAATCTTTCATTTCTTATCCAACGACAACGTTTCTTTATTTCCGGCATGATTTCATCTTTCTCTACCCTTCCGTTACAAACTCTCAATCTAATCCACTAATTTTCAAGCAAATTACCCCCGAAGCAAAACATGAGACTGTTTTGCAAATCCTTGTCAAATCACTGGTAAGAACTGTTTATTAATGTTTACTTAGGCATCGATGAACTTCCCCTTAAAACTTTCCATTCAATTTGTCACTCTTGAATCGAAAGATATTTATCCAAGCCTTATAATAAATCGTCACTCAATCGAGAATACGTCCATTTATGTATCCACTGACAATGTACACACATTTCGCTCGGTTCTGGTCTTAGGCTATGCAAGAGAGCTCGGATATGTAGGCCTTGGTTTCTGATAAAGAAATATTGATATTTCTAGCTTCGTTTCTTTTTCTTCTATCATCTTGAAATTGAACGGAAAGGAAAATGTGAAAATCCTTTTAATTCCGGGTGGTTAAAAGGAACGACTGGAAAATAATTTCATTTCTTTGCTTTCTTTTACTTTTTGTTGTTTTTTTTCTTAGTTCAGATTTATTCCGATCACGTTTTACGGCTGTGAAGTAACGGTTTTGTATTGACAAAACGATTTGCTGAAGAAATTAAAGAAGAAACGAAAAGATTTTCAAGAAACAAAAAAGATCCATTAGCAAGCTGTCGGTCGTAATGTTCTTTTATTATTAAATATTTACTTGTCTTGCTAAAGATTTTACAGAATTTTCTTTTGCCCTTTCCGTTCAATAAATTTCATTTTCTTTCTTTTTTTTACTTTTTTTATGATTTTCCCAGAATTTATTGAGATTCGCTCTTTTATTGATCTTGAGAATGATGCTGCAGATTTCCTTACTCAACTTTAGTAATTTGATTGATATTGGATATGATGAGAAAGGAAAAGCTTCTGTCTTTGACAAAGTTTCTCGTATTCAACGACTAAAAATGGCAAAAAAACTTTTTCATTTGTGCAAATTTTATCCATCATTACCGTTTATTGAGACGTTTAAGACCTTGCTTTGCTCGATGCTAGAAGCTGTGAAGTAGAAGCTAAGTTAAAAGCAAAAAAAAGGGAAAACGACGGTGATTGATAAATGTTTCTAGTGGATTCAATAATGGATTCGTCGTCGGTCGCTTAGATGTTGAGAGCAATCATGAACCGTTCAGTGTCCTATTATTTTTAATTAAAATGTCCATAATTTTTCATTCTACTCCAATGTAATGTCCACCGACAGGAAAAGAGAGAGAAAGACAAAAAGTAGCAACAACTAGAGGGGAAAAAAGATTTTTATTATTTTTAATTCATTTTCATTCGCTCGTTCTATTAAGCGATAAATTTTGTGAAACGTCGAAACAACTTCTTAAACGATCGAGAAATTGAATGAAGTAGGATGGTGACCGGAATATTTTCTAATAGTTTGAAAAATGAACATTAACATTGTTATTGCTATTATGGTTATTGCGTCTAAGATGATGAAGAAGATGTGGAAGAAGGAGGCAATATTTAAAAAGGCGACATGCATACAACTTGCAGAATTTATCATAATCGAAAAATGCAATAATTTTGCTCCAAACAAAAGAAGTTTGTAAATTGTCCGGAAAAATTTCCGCCCATAAAATAATTTTAATGGAATTTATGAAACTTGGAATGCTTTTATGCTATTTGTTGATAAAGTTTCTGTCTTTTCTATTGAAGTTTGTGAAACTTTAATGTTTCTTTAAAATGGGTAAACTTTCAAATCTCAGCTTGTCAATAAATGAAAAATCTACAATGAAAATCAGATGTTATTCGAGTTCGTCGTCTCGTATTCCATCTGCTCTCGTTCTCTGCTGTATCAACATTTTAACGAATTTCATCGATTGTCAGCTTACTCAATTTTGACGAATTTTTGCGAGCTTCAAAAGTTTCACCAATTTCTAATCACGGCGGAAAAAAAGTAAATCCGAGCCGATGAGTGCAGAATCAAGTTGAATAAACATTTATTTTTCCAATATTAAATGATGTCATTCGCGAGATGTATCCGCAAATCTCCAACTTTTTTGCTTCACTGAAATTTTCATTGCAAAATATTTTGCCAATGATTTTTAGCTTTTATATCAACCAAAAAATTTGTTTTTCTTCCTTTTTTCTGCTCTTCCAGCAGAATTTCACGTTTCCACTCGTGTGTAAAAATGGCTTCGTTCTATGAACCTTGATACGTCTTCTCTTTCTCGTCGCTTCTTCTTAGCTTGATCATATACCTTCACATAATAAGGCTGAGATGGAACGAGGTGTAAATATAACATGCCAATTTACACTCTTATTTAAAAGAGATGTAAAGAAGACTTCAACGTGAATTTTTGTGTCGAGGATAATTTAACATTTAATTTTTCTCATTCTTGGTTTTCATCTCATCATGAGTTCATTCAACGTCACAATGATTCTTATTTCACATCAAAAATTGTTATCAGTTTTTGTTGTTTAATCCCGAGGAGAGAAAAATTTAAGAAAATTTGATAACAGCAAAACAGAATTTTCCGCATAATTCAACTCACAAAATGAAATTCATCTAGTTTTAGGGGAGAAAATAATTGTAAGTAAGGATGATGCGTGAGTTTTCCGTTATCATGTTAATCGCTATGATCTAAGAAATTGCTATTTTGTCAAATGACACAACGAAGCAATTTTCACGAAAAATTGTTTCACAATAATTCCATTACAAAGCACATCTCACGCGCCAGAAGCGAAAAAGCTATCGAATGAAAAAGGCTTCTGATAAGATGAGATACTTTTCCAAACCGTTTCGTAATTTTAATTGAATAAAAATCATTAAATGCTTGCACGAAGGCAGAAGAAGAAACATCGAGCATATCACGAAATTGTTAAGTGTCGGCACGACGAACGATAAAATCATAATTAATTTTATTCTCTCGTTTTTTTCTCTCAATTCCTTTTTACTAGAAAAGATGCTGATGATGTTCAAGAAACTTCTGTATGAAGCTCACGAAAATGTTAAATAAATGATGGAGTTATCTCGCTTAGTTTGTTTAAAAAAAAAGAGATTAGAGAGTTTGAAGAAAGCGTCCATTCAACACTTTTTCTTGTAAACTGTCATGAATACAAGTTTTGTGGGTTTATGCGAGGTTTTGGTTACGTTTGAAAGCTCATTTTATGTAATAAATTCAATAAAAGTGAACTGAAAAACTTTTATCTAAATGATTGATATCAAAAATAATCTGACTAATAATCACATCGACATCATATCTGATTTCACCCTCATTCTGATGCTATTTTCGTTATCTAAACCAAGGATGAAAAAGGGATAAATTTTGAATAGAAATTACATTCTATCTCATGTCAGTTCATGTTGAAACGAGAGAGAGACAAAGTTCGCATAAGAAGAAGTAGAAAAAAGACATAAAAGCTGATGGAGAAGCGTCAAAAGAATTGATTGATGGTATCGCATTTGAGTGAATATGGAATTGGAAAGTGAGTAAGGAAATTCATTTTTATTTGAATATGTCGAAAAAAATTTGAAAGTGAATAAAATTCCCTCAAAAAATTGCAGAATGCAAGTTTATAAAAATAAGAAAGAAGAATGAAAAAAGTCATTGTCAACTCCACTTAAATCATTCTGACTTGGAACATCTGTCAAAGGAAGTTTGAATAAAAATATTCAATTCCTTTCCTTAGACATGGATGAAATGCGGAGAAAAATTGTCGAATTCAATCATATCAGTCACAGAGAATGCAGTGTAAAGCCATCATTCATTCAAATTTGGATCTATGGATGTTCCTCGACATCTGTATAATCAACTGACAATAGGAAGCGTTCAAATAAGAAGTCAATCATTGAGAATCCGCAGAAAGCAGATGGTAGAGTTCGAAGAAAAATAATGGCACGAATTTGAACTAGTCGTACGTGATGGTCTCTTGTTGGTTCACTCATTTCAACAAGCTTGGGCGTGTCGACACATTGAAGTGTGGTGTTAACTGAACTTGAAAGCAAAGTGGTGGAAGCTTGTTGAAGTAAATTAGAAAGTTGACATGTAAGATGAAAGTTTACGCAAATTGAGTAAATTGAAACTTTTCTGTTCATCAGAACTTTAAGATGAATTTATAGCAACAAAAGCTTTCATGGTTTCATTTTAAAATATTGTTTGCCCTACATCCATACAGATACTTCATAAAATATTTAATAAGAATAAATCATTGTCCAGTCTCAAATTAATTTATTTATCTGTTTTTAAAATAAACTCAGCTTTCGTCTGAAAGAGCTTAAGGGATTTTGATCACGAAAAAAGTTTTTCATTCTCTCTCATCGAATACATAAAACGTTAAAATAAATAAATAAATAATAAATCGACATGCAATTGGAAATCTCTTCAGACTGAAAACTTTTTTTGTGCTAGTTTAGTTTAAAGGACTCTTCTGATGCAGTTTTCATGCAATTCTTAAAATTGTTTCATAAATTTTTGAAGATTCTTCACACGAAATATTGAAGTTCATTGAAATGAATTTCAATTTCTGTCACAAAAAAAAGTATTAAAAATTCATTGACTATAAATTTTGAATCGATTAAATATCGCCCACAGTTACTGCACAACTTTTTTATTTTTAAATGAGATTCTTAAACTTCGTAATTCAGACGAACATGAAAGCAATGATTGACCTTTTGATTGAAGATTCATAACGAGAACGATGACATTAAAAATTAAAAGCAACGAACCAGCTGGTTATTTCAAAGATACCACAGCATCATTGTCTTCTTTTTAACAATTCCAAGCCAAAGAACGTCAGAAAGAGAAAATTTTGTTAGAATTTTAAGCGACTTTCTAATCAAAATGTCGAGGAGGATGTAGACGGAAAAACATTGAAACGACGTTGTCACGTTGAAATTCGGATTGAAATTTCAATTCAGAATCAGACTAACACTGGAATTCATAATCTCGCTGGTTTTTGAGCACAAAAAAGTGTCACTTCAGTCAAAAAAGTGAACAAACCAGAAAAAAATTTCATTTTTCGATTTATTTTAAATTTTTTTCTGAAATGCATTGCGTGATTTGATGACCTACGAGAACAAAAATCAACTGCGTGTTGCATTTTAAATTATTTTTGCATTTGATTTGTAAATGTCAACTGATTAAGTCATGTCAGATGTTGTGGGAATGAGCAATGATTGATGAGCAATTCGATGCTACTTGCTCATAATTTTTTTAAGCTCAATTTTGATATCAACTCATAATACTTTAGGTTGGATATTAAATTGCACGTAAAACTCGCAAATTCGGCGTTCATTATTATTCCACATTGGGGAAATAGAAAAGCCGTGATGGATGAACATGGCTTTACTTGTACCTCTATTTACTCACTGATTTGCATACAATCTACGAAATGTTTCACTTGAAAATTTACAGTAAATTTAATTAAAATCAGGAAGCTCTCATTGCTCATCAAAAATTGTCAACGCTCGGTCGACGATACTCTCAGGCTGTTTAATGTCACTGGATAGAAATTGTAGGAAATTACAACTTCCCGAAGACATTCAAGAATCTGAAGATGAATCTGATGAAATTATGTCAATAGTCAGGATATCACTTTACTTATTTTCGACATTTTCCATCGCAATCAACGAGTTGACGACAATCTCTCAAATTTAATCAGGAAGTTTATCTATAACGAATAACATGAAGCCACAAGAAGCACATAACTTGAGATGCATTGAAAATGTTCGTTTTAATTCGTTAAAATTTCTAACATCTCGAGTTGAAGGAAATTAATTTGATGGAAATTTCTTTGAGCTTTTCCTAACCTTACAACTAAGCTGATTATTTAAATTTGTGTCATTTTTTTGTTTTCATAAAACAAATTTCATCCAATCTTCAACATTTCATTCAACACAAATATATATTTCAAAAATTGCACTATTCGTTTAATCTCAATCACTAATTTAAATTAAAAGTATTTAAATAAAATCAATCAGATAGAAAAATTCCTTTATCAAAGACTTTTCGGCTAAAACAAAATCAATTGAAAAAGTTTTTCCTTCTTCTTTCTCACACTCTAAGCTTGCCGTAGCCACTTGAAGTTTCAGCACGAGTATGGAAAGTTGAGAAGGGAGTTGATGAAAAAAAGTTTCCTTTTCACAAGAGATCAATCGATTGAAATTATTTTTCATCATCAACGAAAGGAAAAAGTTTTCCACGAAGTTAGAATTTGATGAAAAGGGGAAATAAGTAATTAAAAAGTCTTTTCCGATCTAGTAATGAATTAACTGAAATATAAGTAAATGGAAAATTATGTCGCATCATGGGAGAAGTAAAGCAAATTAACTGATTCAAAGTTCACATGGTGACACATTAATCATAAATGGTTTATCGACATACCAGTTTGCTTTGTTGTAAACAACAATTTCTGTTACTTTGTAAGCAAATTGAAAATAATGTTTCATAGTCAATTAAATTTTAATCAAAATTGAAAAGTAATAACGTTCCATTAAAAGACATTTTAATTAAATCTCAAGTATGTTTGTCAGTCTCATTTTACTTTATGTGGTGAAAGTAGCTGAGGAGTTTTCATTGTTTGACGATCTCATCCTCCATCCCCGCATCATCAAAATGTCGTGAGTTGTGTATAAACATCTCAAAAACAAGAAGAAAACAAAAATTAAATGAATAAACAATAAATTTTCCATTTATAATATCACATTTGGTGTGGGAAAAGTGTTGGGGTTGGACCATCGTAGAAAGTGAGCGTCGAGAGAAGAAATGGAAGGGAAAATGATTTATGTCGCGGAAAATGCTCTGCGTTTAATTGGATTTTTATGAAATTTTTCCTTTTCCATTGCTTGTAGAATTTTTCCCGTTCGTTTATCGTTTTGAAATGCACAAAAAATTGTTCCTCTGTATAGGAGCATTTTTAAAGTTTTATAGCATAAATTATTTGTTTTTAAATCGTTTGAATAAGGTTAGAAATGACATTCGCAATAAATTACTTTAAATTTGACATCACATTCAAACGTCTCCAACTTATGCTGCTCTGCTGTTTTGTTATTATGAAACAAATAAAATTATTCATAAAGATTTTTTCCACATTTCATGTGATATGCAAATTGCACATGTTCGTCATGAAACCTTTACTCGGTTTGTGATGTATTAAAAAAATTTGTGTGAGTTTATTTTTCCATTTTTTATTCATAAACATTTTTTTGTGCAAGCGAAACAAATTAAATTGACGTGAAATTTGTTAATGACTTTAAATCGTTTTTCATTTAAAAAAGAAAATTTAATGATGATGGTGATGATGATATGAATGTTTGAAAAATCCAATAAAACTCGATCCATTCACGATAAAGCTTTATCTTCCTCATCATGATGTACGTGGAAGTTGAACTTGAATGTATCGGTAATAATTTGTCTTGATTTAGAAGAATGAAAGAAGGAAGCGAGTAAACAGTTGAGTTTTGTTTCCCAACGAATCATGAACAAGCAATTTTGTTTTTGGCTTTATTTTCTCCATCTCTTCTTTCACCCACACTTGATATCTCAAGATAACAAAAAGTTTTTTAATTAAAAATTCCTTCACATGCACATTCCTTAGGAATTGATTCAGGATTTTTTCCTGTTCTCTTATTTCCTAAGCTTAAAGGCACTCGATGCTTTCTTCGCTTCTCAACAATGTTTCATTACTTTCCTTTCATTCCTTCTTTTCTAGATTTGTTGATTTTGCTGCTTTCACTTAATTTTCACTCCGGTTTATCACATCTATTTGTGGGACTTAACAACTATTCAGATTGTTTGCTTTCAGTGGTTAATAGAACGAAGATTAGGAGCTGAATTCATAGTACAAAGCACATGTATTGTTAATGCGGCAAATTCACTGCTAATAAGTTTTCTTTTATTCACTCTTGACATACGCTAGCTTTTATTGAGCTCTCCACTCCATTGAAATCACATCAAAAGTGAAAGTCAATAAAAGTCCTAAATTATTCACATCAATTAACTAATTACAGAACTTTTTTCTCATATTCAACAAGACTATTTCGTTCACATTCATCAGTACCAACACATTCGATGCTGATGCAATTTTCATGAAATGCGGAAAAATCTGAAATCAAACATCGAGAAAAAAAACTTTCTAATCAAATATAGTTGGATGAAGTGGAAACAAGAGAAAATTCATTAATTAACTTTACGATGTGTTTGAGTAATTTCAACAAAAGCTTTTTTGTTGTTTTCTTCTTTCATTTGTAAATGAATCACGTCACGATGATGATGATGAAGATTCAACGATGCAAATTTTCATCACCGAAATAGAATTGCAATTGTGATGAAAGAAAGATTCGTAAGAGTAATTCAATGGTTTTATTAATAATTATCAGCTATCATTGAAATGCGGAAATTGAGCAAAAATCAAATAATTTTCCGCGTTTTTCACGCTCAGTTGATTGAACAGTCGATTAAATTCAAGCAACAAATGATGAAGTCTGCTGAAAGTGATGAAAATTCTTCACAAAGAGTTCGAAAAACTGGAAGATCTTCAATAAGCTCAATCCCTCCACCAAATCCCGTAATCGTTCGAAGCTCAAAAGAAAATTCTGCTAAAAACAAAGCTTTAGAAGAAGCTACAAAAAAGAGTGAAAATCTTTGTGATGTGTTGTGTAATTCTTATAAGTTTGTGGTAAATTATGGAGTGTTTGAATCAAATTTCGAGTGGATGCCATGCGAGGTAAATTATCTACCGAAATAGAAAGTTTTCTTTTTATTTGATCGAGTTTAATCAGCTGAAGATTGAAGAAGCTTTTAGATGAACAAAAAAGAAATGTTTGCCTTATCTTCAGTGATTTAGTGGATGTTGAAAATTGTTTACAGAGTTTTCCTTTTATACCTTTCTTTTAACTCATTTTCCCTACAAACAAAAAAGAAGCGAAATAATTTTCTCCTTCCTAATCTTATTTAAAGATTGAACACAAATTTAATTTGTTTTCTTATTCAGTTTGTTAAGATTGTTTACGTTTTATTTTTAGATTTTAATTCGAATATTTGAATATTTGAACACGCGTGATTTGTTGACTGTGGGTCTGGTTTGCCGACAATGGATGGAAGCAACTCAATATTTTCGATTAATGAGAAAAGTTCTTCTTCATTTTCAAGTGTTCAAATACTCTGATACAAGTTTTCCAATGAATCGCTTTGTTAATTGTTCGAGACTCTTTCCGAATATAAAATTTTCGATTGTGAAATTCTCAGCGAAGAATCACAATTTCTGGGATGATTATGGGGATATGGTTGAAGAATTAACATTTAATTCATGCATGATTAACAAATCGGAATTTCTTCACATCATCAGATTATGTCCACATCTGAAGTCACTAAGTATAACAAGATGTGAAGATTTATATAAATCTTGGACTGTTGTTAAGAAATTGTCACAAGTCAAGCTCAAATTTCATCAAATGAAAACGCTTGCAATTCGAGATACTTCGTTGTTAACAAAAAAGATTCTTGACTTCTTAACGACATCGGCTCCAAATCTTACATCGATAACAATCGCTAATTGTTTAGGAAACACGAAACTTCAAGATCGAGATTCAATATTAAATTCATTGGCTGACTATGTTGAATTGAAATCCGAACAAATAAAAGTGCTTAACCTTGGAAACACTCCAATCGATGAACCTTTCTTAGTGAAGTTGGGAGATATAAAAAAACTCAAACTACACGAGCTTTGTTTTACATTCAATGGAGTTGTGGCGACTATTGGGAAATCTGGCATTTTGACTTTATTGCGTAATCAACAGGATCTCAAGATTTTAGACGTAACAGACAGCAAAGGTTTATCAAACTTTTGTCTGATAGAAATATGTCGAAATATGAAAGGCTTGAAGAAACTTATTCTGAATAAGTGTTGGTTAATTAATGATGCTGGCTTGAAAGAAGTTGGAAGGCTTCTTCATTTAGAAGTGTTGGACATTTCATCTTGTGATAGAGTCACGGACTTAGGATTGCTTGAAGGTTTGATTCCGCATGGCAAAAAGTTTTACAAACTCAAGGAATTGTATCTCGCTTTACTTCCATATATGTCAATATTAGCAATTTATCGATTAGCGCAACAATATGACGAACTGGAAGTCCTTGACCTTTCCGGCAGTTCCAATTCAATCACAGACGAGACACTTCAAATGATTTTTCGTCACCAACCAAAGTTGAAGTATTTGAATCTCGACTGTTGTGCAAAAATCACAAATTTTGGGATTGCTGGCCTTTCAGATCAAAGCAATGAAGAGAATTACAATTATCGTGTTTTGTATAACATCAATTATTTGAAGGAGCTTCGATATTTGAACTTGGGGGGTTGCTATCAACTAAGCGATATCTCATTCATCAATGCTTTTGACCTTCCCCATCTAAAAGAAATTAATTTGTCGCGCTGTCACAATGTGACAGCAAATGGAATCAAATATTTGTGTAAGAAATGTCCTAAGATTGAGATTATCGACCTCTCTGAATGTTACCATGTTCTTGACTCTACTGTGGGGCTAATAACAAAAGAAATCATTCGATTAGAATCTTTGAAGCTTAATGGCTGCACACAAATAACCGACGACATCTTCGATGATATCGCTTGTAATTGTAAATATTTGAAGGTAATGTTCTTCTCAATATTGAATGAGTTCGTATAAAATGAAAATTAATTATTAAAATAAATATTTTTTCAGACTCTTTACATCAGACGTTGTCCTAAAATCCAAACAAATCCCTTCGAAGTATTGAAGAACGTTCGCTACATTTATTATCAATAATTGTTCAATAAATTTAATAAAATGTTTTATCATATCAACAATGGTAGCAATAGTGTTAACATTCTCAGTTAATTATCACGATTGTAAACAAATACTCTTTTTGATTTCACTCGATTTGACCCAATTTAAAATTCAGATTACTTTTGTTATTGAGAATGCAAAAAAGCAGCTGCATACAATTTCAGAATGGAAAAAACATATTTTTCAGAATTTTCCTCTTTTCATAAAAGATTTTATCGATGTAAAATACGAATAATTGAAATGCAATCCAATTATATGGAAACTTGTTAAAGAGTAAATAAAAAAAAGGATTCATTCGAATAAAAGAGAAAAACCACCAAGTGCGTTTGAATTATGCATCGATATCTACCTTGGCAATAACAATTTGTTCCTTGATTATGTTTTTTTTTCATAAAATCAGGAAGTTAAACAGATATGAATTTTGTTATTTGAAGTCGTATTCAAGAATGCGAATTGTTTTGAGAGCCATCTATTGTGAGTATTTTTAAGTTGTAAAAGATTTGTGTCTTCACTAGAATCAACGAATTTTTTGTCGTAGTTTCACAATAAAATTTTAATTTTTAAAACATCAACGACGATCAGTTACGTTTAAAATGCTTCACACAACAGAAGTCTAACAATCGCGTTGAATTCTTTATTCACCAAGTTCCTCATCATTTGAATAAAAGTAGAAAGGAAGATAAAAGATGCAGTAAAACAATAACGTTTTAATTTTTTGATTTCTTTAAGTGTATTCCAAGTAAATTGCATAAATTAAGATTTAGATATCTGTATATGTTTAAGTGTGAGTTGCTTTTAAATAAAAGTATAGAAAAAAAGAAAGGAACTTTTAATTTGTGCCTTGTGTCGTCCATTGGACGCTAAATGCGAAAAAAATAAACTTTCAAGTCAAAAGTGAATGATCTGCTTTGTTTGTTTTTTCTTCAATTCTAATTAAAAAAAAGTTTAAGAGCGACCAAATGAAAGTGAAATTAAGTTGTCATATTTAATTTGTGATAATCTATAGCATCGTTGTGTAAATTTGTGTACTGCAGTGGGCAGGAAGGAAACGTCCAATTGAAAATGTGTCAATAAAGCCAACAAGATAAAATTCTTATCAATCTGAGATACGTGAAATCAGAACCTAAAAACTTAATTGGAATATTTTAAGTGAAATAACAAAAAAAAAAACATGGATGAACACGAAGACGATCAAACCCCAATCAAATCGCCAATCAAACGCTATGGCTCCACAAGAAAGATTTATTTATTCAACAGTAAGTATGGTAAACAATCAACGCGTTTAAAACACATTTTCCACATTATCAACCGTCATGCGAAAACGTTTTCATTCAACGTATAAGAAAATCTTCTTGATTAAATTTTTCCTCCTCCACTTTCATTCAAATATGTTTTTGAATCCGGGTACATAGCAGCTAGTAAATTCCCAACGCGAAATATAAATATTTCACACGTCTCTTTTTAAGCTAAAAAAGCAAAAAACAAGAAAGAAAAATTTATTTCTACAGTTTTAATTTATGAGTCCAGTACGAGATGAATATCGATTGGTTTTTCCTTTAAGTGAAAACTCGTGGAAATGAGTTATTAATACCCACACAAAATTGTTTCAATGAGTGGCGTGGGTCAAAATATTTTTCACCGTCGTTAAGTAAGCGATAATAATGAAAGTATTTTATGTAAGTAAGTATTATTAAGCGAGAAGAAAAATCATGATAAATCCTGACCTGAGCAATAGTTTGTGAAGCAGCGTTAAAAGCGCCACTGCAAAGACGACGATGATGCTTCGCGGTCTATAAATAAACAATAATACACGCAGAGATTTTAATGCTCCAGAGAGCTCGATTGGAAAAGTGTTTCTTCTCATCTTCTTCATCTTCTGTTCTTAGATTGTTTGTTCAAAAACGATGAAAAATGGTCGAAAAATGTGTTTTTAATATCGTCGTTCTCCGGCTTGTTAAAGTTCTTCTTCGTAAACTTGTATCATCTTTTAAAGAGGGTGAAGATCGTTAGAAACACAAACAGCTGCCACTCGAAACTCTCTTGTCTGATCACTTCAACTTTGTTGCTGTTTTATTTGTCTTCTTCATCTCTATTATTTTTATATGTTTCTGCATTAAAATCATCAGAAGTTTCAATGTTTTTGCCCTTTTCTTCAGGTCTGACATGTTGCAGATTTTTTCACGCCCGGAAACTTTTCTGTTCTGAATATTATTGCTGACCCACTTAAAGTCAAGTAAGCTGTTTAAAACAGAACGCGTTCCATCAAACTAAACTAATAACAATAATTTTGTGAATTGGCAGAAAATGGCTTGAGGGAAATGCAAAACTTTGTGTCGAATGTAGCAAAATGAAACTTTAAGGTAGACACAAAACTTTAAATATTTTGTAATTTCAGACTCCTTATCATGGTCACGTTACGCTCAAACGATCCACTCATTCATTTAGCTCAACAATGACGAACCATTCAAAATATTTCTTTATTTATTTGCAGTAAAAATTATTCTTATGTTTGACAATTGCTCCGCAACATTTGTGACTTGAAAATATTCCCAAGGCTTGTTATCAGTAAAATTTATTTTCTTTGTATTTATCACAACAAATTTTATAATTTTTCTCATAAAGTAATCGCACTTGTTTTATTATACGTACAGTGTGATAATAGAATTATCGAGATTTAGAAAGATAAGCATTTTATCAAATTGAAATTCTATTCTGGTGAGTTGTTCAGGAGGCTCTTGAATACATTCACGGTCATTTATGATGTGAGATTGTTTAATAATTTAATTAACAACAGAAGTCACTGTCATAAATATTTCGACTTCGATCATTAAATGTGACAATTAAATTGAAACCCAACAGTGTCTAACCTTTCTATTAAAAGTTTAAAGTGCTGCACTTTGATTCAATGGTCTGCGTGATCTAAATTCGTGTTTGTCATTAATTTCTCGCTTCTCTTGCTACCGATGATCTCATCTTAAATAGTTCCAACTCTAAATTAAACTTCTTTGTACTGCTTCTGTTACATACAATTCATGCATCTTCTATTTACAGAAAGGAAGAGAAAGAAGATCATTTTAAGAAGGAGGAAGAAATTAGTGTCACGGTCCAATTGACCTTTTTTCGAAATTTTAAACAACAAACCAATGACAATAACAATTAAACATATTAATTAGAAATGTGTACAAACACTTCAATTAAAAGGAAAGACCATATGTCGCTCTAGCAAATATCATAAATTTTTAGTTTTATGATATTAATTGCTTATTGTTAGACAAACACAAGACTTGTCTGAAGCGAAATTTGTACCTGCGGCTCGTGATCAGAATATTACTTTTTTCCAACACAAGACAAAAGAACATTTCTTATTCGTGAAGTCTTTATGTTCATCCGTTTTCAATGTCTATAAATAGAAACACATGCACAAGAGACGATAAAGCATTTATGATTTCTTACTTTACCTACTTGTTCGTATTATGCTTCATTCACATTGTGTAAGTGAACATAAATCGTCAAACTCAAAAGCAAGAAAGAAGAATAATTTTTTGGTTTAAATCGCCAAAAACATCTGCTAAGAGGTACAGTTCTTTCCTTCTTTGAAAAGTCATATCGTTTAATATTAGCATGTATAATGTAACGCTTTCTTGATTTCTTTTCATTTATCAATTTCTTACACAAGAATCAAAATAAAATAATAAAAACTTAACGGTTGAAAAAATTTCGAATTCGACAGAAAAATGAAGAGAAGTTGATTGGGGTAGCAGTTTCAGGCGGAGAGTGTGTTAATTTCTTGGTAGTTGTGCAGTGCACAAAACAGTATCGCGAGAAACGTCGAAGGAATAACATTGAAATTATAGTTGGTGTCATTCTACTCATGAAAAGCAGTTGAAAATGAAATTTAAAATTTAAATAGAGTGCATTAGTGAATAGAAGTGAATACTCATCAAAGAAAGTAAAGAAAAATGATAACAAAACTTCATAAATCAAAGTCGATTTTAATAGCCAAGAAAACCGAAGCATAAGAAAGTTTTAAAACCAGAAACCTGATAAGAAACTTTGTTATTGGAGTTTGTTTTACATCGTTATCACTAGTAGAATTTATTAATTAACAAATTGCTTTCGAGAATAACTCAATTGAACATCAAGATTTTATTCTAATTCGCATCGTTTAATAAAATGTTTGCAACGCAATAATTTTTTTCTCAATTCTTCCTTCATCTCTCGTTGTTCTTCAATTTGTGATGCTGGAGATTTTGTTAATGATTGTGAAACTGTAGTCAAGTTGCTGACGAAGTTTGTTACCTCGACACCCATGCAATAAAACATTAAGTTCAAGTGTTGAAAGCCTCTGCGCTGCTATAAAGTTTATTTTTGGTCCAGAATCATTGGGGGAAGAAAATGTCTGCGGAAATTTTTCCTTCGTCACAAACACGCACACAAGCAAAGAAGGAAAATCTCTCTTTTTTTCATTCATGGATTCTTTCCTACGCTTTTCTTCATGTGAATTTCGACCCAAATGAGTGATTTATCTATTTTTGTAAGGCAAGATGCGATTGTGCCATCGCGACGACATAGCATCTGTAAAATAGCTTAAAAACTTAGAGAGTGAATGCCATTCCAAGAATAAATTCAATTGTGTGAAAGAAAGAGGAAGTTAGGGAGGAACATCATTCGTTTTCATTGTTTAAAGTTAAATGAATTTTCCGAGGTGCGATGTTAAATGTAAATTGGATGTTGATGATGAAAGAAATTTTCTCATCTTAGCGATTCATTGATGTGGATGAGAAAACATCTTCATTATTTCATCCGGCATAAGATTTCTTCGTTTTCCATCATTTAACATTATTTAATTCAGTTGTTTCAAATAAATTTTCAAATGACGATGATGACGATGTCAGAAATAATTAAAATGTTTTTGAAATGAATCGTGTGTGTGTACTTAATACACCTCTGTAAGTTACTTTGAAGTTGATCAGAACACTTGGACAAGCATACCATAATTGATATGTTAGATAGAAAAGAAATTGAAAAACAATGCAAAGAAGGTATTGGAATGGAAAAGAAATTATGAGCCATCGTATGAAAAGGTTCAATGGCCGTGCCTTTACTTCATATACATTTCTCTGTAAATCTTTTTCTTTCCTTTTAAATATCTTATTAAATCGTGATTGGGCGCTCGTTACGTAAAGCTTTTGAAAACTTTGTTTACTAAAATTAAAGTTGAATTTTTTTTGATTTTAATGCGATTTTTTCTTTTTTTCAAGAAATATTTTTATTTGTTGTGTGATGTCACAAAGATTAACATTTCTGTGATAAAATCGTAAGACTGAAAAGCGCTAAAACTTTACTTCATTGTTTATATAATAAATGTTTACATTTTCAACTCACGCGAGACTTTGGTTCATGTTATGCAGTTTTATGATTGATATTTGTTGTTTTTTTACTGCAACTTCCTAATATGGAAAAGACGGCATGATACGACTCGACATCGTCTACCTCGTGGTAGATTTTTCAATGTTATGAACTTTAATTTTTCTCCTCTTGTAAACATTGCCAACAAAGTTGAATACTTTGATTTTTTGCAGTTCAACAAAGTACTTTCTCTTTTAATCATAAAGATTTCTTCTTTTTTTATTCTCTTTCTTTCCACGACAGTCATATGATGAATGAATGAATGAAGCTGGAAAGAAAAGTTGAATTCCATGTTGTTATTTCTATTAATAATATAGAAAGGTTTTCACTTCTAAGGAATTATTTCATGAGTTGCACAATGGAATCTAACAGTGTTAAAAACACGAATCTTATCAGAATGAAGATCGAATGTCTGACGTATAGGAATTTCCTTTAAGCCGGCCGCATAATTCATGATTCCATCTTATGAAGTGAAAGTTGTTAACAAAACGATTTGTCGATTTTCTGATGAGGTATTAAATTAGTTTATGTGAGGATTGATGATGACGGGAAATCATTAAAATCAAATTGTGAAATCGCTCAAAGGCATTTGCTTCTTATTATTTTAATTTTTATTTTTTGCTACTCAACTGATGACTTTCTTTTCACAAACAAGATTTTTTAAATGCTGAAGTGAAGGAATAAGCAACATGAGAAACAAAAGCAGTAAACGGTAGATAAATTAATGATAATTCAAAGCCACTCGTTGAGTTAATTGATGCGGAACGAAAACGATCCCAAATTGCGTACATACATATTAAAATATTTTTCATTTTTATTTATGTTTATCTCTAGACAATCGCAAAAAATATAAATAATAACAAGCAAAAGCTGAAAAGAGTTGAACACAATCGAAGACAACTTAAATTTGATTTATTTTTGTTCTTATTTTTGTGCCAGACTTTATATCGAAAGGTTTCATAAAGAAGGTCAAAATTTAGTAACAAAAAGAGCTTTTGCAATCATTTAACGAAATTATGCGAAATTTGCAGCTAATGGAAACTTTTTATTACGCTGGTTTCGTGGAAGAGATCGAAATTGAAGGTCTTCAACACCAATTCGTTAATACATACTTGATGTTAACATCATTTTAAAAATGTCCCAAAAATCATTTTACTGGCATGAATTTAAATTTTATTCATTTTTATTCCATGTCTTTCAATTCTACAAATGAGAGCATGAAGAACTTTTTTTTTCTTTCTACATCGCAATGCGAACAACAAACAATCGTTTGGGTTACAAAATGTTTATTTTGTTTGTGAACATTCTTAACTTTTTAATGTCATTCTAGTCTCTGCTTTTGGTCGGTTTTGCTTGCTTTCCTTCATTTTTATTTCTCTTGCATCAAATTCTGAAGACTTCAAAATTTGTGTTCATTTGTTATGTTTTGTTATGACGGGCCATGTGTTCGAATGTGTAAAGAAACGATCATGGTTTCCTCTATTAATCACCATCATGCATCATAGAACATGATCATCATCAAATTTTTATTTAATCATTTCGAGCTCACACAGCGATCTAATTTCTCGCAGTTCATTTGGGTCGCATAATCAGCAAATCGAAAACCAACGCGCTTTAACAAACAACATTCTTATGCTTCTATTCATGGTGATCTTGAAAAAATGAAAACAACAAAAAATACAAACTTAATAATCGTAATCGACTTTGAATGTAATGAATAAAAAAATATCTAAACGTAAAGTTTTCTATTGTTACAGCTGAAGCGAAACTTAGCAAACATTTAAGTAAAAAAACATGACAATGTGGCTTTAAGTAAACAATAAGAAATAAATAAGTTCAAACGCACATCCCTCTTTATAAATTGGTTCATGAAAAAAGGGACACAATAAAGGAATATTTAAGTAAGAAGAGTCAATCAGTGCGAGAGTATAAAGTAAAGAACCGGTTAATAGTGCAAACAAATCTGGAAAAGTCGTGGATTTCTTTTAAATAAAGTTGAAAATAAGAAGATCTCGTATTTACATTCTCTTAGTATAAATAAACTTATTGGTTTTCTCTTTCCTCGTGCGATAATGGACAAGTAAACATCTGAAATTGAAGTGAGAAAAAGAAATATAAAACTTGCCAGAAGCATGCAGCGAAACATTGTTTATGTTAGAATATCAATTGCAATGAATTAATTGTGCAAGCGCGATAGCATTGCACGAATCGACAAAAAGAGTCTAAAATTATCATTTAGAGTTTGTGAAGTGAATTTAATTCGTTGTAATCCGCGATGTTTCAATGCATAATACAACAACGAAATGGATGGATTCATGTGCCAAATCAGGAGTTTCGTGACGTGTTTCCAGGTAAACTGTTATGACTTATTCATATTCCCATTGTAAGGGACATTTGTATGAACAATCAAATAGAATTTGTTGCCATCTGCTTTTTTCTATTTTCATAACAATTTTGTTATGTGAACTCAGAAGCTAATTTTACTCTCTAAATTTATATGAAATGCATTTGCGTCACCTGAAACACTTAGGAATCAATTTCAAGCTTCAATATCAAAAAGTTCATGCCATTGACGCATGTGTGGACTGGCAAAGTATGATTCATCTTTCCTTACCATAGAAGTACGTTGAGGGGGTTTGTAATGATTGTAAATATTGCAAGTTGCGACAGAAATGCATTCAGGAGAATATCGAATTCTATCGGGAATTGGATTCGAGACACATGCGCTAACCACCAGAGAAAAGCAGAAGAATCGTGTGCGTGTGGTCGAGTCATTGAGCATGTAAAAAGCAATTGAATTACTCGAAGTTGGGCGTGTTGAACATGCAAGAAAGGAGCTCGACTCTTGAGGTTTATAAAAGCTTTCATCTAATTAATTGATAAAACAACTTTTTCCTTTTTTTCGGCTTTGACTGTTGACTAGTAAATGGCAACTAATTCAACTCTTCATCCCCTAAGTTCCACTCTCGAATCGGCGCTTTTTTTTCCTCTCCACCCTCACTCATAATGAAAACATTTTTTTCCTTTTCCTTTAATTTCTGCGTTTCATAAATAATAACAAGAAGCATATAAAAATAATGTCGATGAATGAAATGTTTTTTCTTCTGTTGTGAAGTCGACGTCAGAAGGAAATGAAACTGAACAATTGAGGGAGAGATTTGACTCGTTCTTTCCTTCTTTTCATTCATAAATACGACAGAAATAATCTGTGATCGTTGGAGAAATGTTTCTTTGTTAATGCGAGGGAAGTTCCCTCATCTTGTTACCAATCGTCTTCTCCTTATTCTTCTTACCATTGCTTTATGAGTTGTATAATTCCTTCGACGCTTATTTATAATGCACGAGAAGGAGAACCCTTCGAAGATTATGTGCATATCGAATCGTTGCGATGACGTTCAAACGTTCACTGTGTTTATTGATGAAAAAAGATTAATTCCGGAATATAAATTTAAACATTCGAATTTCTAACACATTAGTTTGTTTATCTCATGGAACGTCAATCAATAAGGGGAAGTCATTATACAATCACATTACATTTCTAACTAAATCTTGGTGTGCGATCCGGAGATGAGTAAGTTGGAAATGCATCAGTCTCAATAATCATCGTTGATGCTTGTTGAACTCATTTTGATATTCTAGTTAAGTGGCTAATTCAATTAGTTTATAAACAAGAGATGAATTTGTTCGCTGTGTTGTCGATTTTCGAAAGTATTATCGTAGCAGCGGTCAAACCACAGCAAGCTAGATGGGGAGACGTGTAAAAGCAGCACTTGAAACATAATAAAACTTGATTAAGCCTCATATTAAATAACTTTGATTGAAAGATTATATGAGAAATCAAGTTCTGTTTTTAGTTTCATGATTATTCATCACGCAATGGTCTTTTTTTTGCATTTGTCGCTTTGGTTGAGTTATAATTTTCTGAATATAATAAGCACATCAATCCATTCTCACAGTCAAGCAAAAACCTTCATTCGCTCTAACCACCAAAGAATGAGACACTTGCACATATGTGAATAAAAAAAAGCATAAAAAGCAATTTCCGCTTTGAAGGAAATCATGAAAATTGCCATGAATTCTTTTATTTTAATGAGAAAAATGTTGTTGCTGCTGCTGCTGTTTGTTAAACACGACACATGCACAAATTGTTAGCTTCACATTTCAAAAACTGGAATGAAACCAAAACAAAAGGAAAGAAATGATAATCGAAAGTGAAAATGACGAGTTAATTAACCTTAAGTCTGCTTACATGATGGAAATAAAATCTCCTCACCTCATGAAGATTATTATTTAACTCGGCATGTCTTTGATATTTGTTGACAAATAACATTTCATATTTTCGTTATTTATTTACGCCTTGACGGATTTTTTTTGCTGAATGTTTCCCTCGGTTTTTTGTTTGTTTCGTTTGTAATGCAAATGATCAACATACATACAAAGTTTGTAGCATGTCAGTTAATCCACATGCTTTGCGGATAAATGTTAATTGCTCTGTAATGAATATCCGATCGTAATTTGATCGCTCTAAAAACATTCCAACTGTAAAGTGTTTTACCATAAAAAAAGAAAAAAATTGTCATTCAAGTTGTGAATAGAATAAAAATTTTCATTAAAAGCTTTCATTTCAAAAATTTTTGTTTATTATTTTTCGTAGATATTCGACTTCAACTAAATGAACAACTGAGATGTTTGGATATTCGAGTCGAGTCGCAAATTTCACTGATTCAGGAACTGCAAGAGTTTTATCGACGACGTGGCGAAGTGGAATTGGATTACAGTAAAAGTTTAGAGAAATTGGCAAAAAATTTGCAATTACGTCACAAAGAGCAAAAACAAAAGTATGAAAAAAATTATTTTTGCATGTTTAATGAATCAAATTTATTAATCTAATGACGATGATTACAGACGCGAACAATGGCCAATGTTTTCATCATACGCCTGCTGGCAACAACTCATTCAACAGACAAAATCTTTGGCTCGTGATCACGCAACATTGGCCGACATTTATTCAACTCAACTTGTTCAACGTCTTCAAACAGTCTACGACGATTCTCAGAGAATTTATAAGAAATGTCGTGAGGTTGGATACGAAATTCACGAGGAAATTCTGAGAGTTCTACAAGAGCTACACACGACTATGAAGACTTACCATGGCTATCAATTGGATTGTCGAGAAGCTGAAAAGAAGTTGCGTGCTGCTGAAGTTCAACGCGCTAAAGTTCAACAAAGTATACCGAAAGAGAAACTTGAACGTAACAAGAAATTTAAAGTTATTGAAAAGGAAGTGCTTAAGGTGAGAATTCTATAAGAATATTTTTATAAAACATTTTCTGACTTCTAATAAAATATAGCGGAAGAACAAGTACACAGATGCAAGATTGAAGGCACTTAAGGCTAAGAATGAATATCAACTGTGCTTGGAAGCATCAAACACAACAATTCATAAATATTTTGTTGAAGATTTGAGCGATCTGATTGATGTAAGTTTAATTTATTGCTAGCAATTCTGAATTCACCTTTATCATGACTTTTCTGTTGTTGTTATTATTATTGTAATGATTGTTTAGTGTATGGACTTGGGATTCCATTCCGTCATCTCACGAGCTTTAATGCTTCACGTCACAGCCGATCAAGGTCGTTGTCGTCAAGTGCTAAACAATTCCGAACTTTTATCTCACACCATTCACTCAATGGATAGTCGAGCTGATAAGCAGAAATTTTTGGAGCAATATCATACAGCTTTTATGATTCCAAAGCGTCTTGAATTTCAAGGACAACAATCGGAAGATCTCTTATTACAACCACAGAAAGATTTACCACAACCGAGTCTAACAACAATTGTCGAATGTGAATTACAAAAGGCTTTAAGTGCTGAAATGGATTCACGATTAGCGCAACTTGTTGCACGAACAAATCATTTAAGAATGGAATCGGATGAGATTTGGAAGACCGTTGAGACAGCTGAGATTAATTTACTTGAAATTCTAAACCAGAAAGTGAGAAGAAAACTTTTAAGTTTTGATTTGTTTGAAATTAATTTAATTAACATTCTAGGATTACGACGTTAGTGGAATTTTCGGAACTGGAAATACAGGAAGTGACAACAATTCAATGCAAAGCTTCCAGCTTCAGTATAATTATCAGCAACAGCAACAAAAGCTGAACGAATCTTTATCAACACCACAATCGACGAAACTGCGACACGATAAGCAAGAAATTGAAGAATTTTACTTGTCAAAGATCCGTGAATATATTTTGTGTACATCGAGAATCGCCAGACTTGATTCGAAAGCTGAATTCTTGAGAAATGCGTTGACAAAAGATTCAACTGTTCATACAAATGTTCTCAACAAAGTTTTGATACCGAAACGCAAACGAATTGGTCGAATGAACATTTCTGGTCGTCCAAAGCTTTTCGGTGGATCGTTGGAAGAATATTTGGAAGCAACAGGTGAAGATATTCCCTTGATCCTTAGAAGCTGCATTCGAGTCATCAATCTTTATGGATTACATCATCAAGGAATCTTCCGTGTATCAGGATCGCAAGTTGAAATCAGCAATTTTAAAGAGTGGTTTGAACGAGGTGAAGATCCTTTAGCTGAAGTCACCGACGCATCAGACATCAACTCAATTGCTGGCGTCTTCAAATTATATCTTCGTGAACTTCGTGAACCTTTATTTCCAACAATTTATTTTGATCATTTCATCACATTGGCACAACATGAGTCGAAGCAAGAAGTTGTGACGGGAATAAGAAAATTCCTTCAGACACTTCCACGCTCAGTTGTTTGTGTCATGCGATATCTCTTTGCATTCTTAAATCATTTATCAGAATATTCCGACGAGAATATGATGTCAGCTTATAATTTAGCGATTTGCTTTGGACCAACATTGATGCGAGCACCTGAAGATAAAGATCAGGTTCAGTATCAGAACCAAGTGAATGCGTTGATTGAGAATATGATCGTTTATCATGAAGATATTTTCCCGAAAGATCTTGTCGGTGTCAAATATGAAAAGTACATAACATCGGATACATTTGAAGATATGTAAGTGAAATTTCTCTTAAATTAAATTCTTCTGTTAATTGTTTCTTTCTTAGTGACATTGGCGATTCACCCACCGAACCAAACACTGAAGATCCCGACACACAATCGGAAGATGATTCCGATACATACGAAGCAACTGCACTCTTCGATTTCGAAGCAAGATCCGAACGAGAATTGTCGTTTAGAAAAGGCGACAACATTCAATTGTATAATCAGATCTCAAATGATTGGTGGCGAGCTTGTGTGAATGGTAAAATTGGACTCGTCGCTGATAAGTTTATATCATTAAAAATTAAGTAAGAATTTCAATGTTTTTTTAATTGTTGTTCATTTAATTGATTGATGAACTCATTAAAGGGGCGAAGAACGAAGTGGAGAGAAAAACAGCGCAGATTTCCACATGAAATCATCCAGCTCTGAAGAATCTGTTCGTAAGCGATCACATAGTGTCGGTGCAGCTAGCTTAGCACAAAACACGCTCTCTACAATGACCACGACCAATATTTGTGATATCAATGATGTCATCATGGATGCAAAACAAGATGTAATTGGTGAGTAAAGTAATGAATCATTTAATTAATTTATATTGATGACAAATTCAATTTAGATGGCAGCAAAACACAAAAATATGTTTATCATGATGATCCGCATTCTTTTGAGACATCAATGGATTATTTAGTTGTTGCATCGAACAACACGAGCGTATCTTTGAGCGAAATTCCCACAGATCTTGTCATTAATCCAACAGCACCAGAAGAAGTTCAAGATACAAGCAAAAACGAGCATATTTACAGCAACAGTCACTTCAAATTCGAGGTATTGGAGACGACTGTTTAATTGATTTTCTCTTTGTGTCATTAATTGTTTGTGTCCCTTTGATGATTAATGATTAATGATGCCTACATGTGACCATTGTTAGAAATTTAAAGAATTTTTATTTGCTTTTAATTGTTTGTGCCTTTTAATGAAAAAAGAATACAAAAAGAGAAAAAATGCTTCAAAATAAGCTTCTCAATGTCTAATCAAATGTGTGAATTTAATTAAAGTCTTAAAATGCTTTTTGTGTCTAATTTTATGTAATTATAAGTTTGCTATTTTGTTTTGTGTGGAATTATTCAAGAACCTTGACTACGTTTGTAGAAGTCAATTGAAAGTTTAATTATTTTAAACAACGTACGATGTAGATAATTCCATGCAAAACATAATTTTATTATTTTTAAAAACTCAGTCCAACGCATGCAACTTTTTTCTTCCCTTTTTTCCTTTCTTTCCTAGGTAAATAATTCCCTGGAAAATTTTTCTATAAGAAAAATAATTAATGAAGAAAAGAGAATTAAGTGCTCTTAGGAATTTAATTGACATTTCAATTTTTGTTTGTTTAGTTAAGTTTAGTCAGTTTGCTAATTAAAATGCCTTCCTTTTGTCGTTCTTTGACATAAATAATTTTGTGTTGTTCTTAATTGTGTTTTATTTCTTTAACACCGCGAAACTTTTTGTTTATTTATTTGCTGTCAAAATTTATTTCATTTCATTTATTTTTAATTTTCCTTTATCAACTTTTGTGTAATTTTAGTAAAGAAAAATTATTTCCATTAAAACCTCGCACAGGTGAGCATTTCTTTGATTTATTTTCTTTTTTTTTAATTTATTTAAATATCTACTTTTTAAGTTTCTTCAAACTTTTAACATTAAAATGTCACGAGAATTATGTTAGTTAGAGCACAGATTAAGAATTAATCAAATAGCATCTTGAGAAACATTTTCACATTTTCTTCATTAACAATTTTTCTTTAAAACTTGATTGAGGGATTTTCATTAATTTCATTAAATTATAGTGGATGGTGGAAGTGACTCATTGCATGAAATTGTTTATTTAGTTTCTAATTTAAATCTTTTTTAGACTCCACAAACAACAAATGGAGGCACAAAACCAGAACCAATTTACGCTGAACCGACAAAGGCTTTAAAGAGTCCAAACGAGAATCAAACGAATAATGAATATCAACCATTGAGCATATTTCAACAAAATCGCGAGAAATGGCAGAAACGAGCGAGCACAACAAGTGCTGATGAAGCTTTATTGCTTCAAGTTAATCAACCACAGTCAGCAATTCTTACACGCAATCGACTTCAACCGGATTTAGTTATGGATTTGCCACCACCATCGCAACAAGACAATACAACTCCACCACTTTCTTCGGGATCAACTTCAGCGTCATCTTCAATGACATCACTAGATAAACACGTCGAAGATGTTGAAGAAGATTCAGAAACTTTAGGAGATCATTTCGCAAAACAGAACCAAAGCACTTTGAAGAAGAATGAAAAGTTTCAAGACTTAAATTCATCGAAGAAAATTGCAGTTGATAAAAGTGCAAATTCAAACTTGGCAGAGTCAGCAAAAGTTATTGCTGGGAAGATTGATGATGTTGTTTTAAGAATTGATGAGCTTAATGAGATGGGCGGAGATGGAAGTCGTTTATCATCGGGATCTGTCAAGTCAACATCATCGCTTCCAATAGAATTAGAGAAGAGTCCAATTCCATTGCGTAATACTCAGAAGTTTGTCAATCAATTTGCTGATTTGAAGTTGACAGGCGGATGTAGCACAATTAGTAAGACAGCAACAACACCAACCAACCCTGTTAATACTAATCCGGAAAGAACTGAGAAAGACAGAGCGAGCTTCACTTTTGGAAGCTTTAAACCGGCGATTTCCATCAAACCACAAATCTTGACCAAGAAGAAATCAATTTTTCTTCAAGCTCATTCATCATCGTCGCCATCCACAAGTCCCGGTCCATCTGACGCTCAACCGTAAATTTCTTACATCTATCTAGTCATGTCTGCGTCTTTTTTATCCGCATATGCTCATTGATATTAACTTAATCGTTACTCGTAAAGATAAAGCAAAGGAATATTTTTTAATCAACTTTACAAAAAATGAAAACAAAGAAATTTTTTTCAATCTGGAAGGAATTTAATTGAAGTAGAAGAATTGAAGGAATTTTTTAAATGGAAATGAAAGCAACGAGATTTGTTGTTAAGTGAAGTAATTATGTTTTTGTCTTACGGTTTAAAGTCACTTATAGTGAAAAATATAAGAAAAATAATTCAAAACACCAAAAATTGTTAAATTGATTTACAAAAAATTTGAAATTAAAATTAAGAATTTCATCAATTAGTGATGGAAAATTGTGGCAAACTTTAAATCTTTGTTTTTGGAATAAGAAAGGAAATTCCCCTCGTGGTAGATAAAACAAAACACAAACAAAATATTCTCTAATTAAATGAAAAGTTTAAAGATTGCGAAACTTTTATTGTTCGCTAACGTAAAAAATATTTTCTGATGCTCCCAATTGAGGTTTTAAAAAAATCCCAAAACATGATGAAGATTCAAAGATTTGCTAAATAGAAAGACTGAACAAAATATGGAAACAAAAATTTAAAAATGAAAATTGGTAGCAAAAAAAAGCACAATGAAGTAAAATGTTTTTAAGAAAATTGAAGAAACAAAGAAAATTTAATTTTATAATCTGGAAAATTTCATCATTTTTTTTTTAAAAATCTTTCAGTATTAAGCGATCGTACATGGTTTTCATTTCTTCGTACATAACTGTAAGTCGTTTCCATAAGATAAAATACTCACAGAGGTTTAAAGGACAAAAGTAGTGAAGCGTCGTCGTTCCATCAAATAGATAATCAACATTAAACCCAAAGTTTAATTAATGCCATTGAACTCTAAACTACAATTGAAAAACTTCCATTGTATTCTTAAAGCTGAATCATTAATTAAACATCGCTTATCCGTAAATAATCATAGTTAAATTAGACGTTTGGATCTTGATCTTTTTTAATCCGTGAGATTAAAAGAAACTTTAACCCAGATTAAGCTTATCCGGATTAAATTTCAACTTAATGTTTTCCTGTCGGATCCAATAGTCACTGTAGCACTAACCATAAACTCAGAAGTTAATTAATCCCATGAAACAAACTCTACTCCATAATATCTTCAATGTTACATTGCATAAATGTTCTTTTTCTTCTTTTTAGAGCATCACTTAGAATGATGAAAAATATACGACAGAAATGAGATGAAAATTCTCAAATCAAAGCAACGATCTTAATTCATCAATAATTAATTTTTAAGTAAAAAAAAAGAAAAATATTTTATAAAAAAATGCATATAAATGAAAGATAAATAATTTTGTTATCGATTGAAGAGTTAACAAGCGAGTGATTTAGTTTTCACAATACGTAGAATTGATAAATAATTAAATGGAAGCAACGTATGAGATGAGCAAGGAAGTTACAGGAACTCAAAGCAAATCAAAAATTAAAGAAAGGAAACATTTGTTAATTAACTTTAAATTTTATTTTGCTTTTTTTTTAGTTCTTCCAATATTATATTTGAACAATTTTTATTCTCATACTCGACAGAGATTGATTGTGAATTGATGAATTAAATAATAAAACAAAAAAAGAAGAATGTCTGTGCTTTTTGTCCTATTTATCCAACACAAAAAAATTAAACTTAGTAGATAATAAAGAAAAATTAATTCAAATAAAAAATGAGCAAACTTTTCAATCTTTATTTTAATTTTCAGGGGGTTTAGTGACATGAAAGGAAGTGATCATGATCGATGCTTGTGTAAATGTGGCCATCACTTGACATGTTAGTCAAAAGACTCGTCATTTCTTTTTCAGAGATATGTGGGAACTTTCTACACAACTCCTGTCGACTGATGCCAACATCAGAATGAATTCGGCCGCTTTCTTGTATAGCATTAAAGATGACTAGCTCTTTGCCTTGCGGTCCAGCTTGAGACGAATTGACGTCGTCATAATTTGCTGTAGTTTCCATCTTTACAGTCGATCCGTTTTCAGATTTCATGGGAATTCCTCCTCTGTAATATTCCTCAGATTGATATCGTGCATTAATTGCTTCGAAGTAATGTGTGTTAACTTCGTTGACTCCTTTCACTGGTTGAATCTTGTAAATGATGATTGACTTCATATCACCTTGCTGACGAACTGAGCCGACGATTCTAGCATAAGTTCCTAACATAATAGCAGCTGATGATGGAGCATCGCCTTCTTCAACCCATAAATGAGCATTAATTGAACCTTTAATTACATCATTAGTATTAATCATCAATTTATTGCTTTATTTCCAAACTTTTTTCTACCTGTGAAATCCTCAAGTGAATACGTAATTTTTGTTGAAGCATGCTCAATATTACGAACTAAAGCAACGAGAGTTATCATCTTATATTCCAAACCCCACATTTTGCAAATATCTTCTTTTTGTAAAAGGACTTCCTTGATTAAAACCGGCAAAGTTCCCTTAAAACATCAACAAAAAAATATTTCAAAACTATTTGTAATTTTTACGATCAAAATCATTTACTTCAGTTTTATTTTCCTGCTTGTCTTCACCCCCTTGTTGGTTAAACCCACCTCCAACTAAAAAAAGTGGAAACATATGTTATTAAACATTCATTTAATTGATTTCATAAAGTAATGAAATTTGGCGCGAACGCTCAGTTTTGTAAACATAAATTTTTATCATTTCTACTTACAACTCTCATTCATTTTGTAATCCTTTCAAATTTTCAGGTAGTAATTAACAAAGGAAAACTTTAATTTGATTATAATATTGTTAATTAACACTTGAAATGGATTTTTAATGATTTTTATAAATTTTATGGTTTTATGATGGTGAAGCAACTGCAGCCAACTTCGCACATTTGAGAGAAAGAGAGAGAAGAAAAAGAGAGGGAAGAACAAGCAGTCACAAAATTTTCGCTCATTGTTAAGATCGCAGAAAAATAAAATCACTTTTCATCTGGAATTCAAGCTATTCAGTCGTGAAATTAAAGTGCTCCGAGTACATAAGTTTATAACATATAAATTAAAGTTAAATATTGAAAGAAATTTGTAAGAATAAAAACAAATAAGTGAAATTATCAATTCAGTGTGGCAAATTATTGAACTTTAAATATTTTAGTCAGAATGGTGAGTAATAATGGAATCCTTCAAGTTTTATCGATTTTTTGGAAGGCAAGAATAAGTTTAAATGTCTGAATATTAGTGTTAAAAGTGCTTAAAACTGTTTTTTTCGTGAATTAATAAAATTTATATTATCACGCTATAAGAGGGGAGAGTCCGCTGAAAACCGTCAAATTTTATATTCCTTCATTGAATTTTAACGATTATGGCAATTTTATCAGAAATAATGTTCAAAGCGAAAGTGCAAAGGTCAAAAAAAAATCTGTTATTGCTAACAATGTCATAAACGAACAATGTTATTATTTTGTTTTGCTTATTTCTATGCAAATCTTCAAAAATATTTTCATTCTACATCCACTTGGAATAACCAGAAAAAATTGAGAAAAATTGAGAAGGAAAAAAAATTCTCCCAAAGCAAAGCGAAGGAAAAAAATTCTCTCAGTCATCAACAATACGACGAAAAAAAGTTCATAATTTTATGTTTTGAATGATTTGAAAAGCTAAACTAATTAATAAGATGAATATTTAAGTTGAAAATTTTCTTCATAACTATCAGAAAGAAGGAAAGGGTGTGGCTGTGAAATTATTGATCTGACAAAGCCGAGAAATCTTCACTCGACTGAAATGTTAGAGAAGGAGGAAAATTTAACTTTGTAGAAATTTATGATATGTGTTCTTGTTTGCTATGATTTTGAATGTTTCGTGCCTAAAAGGGTGGAATGAAGGGGACGGTAACAAAATATCGATTTTAATTGAAACATTGCAGTCGACATTCCAATAATTGTCTGTCTTATTTCTTATCCCTTAATAAAATTTCCATCGAACTTCACATTTTAAGTAAAGTCCATGAATGAACAGAAAAAAATGAGCATAAACAAAAAAAAATCTATTCAGTGAGCATAAAAATCAACTCTCGCAACGTGGAGTTTGTGTTTTCATACAACCAACTCAATTTTTTTTCCTTTCATTCATGCGGCTCGGAGAATAAAAAAATCACATGTTTTCCGATTTCCTCGATTCTCCAAGCTACAATAACAAAAAACATGTGACTGAATGAATAAAAAATGCCGGGAAGCCATAGCTACGAGAGAAAGTTTTCTTTCTCCAGAATAAAAAAATATTTTGATTTGATTTTAATCCTTCACGAGCCGCAAGTGTCTTTTGTTTATTTCGTTTTGTTCTTGTATTTTAAATTAATATGTAACTGTTTAATTTGATTCTTGTAAACATTGGAATTATATAACATTCAGTGGAATGAAATTTGAAAGTTCAACTACTTCTGGCAAAAGTTATTTCTGATTATTTGTCTGATTATGACATAAAGTTAAACATTTGCCCTCATCTCAATAATTAATTAGACGATGTATTCATGAATATAAACGATAAGCATACAAAGATATAATGAACAAACTAATCCACATAAGATAGCACATAACTGCAAAATTTCTAATTTTAAAGTACATATTATTCATTATATACAAATTTTAGTGTGAGCCATAATTCTGGAGAAAATTTATGCGAGTCTCACCCATTTGCTATCACCCTACAAATTGTATTGTTAATGCTTAATTTCAACCAACTTTAAAGGGCAAAATGTAACATTTTCAAAAAGTTTGCTTTTCTCACTTTTTTGAATGTCGAAGAGATAAAAAAGTTCTCTTAAATTTGTTTAAAATATTCACGCATAGAACCCTGAATAAAACTTACTCAATTACAAACATTCCATTCCGCTAAAACTTGCTTTATTGTTTCACGAAGATAGTCATGTGTGTTAAGTAATTTTCCCTTTTTATGCTTGAAGGGTTGAGTGGGAGAAAGTTGGTTGGAAGGAGAAGGTGGAATAAGAAGTAATTTGATAAGAAATTTTTAGGGTTGCTAGCGAAAAATATTCTCGGTCGTCTAAAATTCTCAGAAATTGAGGAAGAAGAACGGAAGTTTAAAAGCTTGAAACCGCAATAAATCCCACTGAATGCTTTCCTTCTTTACTCCTCCACATATTATAGTTTCTCTTCATCTTTTTTTCGACGACAGAATAAAGAAGTTTGAGTTAAAATATAGACACATAACTAAGCTACGCATACAAAGGTTGAAATGTTTGTGTTTTCTGGATGTCTTCATTCCTCCCCCCACAAACATGTCTCCCCTCCAAATTCTGTTTCTCATTCAAAATTCTGAACGAAAATTATCGCTTAAAGCATAACACAAAAGTTGTGCAACATGAAATTGCATTAGAAACACTCAAACCACCTCATTCTAATATTGTTAGCAATAAACTCGATGCCATCTTCATCTCATACCATTTCTCTAAGTTTATATGCTTCAGAAGTTTAGTCGGAAGAATTTTACTGCTTGACTAACAACACACGGCAATTTTCAATCCTCAAAACTTTAAATTTCATTGGGTTTAATATGAAGATGTTCTTAATCGTGTTGTTATTGATAACACAAGGGAATTATTAATAGAAAAGTGACTAAACTTGGAATTGGAAAGACTTCGTTACATGACGATAAGAGAAAATGAACAAAATTTTCATGCTTATTTTCTTCCAGGCCACAAAGAAGCTGAACACAATTGCTTTCGATGATGATGATGTGGAAATGGATTCAAATGAAGAAAGTGACGTGTCAGATTTTGACGATGATTTAGATCCAGACAACATTGAAGTGCCAGGTGAGATTTTAACTGCTGTTGTATTAGTGGGGAGGAAGGGAAAGGGAAATGAAAAGATTTTCAGTTTGACGTTAAATAATTTTGGTCGTCGAGAGTTTGAGTTTGTTTGAGTTGATTGCAAAATATTTGTGAATTTAAATTCAATTATAAATTCAATCATGTGACGAAATTATTTCTACAGGCGGTGGCAAAGATCTCGAAACGGCAGCAGCCTTCGCTGAAAAGAAGAATAAAGCAACAACAAGTGGAATAATTCCAGTTAAAGTGACTGCACCTCTAGTGACCTCAACGACGACATCAATAACAAGACCAACGATCATTCTTAAAAATGCCAGCAATCTTACACCGATTGATGGAAAGCAAATTCGATTTTTCCCTCCAAAAGTTAATACAGCAAATAATCGAGTTCCACCTGGAGCTGGAAATGCTTCAACTGGGCCAGGTAAGAGAAAAAAAAATCTTTAATGAAAACTAAATTCTTTGTTTGATAAATGTCTCGATGCTAACTTCCACTTCCATCATCTTTCTATCTTTGTTCCATTCCTTAAATGCTTATATATTAACATAGCTCCACTCTATGGAATTGGAGCTGGTAGTGGAACATTCTTTCCCGGTAGTTTAGCGTCAATGATACAGCAAAGTAAGTTGCTGACTTTAACATCATTTTTGCTTCCTTAATTTTAATTTCCTATCATTTCGCGATATTTTTTGTTTACTTTGATAGAACAAATTTAAATAATAATAAAAAAATTGCTTTTAGTGGAAAGAGCTGGCGGAATCAACAATTTCTCGCCAATGATTGGAAACAATGCTAGTCAATTGGTTAAGAATCTTCAACAATTAATAGCAGCAAATCCTGCTTACCTAACAAGTGGCATACCGACACATTTAATACAACAAATGTGGAAGAAAGAACCGGAACCGACAAATGTGATGCCAAAGGTGACAAACATTCGAATTAATGGCGTAAATATTATTTTATTATTTATTTATTTCAATGTTTTTATGATTTAAGTGAATTTAAATTAAATATTAATTCTTTTTATATTTTTTTCAGTTAAATCAAATTGAGGAAGAAGAAGGAGAAGATGAAGAGATGGGAGTCGCTGAAACTTATGCTGATTATTGGCCAGCAAAACGTAAGTATAACTTAAACGTAACATAAACATAACGTTAACCGTCCAGCCGTAAGCATAACGTTAACTCTTTAAATAATTTTAAAAATAAATTTTAATATTAAATTTCTCTTTGTAGTGAAAATAGGAAAGAAACATCCAGACCCAGTTGTTGAAACAGCATCACTGTCATCAGTTGAACCATCAAATATCCACTACAAACTAAGCATTCCATCTGACTGTATTGAACAAGGCATGTTAAGTGCATTGCAACTTGAAGCAATCACTTATACGTGTCAAGCTCATGAATGCATGTTGGAAGATGGTTCTCGTGCTGGTTTCTTAGTTGGTGATGGTGCTGGTGTTGGCAAAGGTCGAACAATTGCTGGAATCATTTACGAAAATTATTTGAAAGGACGAAAGAGAGCGTTATGGATCTCAGTGAGTAATGACTTGAAATATGACGCACAACGTGATTTACGTGACATTGGAGCTGGCAAGATTCAAGTTCATGCTCTAAACAAGTTCAAATATGCAAAAATTAATTCGACAACAAATGGAAACATCAAAAAAGGAATCGTATTTAGCACATATTCAGCGATGATTGGAGAGTCAAATAATCGTGATGCTGGCAAATACAAATCGCGTCTAAAGCAATTGCTTCAATGGTGCGGAGAAGACTTTGACGGTGTTATTGTGTTCGATGAATGTCATAAAGCAAAAAATTTGTGTCCGACTGGTAGCAGCAAACCAACAAAAACGGGTTTAACAGCTCTTGAACTTCAAAATAAGTTACCGAAAGCTCGCGTTGTTTATGCATCAGCAACTGGAGCTTCGGAACCTCGCAATATGGCTTACATGGTTCGCTTAGGAATTTGGGGAAAAGGGACGCCGTTTCCAACATTCCTTGACTTTATCACAGCTGTTGAAAAGCGCGGTGTTGGTGCAATGGAATTGGTAGCTATGGATATGAAACTTCGTGGTGGTTACATCGCCAGACAGCTCAGCTTCCAAGGTGTCGCATTTAAAATTGATGAAGTTCAATTGTCAAAGGATTTCAAACAAATGTATGATGATTCAGTGGAGCTTTGGGTTGAAGCAATGCACAAATTCACAGAAGCTGCTGAATTAATTTCAGCCGAGTCACGAATGAAGAAGACAATGTGGGGACAATTCTGGTCAGCACATCAAAGATTTTTTAAATATCTTTGTATTGCATCAAAAGTTCAGCATGCTGTGACAGTTGCACGTGAAGCTATAAAATACGGAAAATGTGTTGTCATTGGCTTACAATCAACTGGTGAAGCTCGAACATTGGAACAATTGGAACGTGACGATGGAGAATTAACAGACTTTGTGTCAACAGCTAAAGGCGTCATTCAATCTTTAGTTGAAAAACATTTTCCAGCACCTGATCGTAATCGAATCAATCGATTACTAGGATGGGATAATAATTCTGGAAAAACAATGCTCGAAAGAATTCTTGAAGAAAGTGATGGAAAAAAGACAACAACAAGTGGTCAAAAACGTAAAACATTTGATTTAAGTAACTTGCCTCAAAAACGAGTCAAACGATCTCAACTTGAGATGTCAGATGATGATGCTGATGATTTTAAAAATGGTTCAGACTTTGCAGCCAGTGGCAATGAAAGTAGCAGTGATGATGATGACGACGACGATGATGATGTAATGTCAGATGCATCAGAAGAAAACTCCGATTACAATCCGTTTGGGAACTCTTCTGACTCAGAATCTGATCCATGGGTTAGTAAACAAAAGTCAAAGAAATTTAAAAAAGAGAAAAAAGAAAAGAAAACAAAAAAGAAGAAGGACAAAGAAACAAATGGAAATAATTCATCAACAGCTGATATTGTCGCTCAAGCATTGATGAAATCGAAGAAAAGTCAACCAAATGAGATAATAAATATAAGTAAACCAACACAAGATCCAACAACTGGAATTGTTAAAATATCTGTGCTTGGCATGTCAGCAGATATCGCACCAATTCATATTAAAACAGCTGATCAATCACCGCCAAAAGACAACATTGAAAGAGCTTGCGAAATGAAGGAAGAATTATTGAGAAAGATTGAAAAGCTTGGAGATAAATTGCCACCGAATACTTTGGATCAATTGATTGATGAACTTGGTGGACCTGAGAATGTCGCTGAAATGACGGGGCGTAAAGGACGCGTCGTTCAAAACGAAGACGGTTCCATTCAGTATGAGTCACGATCCGAGCAAGACGTTCCTTTGGAGACATTAAATTTAACTGAGAAACAACGATTCATGGATGGAGAGAAAGATGTTGCCATCATTTCCGAAGCAGCATCGTCAGGTATTTCATTACAAAGTGACCGACGTGTTCGAAATCAAAGACGTCGTGTTCACATCACTTTGGAATTGCCTTGGTCAGCTGATCGTGCAATTCAACAGTTCGGACGAACACATCGTTCTAATCAAGTCAGCGCACCTGAATATATTTTCCTAATTTCTGATCTCGCTGGTGAAAGACGATTCGCTTCAACAGTTGCAAAACGTTTGGAGAGTTTGGGTGCATTAACACATGGAGATCGTCGTGCGACAGAGTCACGCGACTTATCACAATTCAACATTGACAACAAATACGGTCGTAGTGCATTAGAGGCTGTGATGAAGACATTAATGGGCTATGAGAAGGCGATGGTGCCACCGCCAGTCGACTACAAAGGCGACTTCTTCAGGGATATTGCTGGTGCACTCGTTGGTGTTGGCTTGATTGTGAACAGCGAAACAAGTCCCGGTGTTCTCAGCTTGGATAAAGATTACAACAGCATCAGTAAATTTTTGAATAGAATTCTTGGAATGCCAGTTGAATTACAAAATCGTTTATTCAAATATTTCACTGATACACTGGCAGCAATTATTGGAAAAGAGAAAAGAATGGGACGATTTGATTTGGGAATTCTTGATCTCGGTGCTGGCGGTCAGAATGTTAAAAGAATTCGTCATATAATTTTCTTGAGAAAGCATTCAACTGGAATTGCGCCAATTGAATTGCAAACAGTTCATGTCGAACGTGGGATGATTTGGCAAGAAGCGATGGAGAAATGGGCAGATTTAGATGGTGAAAAAGAAGGATTTTATTTGTCACATCAAGTTAGAAATGGAAGTTACACAGCAATTCTTGCAATTGCTGTTGAGAATCGACAAAACAATGTCTTACTAGGAACAGCAACAAAGAAAGTTAAAGCAGAAAAAAAGAAAGACCAAATGTTTCAAATTTATCGACCAAATACCGGACTACAAGTTCGTCTCGAATCATTAGCTGATCTCGAGAAGAAATATAAGAAAGTTGACAGTAGTGAAGCAGATAAGCATTGGATCAAGCAATATGACGCTTCTGTGAATACTTGTTCGCATACATTTTGGAGTGGAACGTGTCGTCATGTCACAATGGGATATGAATGCGAGGTAAGCATTGTAGTAGTAAATTTACAACTTTTAGAACTACTAGAAGCATTACTAGTAAACTTTTATTAGTAATTGAAGTACTAGAATAAATTTCTAATTATTTTTTATTTCCTTCTCAGGTTGGATTACGTCGCCGAACGTACTCGATTTTATCTGGCTCCGTCTTGTCAGTTTGGGGTCGTGTTGAAAATATTCTCTCACGATATGGAAGCTCTGGGCATAATAAGATGCAAGTGATTCGTCTGAAGACGCAAGAAGGGAAGAAGATTGTGGGCACAGTCATACCAAAGAATTGCGTTGAACTTATTCGACAAGACTTAAGCTCAGATGCGGAGAAGGTTGAAGAAGTGAAAGTAGAGTAAGATGGACAAGTTGAGTTAGGTTTCCTAATTTTCCTTTTTTTTAATTCCTTTTTGTCATGTTTTATGAAAATTCCTTTGTATCAACTTCTGATAAAAATATGAAGGAGAAAGTTCAGTTACTAATTAATTAATGAGACTTGTCACTTGTACTGAATATTCATTTCTAAGGAAAATGTACATTAAATTAAAATGTTTCATTGTCAGTCGTCACTACATAAGTTTCTTGGTAGCTTATAAGGGCTGAAAGTTTCTTGAGATATCAAATTCATCTCACAGTTCGAAATAAATTTAATCTTCACAGTTCATACATTTTCCATAAACATTCATGTAACAATCCAAAAAAAAATTAAAATAATAATATTAATGAGAATACGAAAATAAACGCTTAGTTATGATTATCTATTTAAAGTTTTAGTATCTCTCACGAAAATCATTCTGATTTAAAGTTTTGTTGAGATAAGACTTAGGATAGAAAACATCTTCACTTTATTTAAGAAAAGTGGATAATTTCAATAAATGTAGATAATTATTTAGTTTAGTTTTTCCAAAATAATTTCAGATGGAAAATGGTTAGTCTTAGTTTGTCGTATGATTCGTCGATTAAAATGTGAAACAATAAAAAGATTAAAATATAAGAATAAAATAAGTTTTTTTATTACAATTTCGATTATTATCACCTAATTGCTTGGAACTTCGAAATGTTTGAGGTTTATTTTAGATTAAAACTTTTTCAGCTAAACCTTCCACATTTTAACAAACAAATAAAGACTGAAAATTACAAGTAACAAACAACCAATAAAGTTTCTCAAATTCTTTTTCAATTGCTCTTCAACTCCTTCAACACTTTTAATGATTTCGTTGTTGAGCTCAAAAACTTTATGACTTTCATCAATTAATGCTTGTCGCAAGTTTTCATTGAAGTCACTTGAAACTTCGTCGATATTTTGTCGAAAATTATTTTTCAATTCGAAAATTGACTTGTTTGGAAATGATGTAAGATGTGAGCCTGGTGCAATCTCATCAGTGTCATCTTTCTGTTCATTAAACTTTTGCATGAACTTGTTGGCAATTCTCCTTTTCTTTGCAAGTATTTGACCGCCTGATAAGAGTCCCATGTAAAGATGATAAACGTAAGCAATTAAAAGCCTTGGATTTCTTTCTTGAATTTCATTCAGATGACTCAGATATTTCTGAACACTTTCTCTGATTTTGTATTCATTCTTCCAGTCATTTCCTTTGTAAAATTCTAAATCATTTTCAAATTGTTGTGTTCGATGATATTCAACTGGTAAAATATCCTGAGGAACATTCTCTTCAAGAAATTTAAATACTTCATAGAATACTAAAAGTCCATCAGCCCATACTTCTGAGTTATTTAATGCTAAAAGAATTGAAATTGTAAATTTACAATGAAAACAAAGAAAATAAACAACAATGACTTACCGAATGCTAATTTTGCATTAACTAATGCATCTGATAACTTATGAATTTCACGCGTTGCAATTCGCATCTCTTTGGTAAGTGATGAACTCATGTTTGGTATTAATATTACTAAAACTTTCACAATTCGAGCGATGAATTTAAAGGGTGCAAACATTCAAACATAAATTGCAACTAATTTGCAACATGAATCGGTTGGACAAATTTCAAACATTTGCAACTAATTTGCAATTTTTCTACACATAGCGGTTTAATCTCAGCAGTTTTGCGGTTCAACTGCTTGAATAAAAATTGCGAATTAGTTGCAAATAATAAAATTATAGCAGTTTTTTTTATATATGAAAAAAATTAGGAAACTTCAGTTGTAATTATTAAAAGATATTTATTATATTTATAACTTTTAATGATGCTACAATTTTTAAAGTTGTACATAAAATTATATATTTAAATACCTATATAAGAATAATTGTATTACAAAAAATAGGTATAAAGAAATAAAGTNTATATATTAAAATTATATTTTAATTAAGCATTTAATTTCAATTATATTTACAATTAGTACATTTAAAACTTGCGAATTAATTGCAGAAAGAACAAAGCAAAAAACTTGCAAATCAATTGCAATTAAAAGATTGCAAAGAACTTGCGAATTAATATAACGCAGAAGACGTGCAAATTAATTGCAATTAATATAAAACAAAAAGACTTGCATAGAACTTGCGAATTGATTCCAAATGATTTGCAAATGAAGTGAATAAAAACTTGTAAATAAATTGAAAAGATTTCTTTGTTTCAGTTTTATTATTTTCCGTTTGTGTCAATGCTGTAAAAGTAATTCAATGATGCAGACAAGCTACATTCGAGGTAAAGATGTTTTCGAGACTGTCGTTCCACTTTGTCGTCAACATTATGGAATAATTAAGCAAGTGTTCTCAAGTCCCGATCAAGTTATATCAAAGTTTATTCTCAACATTTATCAATTGAGAATTCATCAATTTGTGAGCACAAAATTAACTGATGATAGCAAAGACGATGCTAAATACCTCAAAACATTGCATTATTTATATTTGAGAACAATGAAGTTGTCGAACGATCTCAGTGAATTCATCAAAGATTCCAACGACGATTTGCTTTCTAAATTAACACAAAACATGTTTTCGAAACATTTAGCAACGTACATTGACACTGAACTTTTTTTTTTTGATAAAACTTGTTCAATGGAAGTTAGAAAATTCTACGACAGTAAAAATCATCAAAAGAAGCAAACGGAAAGATTTCAAGATCTCAAACGAGACATGCAAGCGATCATCAGTGCAAGGACCAACATAAATATCGTTCAAATCGACAATTATGGTGGCGAAACATTTTTGTCTGAAGAACTCGCAATAAATTTACTTCAAGAATCGACAGCTGCTTTTGATCGTTGTTCAGTTGTAAGTTTGTCTTTCAGTTTTTAAAAATAATTTTTAATGAAGAATTCAAATTCCCTGCAGTTGTCTAAAGAAGCGGAAACACCGACAAATATTATTAAGCTGGCAGATATTCTCCTGAAATATTTAATCACAGAACATTGCGACTATGCAGTCGATCTTGGCATTCAATCAATTCCAATTGCTGACACCAAATCTGCACCTCAAATTTATTTCTTTGATGTTGTTCAGAAGACCAACACAATCATTCATCTCATGGAGAAAACTTACAACGCCAGTATTTTGCCTTATGTTATTTCAACATCAAAATATGTTGATTGCATGCACAAGAAGAGATTCTGCTTGGAATCAATTGAGAATAAATTAGATAATGGCTTGGATCGCTCATTGAACTCGATTTGTAATTGGATGAAAATTTATCTGCAAAGTGAACAGAAGAAAACTGATTTCAAACCGGAATCGGATATTGATACTGTCGCTTCATCAGCATGTTCAGCTGTTTGTCAACACATAAATTCATGCATTGCAAGGATTAAGAAAACCATTGACGGTGAGAATCTTGTTGAAGTTCTTCAAGAGTTAGGCGTGAGATTTCATCGCGTTATTTATGAACATTTGCTTCAATATCAATACAACACTTTGTAAGTTTAATTTATTCTTTTCCTTTCGTATCTCATTTCTTAATGTTCACAGAGGTGCAATGGTCGCAATTTGTGATGTCAACGAATATCGAAAATGCGTAAGAAAACTTGGTGACTCTTTAGTCTCTCAACTGTTTGACATTCTTCATGCGTTGTGCAATTTATTGTTAGTTAAACATGAAAATCTGCAAGAGGTTTGTAGTGGCGAAACTTTAAATTATTTAGACAAGTCTGTTGTTATGAATTTTATTCAATTGAGAAGCGATTATAAAACTATTAAGCAAGTAACAGCTTCACTCAAAACTTACAATTAATCAATTGAATATCTCAAATCATCTTTTTATGTTCAATTTTCAAGCTTAGATTGAATCCAATCGACCTGTATGAAATTATTTAGAAAATATGTTAAATAAAATAATTTTGTAACAATTTTTAAATGTTTTCTTACATATTTCGACACTCTGTAAAGTCAAACAAAAGAAATTAGGAAAGATTCAATAATGGAAAATTAAATTCAAACCTTGTGTAGACTCCGGGAACGTCTTCAGTTCCACAATTCTTGGGCCCATATGAAACAATGCCAGCTAGGAAATAATAAGGAATGGGACCAGACTCGTAATGTTCCATCAAAGGACCACCTAGACAGTTTTCCCAATCGCTTAATTATTGTGTTTATAAAAGATTAAAAATTTCTCACCTGAATCTCCGTTACTTGAAAAAGGAAGAGAAAAAATTAGTTAAAATTCATTCTTAAAAGAAAAATTCTTTAATTATCATACTTACCAAGAATCCTTTCCTATTATTTATTAAAAATTAAATAAAATTATCAAATGATTAAATAAGAAATTCAAAAATTTTCACCTGGAGCTCCACCAGCACAGATCTAAAACGACATTTTTCAATTATGATTGAAATTCTAAAATTTTCTGATTAAATTTTACCTGACTATCCAAAATTGTGAGTCCGGAACGTGAATAGACTTCTTGGCATTTCGAATTTGGATATGCAGCAACAGCAACCTTTAATTTTCTGTCACTTGTGTAAGATGTTTCAGTTTTTCCTGAGATAAAAAGAGAAAGAAATTTCAAAATTCATTTCAAGAAATTCTAGAAATCTTTACAAACCCCATCCAGCAACATCAAGAGATTTTCCATCCAAATTCAAATTCCTTACATCAGAATTAACTTGCAAGCAAATTGGTTTGATAAAGTCAGTATAAGTGACAGTTCGTGACAATCGAAGCAAAGCAATGTCATGATGCTGATTCTTCGAGTTTGCTACATAACTTTCATGAATAATTTTCTTTTCAACGGGAACATCAACATGTGGATCATTACAAACTCTTTCGTTAAAGAAAGAATCGTCACAATCTTCAACTGTTGTTGTGTCCCATTCGCCAAGTCGAACACTAACAAGATCCCAATCAGAAGGAACTTTTCCAATGCAATGTGCAGCAGTTACAACGTATTTTTGATTGATTAAACTTCCGCCACAATGGAAACCCGTTCGTCCACGAGCTAAAGGGAAATAACAAATATTTTTCTGTTTCCGAATGACTCGATGAAATTTTCTTACGTTTATTGTATTGTAATTGTGCCAACCACGGGTATTCATCGATGGTTGTTTCTTCTCCACCATAAATGCGATTATCAGCGTCAACTCCACATTCTGGTGCTTCTGGAAGTCTACTTGCTGTTGATGGTACAGTGCTTCTGACGGTTGTGACTGGTGCAGCAGTCGTTTGTTCAGTCACAGATGGACAGCAAACCCATGGTTCGAAATAATATTTACATTGACTTCTTCTCAGAAAAATACGAACGTCGTATGGAATTTGTCTCCCTCGGTATTGCATCAAAATATTCAATAAGCTGTCGCAACTTCTTATCGGCTGACAAAATCCGGTTACTCCGGTCGGGTTCACACAAGATTCATAATATTCTAAACATGTATTCGTTAACTTATTGTTATGAGGTATTTAACGAGTTCATCAACTTTACACTTACGTGAATTTACAACATTAATGACGAGTAGAAAAGCAACTACCGCGATTAATTTCATTTTAAACAAGAATAATCGTTATTTAAACTTTATCAACCAGATAAGACAAAATTTATTAGAAAATTATTTTATTTTTTTCAAATTGATGTGTTGAATGTTCGGGAGCGACTGAGAAGTTTTTTAGAAGAACTTGGGATTATAATCTGTTTTCATTTAAATACCTACAGTTCTATAAAATAAGAGATTCTCTCTTGTTGTTGCCTTAGCTTTGGTAAAGAAGATCATAAACGTTCTCAAATTTATTTCTTATAATGAAACTTTGACTTGTTCTAATCAATATGTTAAATGTAGAGTAGAATTTTAATCGAATTCTATGTTGCAATACTTTTGTAAATATTTCTAAAATTATTGCTCATTTTGAAGAATTGTTACACTTTAATTATGCCAAATGTTTTCAAGAACATCTTTTTTTTTCAAGGATTTACAAATAGTCATTAGAAGTTGAGGAATCTTCTGAGATTCCCGAAGAAACATTGGAGATAATTCGAGTTTCATTGAACTTTGAATAAAATAAAAATAAAAAATAAAAAAACTTAACATTTGGGTAAACAAAAATTCTTTTCCATAACCTGATTAGTTAATAAATGCTAATTTTTTCATATACCTAATTAATTCCAAACCCATATGGAAATAAATAAAAATAATAAATATAAAAAGCTTTTAATGTGCTTTTTTCCTTATTCTATAAATGAAATGAAATAAACTTGTAACGGTCAATATTCGAATTCATTTAAAAACGTTGTAGCCTGTTCAACTATCGACCTCTGTAACTTCATCATAATCTTTGTAACTTTTAAAAATATTTTCAAGAAAACAAAATAAAACATTTTCTAATCTAAGTGCTCATTTGATATCAATTCATAGCTATGGATTGGCAAAACTGGTGTCGACTTTGTGGTAATAATGAGACAATTATAAAAATTGAACCAGAAGTTGAGGAACTGGCTTCGAAATTAAATGTAAGGAAAATAATTTTTATTTTGAAGTTGCATCATTAATTTATTTCCTTAACTTGCTGTTTAGATACTGGAGCATAATTTTAAAATTTGTGTAGAATGCAATGCTTTCCTAAGCGAAATTTATCAATTTGTAGCAAGAAGCAAATTGATTGATGCGATGTTTTTAGAACTTGAACAACTTGATCATCAACAACCAGTCGATCAATTCACAACAATTGCAGAAGAAAATGTCGAGACAAAAAATTTTACAAACGAATTTGAGTATGATAAATCAATAGCCGATGTAAGACAAAGATTTGGCCTTAAACCACTTGAAATGCCTGTTGAAATGTTAGCAACAACTTTATTTGAGGAACCAAATGTTGTTATTGATTCAGTGGAAATTAAATTAGAAAGTGAATTAGGTGACTTCGAGGCTAATGAATTATTATCAGAAGATCAGGATCTAAGTGAAAGTTCAGAAGAAGAAGAGGATAATTCTGAGATTGAGCAATTAAGTGATTCAAAATTCAAGAGACACAAAGATTCCATTCGATACCAAGACGGGGAAGGCGATGAAGGAGAAGATTCGACAGATTCGGGTGGTGAAGAACGGAAGAATGCTAAAAAGTATCAAAAATCAGAAGCAGAGAAACTTTATGAGTAAATCAATTAAATTAATGTTAAATATTGTGAATTTAATTAAATAATTTTTTACATTTTGTAGCTTTGTTTGTCATATTTGTAAAAAGGAATTTGATAAAATGTGCTTCCTCACGAGACATTGCCGTAGAGTTCATAAATGTATACCTCAAGTAAACTGCTTTTGTGGAAAGCAACTTGGTACCTGGAAACGTCTTCTTATACACAAACAACTTCATTTCCCTGAGAAAGTTGATTACGAATGTAAAGAGTGCAAATTAACTTACAAACTGAAAGCATCGTACGAGAGTCATATGAAGAAAAAGCATGGACCAGACGCTAAGAAGTTTGTTTGCAGTCAATGCGCAAGATGTTTCAAAAATTCCCGAATCTTAGCATCTCATGAGAAGACACATTTGCCTGATGATCTTAAATTAACCCATCTTTGTGTTATTTGTAATAAAAAGTTTGTTAACAAGAATTCATTAAAATCCCACATCACGAGCGTCCACGAAATGGCGAATCTTTACACATGTGAAACATGCGGGAAAGGTAAGAAAACTTTGATAAATATTCATCGAAGCAATTTCCATGTTTCAACTTTGCAGGCTTTTCAACCAAATCAAACCTTAAGTCTCATCTTTATGTGCATTCAGACAAGAAAGACGTTCAATGTGATGTTTGTTCAGCACGATTTAAGAACATGGACAGTCTTAGAAAGCATAAAAAGTCACATTTAGAAAAGTCACAAGTTTGCATAATTTGTGGCAATGTTTATAGAAATCGAAATAATTTGAAAGCTCACATGGGTAAATATGAAATTTCTGCAACGAAACTTTCTACTTCAATTAATTTTTCTCTTTCAGTTTGTCACTCGAATGTCAAAGCTTTTCAATGTACGTTTTGTCCGAATTCTTATAAAAGATCAAAAGATTTGAAATGTCATTTGAATCTTCATACTGGCGAGTAAGTTTATTAATTATCTGCTAATTCTGTTGAATTTTTAATCGTTTTCCTGTTGATAGACGTCCATATCAATGTCAGTTCTGCTCAAGAACTTTCGTCAACGGGTCAAATTGTCGTAAACACAAACTCAAAGATCATCCTGAAGAGCTTGCTGCATTCGAATCTATTCATGGTCGTGGAAAATCAGCAGTTCAAGCACTCCAAACAATTCACACACCGTAAAAATCGCCTTAAGCTAATTATTTGCAAGATAAAAAAATAAAAAGAGAAATTTTAATCTAAGAAAAATGTTTTTATTGATAACATTGGAGATTCTTTCGACCACCAACGCCATTGACAGATTCCCATCGTTTGAGATCATCATTATGATCCTTTAATTTATGTTTTCTACAATTGGCAGCATTTGCAAATGATCGCGAACAAAATTGACAGCAGTATGGTCGCCTAATTGAGAAAAAAGAGAAAGAAATTTAAATAAACAAATAGGTATGTATCTTCAATAAATCATTTTTATTTCTTACTCTTTTGTATGAACTGTGAGATGTGATTTGAGATCTTTTCTCCTTTTGAATGCTGAGTCACAATATTCACATTGATGTGGTGTGTGATCGGAGTGAACGACTGTAAAGATTCCATCAAATTTATTTATTACTGAACTTAAAAGAATTACTCACTCATATGAGATTTCAATCGACGAAAGGCGGAAAAAGTTGCATTGCATAAATCACATGAGTAAGCATCATCAACAGTGTGAACTTCTTTATGAACATTGAGAGCTGATTTGGTTTTGGTTTTGAATTCACATTGATTGCAATGAAATTTTCTATCACTGTGTACGCGTTGATGTTCATAAAAATGTTTTCTCGTGTAAAAACCTTTTCCACAATCAGATTCTTGACAATAAAAGTTGACAATTCTATTATGTTTCATTTCATAATGGTTTTGGCATGCTTGTTTGGTGATGAATTTTAAATCGCATCCTACAAATGGACATTCGTGATTTCGTCGATCTTCTATGGACACAACATGAGTTCTTTCATGGCATTTCAAAGTTTTGGTCTCTTTAAAGCTCTTCCCACAATGAGTGCAGATGAATTTTGTGTTATGTGTTAACAAATGTTTCTCTAACCCACCGATGGTTGCAAAAGCTCGATTGCAGTCATTGCATCTGAAATCATCTTCATTAGGGAAATGCTTGCTTTTATGTATCATAAGACGACGCCAAGTGCTTAAAACTGAATCACAATCATCAGAACAACATTTAACTTGTGGTAAACAATTGTGAACGGTTTTGCAATGCGATTCGAGTGATTTCATCTTCATAAATTCTGGATGATCACAAACATGGCAATGGAAGTTGAAGAGTTTCTCATCTTCATTCTTTTCACTTATCGAAGATCTTTCGTTTCTCAGGCTTTGGTGGTTTTCATGTTCTTCCGGTGTCATTGGAGTTTCTTTGGTATATTCGATGTAGTAATGATCATCAACACAACTTTCCTCAATACATTCTTCAATATTTTCTTGATATGTAACAAAAATCTTACTTTCATCTTCCTCAACTATCATTTCATCTTTAATTGTTACATATTCTGTCTCATCATCATCATCATCATAAATCATATTCGAATCTATTTCCGTAATTGTTGTCTCTTTAACTGTTTCCATTTTCTTAAAAATTTCACTTTCCTCGTCTTCCATTTCTTTGTACTCGCATTCTGTCATTGCTTGTGTTTTACTTTGTTCCACTTTTACAATCACTAAATCTTCATCATCTTGAATCATTGTTCTGAGATTAAAGTGAGCACGATAAGCATTTAATCTCGGAATTGTGAGATCAACATCGCTTTCCTCCTTTAATCCAAAAAATAAACGACTTAGTTTGTTTGCTGTTATTTTCATTTCGCAAATCGTTTCTATTTGGTAACTACAGTCAAAACACATTGTAACATCCTCCACAGGAATCTGAAATTGATTAAATTTTAATTTCAAACAATTCTTATAAACTATTTTCTTACATCAAATATTTGACTGCTCAAATGTGCCGCTTCTATGGTTCTTTCTGCTAAACTTTCTAATGCTCCACAAATACGGCACCATTTTCGATAATCTGTCATTATTGTTTACTATTTGCTTTTCTTGTTGTCATAAATCTTCAAGAAAAAATAAAGTTGTTGATTAAATAATTGTAAATAGAGTGAAGTTGGATGCGAATCTTATCTTAAAATTTTAAATCTTCAGTTAATTCGACGTACGTAAAGTTACGTATGTTTTCCTAACGTAACTGTATATGGAGTAACGTCAAATATGGTTGACATAACTGATATTTCCAGACGTATGTATAAACCCTACGTTTCCTCAACCTCATCTAACTTCACACGGTTATAAGAAGATATCAGCTGTTCGTTCATTTAGCATTCATTCTGGCTTAGTAATTGTCATTCCTGCAAAGTTAAAGGACGCGCTATTTTTGTGTCGTGGAAAATTACAGCAAAATGCTTTTATAAACTGTAACTAAGGAAGTTGAAGTGCTTTGTCACCAGTTTCTTGTTCTTATCGACAAAGAAAAAGGTGTTTATTCGAAAAATCTTACTAAAGTTGACCAAACTCTTTTTCTTGATTATTTTTTTAATCGACTTTTATAAATTAAAGTGCTTTTAAAATTCACTCCATTTGAAAAAATTGAAATTAAAAAACTGTGAAGAAGTGTGAATAGTAATCAATTGACGCCAAAAATTCCACCCTCATATTTGGCAGACAACAATATTCGAAAGTTGAAAGCAAAAATTTAGTCACGAGTAAGAAAATTTCAATTGCTTCTGTATATATAGGGAGAGAGAGAAAGATACAAAGTGAAAAATGGAAACTCTTTTTTTTTCTACTGCATTAATGCGGCATGAATCAATCGTCACTTCCTTGCTACTCATGGGAATATAATTGGAATATAAGCGATCTTGAATGTGGAAACACGCAGAGTTTTCGAAAGATTTTTTACATGTTTTTGTTTCTAACGAAACAAGTAAATTGAAAATCATTTATTATGTTGAAATTGATGAGAAGTTATAACTAATCTAAATTGATAAGATAATAAGTAATAACTACACAGACTTTCATGTCCCCATTGATTATCAGTTTATGATAAAAGAAAGTACAACGAGTAAAGAGGAGGAATCAATGGCTTTTAAGTGTATTATTGACCTTGAACTTTATAACATAAATCCGTTCGGCCATTGACATTAAAAATTTGAAAGATTTGCTGAAAAGAAAAATGAAGAGTTTGAAAATCTTCCTGATTTGTTACACGTCATAAAAAGAAAATATTAACATAGAAATAAATAAAAGCGAGTTCATTGCCAAAAATGTCAGACTGGTGGTTAGAAATGATAAATATGTAAATAAATTCATTTTTTTTTTCATCTTTGATCAACACTTTAATGTCTTTCTCGATCAGATGTTTGACTTTGCCTCCTCACAGATGCTTTTTTTTTGTATGATAGGTCATGCTACGTTTTATTTTTATCGTCGGTGTGACTATAAGACAACAAAGTATTGAAAAAAAACGTAAAAGAAAAGAAGTAGATAAAAAGAATCATCTCAATACTTTTTTTCTCTCCTCGCACGGCACACAGGCACCGACAAGGTAAAAAAAATGAGAAAACTTTCAATTAAAACTTCAACAATTTACGTTTTCCATGTATCGAGGTGATATTTTAAAGGCCACACATAAATTACGACTGCCTCGAAAAGTAGAATTCACCGAAATTTCGCGTGTAAATGTTAGCAGTTTCGAAAGTGGGCCACATACGTTTAGATAAACTTCTTTTAAGCTTTCTCTCTCTCTCTCATCTTATCATTTAATGGCGCTCAGCAACAATTTACGATTAAACTTCTTTTTTTTTCTACTTCTTTATTCTCGCGACTCCAGTTTAAGTAGTAGAAGATTAAAAACCTTTGGATATACAAACAAATAACAATCAAGCGTTCCATTTAAAAAGCTTTCAATTCAAATTGATTTCGTATTAAGCGACGATGGGAACTGAAAATGAAAGAACTACATTGTCGATTGAATCAATTCCAAAAAATGTGAGTGAAGCACAAATGGAACAATCAAGTGAACAACAGCAAGAAGAAAGTAACAATGATAATCCTGACCCTCTCGAGAATTACAATCGCGTGAGGATGAATGAGAAAAATGGTAAGTAAAATGCCAACGTAGCCTTGACCGTCTTAATGAAGGAAGATCAACAACGCGACAATTTTTTAAATCATACTGAGAATGTTTTTATTTTGTTTTCATCGTCATCTCAATTTCTCGCTATCAAATGACGTCAGACACAAATAAAAAGAATTTCCTACATCAGTGATTCTCAACTTTTTTCGTCAATTTCCTTGACAAACTCGTAAATGTTTTTATTTTGGAACATTTTCATTTAATTTATTTTTTCACATAAATTTCTAATCTTAATCAAGTAAATTTCCCGAACAGGTTGAGAAAAACTGTCTAAAAAAGAGGAAAAGAAAACTAAAACAAAGAGTTTCATTACCATGACACACACGCTGACGTGATTCACAAATAAAGTTCATTCTCATTGCCTCCCATCAAATGAATTGTTTATTTCTGTTTTGTTGTCCTTTGTGGAGCTTCATTGATTTTTTTTTCAATGTTGACATCAATTTTAATCAATTTATTTTATATTTGACATTCGTCGTGTTCTCCCCTTAAATGTCCGTCTTGTACTAAATTATAATTAATTAAAATTCGCTTATGATTTTTTCTTATTTTTTAATTTAAGTGAGGCTTGTGGCATCTGAGAATGAAAAGTTGATCTTGAAAGAAGATGAAGACAAATACGAGTTCGTGCCACCTGATGGTGGTTATGCTTGGCTGGTTCTATGCGGTGCTATGTTAATTAACATTCTTATTCCTGGTGGTGCCATCAAATCATTTGGAATACTCTTCGTGGAATTTCTTGAACAAATGGATGCATCGCCAACAGCAGCCTCTTGGATTCCAGCACTTTGTTACTTTCTTTATTCATCACTTGGACCTTTGTCGAGTATTCTGAGTGTCAAATATTCATATCGAACAGTTACTTTACTTGGTGCTGGCTTTTGCTCAGCCGGAATGATTTTGACGCATTGGGCAACATCAATAGAATATCTTTACATCAGCTATGGAGTGTTTGTTGGCATAGGAGCTGGATTGAGTTTTCCGCCAACAGTTTACATCGTCACTTCATATTTTACGAGCAAGCGAGGACTTGCGAATGGTCTTTGCATAAGTGGAAGTGCTTTGGGATCAATTTTACTCCCACCATTGCTTCGTGTTCTTCTCGATCATTACGGTTATCGTGGTGCTTGTTTAATCATGGGCGCCATAACATTGAATTGCTTTATCGCTGCAATTTATTATGATCCAGTTGAAATGCACATGAAGAAAGTTAAGATAGAGAAAAGTGATGAACAGGATGACGATGACAATTATCCTTATGGACGACTGTTCAGAACTGAAAAGATTCTCGAAGATCTTGAAGAAGAACCAGAAGCACTCAACGAAAATGGAAACAAAAAAGCAAAATTTATTCTTACACATGACGAAAGCAATACACCAGTGGGAACACCAACAATGGAACATAAAATTGACGTTTTTAGGTTTTCTGTACCACGCAGTGGCTTTGAAAGATCAGCATCAGCTGTTGTCGTTCAAAACTTTCCGCATTCAGAACGAACTCGTAAGATTAGCACACCATTGAAAGACGAACATAGAAACGGAACTGTAAACTCTTTCGTCGGACAACTCAACTCAACCCCGTCACTTGTTTCAAACACAAATTCAAGTATACGTTTAAATCGCTTCCAAAGCAATCGATTAAGTGCTAGAAAAAGTTTAAAAGCGAGTCCATCGACGAGTAGCTTTCAATATATCTCAACACCATATCATGGAACTTTAACATCACTTCAACCAAATGAATTCTCATCACACTTATCATTGAGATCGATTGCAAGTTCTTTAAATCCATTGAAGAGTGCCGACGCTAGAAGTGAAGCAGCTGAACTTACTGGACTCAACAAATATTTCGATCTTTCCTTGTTAACTGATCCCGTTTATTTAATCATCATGATTTCCAATTGCGCAAATGCGATTTCTTACACAAACTTCATCATCTTGTTGCCAGCATATGCTTTGGAGTTAGGATTTGATAAAGATTACGCAGCTTATTTGCTTTCGATTGTCTCGACATTTGATTTGATAGGTGAGTAATGAAATTAATTGAAATTTATCAGAGACACTGATTGAATATTTCAATGTTGTTTAGGAAGAATTGGAGGATCAGCATTGAGTGACTTAAACTTGATACCAAAGACTTGGTTCTTTGTGTGTGGTTTGATGATTAGTGGCGTTGGATTGACTTGTCTAGGTCGGTACCTTTGTATAAAGACCCAGTCACAAAATACGAGTTAAAACGGACTTGCAACAGGTGTTTACATTGGCATAACAGCGCTTGTTATGGCAGACTTGTTAGGTGAAGAGCGACTCACAAGTTCCTATGGAATTTCACTTTTCGTTAATGGAATTCTTCAGCTTTTGGGTCCACCATTGTGCTTATCAATTTTCGAAAGGATCGGTGGATATCGTCCGATCTTCCTTGTATTAGGATTGTGCCTTTTAGCTGGATCATCATTGTGGTGCTGTATGCCTTGCGTACAAAGAAGAAAGTTATTATTACAGGAAGAAGCTGCGGCAGCCGCTCAAATGACTGTAGCTTAAATCAAGCTTCAAAGAAGTTAAAACAATCAAGAAAAAACCTGCACAAAAAACATTTTTTGTCGTAGTTTTCTTATTAAAACATTTAAAATTATTTTACTTAAGTATAGCAATAATTATGTAACAATTTTCATCTCAATTTATTTCTCTTAATTTTAAGACTTTGAAAAGAAGAAAAATTAGTTTTAAAAAGATGTTTAGCGCATAATCTTCCTCCTGTTTCTTAATGTTTACGCCCACGCGATCCTTGTATCCGTTTTTATCCCACACGCATGGAGAAGAATTCTTGCGCCATTTGCCGCCAATGTACTTAGACTTTTAAGCTCAAAAATGAAAAACATTGAAGGAGATACGATTTTAATGATGAATTAACGAATCATTTGTAATCATTGATGGAAATGTGATAATGATGATGACGATAAGAAAAGTATTTGATTGGTTTTCATTTCCTTTTTCTTCTCCTTTCTTTATCCCTTAAGTGATGTCGTTTGTCATTTTCAGTTACGTAATTACTTTTACAAATGACTATTGTTAAGCATAACTTTTTAATATATTTACAATGATTTAATTAAATTGCAATTAAATATGTTTCAGTCAATGTTAATTGATTATTAATGTTTCTATGAATTGACATCCTTAATGCTTTATCAAGATTTTCACATTAAATGATTCTTATGATGTGAACAACTTAAAGATATTTTTAATGAACTTTATTAAATGATGAAAAGAGAAAAATCTCGTATTTAGATAGACATAGGAAACAAGAATGAGTATTATTTTTGTATTTTTCTTCTACATTTTTGCTAAACAGGGTAGTTAGGACTCAACAAAAAAGAGAACAAACAAATTAAATTGTGGTGTAAGCTTTTAAGCAGATTTATTCATTCATAACTCTCAAGACTTAAGACGACAAAAAAACAAAAAAAGATGAAATAAAATTGCCTGATAACGATTAAAATTGTAAACGTTTCTTTCCTGGGATATTATTTTCAACGAGTTCCAGCATTTTTCGTTTCAGTGATGGTCGTGATGGTTCTTCGTCTGTTTTCTGTAAGTTTGTTGGTAATGGAAGTTTTGATCCGATCGTTGGTGGTGGGCGATTCGAAAAGTAAGGCATTTTCAGTGCTTGTGTTGTTGTACAACGTTTCAAAGGATAAAGACTAAGCATACTTTCAGCGAGTTCAATGAGATCGTCTCCAGCAGCTGTGAATATTTCTTGCAGTGGAATTGGCACTGTTGGCTTAAATTGTATGTAATCTGGAAGGAGTTTAACTCCAGGCCAGCTGTCTTCATTTGGTGTGCCGAACACGCCGAAGATTTTATCAAGTTGATTGAGGTCACTGTCGCCAGGAAGGAATGGAACACGTAAAAGAAGTTCTGCTAATATGCAACCAACCGCCCAAATGTCGACACCTGTTGCATAATGTCTTGCACCAAAGAGAAGTTCTGGCGCTCGATACCAACGTGTCACGACTTGATGAGTATTTATTCGGGTGGGAGATCCAAAGAATTTAGCAAGACCGAAATCGCCAACTTTCAAGATGCCAGCACTGTTGACTAAAAGATTATTTGGCTTCAAATCTCGATGCATGATCCAGTTGATGTGAAGATATTCTAAACCTTTGAGTGTTTGCAGAATGTATGACTTTATGTTAGCTGGTGTAAGCACAATTTTTGTATCTTTGATAATGACTTCTAAGTCTGTGTCAACAAACTCAAATACTAACGACACATTTGACTTATGACCGAAAACATCCAACAATCCCAGCACATTCTCGTGACTCAATTCTTGTAGCAATTTGATTTCTCTTAGTGCTGTTCTGTTGATTCCATCTCTTGCTTCTTCTCTACTTCCAACTTTTATTTTCTTTACAGCAACAATTTCTTCGTTTTCAATATTTCTTGCTTTGTAGACAAGAGCAAACTAAAATTTTATTTTATTTTCTTAAACATTTTGTCATCTTTGGATAAAGTCATTAATATTTACCTGTCCTTCACCAAGGAAAGAGATTTTCTCATATTTTTGAACTTTTAATTCCATTCAATATCTTTTAGATCCGCTTTATATGAACTTTATTTCACCGAAAATAAATTTTCTAAATATCAACAAAGCCGGTAGAGGGAACAATTCGAAAGTACGTCACATTATTCTTGTTTGCTAACACATGACGAAAAACACTACAATCAGAACGAAATTTCTTTGTAAATGAAAGTATAAACGCTTAAGTATAGTACCAATCAAAAATATAAATTAAAAAAGCTTAAAAAATGCACGTAAAATGCACGGGTGGTTATTAAATCTAACAGACATTATGCTTTCAAAAAAGGGTATACGAGTACATCTTAATTAAGCGTAGCGTAAACCAAACATAGTACCGAGAAATTATGTTGATGAAAATTTTATTGAAAATATTGAAAATTGAATAAAAAATTGTAACAAAAATTATAAATCAATGATTTGTGTTCATCCCAACGACCTAGTGTAACAATACAAGAATTTCGTCATGAAAAGCAATGCCAAACATTAGTCATTACATCATAATTTTGTTTTTTGTTCGGTTTTTCGTCATCGTTGTACCATCGTAAACTGCAAGTAGGCCGGTAGATCAACGAGTCATGTCTAAGGAAACAGAAATAATTAGAAATTTCAATATTTGTTTGCCTAACTGAATAAATTAAAATAATTCATGTTTTTAGTGTACAATATGCCAACATCTATAACACCCGATTGGAAAAAAATCGAAATGGTAAGTAAAAAATATTTGTAATCTGCTTTTGTTTAATGTTTTATCTATTTATTTTTTTATATTTTATTATCATTGAATAGATAAAAATCGTGCAAAAATATGATGTTCTCTACAGAAGAGACAAAAGAAAGGAAAAGGTAGCAAAAGAAAGAGCATGGCAGATGGTTCTAAACGAATTTTCCCACATTGATGGAGGAACAAACTTACAGACTTGCCAAAACGTGTGGAGGAGAATTAGAGAAAATTTTGTGGCCAGCCAACCGAACGTCTTGACACCGTACTTAAGATTTTAATTTATTCAGTTAGGCATTCAAGTAAAAAATGGTGGGAAGCTAATTTCTCAAAACTCAAAAAATAAACTTATAAATTTGAGTGCTGTAAAATTCGCTTTCCACCAATGAAATTTAGGTTATTTCTAATTCCCTTACCTTTAATGTCTTTTTACGACAACGCCGTGAACGTCCATTACGTCCACTGCTGAAAAGATTCATGGCAGAATCAACAATTGCGTCATGTTCCCATCGTTCCACATTTTCCGAAGATTTTCCATGTCATATTTGCCTTCAGCAAGAACACGACGGAAATTAATTGCACAACTGTTGAATTAAATTTATAATGAGTTGAAATTAAAGTTGAAAAGAAGACTTAAAATGAAGTTACCGATGGAAGAAGATGTCTGGAAGTATGATCAAAAATCTTCTCGCAAAGATGACTTCCGTTTAATGCATTGTTCTTGTTCTGCAATCTCTTCTAATTAACAATCTGTTTAAATGTTTTAAAGGTTTATATAAAGATTTATGGAAGATTATATTTATTGCTTACCTCATTAATTGAAGAAGATCTCATTGTTCTGATTCAAAGAAGAAAGAATTCAAGGCAGCCATGATGGTTTTCATGTTCACCTCGTTGCAACGCGTTGCCTTGATTTAAGTTTAAATATTGAAGATTTTATTTGCAACATTTTATCTCATTCGAAAACTTTGATTTAATTTAACTCACCCTTTATGCTTTATATGTTGATTTCTCTGTAAAACTCTTTTTAGACCGACTGGAGCGTTTTATTTAACGTCTTTTTCCTTTGACTGACAAAATAGAATAAAGGTACAAGTTGATAAGAACTTGTTTTTCTTGGGTCCTTCGATGAAGTTCAATTGAAGTTTTGGGGGTAACATTCATGATTATTCAATTCTTTAGGGGTAACATTCAATTCATTGAATCTTCTTTCCTTCTGCTGTCCTAAGCATCTTCGAAAACTTTCGCCAATGAATATTCCTGATCTTTCCATTGCTCTTTTTTCTTATTCGGTTCACTCTCCACTTTCATACATATCAGCAATAATATTCCAAAAATGTTGAATATTTTGAAAGATTATCATGTTTGAGTTCTGTTTCTGTTTTCTCACTATTTTTACCATTTTTTTTAGAAATCTTTTCACTCACATCCCTCAAAATGATTTTCTTATAAACGAATTCTTGCACAGTCAGGTTTAACCTACCTCACTGCATCGATATGTACTCTTCACAGATTCTCGTGACTCTTTCGATGGAGGCTTCTTATTTGGTGCTAGAAGGATTTCTATTTTACTTTTAGAAGCACTGAAGAATAATCAAAATATTCAGAGGAACAATGATTTATTAATAATTTTACCTTAATTTCTTTAAAATGTGTAGGATTGTTTATTTTTTCTTTACGTGTGCATAAGAACTGAGGGGAAACTGAAAATAAGCTGACAAATATTATTGCTTTCAGTTAAGAGCAGCCTTTTACTTGCTACAGGAACGATGCAACATGGCCAAATAAGCGTTTAGTAAAAAAAAGTTTTATTTCATGCTAACTTGAGATCTTATTTGGAACACTTTAAAATCTCTTATATTTCACATTTAAACATAAAATAATGGCAGAAGGATCGTCTAAACGTATAACAATTACAGTGAAAACACCAAAAGACAAGAATAATATTGAATGTGACGAAGATGAATCAGTTGAAAAGGTAAAATATTGAATCAAAATTTCAATAATTAATTTCGCTTCATCACCTTGAAATTATGATGAGAAACATGAAATTTTTATGGAAAATCATCAACACCATGGTCTGATCATCATCATAAAAGAGATATGGTTTACATCGAGAAAGTTCCAGAAATATAAATTTAAAGAGTGCTTAATCATCATTTGATTTTTTTTTCATTTTTTTTCTTTCTTGTAATGTTTAGTTCAAAAGTCTCGTAGCAGAAAAATTTGAAGCTGAACCAGAACAACTTTGCTTGATTTTTGCTGGAAAAATAATGAAAGACGGTGATTCTTTGAAAAGTCACAACATCAAAGATGGATTGACAGTTCATTTGGTAAGAACTAAAAATTTATTTATTTGATTGTACTAAGAATTAACCTTTGAATTATTTAATAAATTTTTTTCTAGGTAATTAAAGCACCACCAAAACCGGAACCAGAAGGGCCAGCTCGACGACCAGCTGATGTTCGTCAAACACCTTTCGGATTGAACCAAATTGGAGGATTGTCTGGCTTAGAAGCGCTTGGCGCTAATTCAGAAACCTACATGGACATGCAATCAAGAATGCAACATGAATTAATGGGAAATCCTGAAATGATGAGAACCATTTTAGACAATCCGATGGTGCAACAAATGATGAACAATCCTGAGACGATGAGAACGCTCATAACTTCTAATCCCCAAATGCAAGACTTGATGCAACGTAATCCTGAAATTTCTCACATGCTGAACAATCCTGAATTGTTACGTCAAACAATGGAACTCGCACGTAATCCAGCAATGTTGCAAGAGCTCATGCGCTCACATGATCGTGCGATGTCTAACTTAGAGTCAGTTCCTGGAGGATACAACGCGTTGCATCGCATCTATCGAGATATTCAAGAGCCAATGTTGAACGCTGCTTCTGGTTTTGGTTCAAATCCATTCAGTGGTTTAGTTGATAGTGGCAGCAGTGAGAATCCACAAGCTGGTAGTGAGAATCGAGAGCCATTACCGAATCCATGGGGAAACAGTGAACCACCAGCACCCAGCAATGTTTTGAACACGCCAGCAATGCAAAGTTTGTTGCAACAAATGAGCGAAAATCCATCATTAATGGAGAGTATGTTGAATGCTCCTTACACACGCTCAATGATGGAAGCTCTTTCACAAGATCCAAATATGGCAGCAAATCTCATCGGTCAGAGTCCAATTCTGCAGGCAAATCCACAATTGCAAGATCAGATGAGAACAATGATGCCACAATTGTTGCAGCAAATGCAAAATCCGGAAGTTCAACAGATGATGACGAATCCTCAAGCTTTGAATGCAATTATGCAGATTCAACAAGGAATGGAACAATTGAGACAAGTCGCTCCAGGTCTGGTTGGTAATATGGGAATACGTCGTATTAAGCGACGACGATGGGAACTGAAAATGAAAGAACTACATTGTCGATTGAATCAATTCCAAAAAATGTGAGTGAAGCACAAATGGAACAATCAAGTGAACAACAGCAAGAAGAAAGTAATAATGATAATCCTGACCCTCTCGAGAATTACAATCGCGTGAGGATGAATGAGAAAAATGGTAAGTAAAATGCCAACGTAGCCTTGACCGTCTTAATGAAGGAAGATCAACAACGCGACAATTTTTTAAATCATACTGAGAATGTTTTTATTTTGTTTTCATCGTCATCTCAATTTCTCGCTATCAAATGACGTCAGACACAAATAAAAAGAATTTCCTACATCAGTGATTCTCAACTTTTTTTGTCAATTTCCTTGACAAACTCGTAAATGTTTTTATTTTGGAACATTTTCATTTACCTAATTATTTTTTCACATAAATTTCTAATCTTAATCGCGTAAATTTCCCGAACAGGTTGAGAAAAACTGTCTAAAAAAGAGGAAAAGAAAACTAAAACAAAGAGTTTCATTACCATGACACACACGCTGACGTGATTCACAAATAAAGTTCATTCTCATTGCCTCCCATCAAATGAATTGTTTATTTCTGTTTTGTTGTCCTTTGTGGAGCTTCATTGATTTTTTTTTCAATGTTGACATCAATTTTAATCAATTTATTTTATATTTGACATTCGTCGTGTTCTCCCCTTAAATGTCCGTCTTGTACTAAATTATAATTAATTAAAATTCGCTTATGATTTTTTCTTATTTTTTAATTTAAGTGAGGCTTGTGGCATCTGAGAATGAAAAGTTGATCTTGAAAGAAGATGAAGACAAATACGAGTTCGTGCCACCTGATGGTGGTTATGCTTGGCTGGTTCTATGCGGTGCTATGTTAATTAACATTCTTATTCCTGGTGGTGCCATCAAATCATTTGGAATACTCTTCGTGGAATTTCTTGAACAAATGGATGCATCGCCAACAGCAGCCTCTTGGATTCCAGCACTTTGTTACTTTCTTTATTCATCACTTGGACCTTTGTCGAGTATTCTGAGTGTCAAATATTCATATCGAACAGTTACTTTACTTGGTGCTGGCTTTTGCTCAGCCGGAATGATTTTGACGCATTGGGCAACATCAATAGAATATCTTTACATCAGCTATGGAGTGTTTGTTGGCATAGGAGCTGGATTGAATTTTCCGCCAACAGTTTACATCGTCACTTCATATTTTACGAGCAAGCGAGGACTTGCGAATGGTCTTTGCATAAGTGGAAGTGCTTTGGGATCAATTTTACTCCCACCATTGCTTCGTGTTCTTCTCGATCATTACGGTTATCGTGGTGCTTGTTTAATCATGGGCGCCATAACATTGAATTGCTTTATCGCTGCAATTTATTATGATCCAGTTGAAATGCACATGAAGAAAGTTAAGATAGAGAAAAGTGATGAACAGGATGACGATGACAATTATCCTTATGGACGACTGTTCAGAACTGAAAAGATTCTCGAAGATCTTGAAGAAGAACCAGAAGCACTCAACGAAAATGGAAACAAAAAAGCAAAATTTATTCTTACACATGACGAAAGCAATACACCAGTGGGAACACCAACAATGGAACATAAAATTGACGTTTTTAGGTTTTCTGTACCACGCAGTGGCTTTGAAAGATCAGCATCAGCTGTTGTCGTTCAAAACTTTCCGCATTCAGAACGAACTCGTAAGATTAGCACACCATTGAAAGACGAACATAGAAACGGAACTGTAAACTCTTTCGTCGGACAACTCAACTCAACCCCGTCACTTGTTTCAAACACAAATTCAAGTANGCTCATGCGCTCACATGATCGTGCGATGTCTAACTTAGAGTCAGTTCCTGGAGGATACAACGCGTTGCATCGCATCTATCGAGATATTCAAGAGCCAATGTTGAACGCTGCTTCTGGTTTTGGTTCAAATCCATTCAGTGGTTTGGTTGATAGTGGCAGCAGTGAGAATCCACAAGCTGGTAGTGAGAATCGAGAGCCATTACCGAATCCATGGGGAAACAGTGAACCACCAGCACCCAGCAATGTTTTGAACACGCCAGCAATGCAAAGTTTGTTGCAACAAATGAGCGAAAATCCATCATTAATGGAGAGTATGTTGAATGCTCCTTACACACGCTCAATGATGGAAGCTCTTTCACAAGATCCAAATATGGCAGCAAATCTCATCGGTCAGAGTCCAATTCTGCAGGCAAATCCACAATTGCAAGATCAGATGAGAACAATGATGCCACAATTGTTGCAGCAAATGCAAAATCCGGAAGTTCAACAGATGATGACGAATCCTCAAGCTTTGAATGCAATTATGCAGATCCAACAAGGAATGGAACAATTGAGACAAGTCGCTCCAGGTCTGGTTGGTAATATGGGAATACCGCCACCGCCACCTGGAACGACGCAACCACCACAAACTGGAAACACTCCGAATGCTCCTAATCAACAACTTTTCGGTGACTTCATGCAACGGATGATGAATGGTATGTCAAATCAAACTAATCCTAATCAACCACCGGAAGAACGTTATCAGTCACAACTTGAACAGCTGACAGCCATGGGCTTCGTTAATCGTGAAGCAAATTTGCAAGGTAATTTCATTCTTTTAATTATTTTTTCAATTTATTCATTGATAATTTTATATTTTACAGCTTTAGTTGCATGTTTCGGCGATATTAATGCTGCTGTTGAACGTCTACTGGCATTGGGGCAATTGTCCTTAAGTTAACAACTTTAATACTTTCTTTCATCAGCGATATAATAAAACAACATTTTCTGCTCTTTCTTTTTCAAAACTCTTTAATATGAAGATAAGAAATTGATGATGATGACGATAACTGCAGCAAGTGGTGAAATTATTTGTCGTAGCATTTTTTTTCTTTCCTTTTCTACTTTTTTTCCAATCTAATATTTAATTAAATTTATTCATTTGGTGGGCAACATATTATTCTTTGATCATAAATCATGGTGACATTTTAATTAGTTTTCTCTCATATATTTAATAGCACTGAAAGTGAAAATCTTTTAAAAAAGTGAAGGGAGGGATTGGAAGGGATGAAGATTTGGTTAATTGATAATTGTTTGGATAATTTCTTTATCAAATGTTTCTAAGTAGTAGAGTCTACAAAAGCAATCAAATAAAAAGAAATTTCTTTCCCATTCATAACGAGTTATCTGCATTCCAATTTCACAAACACCCACGCATAATCCGTTGGCTTATCTTGTTCTTGATAAGCAGAAACTTTTTTCTTGTTTGTAGAATTTTTATCTAATCGAAAAGTTTTGTTAATTCAATTCAATAGGAATGTGGAGACTTCAAGAGATAAAGAAAAAGACTCGTCTACGATGAGTTAATTATAATTAAGAAGATGAAGACATGTAAAAAGAAGTAAAACTCAAGCAAATGTATTCATAAAAATATCATCACAATAAAATGTGAAGAAAATCAATTTATTGACTTATTAATTATTTGTGAACAGATCGATGATTGTTTTAGTCACTGGATACAGTTCAAGTGAACTTTTAAAGACGTTCATGTCATTTATAAAGTTTTTATCTTCTTGAGGGTTTGAAATAATTTCAAGTTTTGGAACATGATCATCAACAACTTCAACGCTGTCTTCATTTGCATTTCCAATGACTTGAATTGACAAATGTCGGGCATCAGCTGCAATAATTTGAGTCTTATAAAACTCTACGACGTCATTTCTTGTTAGTTGTGCAATCATTTGTGCTTCAAGATGTAATCGATCAAAGATGTACTCACGACATGTGATTTCTGACCAGTGACGTCCAACTTCTGACTCCAATTCAACTTCCACCATATTCTTCAACTTGATGAGTGCATTTTGAAATGTCTCAAAGTCTTCATCACTCATTTTGTCGAGAATTTCTATCATGTCGTTTGTAAGAAACTTTTGAATTCTCTCATCGACAACTGAAGTTTGATTTTTATTCTCTTGACATTGAATACTGACGCATAATCCAAGAATTCCGTGATTGCATCGATGTGAACATGACACGGAATATCCTAACTGCTCTTGAGTTCGAAGAATATCAAACAAAGGCTCTTCCATGATCTTTTCAACGAATTCAATTAAACATTGAAGTCGAATTGTTGATTCGCCAAGTTGAATGTATTTTGTGATTGTCGAGTTTTTATCATTTGGAAGCATGCTTTTAACACATAAAGTGTTGTTACCTGAAGGAATCTTGTAAGTACGCGATTCAATCTTTTCAGAGACGTCTTCGCATGGCAAATTCTTCTTCACCATCTCAACAATCGACATCGCTTTGGCCTTTGTCACATTTCCTTGTACGAGAATCTGAATGTTCAATTGTTTCAGAAAATCATCGGAAAAGTCTAAAAGTTCCTTGAAATTTATGTTGTCAATCATATTAAAGCGATCATAGAAGAATTTGTGATGCTCTGTTACAATATTCAGTCGACAATCTTTGTTAAGAAACTTCGAATTAATCAAATTATTGTTAAAGATTTTCTTCAAATGCTTTCGGTATGTTTCAAACACATTTTCTTCCATGCGTTGTCGAATTGTTTTTAAATCTTTTGTAATGATGTCGAGGAGAAGTGGAAGCTTTTCATCATATCCACTAAGCTTCAGCAACATTCCCTTCTCTTCAGAGTAAAGCTGATAACCAAGACCAGCACAAATAGCTGGATAAAGTTTCTCTGTCATGTAATGCTTCACAATCATTGAATAAATCGACGTCAAAACCATTCCTCGAACAGACGAGTTCGTCAATGGAGACACAAAATATAGACAAATGAAAGCATGCGGCAATTTGAAAACGTTGTCGAGTTTATAAAAACATTCGCAGTTTTTACTCTCATAAATCTTCTCAGGAAATTGTGGCAATGTCGATGAATCTAATTTCGAGACGATGATGTCGAATTTCTCACAAATAAATTCATTCGGTGGCGGCATTGAAAATTCGGAATTTATTCGTCTGTTGTCCCATAATTTCACATAAGATTGGGGAAAATCTAAAAGTTTCTCATTAATTCATGCAAATAAATTAAAAAATAGAAGAAAATTTACCAATTTCATCATATTCAGTGCCAAACCATTTCTCGATTTTATCATATCGTTCATGTTTGTCAGTCAAGAACAAAATGTTGAATCTCCGTTCATTTATATAATCAATTAAATCTTGCACAATGTCACAATCAAAATCGAAAAGCAATTCACTGCCAGTCAGAATATCTTCCGGTTCATAGTACATCATACTAACTGCAATCTCTTCAACGTTGTCTGTCGCTGTCTTCTCTTCACGATACTTGAACGCAGTTTCTTTGTTTTGTTTTAATTCCATGTAAGCTTTCTTATGTTCTTCAATTGGAGTTGACTTCAACATTAAAAGAAATGAAAAGATGGCTTCAAGAACTGTCTCAACGTTTTCATATCCTTTCTCAGTTAAAGTGACGCTTATGGAAAAAAGACTAAACATTGAATTTCCTTCAAAACTTTGATCTTCAAGTCCAGCTTCGATTTTTATCGATAATAATCTAAACGAAAAAATTGATTAAAGTTTAAATTAAGAGTTTGATTGATGATGCAAACCTTTTCTTGAGAAAGCTGTTTAAGCTTCCAACACCTTCATGTTGTATAATGTAAGCGAGATAATCATGTGGCTTTGACTTGTAATGCTTTTCCATTGAAGGAAGTAAAAATGTTATGTAAAGTTTCGTTTTATCAGCTTTTGGCTTTACATAAAAAACTTTTTCATAAAATTCTGGTTTAAAGAGATTTACTGGGATAGGAAGTGGCTCGGGATTTGGTCCACTTTTGACTAATGAAAATTTCTCTTTAATAAGTTCTTGAAGATCATCTAAAGGAGACGAAGATTCAATGCAAAGAAACATTCGGTTTGCTATGTAATGCCTTCGACGAAATTCATGAACAATCTCGTAAAGTTCATCATTTGTGATTCCATCTTTGAGTGTTTTTAAATTTCCCCAAGTGAATGTTGAAGCTGGGCCATTAGCAACAGAAGCACAAAGTTGCATTATTCGATTATCATCATCAGTTAAGTTATTCTGAAACTCAGACTCAACCGCTTCCATCTCTCTTTCCATGCTGTCTTTCAACATCAATGGTGATACAAATAATTGTGCAAAACGATCTAAAGATTCATTCAAATGTTCTTCAACTATTTCAAAGTAGAACATTGTGTATTCACACTCTGTCATGGCATTGTCACTCCCACCATTATTTGAAATGTATTGATCAAATTCATTTTCTTTGGGATATTTTTCTGAGCCCATAAAAATCTTAAAAGAAATTTTTCTTTGTTATCAAGAATATTGAATTAACTTTAGAAGCTCACCATATGTTCAAGAAAATGACTCAATCCTTGAACTTTTTCTGGATCAAAGAAACTTCCTACACGTATACAAAGAGCAACTGCTGCCATTTTTTCCTTAGGATGATCATCATCTAAATCATCACCGTCTTCCTCTTCTTCCGCATCACCTTCAGAGTCTTCATCATTTTGATTACTTACAGCTGACTCTTCAGATTCGGACAAGTTTTTATGACGACCATTATTGTGATGTTCATGCTTTGAAGTGTCATCGTCTATGAAGTGTTGAACAAGCATTGCTGACAATCCATTTTGGAGTTTAATATGTCTATAAAGCTTCTTATCACTGTAAGACTTCACTGGGGGAATTATTTCACTCATAGCAAGCTTTCGAAGTTTGACTTTCAATTCGCCGGCTTCTGTTCCGGGTCTTTTCAAACTGTGAAGCATTTGACGAGAAAAGAAAGGAGATAATCGTTTCAGCTTGATATAGGAATATGATCAATTGTGTTTTGGTTTAATAGTTTATTTGTAATTAAATTAAAAACCAAGAACACAACCTTAAAAGAAATTCTTTGAACGAAATTACTTGAGAGAGACACGTGAAAAATAGAGAGAGAGAATGATCAAACTTAAACCTCCCTATAACGTCATCTTTCAGTCTCAGAGAGCAACAGAAGAAAATTCTTAATAAACAATTTTTAAAATTAAATTTTATTTAATTCAGGCTTCAAAGTTGTCATTTATTAACAACAATGGCAGATGTTAAAGCAAAGAAAAAGTTACAAGAGTTTGTACAAAAAACAAATCAGAAATTCTCATCGGATCAGATTATGGGAGTTTATAAAAATTCAGAAAAATATAGTTTCGAAAAGCAATCGAGTATTTTAAAACAATTATTTAAGCCTTACACTCCGGATTTCGATAAGTATCAATCTCAGTTTGAAAATGATATAAAGAAAAGTAAAAAAACTTCGTACGATGCTTTTGTTAGTTTTCTAAACAATATAACTCTAAACAATACGAAGCCTCAAATTCCAGCGAAGCCTTCATTGTCTATTGAAGAGACAGTGAGAGCTAAAAATGATTTTGAGAGTCCAGTTTTGTGTTCAACAAGAGTTGAAGGAAGCCAAAAGCAGCAAGAGACTGTTAGTCTTTCAGAGGTGAAATTTTAATTGTTAAAAATTGTGAAGATATTCGTTAATTAATTTTATTGTTAGATCAAAGAGAGATTGGCTCAAGTAACTCAACAAGGATCGAGACAAGGACAACAAAGTGTTCGTTCATCATCAACATTCCTCCGTCAATCTTTCAATTCATCATCGGCAAGCATGAATTCAAAGAAAGTCATTCCAACTTCTCCAATGTCGCACAGTTCGATTGCATCGTGGAACTTCTCATTCAATGACGATCCAGTTCTACCAGTTATGAGGATGCCAAAGCCAATAATTGGTCTACCTTCAACTGCGCAAGAGCGAGCAGTTATAAGTGAACTTTTAAGCACATTAATCGGCATTAACGGATCTTTAATTGTACCAAAGATGAAAACAACTTCGATTGACATTCGAGACGAATTCTCGACGCCAAATCATTTAAATGACAATCGAATTTGTGTCGTTGAATTTGAGTTGAATGAACAAATACAAGAATCGATTCGAGACATGCTCGGTGATATTCTCCCACTTGCTAATTTCTATTTTCAAATTCAAAACTTTATTGAAATGTCGCGTGCACCTGACAGTGGTCAAGTCTTGCAAGCTTTATCAGAAGCAATGAGCAAACTAATCACAGATTATTACGGCACAATCGCACAACTTGAAGCAATGCACATTAAGGAAGAATTAAATCTTCATAAATTACTTTTCTATTTACGTCCAATCATTCAAACGATGGAGACATTGACAAAAGTTTGTCATGTTCTTCAAGTGAATAATGTTCGTGGTGGCAACGTCCTTACAAAACTTCACGACAACATTGCTCTCTATAGTGGCGATAAAAGCTCACAAGAAATTCTCATTTATCTAACACAAAAAGCTTCCGAACCTTACATGGAAATTCTCAAGTTGTGGATTTTTAAAGGCGTCATTCAAGATCCAAAGATGGAATTTCTGATCGAAGATACCGAAAAAGATTGTCAAGAAAGTGAAAAGAATGAAAATTACTTTGACAACTTTTGGGATAAACGCTACATGATTCGTCATGAGAAAATTCCACGATTTCTTGAGAAACAAGCCAACATCATTCTTCGAACTGGCAAATATTTGAATGTTGTTCGTGAATGTGGAAAGCGCGTCGTGTTCACTCACTCACAAACAAGTTTGAGATTCTCGCATACTGATGAACAGAACTATGTTAATATTATTAACGATGCTTATACGTTTGCTTCGAAAGCTCTTCTTGAACTGATCATGAACGATAACGATCTCATGGGTCACTTGTTGAGTGTCAAACGTTATTTTCTGTTACATCAAGGAGACTTTGTGGTTCAATTTATGGACGCATGTGAAGGTGAATTACTGAACAATGTCGATGATGTAATTCCAATGCGTTTAGAGAATCTTCTTGAACTTACCTTAAGATTGTCATCAGCAAAGCATGACAAATATCAAGATGATTTACTAACAATGCTTCTTCCCTTCGATATCTGCACACAAATGTCGAAAATCATTAAAAGTGACATGGGAGTTGATGTTGACAGTGAGATTGACGACACATCAACTTTAAAAGGAATCGAATGCTTCACATTTGGTTACACAGTTCATTGGCCATTATCAATTGTTCTCAACCACATGACAATCTCAAAATATCAACTCATCTTTCGTCAATTATTCTATTGTAAACACGTCGAAAATTATTTATGTCGAGTTTGGATTGCTAACACGAATGCAAAGAAATTTGATCACAGCACGTCGGAACTTTATCGAACTGCTTTCACTTTACGTCAAAGAATGATGAATGCAATTCAAAATCTCGAATATTACATGATGATTGAAGTCATTGAACCAGTTTGGCATATTTTCATGCAACAATTGGCGAAGGCAAAGAACATTGATGACGTTTTGATCTTCCATGAAGACTTCTTAGATCATTGCTTGAAGAATTGTATGTTGACATATCCCGACCTTCTCAAACGAATCATCAGCGTTTGCAATTCTTGCATAAGTTTCTGTCAATTTATCGAGGTGAGTAAATTATTTAATTAATTAATAAAAAAAGTGGGAATTAGAAGAAATTTGGTGTTATGGTGTCACGTGTCACTCTCTAGCTCCTTTTTATAAATCAAAAGAAAGAAAATTCAATCACAATCCAATTTCTTACCTTTTATTTTTGTATTTACGTATCGCTTACAAATAAATTTTGGGAACATACGCACACACACACGCAAATGAAACAATCATTTTATGTTCAGGAAGCGCAACGACATTTCATTGATGCTGAATTATCGTCAATGATGTCGAAAAGTTATTTAGAAGATGATTGTTCGGATCAGCAGGTTAGAAAGCTCTTCATTGGTTCTTGTAGTCTTTTTTTTATTTCAATTTGTATTTAGTAATTATCACGTAATTCGCACTCTTATGTATTGTTGTCATGCACAGCCAATCACATTTATTTAATTTTAAAAAAGTCAAATTAGGTTAAGAATTAATTATGTTGAATTAATTAAAATTTATTTCTCTTTTCACAGACATCAATCGATGAAGGGAACATCATGACATTCTCACAAAAGGTCGCTGAATATGATGAAACTTTCACAACCAACGTCGTTCGTTTACTTGATGCTGTAACTGAAATTGCTGAGACAGACAACTCTGAAAAATTCTTCTCGCTTTGCAATCGAATCAACTTCAATCATTACTATACAAGCCATTTGAATTTACGACGAAAATAATTCACTTGTCGCATCTTTTTTTCATTTTATTTCTCACTCTCATAAAGAATGCAAAATAAAGTTTTTATTTAATTATTTCATTTCACGGGTTTCATTGTAATTCAAATTATTAAAAAAATAGAAGAAAACGAGAGGAAATTAATGGAAAGAGAAAAAACTTAACATTAAATAAGAAATTATTTGCGATTACGTGTTACACGTTTTGTTGGTGGTTGTGTCACTTGAGGTGCTGTTTCAGTTCGTTTAACACCTCGAGATGGCTTTGAAGCTTCCAAATTTGCAGCAGCTGTTTTTGGCTTCTTAGCTGCACCTCGTTTTGGTCGAACTTCTTCTTCTTCCTTCTTGGACTCTACTTCTGGTTCTGGATCGACATTTTTAGCTTTTCCTCCACGTTTACGCTTTGCTGGTACTTCCGGTTCCTCTACTGTCACTGGAACTGAAGTTGATTCTTCCTCAACAAGTTTTGTGCGTTTTCCAGTTGTTTTCTGATTCTTAACTGCGACTCGTTTTGCTAGAACTTCTTCTTCCTTCTCGAATTCTACTGCTCCTTCTGGTTCAACCGTTCTTGCTTTTCTTCCACGTTTAGGTTTTGGTGCTTCTTCAGCTGCTTCAATTGAAGTCGATTCTTCAACAGTTTTTGTGCGTTTGGAAGCTCGAATTGTTTTCGGCTTCTTAACTGCACCTCGCTTTTCTGGAACTTCTTCTTCTTCCTTCTCAGGTTCTTCTACAGGTTCTGCTTCAGCTGTTTTCGCTTTTCTACCACGTTTAGGCTTTGTTGGTGCTTCAGGTTCTTCTTCAGTTTCTACTGGAATTGGAACATCAACAAAAAAATCTCGTAAACAAAAAGCAGAAGTTGAAGAAACTTCTCAAGAGATTGCTGAAGAAAAAGAAGAAACAGATAAACGAGGGCGTCGCAATAAGAAAGCAAATGACGAAGAAGTCGAGGAAGCTGTTGGCGGTGATGAAGAAACAGAAGTTAAAAGTCGTTCACAAAGAAGCTTTTAGCCTATTAAGCTTTCTTTGCAATTCCACCTCTTTGCAAAGAAGGAGTTGCAAAGAAAGCTAAATAGGCTAAAAAATTCTTTGTGAACGACTCTTAACTTCTGTTTCTTCATCCCCACCAACTGCTTCCTCGACTTCTTCAACATTTGCTTTCTTATTGCGACGGCCTCGTTTAATTGTTTCTGATTTTTCTTTAGCAATCTCTTGAGAAATTTCCTCAACTTCCGCTTTTTGTTTACGAGAATTTTTTTATGTAAATATTAAAGAAATAAAAAATTTTAATTAAACTTTTCATTTCTTGTTCTTTACCTTTCTTGTTCACTTTCTTGTCTTCTTCAACTTCTTCTTCTGCTTCAACTAAACGACGAGAACGTTTCACTGGTGTTGACTCAGTTTTCGTTGCTTTACGACGACCTTTGGCAGTTTCTTTTGTTCCCGAAGTTGCTGGCGTTTCACGCTGAGAACTTGGAACTGGAGTATCAATTGGAGTTTCAGATTTCTTTGTTTTACGTGTTCTTTTGATGGCTGGTGTAACTGACAATGTAGAAGCATCTTCATCAACACTTTCTGTCATCTTTTTAGTTCGCTTACGTCTGCTGGATGTTGAAGCAACTGATGATGCAACTGACACTTCCGAAGTGTTCAATTCATCATTGGCTTGAGATTCTTTTTTGCCTCTTCGAGTTCTTTTCGTGTCACTTTTGGGTATTTCAGACACTGCATCAACTTTCTTTGCCTGATTTGCTTTTCCTTTCTGATTCCTTGTCTTTGGCGGAGCCTCTTCTTCAGTTGCTTCTTCTTCTGTTTGTTCATTAACTTGCTGTTTAGCTTTTCTACCTTTTCGTGTGTTTTGAGGAGCTGTGGAAGCTTCTTGAGAATCATCGTTTAATTTTATTATTGGAACTTCAGTTGCTTCGACAATTTCAACTTCTGTTGGTTGAGTTTTTGTGCGTTTTCGTCCTCTTCGACCTTTTGGTTTACTTTCAGTTTCATCTTCATCAATTTTTGCTTCGGCAACTTTTTTATTTTCAGATTCTTCCGTTTTCTTGTCGGTGTTTCCTAAAGCAACGTTTCTGTAATTTATTTTACGAACTTGACGCTTTGAGTGTTGTTTTGGTGTCTCAGATTCGTCATTAACTGAAACAATTATAGTTGCTTGTTGAGATGAAACATCGACTTCAACATCTAGAAATAAGAAATGAAAATTTCAAGTTTTTCTTAAACAAAACCATTAAATTTTACCTTCTTCGATTTTCTGATCGTTTTCTTCTGATTCCTTTTCCAGAGTCTCTTCATCAGCTTCTTTTATGACCTTTCCAGTTATTTCAATAACGACTTGATCTTTCTTACGAATTGATGACATTCCAGCCTCGCTCATATTTGAGGCTACTGAATCAATTGAAGCTGAACGTCCACGTCGTAAACCGCTGTGCAAAACTCGATAATCTTTCTTGGGTGTTGAACGAAGTGAATGAGATTTTGTCGCTTCAATGAGAACTTCAACCTCTAAACTTCTCTTAACTTCCGGTTTGTTGATGTCGTCATGTTCAGATTCAACTAATTTCTCTTTCGGTTCTTCAGGAATTGTTTCTGCAATGATTTTCGTGTCGACAACAGCTGGAAGCACCATTGGTGATGCATTGGAATTTGAATTGACTGATCTTGAACGACGTCTTCGAGCAGATCCGAGCATGGCAACATAATTCTTACGTTCCAACCCACGCAACATTGGAGTTCTTGGCGTTGATGGCTGGGCACATTTTTCTTCTTCATTTTTTGTTTCTGGCGTCTTTGGAATTGCTGACGAAGGTTCGGCAGTTTCATTTTCATCATCAACAAGCAAGTAAGTTGATTTCTTCACACAAACTGGCTCATCGACGGGTTCCATTCCACAATATTCATCAGTTGCATCCATGGATTCAGGAACATCAGCAATTTCATTTGATTTTTCTTCTTCCTTCACTTCATTTGCTGAAGTTTCTTCACTAGTTGAAGGAAGATCATCTGGCAAAATTTCCTCGTCTTTTTCTTTCTGATTTTTATCCTTCAATGACTCAATGAATGAAGAACGAAGCTTATCTTTATTAGGAATCGTCGTTTTTCTCGAATTCTTCTTCTTCTCTTCCATCCCTGGAGTTTTGCTTATCATTTCAATGTTTGGGTGTTCTTGAAGCGATGCCAGCTCGGCTTGAATTGCAAGATGCTTCTTGAACTCTTCTGTAACTTCACTTGCTTCAGGAATTGTTGTTTTTCTTAAAGTTTTCTTTTTTTCTTCCATCCCAAGAGTTCTGCTTAGCATTTCAATGTTTGGCTGATCTTGAAGTGTTGCCAGCTCGACTTGAATTGCAAGTTGCTTCTTGAACTCTTTTGTAGCTTCGGTTGCCTCAGGAATTGTTGTTTTTCTTGAAGTTTTCTTTTTCTCTTTCATCCCAGGAGTTTTGCTTAGCATTTCAATGTTTGGATGATCTTGAAGTGTTGCCAGCTCGGATTGAATTGCAAGATGCTTCTTGAATTCTTCTGTAGCTTCAGTTGCTTCAGGAATTGTCGTCTTTCTGGAAGTTTTCTTTTTTTCTTCCATCCCAGGAGTTTTGCTTAGCATTTCAATGTTTGGATGATCTTGAAGCGTTGCCAGCTCGGCTTGAATTGCAAGATGCTTCTTGAACTCTTCTGTAGTTTCAGTTGCTTCAGGAATTGTCGTCTTTCTGCAAGTTTTCTTTTTCTCTTCCATCCCAGGAGTTCTGCTTAACATTTCAATGTTTGGCTGATCTTGAAGCGTTGCCAGCTCGGATTGAATTGCGAGATGTTTCTTGAATTCTTTTGTAGCTTCACTTGTTTCAGGGATTGTCGTTTTTCTGGAATTCTTCTTCTCTTCCATCCCTGGAGTTCTGCTTAGCATTTCAATGTTTGGCTGATCTTGAAGTGTTGCCAGCTCGGTTTGAATTGCATTTTGTTCCTTCTGTAAAGCCTCATCAACTTTCTGTCCCGATGTAGCTTTCCCATCAATGGAATTGTAAACGACATTGTCACCAAACGATTCCTTTTCTTGGAGTTCGATTTCCTTTGCATTATTAACATTTCTGGGACTTTTCTCTTTTGTTACTGGAGTATTAGCCATGAAACCTGGATCAATTTCAACGGCACTGAACTCTGTTTCACTGAATACAAAACTTTCGAGATCTTTTGACTCATCGAGAGCATCTTCGTTATTTTCTTCCTCGACAATTAAATCCTCAGATGAATCTTTGGTTGAATCACAAGACAAATTATTCTTCTGTTCATCTATTTTTGGTGATACTTTATCTTCTTCAACTTGAATTTGTTCTTCTTCATCTCTATTCACAACTTTATCAACAGTTGAATAAATTTCAGTTGACGTTTCTGCCACTTCATCAACAAATTCTTCTTCTATTATATCAACAGTTGTTTCCTTTTCTTCTTTTGCCGGCACTTCATCATATTTTTCTTTTTCGATGTCTTCAACTTCATCATAATCAAACGCTTGAGTTTCAGGAATTTCAATGCTTTCATTAATTTCCGTTGAAATTTCAGCAGTTAAGCTGTTTGAACAAATCTCTTGGTCGTTCGATGTTGACAATTTACTATCCTGATGTCGATCTTCTTCATCTTTGTCAGCAATTTCAGATTTTTCATCGTCTTCACCGACTTTTTGTTCTTCTTCATCAATTAAAAACGTCTCATCATTGCGTGAATCATCAAGTGGAATTATTCCATCTTCCAGATCTTCCCCACTTAATCTGAATCTGTTTTGATTATTCGCATCAGTTTTATTATTTTTATTTTCATCTTCCGAGCAAGAAGTTTCATCACTGTCATCATCATCGTCATCACTTTCATCATCATCGTCATCGTAATCAGTTTTGCTGACTTCGAAGACTTCATCAGTTCCTTCATCTTCTTCTGTAGCGAAGTGAATAACGTTTTTAGAGCTGTTTTGCTGTGTTGGTGATTGCTGTTTAGACTCCAAAGTTATGAACTCAGTTTCTGTAACATTTCCTGGATTTAAGTTCGGCTGATCTTGAATTATAGATGTGTCCAACATCTCACTGCCTGCAAGAGAAGTTTCAGCAATTTGTGATGAGTTGAGTGATGAGAACGCATTGGTGATGTGCTTTCTTGTACTACGCAATGACTTTGGCATTTCTGTGTTTACTGAATAATTCTCTATTATTTCAGTATTATTTTTCATTGTTAAACTTGATATTGGACTGATTGTGAGATTTTGTGTCTTGAAATTACTTTTGTTTTCGTTCAGCTTCTCAACTGTTTCTAGAATCGAAACCTTGGGAGTCGCAGCGTCATAAGTTGCCTTTGAGTCAACAATTGAATCATTTGGAGTGACGTTAGAGTATCGCGATGATAAAATTTGTTCAGTTTTGTTCCCACCAGTGATTGAATCGCGAGCAGTTTGAATAAAGCTCAATACTTTCATCCCACGAGCATTAACTTCGGTTGCATCTTCTTCTGTAATTTCTGTCTGCGATGAATTTTTTTCAGCAATTTTTTCGCTTTCAGTTTGCTCCTTGAAGCTTTTATATTCCTCATCGCTTTCGAGAATTGAATCAATAGAGCTGACCAAATCATTAATTTCATCTTCGAATTTCTGTGAGTCAGAAGTAGCAGAAGTTTCATTTGCTTCTTGCGTTCCTGATTCCGGCTCCACTTTAACTTGAATATTTCCTGTTGCACTGTTCAAAGGAAGTTCAGAAACAATTGCTTTGCTAAAAGAAGTATCGGACAAATCTTTGAAACTTCCTTCATCACTGCTCACATTTATTGTGCTTAATGAACTTTCATCGCATTCCATTTCCTCTTGAAGTTTGTCAGAGAATGTTAAAGTCTTTCGATTTGGCGTTGGCGTTACTCCAGGAATACCACGCGATATGGAATTTTTTATTGCTGACTTCAAAAGAGACGGCTTAGGTGTTGAGCATGTTGTGGTAAAATCAGCAACATGCATCGACTTTTTAACGCTTCCTTTTGTCGGTGTCTTAAATTGTGAGTAATTCAAAGTTGCTGCACTGGAATCAGCAGCAGTAGTAGCTGCATCTTCAGGTAACGGCGTCTTACGAGAAGGAGTTTTTGTTTTTGATGGTGTAAATGATGTTATCAACATTTCGGACACATTCAAGGAAGTTAATGCTGAATTTCCTGCAACATTTTCCTTGTTCAAAGGTGCTGTCAATGCTTGAGTTGCTGAAGATGTTGCAATAGGCTTCTTTTCATTTTGTTTCTTGTAGTGATTGAGTCTGAAATTTAAAAAGGTAATTAATCAATTCATGTTAATCACTATATTAAATTACAAAGTGATACTTACTGATGCATTGTCACACGCTTATTCTTAACTTTTATAGGTTTAGAATGTTTAGCCTTTCTTTCAGATCTTGGAATTGACAACAAAGCTTCTGAAAATTGTTAATTTTTGTTTATTACTCCCTTATTTTTTTTTTCAATAAAAATCTTACTTTTGATATCGGCTTTTGTTTTCCAACGCATTTTAAATCCCAACAAATCGATAACATCGCCTGATTTTAGAAATCTTTTATTCTCCACTTTCACATCGTTAACTTTCACTGGATTTTCAGTGCTCCTGTTTGCTATTTTAACCTTGTGAAGAAAAATGAACAACAATAATAAAAAAAAACACAACAATGGAGTCGCACAAATAAAATATTTCTCACCTGCCCATAATCATCAACATAAATAGAAAAATGTTCAGGTTTGACATCCTCCCCATGATATTTAATCTGGCATTTTAAGCTTGTTCCCACAGTAATGCATTTTTCGCTGGTTGCATACGTGCATCCATCGGAACCATCGCTTTTGAGCAGCAACAGTTCACCGATATCTTTTAAAGACAGCATTCAATTCAATATAATTCACCTTGCTTCAACTTATCAATGTTGATTCGATAATATTCGAATAATTAAAGTTACTTTCAAGTATTTTATAGAATTTTTAACGCTGTTTATTTATTATTTACTGTGAATTAAATCCTTTTCTTTGATTGCCAATTGCTTTACGCGAGCTTCAGATTTCAAAATGTTCGTTAAGCCGTCAAGCGGCATTGATGTTCCAATCTTTTTAAAAAATTTGAAACCGTTAATTTTTATTGTAAGAAAATATTTTTTTGTGTAGTTGAAAAATGATTTTTATTATCAAATTAAGAAGTTTATATCTTTAGTACATCATAAAAACTATTGTAATCACAAAAAAAATCTCTTCTTGCCATAATGTTGCCATTGTTTAGTTTACTCATATTTAATTTAAATTTCATCTTATTTTCCTCTTCAGTCTTTTTCCATTTTTTATTAGCACGAGCTGAAATTGAGCGAAATCCGCTAGCGGGTCGGGTATTAAGAACCATAATAGAACGAATAATGAGGTTTAAATTAACATCATTGAGCCTTTCGTCACGATATTCTGAATCGAAGCAATCAGATAATGAAAGTATTTCAGAAGCTTCAGAAATATCATCGATCTCTGTGAAGTTATGAAAATAGTTTGAATGGACCAATTGAATGAAATTTGTAGGCTGAGAACTGAAATTCTCACTAATATCTTCAGGTTTGTGTGTGAGTTGGTTTATATTTAATTTCTGATTAAGTTCAAATTTTGGATGAAAAACTCTTCCTAGACCATGCATCAGTGTTAGAACTTCATTCTTAGAATTTTTACTTTTATTTTTAGTTGTTTCCTGTTTCTTTTTAAATTTTGTTGATTTTATGGCAGCTTCAGTTGGATTGAAATCATTTTGTAAAGCAATAAAGTTGAAGTTCAACATAGCGTTTCTAATATCACCTTGACTTTGTTCAATTAATTCGCTTATTTTAGCATCAGACGGCTTCTTAAATAATTGGCTAATATCTTTTTGTGACTCAACGATTCCCACAATTCTTTTCAATCCTTTTTTCATCATTGTTGTTGACACAGGATTGAAGTTGATAGTGTCAATACCGATTTCAATGCGAAGTGCCTCGGGAAAAAGATTGAAACTCACGTTAAGTGTTTTGGAATTTGTTTCAGTGACTATGAAGACTAACGGTGAAAGACCTTCAACCGAGTACCTTCTTAAAATATTCCAAAATTCGTCGACTTTCTTAAAAAAAGTATTGGGAAGATCTTTAACCATGAGCAGCTGTTCTCCATCGTTCAATACTGATTGATATCTTGAGGCTCTCAAAAGGAAATCTGAAAATCGACTTACTTGGTTCTCATAAGTAATAAAATCGTTGTTAAATTTATGAGAATGATCACTTAATAAACTGGATTCAGTATCTGTTGAGTTTATCCATTCTACTACATTATAATTATTCTCTTTAGCAATCACTTTCAAAGCTGTTGTCTTTGCGCAACCTGTTGGACCTTCAAGTACAAGAATTTTGTTCTTGATACTAGCACAACGTATTGTAATCCACTGCCTTAGTTCTTCAATTTTCTTTGGATGAACAATTAAATCACTTGTAACTTGAGGATGGAATTTTTTTAACCAATCAATTGTTTTTGTTGATCTTTTTGAATTTAATGGTTTTTTCCTTTTAACTCTTTTGTCATCTGAAAGATCATCAGAAGATGCAGACGATGATAGAATTTCAACTGTTTCAGTGACATCAATAGGTTTTGAAATTGTTGATGAGTCTTCTTTCTTACAATTTGTTTTCCTGATTTTAATGTTGCGAAATTCACCGAAATTTGATTCGAACCATGGCTGAAAACATCGCTTTATGACCTTTCATGAATATCAGTAAATAAACTGCGAGTTACCTTTGACATATTTCAGTATTTAATAAGATGTATTTAACAGGAGCATGTAAAGTATCGCTTCAAAATTGATATTTTTAATTTCCAAATGAATTCAGTTTAAAGCGCACAAAACAAAACATTTGAACGACGCCGCTATAGAGAAGTTTCACTTTTGCTACCTCAACCTCTCCAAAACGTTGTCCAAAAATAAACAAACAAGAGAAACATTCAAAGTATTTATTGAAAATTAAGAGCAATTAAAATGCAGCAAGATAATAAAAAGTGATTGTATAATGAACCTTCAATCTCTCTTTCAAGATTTTAACGTGAGGTAAGCAGAACTGAAGCGCCATCATTATTAAATTTCTCTTTTCTAATAAATTTGTTCATTTCTGTTCCAGTCGATTTGTTGTCTACTCGTCGTTACTTGCATTTGTGATTCTATTGGCCCTTAAATTAGATGATATCATTGATGTACAATGGGTGACGGTATTCATCCCGTTATGGATATGGAAAGGTAAAAAATTGAACTAATTATCTAATGAGGATATGCGACATATTTTTAAAAACCAAAACTTTCTTTTTCTTTTATTACTTAAGGTCTTGTGATAACTGGGAGTTTCATTGGAAGCATCGTTTTCCTTAAAAATCCTCAATATCGTATGGAAAATGATTCTTACATCCAGTTTAAATCAATGCTGATTTCTTTATCATTACATCTGATACTATTGATGTTTGAGTTTCTGGTTGTGGACCGATTGTCGAACGATAACCATCACCTTTGGATTTTGGTGTTTATTCCATTAATAGTGTCATCGATCGTCAGCGTATTCTTTTGTATATGGGCGATTAAACAACAGAATGAAAGAAGTTTCGAACTTGAATTGTTCTTATCTGTAAATGCGCTTCAATTTGTTTTCATACCTTTAAAACTTGATGGATTCTTAACGTGGAGTTGGGAAATAATTTTCGTTCCTATCTGGATAATTTTATGCCTCTCCTTGGTTATGATGTTGTATAGTTTGATATTCTGCAGTATCTTAATAAGAACACCCGAAATGTCTCTTGCTCAAAGAAAAAGTGCGATAAACAGTGCGATTTCAAATATTCTAGTGTTGCCAGTTTTGGTTTTTCAAATTCTTTTAGCTGATAAGCTCGATAATGATAATGGCTTGCCTTACACGATCATCGGAATACCTTTGATGGTGACTCTATTTTCGCTCGTCTTACTGAGTTTTTGCTCGAAGGGATCAAGCAATAAATTCTGGTTTGGTATGCGAAAGAGTAATTTTCTTTTAAACGCGTTAGGTGAATATGGAAATATCAACATTTCTTATCGAAATCGTAATCAGAGTGTTGAAAGCGGCCAAAACTTAGAAATTCAAGTTCAAAATCTGGAAGAGAAAATTCATAAGAAAAATCTTCCAATCATGCCTCACTTTGCTATCGACACGCCAGATTAGCTTTGTAATCAAAAGTGACTAATAAAAATCCCTTCAAATATTGAAAACGGGATGAAAAAATTGAAAGAAATAAATTGTAATCCTAAATTTTAAGAAATAAACTTGATTATTTTTGTAATTTCATCGGAAAAAAATTAAAAATCGTTTTTTATTCAACAGCTCATTGAATCTTTCAGATTTTGAAAATCATCAGAAAAAAATTATTTCAAAAGTTATCCGAAAAAAATTTGTCAACAAAATTGTGAGATATAAATTTATTAAGCATCACAAGTTTCTTGTTTTGCAAGAAGATGTTTAATAGACTTCAAAAGGATTATCTCCGATAATTTAAGAATGGAAATTTCATACGCCTTCCTTCTCCTTTTCTTTATATTTATTTTTAAAAAGCTTGAGAAGCTTAAATAATTCAAAGGGATTTGAAAAATTAGAATTTTATAACATCATTAAATTTAATATTATCCTTTGAGAAGATTATCTTTCTGCATTAAGAAGTAAATCACTGACTTACAAGCGATAATTTTAACATATCATCGAGGATGTTGTCATGTAATTTTCACTACTAACACATCGTATAAAGAAGTACATGGTAATTGTGCCATCACAAAAGTGTATTCATGTCATTCTGCATTCACGTTTTAATGAATTTTTGCACTATTTACTTGCAAATCGAATATCAATAAAATGTTATTTTATCTTTCAGGAACTCATGGCATTTTCTCTACTAACAAATCGTATAAAAAAGTACTTGGTAATTGTCCCATCACAAAAGTGTATTCATGTTTACCTACATTCATTATCACCTATTGAAATGTATGTTTTCTTGATCTTTACCAACACTCAAATACGAATAAAATGTCATTTTTATAATTACATATGCAGTGAGAATAAATATATCTAGATCACAAATATCAATACTTCCAGCATTGATGCATGACTCTTTATTTTCAAAATTTATACTCACGTTCACATGCTTTTCATCAATTCCTCCTTCTTTACATTTCTACAAGCCATTTTCTTTTTATCGAAAGAGACGTAAATATTTATCAACAATTCATACACTTGAATGCACATGTCCGTAGCAGTTTTTATGATTAGATATGAACGTTTGAAACTAGTGAAATAAATTATGAATAGACACGAACTGTTAATTTCTGTGTAACGTGGAAAAAGGCAATCACTAAAAATCAAATAAATAAAAAACAATATGTTTCTGAGATAAGTGTCTAGGAATTGTCCATTTATTAGCAGATGGCCTATAGGTAAATATTAAAATAAGTAGGTAGATAGCTTACAAAGACGATGTCAATGTAAAATCGAAGTTAAGGACACATTTTTATTTAGCTCGCAGCGATCCGTAACAAAAGTTTTACCTTTGATATTAAACATAAAATTTTTCTTATTTTCTGCTTGTGTATTTAAGACGAGAATCCTACAGATCTACATGATATTTTTGTCCTTAAGTTAGACAAATTTTAAGCTAATTAACACATTTTCCATTCCTGTGGATTAAATGCTGTTTTAATGAACCTTCGGGTCGTTTTCACTTTCTTTGAACAAAAATCATTTTAAAATTTCATCACCTTTTAAAATCAGAAATTTTTCCTGTAGAAAAATTCTAAACAAGTTGGAATGCTCGATTTTCTTGTGAAAATGGTCTACTAAATGATAGAGACGTAAACTTTGTTCTTTATTTACACAGATGTCAGAAATGTTTCCGTCTAAACCGTCTAAAAACACCCATTCTCAATAACAAAATTTGACTAAAATGTGAAATTATTTATCTTCTAGTAAAGCTTTCAAATCAAGTGTTTATTAAAAGTTCTGTCTGATAATAACATCCTATAAGTAAGGAAAGATAAATATTTCACTTATAATATTACGAGTGTCTTGGATCAGAATGCTTCAGGTACTTATATAAAGAACTGACATAACCGTTTTCATAATTTCCCCGAACATTCCGCTATCGTTTTTCTACATAAATAAAAATGTTCTTCGGTACTGAAAATTATTAAAAAGTTCTATTGTTTTGAGTTCACAGACGTCATATGAGATGTGAAAATTTCAATATATTTGAATGAGTTAATTATGAAACAAAATATAAATGGAGGACAATTGCTTTATGTTTGTAATTGAAAAGAATGAAATCGGTTTTTTCCAAATTATCTACATTTACACTGTGCATTGTCAAATAAACCATAAAAAATGTTAAAAAAAAACACCTTGAATGCTTTTTCATGATAAGGATCGAAAATTTAATCAATTTTAATTGAAGAGTATTTCTGCTGCACTATGAAATCAATATCGTCGATGTTTCGGAGCTAAACGTCTTGATATTAGAAGTTTTATTTCATTCAATTGAAGAATGTTGATCTTTTACGAACTTTGCTACTCTGATTATTATTCGATTTTTGATTCTTTATTAAAATCTACTTAATGTACATATAAAGTTTCCCAAAAGACACAAATTGGATCTTTTGAGTCATACAGAATAGCAAACTTGTAAATAGACAAGAGTATCACATTTTGTGTCGTTGCACAATACCTTGTAAGTGCATCATATTTTTATTCGAGAAATGTTTCCCCAGTTGAATTTTTAATAGTATTACATCACTCATAGCTTTAATCTCAATTTTGCTAGAATGTCAAAACACATTTCGTTCGATTTTCAGGTTTAATAAAAAGTCCATTAATTTATAATTTATCATAAAGTGTCAACAGAAGAGGTCTTCTATTTATGAGTACTTTCAATAACGTTAGGGATATTGCGATGTCGAATATTTTTACAATCAGAATGGTTTTCAAGAACAATTTCTTTGTTAAAGTCTTTTGTGTCAAATCTAAAAAGTTTTCCTTTTGTAGCGAAGCTTCTATTCGTAAACATAGAAATAAATCGCTTTGAAGTTTCGTATTTAATCAAAGCTAATATTAAAAGTAAAGAAACCCAATTTTTTTTTCATTACTTTTTTATTTTGTGAGCAAATGACAATTTGTTCGAATTTCATGTTAACATTAATAAAACAAGAATGTATCAATGAAAGAAACGTTCTTCTAAGTACAATTGCAATAATATTTTTTACAAACTCTTCTTCAAATCGGATAAATAAGTTATTTGATGTCTTTCTAATTTCGTTTATCAAACAACCACATCTTTAGCTTTTTCGTTCTCATTTTCCAAACATATTAAGCGACCTTCATGGTGATTGTTCCTTGTAAGACGATTATGGTGATTTGAGCTTGTCGACCCACGACCAGTAAGTTGATGAAGTGGGATTGTGTGACTCGAATTAGAATAATTTCCTTTGTACTTTCGGGCCTTTTGATTACAGATTCCAAATCTTGACAGTAGTAGGAAAAAATCTCGTCTATATTGAGTTGTCAGAATGGCATACAAATAAGGATTTGCACATGAGTTAATTGGATAAAAGAAAACCAGAAGAATTTTTGATTGTGTCACATCTATGAGTGGATATCCAGCCAATGCTGTTAAACCAAAAAACGCTATGGGAGCCCAACACGCAAAATTTGTGAAGACCTGTCAATGTCATAAAGTTTGATTTTCATATATATAAACACGAAAACACTCTTATATTTTTAACTAACGATTAAAATTGTCATAATTCACAAATTTCGTCAGCAAAGCTGTCATCTTCAGAAGATTTCGGAAGATAATTTAATCGTCAGTAAAAAGTTTAAGATTTTCGTGTTTTTATTCGTACACATATTTAGTGTTAAACTTTTCATGTTGTGTCAACAAAAATGTTAAAATATTCAATCTTTCAATTTTAATAAATTAAGTTCTTACCAATAAAGCCATTTTCTTAGCAACTGTCATCTCACCACTCGTTGTGCTTCGTGTTCGTGTTTCAGTTCCAAGTGAGAAATATATTTGTGCGTAGCAAACGACAACAATGAAAAATCCAAGACCATTTACAGCTAGAACTGTAATCAGATAAATTATATCTAGGGGATCCTGAGCTTCCATCGGCAAACAAATGCTAAAGATGTGATTGGATTATAAATTTTGATTTATTTCAAAAGATTTTTCTTGTCGCATGCAAGATAAGAGCTAGCAATAACTTCACCATCTTCTGGTAATAAATTAGCAGTTAATTACTGTACCCACCTTGTTGATGAATAATTGCTGATACCAAATAATGGCAGTGTAGCCATAATGAATGAATAAATCCAACCACCAATCATAACCATAACCGCAGTGTTAAATTTTAACCGCTTGTTAAGATACATAGCACGAGTTATAGCAAACCAACGTTCAACAGTTATGATAGTGAGGGTAAATATTGATAAATGTCCAGCAAATACTGTTAAAAATCCCGCAGTCTTACAACCTAATCCTAATATTTATTGATATTCTTATTTCATTTACTGAATAAATTAGAAACTTTCGTTTTTTTCCTTACCATATTGCCAATCAAAAGCATAGTTGAAATATTCACTCATAGAATGCAAATCAATTGATGCTAGAAACAGCAAGTACATCCCCATGCAGAAGTCAGCAAAAGCTAAATTGCACATAAGAAACTTTGGCACAGTCAATTCCGATCGATTTGAAAATAAAACAACAAGAACGCTGACGTTTCCAATGACTGTTAATGATACTACAACCCAAACCGATCCCCTTAGCCAATTACTTCCCATTACATCTTCGCAAGGATTTAATGCATCCGGTTTAGGATAACATTTAACATTCTTTATGCTAACGGAAACAAAGTATGCTTATTCATTATTTATTACGAAAATGTTATGAAAAAATACTCACTTCAAAGTTAAATTTCCACAAATAGCTTCAAGGTAGTCATTAGGAACAATCGCAGGTTCATGAAAAAAGCCTTCGAAGTTGTCATCATCGATCTTATTAGAATCATCGTAAGTATTAATGGAATGCATGCTGTTCATATTCAAAGAATTATATTCCTTCGAATCATTTGAAGTTGTTCGCTTCATCCTGTGACTTGAGCTTTCGTAAATATTTCGAGAAACTGGATGAATATAGCCTTTGGATTTACATTCACTCTCGAACTTTCCTATTAAATTTAATTGTTGTACGTATCTCATGGGATCATGTCGTGACGGAAATTTAAAAGCGCAGCAATGGAATGAATGAGTCAGCCAAGCCCTTTCTAAATTCTAATATCACAAGAAGAAAGAAAATATTTAGAAATGGAAGTTCTTTCAATGCATTTATTGCTTGTATCGAATGATTCTCAAGGAAATGATTCAAATGAGAGTAAAATTCGCACATGGATTATAATTTAATTTGTACTCAAAATATGACACAAATAAATCGATACATTGTTTATACTTGAACTTACTTTGAAATTGTAAACAGATGGAATATGTTTGAGTGATTGTGTATATTGAATTCTCAATTCCTCAAGGGTATCAAGACCAATCGTCGGCAATAGTTCAATTGCTGTGCTTGATAGATCTCTAGAGTGATGAAAGAGCGGAAAATGATAAATTTCTTGAAGTTATTTTAAAATTGCTAATCACTTACAATTCTCGAATGTTGGTGATCCCTTCAAAGGCGTACTCATGAAGCATGCGGAGGTTTTTGTTGCCCTTAAGACTTCTGAACAATTCAAATAAAATATACTTCAGTGCCTGAGTTGGTTTCGTAATATTATTTTCACTCACAATCTTCCTATTTCTGACTCATTGAAAGCTGCTCTTTGTATTGTTGTAATGAGATTGTTATCAAGTATCCTTCAAATAATTTTAAGTTAAGAAGGGAAATTATCCAATACTCAAGAATTTAATCTTACAACTGTTCAGTTTTTATTCTAACAGAATTCTCTAGAATTTCACTTATTTGATTGCCTTCGAAATCTCTGAAAAAAAAACGAAGAATTTGTGGTTACTTCACGTCTTTTCGGCATTCATTTTCTGTTGCTTGTGAAAATATCAAAAATATTCTTTTGAGGCGGCACGAACATCAGATCGTAATTAAATTAATTTTCGTTTATTTACACCAAAGAGATGTCTTAATGTTAATGAACTCACAATTGTAATAGAATTCCTGCCGACAGCAGACTCATATTTGGAATTTCCCTCAGGCCGCAGTTTATGATTCGTCTTTTAATACATGAAATAGAAATCATAGAAAGGAACAATTTAGTAATTTTAACTTCATTGATACAAGAGTTAATTAACAATCAAACGATTACATTCAAGGATTATCGTGATTACGAGAAAATCTTACAATGTCTTAAATGAGGGTGAAATGTGACTAAAAGTTTCTGATGATATATATTGAAGTTTTGGTGCTTGAGAAATGTAACTGTAATTAAGAAATATTTTATTCTTATATGCAATTCATTTATTTTTATGATGTTTCAACTTACATTGTTCGAATGTTCAAAATATTTTTGAACGCTCCCGATTCAATCTGATAAAAGTCATTTAAGTTTGTCAAAAATCTTTAAGAGAAGATAGAAGATGAGACGAATTATTTTAATGTGTTTCTTGGGCCATAAATCTTCATTTTCATGACATCATAACGTTCCACTCAAATAATTTTGTCTCGGAACAACATAATTTTTTAATGTTGAATTGCTGTACACTTTTACACTTACAAATCTCTTAAAGTAGATGAATACTTCCTAAGTCCAGCCTCTCGTAATACTTTGAACTTTGCATTCGCAATCGACAGTCTTGTTATTTGTGGTAAATTTTGTGGTATTTTAAAAAGTTTAGGTCCTTCACAATGCGATTCAGATTCATTTTCATTCTCTTCTAAATCACTTGAGTAGTGACACCACCATGGTAGTGCAGCAAGTTTTGCTTGGTTAGCATTCTCAACAGCTGATGTCATATTTTGCATAAAATGCTCCAAAGGATGCAGTAAAGTTGCATTACCATTTAGTAACTTCGCAGTATCAAAAGCATTTGTTGATAGTAAAGGTAATAAAATAAATGCAACCAAACCAAACTTTATGAAGAAGTTTGAGAGAATATTAAGAAACTTAACTTTTGACACTTTGTTTTTTCTATAATATTGAGAGCTTTTCATTTTACTTATTGTTATATTTTGTTCGATATCACTTCTGAATTATAAACGTCATTATTTCATTATTAGTCTCTAACTTGAGATCTGGAAGAATTCAACATTTTTTATTTAGAATCATCTTAAACATCTCCAGGCTACAGTCAGATGAAAGAAATCTATTTTTTAATCCAAACATTGCTTCGGTTACTCACTCAATTAACACTTTTATATCTGCAGATGTAGTCGTTTGATTTATTTATTTATTTTATATATAAAAAATAACAGAATCAATAAAGAAAAACGAGCAAGTGTAAACATAAATAAATTATCTTTGGAAGTTTTTATTTAGGAATTTAGAAAAAGATCATTTCAAAAGAATTGAGGTGAAAAAGACCGCATGACTTGTGTGGGGCAATTAATTTGTAATCATAATGTAAGTTAGATATATCATAAAAAGTTTGCTTTCTAGTAGAAGAACATGTTCAGATAATAGAAAAATAACATAAAGATTATCCCTTAATAATCCCTTTCTATTATTATCTGTTATATTCTATGGGTTTAACAAGCTAATATTTCAAGAATTTCATGCCTTAAAACTCCTTCTATTAACTTTTAGTCAAGTCATTAAATCGTCTTTCCTTCTGAATTAAAATCAACCATTTTAGCATAAGCCTTATTAAGCCCAGCATGAAAGTTTTTTATGATTCAATTTTTTGTTTATGCCAACATCAAACTTAAATATTTGCGTCAATCACGAAAAGTAAAGAAGAATCATTGAATTTTAGTGTTTAATGAAAAAGTTTGTTAATCAAACTTCAATGATTAATGATTCTTAACATTTAACGCTTATTAAGTTTCACAGGCCTAAAATTCTTATTCAAGATTAATTATCTACACCAAGAGCCACACATTAAAAGTCTCTTTGCTTATAGTGAAGATATACCTATTGGTTCTAATAGAACGAATGTAATTAATCTTCATATCATACTTTTGCAGTTAATTATTATTTAGTTTAAGATTGTGAGTAAAACTGCCGCATTGGATAATTAAAGCAAATATCTTTAGTTGTCCCTAAAAATAGGAAATGTTTTTATTGTTTATTCAGACCTACATATTTTAGTTCTTCTCAAGTATTGTTATCAATAAGACAACAAATAAACGTAAACATGTACTTGTTTTGTTAACAATTCTTTCGAGTGGATGAAAAGCTGAGATTTCAGATAAGCTACTAATAGTTACCAAAATTATGAATCACTGAGCATAAAAAGCTTTAAATTGGTAACCATTGTATTATGTTATATCAAATAAATCTTATTTATACATAAATCCTTATTGTAATAAGGAAATAACAATAACAAACATTTAATACATTCAGATAATATTTTGACTCAAGTCACAAATCAGTTACGTAATTGGATTTATGAAGAAGTTCATTGTTTTCTCTTCCCACATAACTTCACTCGAAATAAACTCAAATATTGAACATATAAAAGCTCAGAAAAGAGCTTTATAAACGTTTTCACCGAAAGGAAAATAAGTGAAAATTTGACAATAGTTATAAAACGAGAACATTAATTAGTTCAGAGTCTTTAGAATTCAACTAATTAAGTTTCATGTTATTTCAAAAGCTATTGCATGTCTTTTCAATTTTACATAATTTATGGAAATAAATCTACGAAGTTGATTGCCTCTTACATCACATTCTGTTGCTATGGCTTGAAAGTTTTTATCACCTCAATTACTCGTATTGAAACAACACTTTTACATTATTTTTCTTATGATTTATTATTTTTAGTATATTTTTTATGAAATCTTAGAACATAAACACCTGTTTTGTATAACGAATTCTAATGACTGTAATTATTATTTGTTTTTCGGTTTTCTTTTCATTTAATTACATGATCGAGATTACTCGTGAAAGTAAATATTCCACAAAATAAACACGAGATTTAAGTTACCAGACTTTTGTAATAAAAAAAAATTCTCTCGTTTTCATTTGTGATAAATTTAGAAAAACCACATTACATACTTTATTCATTGTTCTTCTCAAAATTTGCAGGAGTTGTCAATTATTAATGTATATTTAGGAAAATATTTCCACATCCATGCTTGATGATTTTACTTTTTGTTAATAAATATTCTGATTTTTTTTTATTTCTTTCATCTAGATATTTATTATTCACATTTTACCATTCAAAATTGACGCAAATTCATTTATTCATATTTTATTTCATCGAAATGAATTTGGATTTCGTATGACAATTGAATAAAACAACATTTAACAATTCACATTTTTTAATTTTAATCACTTTTTAATAGTTTAATTTATTATCAACGTTTATTTTTTTTATTTTAATTTTAAAAGAAAATTATTCACTTCATATTTTTATTTAATTATTTAATTGACGCGAAAAGCTTTTTAATGCGTTCAAACTGTTCAAAGTCTTCTCAACAACTGACAACAGCGATATTTTTATTTTCTCGAAATTTTCTCTTCATATCTATCGTCAGAGATCAGCATTACTCGCACATGCTTTGGCTTGTGCTTTGCAACTTGGAGATGATTGTGTACAAACAAAAGCACCCACAATTTACGACAAATGTTACTTTATTGCGAGAAATCGTCATCATCATGAGAGAAATAAGAGAAAAAGCGAGATAAGAAAATGTGAGAAAATGATTCAATTCAGAAGAGAGAAAATTAAGAAAACGACTTGTTGATATCAAATTCGGTTGATTAGATTTCGTATAAGAAAATTTTTCGTTTTGCATGGGAACTTTTTTGTACACTTGTTTGTACATTTTAACGTTAAAATCATTGAGTTTACATTTAATGTTAGCCTTTTTTGTGATAATTAGAATTCGCTTCTTTTGTAAGGTAATCTGATATTAGTTATATTATTTTCGTAAGTTTCCATGACTAATAAATTTCAACAGATATGACATAAGATAAAAAGGAACACAATTTTTCTTTGAAATTTTATAAAAATTGAAAACCTTTTAATCATTTTAAAAAAGGAAGTGAAAATCCACAAAAACCATTCGTAAGACTTCTTAACTAACAAGATTTCGCAAGGATTGAAAAGTTTTTTAATTAGAATCTTAATTATTTTTTTGCACATCGCATCCTTTAATTAGTTAATTGGTCTTGACGCAATTCTTTATAAAGAAGGGATTAATATCCAGCAGAAAGATATTCGAACAAAGTTTTGATCCCTAAAATCTCATTAAATTAGAAAAATTAATGATTTGTTAAAAACTTTGCATTCATCACTTCTTATTTGTTTTGAATTTTTGCAAATCTAAAATTTTTTTCGCTCACTTTTAATTAGGTACCTACTTCAATCAATGTAAAGTTTGTACACGTTTTATATAAAAGAAAGGAATGACCATAAGCTACTTAAACGAAAAACAGCAATTTTCTACATAATGAAGATGTCATTATAAAATATTTAACATCCAAGTTCATGTTGTGTATGAAATTTTTATTAGCTTAAAAGAAAAATGCCGCAAAGAAATTTTTGAATTCTTCCCATTCTCGTTGTGTATAAATAAAACCATGTTATCTGTGCTTCTCTAAACAATAAATTTTGCATGAATTATTTATCAATCTCATCAAATGGTCCTCATCTCGAAGAATTGCATTAGAAAAAATTAATCATGCTCGAGGTAAATTAATTAATGTTTGAGAGAAGATTGTGTTGTCAAATAAGTATAAATTTCTATTGAAATTGTTTATTTGCAGGATGCAAATAAGTATCTAATTGATAAGTTGTGTCGAAATTACGTAAAAAGTAATAGTACATAACTAAACACGGCACTTGTGTGTAGCGCGAATTTTGTTTCTGATGATGTATCATGATGATAGCCGTTGAGCTATCAAAATGTGAGTTTCTAACATGTAAAAATTGATAAAATGGTCGTTTTCGTACCGTGTTTAGTAATGTCTAATTAATATCTCAGATTCATTATTGTTGTAGAAATGTGATTTATGTGTAAACATTTTTATCTTCAATGAATGACAAAAATATCAGATCAAATGACTTTCTTTGAGTGCGTCATCAAACGGAAGCAGAGCATATTCAATATCCAAATGAACCCCCATTTGACATTCGACTTCGTATCATTTGATTCCAAATGTAAATGTTCTGTAAAAAAGCTTTTAAAACTTTGCCTTTGTTTTCTTTTTTCTTATTCATCTTTATTTTTTTTTTGACATACAATACAAGACACAGACGAAACAAATTTAACAAGCAATTGCCATCATCATCGACATGACATCTTTCAAGTTTTTTTTTTTAAATAAAAGTTTATATTCCCTCTTGATTTGTGTCAATCTTTCCACAGTGATAAATCTATCTTCGGAATTGCGCTGCTTTCACAAGGCACAGGTTCATTTCTTGAAACATAAATTTTCATTTAGTAAAAAAAACTTTTAAATAATTTTATCAGAAATCACTTACCCAATTAAATTTGATTGAATGAAAGCATTACGTGATTGAGTTGTTAATGCAATTCCATCTGAATTATCACAAATAATTCTTGCTAAAGTAATTCTCTTAATTTGTTCTAATTGACCTGGTAGAAAATGTCCCGGATTGATTGTTGGATTATGCTCATAGAAGTACCGATCGCCTCTACGTAATCTTGAGAATTGATCAGCAATTATATCTCGGAAAGTGGGACCAACAATAGCATCATCTTCAGATGATTCTAATAAACCACCCACATATAAATCAATGTCATGTGGTGACTTGTAAACGCTTTCCAATCGTTCCGCATTTACTGATCCGAACTCGTGAAAATCATCGATAGGTTTACGTCCACTTACAGCGAGATAATCATTATAACTTCTTAAAGCTTCATCACGACCGCGTTGAATATTAAGAGAGATGAGATCAAGACCATAAGGATTACCACCCCGGAACAAATAGCGAGATAACTGAAGGCATTAAGAAAAGTTTAAGAATGAAAATCCTGAAACTTTTCAGATACTTACGCCATATGTTACAGAATTGTCAACTGACTGCATCGGTTCATGAACCAAAGTTCTAATAATTTCGTCATAGAAATGTTGGAAACGGAAGCGACCCGGATTATGGAACGTGTCTGAGATGAGAATGATTTCATCCAATCGATGTTGGAACTCAACAAAAAGTCTTCCTTGAACTGTTGAATGACCGAATCTAAAGGCAGCACCAGTAAATTCATTTGTCATACTCGGATTGATTTCTTCATCATAATCGTTACTGTAACCTTCAAAAGAGCTAAGAAGAGAAAATGTTCTTGCTGTTTCTTTTCCAATAACAAGTGGAAGCCACTCATTGTATGTGATGTGTTGGATCTCAGCTACGACAATTTTTCTCGTTTCTTCAAAGATGGTGTCATCAGACCAATGTGGATTCAGTTGATGCAAATCTTCAGCAATGCGATTATGCTCACGAGCAAATAGCAAGTGAAGTGCCACTAACATAATGTGTTGATTAACACGAACATCTCCAGCTAAGAAACAAGCAGATCCATGCACCATACAATTATCAGATTTCGGGTTAAGTGGAAGAAGTTCTCGATTGAAATCGATAAACATTTTCAATTTTCCATCTCGAAAACTTCTTAAATCTCGAGAGGTTTCCATACCGGAGCCATAAATTGCCGATCCATCAATATAATGTGTAACTTTTGACAATGTTTTTGAATACCCAAGTTGACAATTGTGATCAGGTGAGATTGCAAGACGAACAAAATTCATACAACGTTGATGGAATTGTTCATAAAATTCATCATTAGGATCGATATGAATGGGCATACAAGCAAAATGTAGCTCGTTAGGAGGTAGCATGGATGTTCCATCTTTCGAACAGCATTTCACACGTTTTCCTCCAGCTAATGAATAGAAATTGTTAAGGTTAGATTAATAAAATTATCGAATTTCTTACGTAATGTGATTGATGATGATTGAGTGAAGTCGTGTGAAAGAAATTGCCCAAACTGCATGATCATCAAATTAAGGAATGGATGAGGGCGATCAAAATCAGGGAATAAAGTTCTAGAAATAGTTCGAGCGCTGGGAAGCTTTGATCCATCAATGGCTGTATTTCGTGGAGCCCAAATTCCATCTTCATAAGCAGGTGGGAGTAAGCGTTCCATTGGTGTGTTAGCAGCTCCCCAAGTCTCCCTTCCAGGACCATGATTACAAGTTCCATCTATTGTTCGGTAATGCAATGGAATGGAAGAACATTTGGGATGTGGCAAACAAGTTCTAGACATTGGTGAATCCACTAAATTTGTATCAAACATATTCAGTTGTGCTTCTTCTACTGTCAACTGCTGTTTATCTTTAAATATTTTAGATGCCATCATTTGTTCAACTCCTGCATTTGTAAGTGAATTTATTTTAACAGCTTCATCCGGCCGATGATTTCTTTGCAATAGAATTGAAAATTAAACGATTTGATCGATTGGAAAGATTTTTATAAAAAACTCACCCAAACACCATTTGATGGAAGAAATCTGGTTCGGTTATTCCATTTCCTTCTTCTTCAAATGTTTCATGAGCTCTTTCTCTATTTTTCAACATTTTAAACTCCATTTTCGCATCTTGAACCACGTGGTCTAGCACGTCGTTAGAGCGAAGCTTAGCATGTTTTTTAAAATTATTTGCTGTATGATTTTGTTTCGTTGTACAGCATAGACCATGAACTTTTCCATTTCCTGGTAAATCACACATTTGAGGTTTCGTCGACATGTGCAAATGTGCCGGACATTGAATGGCTGGAACACATTTTGCTATTGATGGACATGGATCACATTTTTCGAATGATGTAACTTTAAGAAGAAAAATACAAGACTTTTTAATTTGAGGATTGAATGTGATTGATTATGGTGTAATGAATACTTGACGATTTATCTTACATTTTATTTGAGGCGGAATAAAGCCATGTGAATGTGGATCCTTATTTTTATCGCTTTCTGTGGAATCAAAAACCTTCTTTGAGTTGCCTTTTCCTTCTTTAAAATCATTCGATTTCTTTAAAATTTTCCCAGCATTTATTAACTGACATGTGGTTGACACGATGATGAAAAAGCACATAAAACACTTTAAAATTTTCATTTTTATAAAGAAATCAATTGCAGCAGCTTCCGAATCCAATAAATTGATTCATTAAAGATTTTACCAATCTGATAAATAAATTAAGATTATTCTTAGCGTGCGCACACTTCTGCTGCAAATTGACGAATGCGTTTTTGTTGATTTGCAACAATTGAGAGTAACAATGATGAAGACAACAAATCAAGCAACAAATGTTATCAAAAAGAGTCATCTTTCTTGGAAATGTGTAAAGTTTCAAGAGAATATTCGACGAAGAGAGAAATTTTCAACGAACTTTCAATGATGATGACGATGATGATGATGATTTCATATAATCATTCTAATGATTTCTCTTTCGTTTGAGAGCTGTAAAAGAATTTTAAAGAAACAGAGAAATGAAAAACAAAAAACTTTAATTTTAATAAACAAATTTCTACTAAATAGTTTTGATTTTCTTCCTACAATTAGGTATACAATTTTAAAAACATTTTTGTACAATCTCAAGAAACAAGTTCTTACGCTTAAAAGTTCCAATAAATTTTTTAATAAAGCCAATAGAACACAACACATCTCTCGTGTACGACATTTAGCACCAAATTTTCTTGTAAATAAGTTTTGGGGCATCGAAAATTTTTAAGCTTTTGTATACGAAAGGCTTTTAAAGCGACAGGTGTTATGTGATGTTACAAAAGGAATCCTTGAATGTCGTTTAAACGTGATAGATAAGTAGTGGCACTTCTCAATTGCATTGAAATGTTTTCCTTGACCTATAACTTATTTATATTGTTGATGATTCACGATCCATAGCTTATTGAATGGAGGAAATGCTTAATTGTATCATACGACGAAAAGGAAATTCCTACAGCGATTGGACCTTTCACCCAATTCATTGATAATCCTTTATAAAAACCTCGAATTATTCCTTCTTCCGTGTACACTTTTTTCAAGGTTTGTCGGATTGTTTCGTATTTTTCGCAATTGCCAATACCTGAAGTTTGCATTCTCCTTCTTACAATATCTAAGAAGAGACATTTTCAAATACAATGAATAAATAAACAAAGGAATTAAAAACCTAAAGGATAACTGCTCGTTTGACCACAAATTCCAGCACATGCTCCAAAAAGAAGTGAATACATCGCATTTGGTTTCTTCTCACCAGTCATTTCTGTAAAGAAAAATAATTCAGTAAAGATTAATAGCTTAAAAGTATTTTAGTTTTATCAACCGTAATATTTTTGCTTAAGCGTTTCGTATGTGAAAAATGAAGTTCCTGCATATGGAATTACTCCAAGAACTGTCGGTACAAATCCACGATAAAGGGCTCTGGTACCATTCTCTTTGGTATAAATTGATAAAAAGACTTCATAAATGTTCCTAGAAAAGGTTTAAATTATTTTAATATTGTGCAAAATGGCAATCAAGAACATTTACTTGTATCCACATTTATCTGTGATTGCCATTCGGGCTCTTGCTAGATCTAACGGATAAGTTACACCTTGTGAAGTTATGCCAGCGAGGGAACCAGCAAGGAACCTTCGAAAATGAGGATCCTTCGCTTCATCAACACCAAGAAGCTTTCTGTATTGTTCGAATGAAGCAAATTGACATGCTGAATAAGGAATGATTCTTGCAAGTGTTGCAGTATTGCCACGATAGAGTGCGAAGAATCCTTCCTTACGATAAGTTCGTTTAATGAAGCCGAGTGCATTCTTAAACGAGTATTTGATGTGCTTACTGGAGAAATGATAAAACAAGTGATTTAAAATTATTTACAATCAGATTCAAGGTCATTTCATCGACGTGATACATGTGGAAAACAAGTCTTACTTGATTTGAAAATTAATCTTTGTACGGTCGAGAGGTGCGATGAATGTTTTTGCCATGGCACCAGCTAAGGCTCCTGACGACAAGTGTATTAAAATATTCGAATTGCCTTTAATTTTCTTTTCATTATGCAATTTCCCTTCGTCTAGATTTTATAGAAAACAAACAAATAAAATCTTCTTTTTTGCTTTATATCAACTTGATAGAAGATTACCAATGGATGGTTCCTTAGGATTCGACGACATAGTTCCTTTATCAATGCTTCACGACTCACGTCACTTCCGATTTCAAAGACTTTTATTCATTATTAATGTTGACGAGATTAAAGGTCAAAGTAAATGAAAATCATAAAAAATTTCGAAGATTTACAAAAGTAAAATGATTAATTCACAATATAATTAAATATTTCGTGTTCAATTCCTCTAACTATTTTCAACTAAAACACCATTCTACTTAAATCTAAGTTATTTTTGACACAATACGACTTTTTTTTTTCATGTACACCTATCGATAGCCTTAAATGAAAACAAAAGATTCTGCACCATCGATATTGACGATGGTAACTTCTTGAATATTCAATATTAATTCATTTGCTTAGTTTGAAAGATAAGCAATGGAAATTATAGAAAAGCTACTCTTACCTACAACAGTTCTCTAATATTTAATGAAACGATGAAAGTTAAATGCTAAAAGAGAAGTTTTTATTAAATATTTCTTTTCATTCTTTACGGTTGTCGAAGTAAAAAATTGTTTTTCGTAACTTTTTTTTCAAATCGTAGTACAGTAGAAATTCTTAGAGTTTTCCAACACTCTTTTCCGTATTCGCGCATGTGATCATTCTTTTTTAAGGTCAGCCACATATCAAGCATATGTTAGTAAATAATTTTCTATTTTTATTCAATTTTAAAATAATTTTGTTTTTCTTGTCACATATGACATACATAAAATTTTGTAAAATAGGATTAATTAATTTTTAGGACGTTAGATATTTTATATCGTCAAAGTGTCTAAAATTAGGTAGATCTATCTCATCTTTTATTGCTGTGAATTTCATGTTTTCGTGCATCCCTGTTTTCTGGTATTCAAGATGCTGTACGTTTGGGAAAATGTTTGTTATAAAACTGAGAAACTCTTGGTTTGAAGACGTCAGTTGATAACCATAAATTATTATGCTTAATCTATCTACACTGGGCAAACATTTAGCGATTACTTTGAGATTATCTAAAGTAATATTTTTAGTTAAACCAACAGTCAATTCAATTATCGAACTATTTTCTTGAAGGTTTTCCATATCTAACTTAATCTCAGATTGTGAAAAGTGAAACTCAAGTGACTTCAATCTTTTAAAAAAATTGCACAGTATAATAAAATCTTCGTTTTCAATCTTTAAACAGCCTTTTCCAATAGAGAGCTTCTCTAAGTTGTGAAAATTTTGAATGATTTTTCTGGTAAGATTTTCGCCAAAATCAATTTCAGCGATGAGTTCCAAAGTTTTTAAATTATCACTTGGTCTAGAGATAAGATTTTTGGCAAAGTTTTTCTTAACAACTACAAGCTTCGATCTGATCGAGAAAGTTTTGAGATTTTCTATTGTCCAATGGCCAATAAAAGGAGATTCTGATATATCAAAATAGCTGTAAGTAGGTAAAAGTTGAAAGTTTTCTATTACAGTTTGATTTAAACATTGCCCAATATAATTTAATGAATCGATTTCAAGACCAGAACAGCCACTAATGGTAAGAGTTTTCAACTTTGGACAACACTTAAGAATGAAATGTGTTATTTCAGCTGAACAAGAAGTCAGATCTGAATTTTCAATGGTAAGTGATGTCAAAGAAGGAAACAAAATGTTCGGATTTTCAAAAAAAGGATTCAAAAAAGTCATTTCTCGAAGAAATAAATTAGTAATGACGTTACTATGCCTATGACAGAATTGTGATTTTTCGAGATTATGGACATCAAATGATACTTCAAGTTTCAATTTTTTTAGTGCGGATAGTTCTTCTAAAGATTTTTGCAAGTATTTAATTTCGTCTGTTTTTTCACTGGATAACTTGATGTTAATTGATCTGACTTGTGTTGTAGCGACAAGTTTAAAATAGGAACACACTTGTGACACTGCAATCAAAGAGATTCCATCTATAAGATAGCTGAATATTTTCGCAACAATTTCCTCTGGTAATTCGTCCATTTTTCTAGAAATGTAACAAAAAAACTTTAAAAACTAAAAACTTAATAGAAATGAAGAAATTTGAACTGTTATTACATTAAAAAATTTAGTTGATAATGTTATCTAGGGTTCTAACTGGTTTTAATTAGCTTTGCTTTGTTCTAAACTTTGTACGAATAACAACTTTTTTTTGTTATGATATTGTAAACAACGCGTACACTCTCCGTCTAATAACTGCACCTCCCCAAAGTTAGTTTCAGGTGGAGAGTGTAATTATCACGCTCGGACACTCACGTTCGGGCACTTTGTATGGGAAACTGGTGCCACCTGGTGGGCCAGATTTTAGTTTCGCTAAAGTAAGTTCATTTGTCCATTTGGCTCTCACTCACACTAGTTCATGGCATCAGTAATCGTATTCGAATAAAAATATCGTTATTTGTTAAAAATATTCGGAAAATCGCGGAAAACTTGAGTGAAAATTATCACAATCTTTTCCTAACATTGCAAAGTGCCTTGATTACATAAATTTAATAGGAAAATTGAAGAATTTTGTGCCGAAATTGGAATACAAGAAATGCTGTTTGAATATTGAATATTACTCAGGTAACCATTGTTTATGTGTTGAGTACCATATACAGACCCAAAGTCAATACATGTCGGTTGGAATTTTATTTTTTCTGTTTCTCTTTTATTCTCCTTATTCAGTTTGTGTTTCTTAGTCGTTGGTTTAAGACGTTTAATGATTAAAGTTCTCGGCTAAGTTTCTGTTTAGGATTTGTTCTTGGAAAGTGTCACTTTCGACAGTTGATAAGAAAATCATTATCAAAGTAAAACGAATTAATCACATTTTCTTTAGATTTTAGAAGCTCTAAGCCAAAGATTAAATTAGCAAAAGAGAAAATCAGTGAGAAAAAAATTATAGTTTCATGTGATACTTTTTTGTTCGTGTTTATTAATTTGCTTTTTTTGAAAATAAGGGCAAACAAAAAAATAAATAAAAACCAAGAAAAAAGAAAAAAAACCGTAAAGAAAGAAGTAGATGTTGTGAAGTTTTTCATAAGAAAAATAAAAGTGAAAATTGTCGCTTATTTGGATTACAAATTTAGCGAAGAGAAATTAGTTGTTGCTACTCAGGTAAAAATAAATTCCGCAAAATATTCCATCAAACGCAATTCATTCAACGCTCTTTGTATCTTAATATGTTTGTGTTGTATTTATATTCCACGAACGATGTAAAATTAAATATTTGAGTTTTTTCATATCTGCGGTAGGAATGGATCAACAGGTTGTTCGTGGAACACACGATCGACAAAAGGAAATATTTTGATACTTGTTGGCGCGATGCTGCGCATTTTATATGTGCTTGTAATTTTTTTTCTTCCCTCTTGATAATTTTCTGATAAATATTCACATTCCAAAACGTCCAAATGAACCTTGAAGATCAGGAATCAATCTTCTCTCAAGATTACTTAATGTGACTTTAACAATTATTGAATGGAGTTGAAAATTGACGCCACATTTGACCCCGAGTAGAACGCGAAAAAAAAATTGTTTGTTGTTTGACTGAAACGTCTCAAAGTGAATTGTGCAATGGAACCCCAATAAGCTTTAGACAACATGGATATCTCTTTCACATCCCATTAATTTATTTCATTAATGTTGAACCCTTGAAAATATATTTTGAATATATGTTTCATTCTGTGGTAGAACTAGTAAACAGGTTTAATATTTGTGATTTTGGTCCATTGTGTTGATTGTTAGTTTTCAGTTTGAAGATGGAAAAAAATCAGTGTATGATTAGAGGCTTGCGATGGATGCGTTCGTGAAATTCAAGCACAAAATCTGACGATTCTGATAGTAAAGGTCATTTATGTCCTCTTTCAATGTTCATTCGGTCAGAAATCCAACAAACATTAAACACATTTTTTGCATTTTATTCGCGTATTGTTGCCGTCCACTCAATGGGTCAGGAACAAATATTTAAAAATAAAAGAATAACTTGGCTAACAAATCAGAAAGAGACGGATAGACATGACATTCGGGTCAGACTCTGTACATTTAAAGTCGAAGAAGAAGAGCAAATATTAAACGAGTTTTAGTGTTTTGCGAATTTGTTTGCCATCAACGGCTTTGTTAACATGTCGCTTAAAAATTGTCACTCGAAATGGAAATGAAATGATATGACGGTCTGTTGGTTGGTTGGTTGGTTGTATGAAATAAAGAACATTACAAGGTTGACGAAAAAGAGATTAAACAATAAATATCAATTTCGGTAAAATGAAATATTTCTCACAAGTTGATATTCGACATTTTTTACGTTTACATTAAAGCGCTTTCATGGTCAACGAGCAATGCACTTTTACGTTCAATGTCATTCTCGGTTGTGGCCTTAAAATTTTAGTTTTAAGGCACGTCGTCAAATGGAATGTCTCAGGCAGGATAATGCGATTATATGTCAAAGAATTTGTGGAATTATGAAAACCTAAAGAAGTTATTCTCACAGAAAACTTGTCTCCATTTCGCTTCTCTTCGGTTTCGTCCCGTCTTAATCACTTCGGTCGTAAAAAAAGAAAAACAAACGATGAATCTGACAATTTATGAAATTCCGAAGACAGGTAGAAAATGAAAATGTTTAGAGTCCCTCGATCAAATCCATGTAACTAACTTCTTTTCGTCTTACATTGCAACATCTTTCGTCTCACGTCATCATCACATGACGGTGAATACGAGTAAAAAAACAGATTTCAAAAGGTTGATGTAAGAAGACGGAGGAAAAAAAGAAAACTACCTTACAAATGAAGATAAAAAACCGCGTGGAATGAAGTAAGAAAAACAAAACCAAGTTGCTCCATGTACAGTTAGTTACACCATCATCATGTGTTTGCATTTTTAATTGAGAAAAAAAACTTTTTCTTTTGAGTTTGTTTGCCGATAGTCCGTCCGTTGGACTCTAAACGATTGAACAAATATTTAATAATTGCGTCACAATCTTAAAAGAGACTTAGAGCAACATAAACAACTGCAATATAATCTGAAAAAGAAGAAGAAAAAGTCGAAACGGTTGGAAATTTGACAAGACTAGAAATGGAAAGGAAATGAGCCATTAACCCCACGAAACGAGAGACATTCTAAACAGGTTGTCGGCCGATGTTTGTCTCTATCCCAAAGTGTTTTTCAGAAATATTTTGTTCGAGTTTGTTGTCTGATAAAAGTTATTTTTTTCTTTTATGCTTAAGATAAGATAAGAAGTGGAAGTGGGTCTCGATTCAATCTTTAAAAAAAGAAGTGCTTATCTATCCATAATAAAGAAAGTTTTATTCTAAGTAGGTTCTTGCTTAATGCTTCAAAGTTTATGCAATCACAATCTCGATTCGTTTCACATGAGGAATTTACAGTAAACATTAAAATATGTACAAATATCTGAGAAAAAAAAAAAGATTACGCGAAAACCATAAAGCGATAAAGAAATCGTTTTGAGGGTCAAATGTTGAAGTGAGTGGTAATGAGAAGCATTTGTGTAATTTCCATATTTAACGACGTTCTTATGATATAAATATGTATATCTGAAACCTGACGAAAGTTTCGCAAAGGAATGAAAAGAAAAGAGAGTCAAATATTTCTTTTCTCTTGTTTGTAAATTACCTTGGTGTATGAGTGACTTCTTGAATGTGTCGAGAAGTAAGTAAGCAAGCAATTTAGCAATTGAATCTACACCATCGCGAAATTTCTTCGTAGTGTTCGAGGATGAAAAAGAAAGACACGAGAAGTATAAGAAACAAAAAAAACCCAAGCTTCGCTCTTTTTAAACTGTAAATGGGCTTTAAAAAAAGAAAGAAGCCATTCAACTTTTCTTCTTTCGATATCAACTGCAGCAACAACACCAACAACAACAAAAGTCACATTCACATGGCTAATAAATGTGGCAACAGTGTGTTTGCCTATTTCTGTTCGCAAAATGAACGCAATTAGCGCTTTGATCTTTTTCTGAATATTTCTTATTGTATTCAAGAGAAATAGGAAGCAATATAAGAGGCTCAAGTGTGGGACCCGGTAAAATGAACATCTGGTAATATTCTCACTTAAAATTGAAACAAGGAAGATGCTTTTACTCTTCCATCATTACAAATTTCTGTGTCAGAAGCCTTCGTAATACTTGATTTATTTTATTGAACTCATTTCTTTTTAAATAGTAAACAAAACACGAAATATCATTAAGACCTGAAAGAAAAATTTGGTATTTGTTATTTGATAAAATTTAGCATTAAAATAATGAATGTCGGTTGAACTTTTACTAAAATTGTAAATTGTTTTTTAATTTAAAGAAATGTTTCTACTACTTCTCAGATGATCTCCAACTGCTCTGTGGTTTTCCGATAAAATTTCTTTTTTCCGTATTTTATTTTGATTGATTATGAATGAAAATCGAACTAGTGAAATGTCGATTTCTCAGAGAAACCAATTCAAAATGAAAGTATTAAAATATGCGCTACGCTCTTAGTCGTTTCCGCTCTAAATTCACATCTAAACTTTGATTGAATTGAATTAATATCAAAAGATATGTTTGAATGTTTTTGGAATTGTGTCGTTTAAATATCTTCAAGACAATTCAAACCATTCTAAAAACTTCACATTTTAAACTTGAGCTTATTGTGTTGAGGGACAGTCAGCAAGTAAGTAGAGAAATTCTCCAGACAATAGCTTTATTAAGAAACAAGAGCTTATCGCTGACGTTCTCACGAGTCATTTCTACTAATAATAAAGATTTTCCTCTCGACTCATTCGTAATTTATTTAATTTCATTTTAATGCTTCTTTTTGCTTTTTTGATTTGCCAGAACATTTTATTTTACATCCGCAAAGAATGTTTCTAGTGGAAAAGTGGCGACTAAAGCTAAATAAAAACATTCGTACATTACGTATCGCCTCCCGCTAATAATTCACTCACGATCTGCTTTTTATTTTTGTTCATGTTGTAGACATGGTTCAACGGTTAGTAAAATGCTTTCGATGGAATTTCGTCTTGTTTCTGCTCACTTTGGCTTGGGAAACTTTACGTGCTTTCTCATAGTAATCGCATGTGCTTTTTGATGGAAACTATGAGACATTAGCGAGTTTGGCAAAACAAGACGGAAACCAATTACTTTGTGATCATCAAAAGGGAATCATAATTTTCTAACGCCGAATTTTTGCTTCCCACAGTTATAATGTATAGAATTAAAGTCTCAAAGTTCATGGCTTTTATTGCGACATATAATTTCAATAAACAAAAGTTTATACAACCTAAAACATCTAATAAAAATCGATCAAACATTAAAATTCCCTTGAAACGCGTTCATCCGAAACCGAATCGAAATAAACACAAAAGGCAAAGCCAACCAACATGTATCGAGCCGCGACATTTCTTTAAAAGAACAACAAATGACACTTTACACCAAAACAAATTAACTTAACTCAAATTTCCTTCTTCATTTGTCACGACTTTATTCTGTTTCATACTTGGCCTCCCATTTTTGTATTGTTTTGACTTGACGCGACACCAACATCACCACGAAAACACTAATTTTATATTTCAATTAATGAATTTTTTCGGTTGGTGGGACCACATAAAGCCCGCAAGTTCAGCAAGTCCACGTTTGTGCCTTGTAGGACAAATAATTAACACTTGTTGCAACAATATTTAGTCGATATTTATTATCATTGATTAGAGCCAATACTAAAGTAAATATAAGGGAAAGCAATAAATAAAAGAAAAAGTGAAATGTAAGATTTCAACAGTGCAGATAAGAGGCACTGAGTGGCACTACATAGAAAAGGGGTTGGAAGCCCTCAACTGAAACGCTTCACTTCCTCTTCAGTTATATTATACGAATGCTTGAAATTAATTCAATTGAAATTGATTTCTGTAGCAAATTTAAACGATAATTGACGTTTCGCAATCATCTTCGTGAGTCGAATTGCTTTATATGCACAAGACAAAGCACGAGATCATTAAGATGAAGATGAAAATGTGATTAAAAGTTGTTCCAAAGAAACAAATGTTTTGTATTTTTAGAGTATGAAAAATAGCATAGAAGGTGCGGACTCGTTACGGATCATGAAAGTTACAACGGAAATCGAGCTAAATGTATTATAACAATGGGAAGGGGAAGAGTCTTAGCTAAAGTTCTCTTTTTTTAAAACAACTTTTCGTAAATGTATTTAGATAAAAAGTCTTTTTATTCGGGAACCAAACAATTGCCTTTTGTCTGAATTTTTTCTTTTTTTTAATTTAAAATGAAACATCGTAAAGATGTTTTTTGAGGATTTATTAATAAATTTTGCATTTCTGCAAGCGATAGTTATTTTTGCAACATTAATTTATGATGATCTTGGGATTATATGTTGATATATTATGATGTTATACAATCAAGACAATAAAAACGTGCTGTCAATGACCCTTGAAAAAAAATTTAATTGAATTTCATCAATCATAAGTTGAAAGGAGAAGTTTCATCATCAAAATTTCTTAAGAAAAGTGACAAAATGTTGAAAGATATTGAAGAAAGTTGCAAGTCATAAGAGACTTTTGGAGACAAAACATTTTCTCTCATGATGATGATGTTGTTGATTCTTCTCTACTTGAGACCCAGTTTCAGAAGCATTGTGCGATTACTTACTAAATGAAAAAAAACTGCTTCAAATCTTCAATGATCGTCGCTCTTTGTGGCTTTAAATTGAATTTGATGAATTGCATTTACACAGAAATGAAATCTTGCATGAAGAGAAAACTTTTCAATACGCTCTTGACAATGCAATTTATGTTGCAGTTGTGCAAAAACATATTTTGTTGATCATCTCAGATGGTTTTTATGAAACAATCGATGCAATGTTGTGTTTGTGTTAGAGTAAACGTCCAAAACTGTATCACTTGCACTTTCAACTTAGACGAGAATTTGCTTCAAGAAGAGTAAGAAAAAGAATGAAATCGTATGTAAGACACACGTCTTGTATTTACTTCTACTTCAAGCGCGCTTTTTTATTTTTCTGATTCTTCTTCTTGCTCTTGTTCTCAACAAACAATATTCACGATCATCATGCTGGCTTTTCTTCTTAGCCTTCCTTTCTCCTTCACATCTATTCATCTTCTTTTTTCTTCGGATCAACTCATGAAACCAGAAAACAGTTAAAGTTTTCTCGAGAACACAAATAAAATTGGTGAAAAGCGGCAACAATGGCTTAAAATGGAATTTTCAACGCTTCGCTACGATCGTTCGTTCGTTCGCTTTTGTTTTCACAACGATCTAACATTCCAAAATTCAATTTATTTCTGTATTCCAGTCATCATCGCTTTAAATCTCTCATTTGCATAAATTACAGTGACGGACTTTTACTAAATGATGACTTAATTTAAATTCTTTATTATTCGATGTGTGGAATGTTGACTGTCAAAGAATTTTTATTACCTTTCCTGAATGCTAAATACATAAATGGAAAGATCTTCCCAGTTGGAAACAGGTCACTCGTGGAAAGCTTCGAATTTACTTTTATTTTTTACTTTTCTTTTTCCATTTGGGAATCATTTCTGAGACGCTACAACCGACAACTTCAGTATGCTGCTAACGTTCTTAATACTTATTTGTTTGTCATTTTCTTAGAAAATTCCAAGTCGTGATTTTAATAAATAAGTCTTAAGAAAGAAGCAAAACAAATCTCATTCTTTTGTATAGTTATTTGAGTCACAAACGTGATGGCGGAGACGATTGTGCAGCATGTTTAGAAGGGATTTGCAGCCGATTTTATAAATAAATCTTCTTAACACGACAGAACGGAAGTAGTTTCGTATAAGCATTTTAATTTATTTCATAAAGCAGCTTCAAAGTGAGACATTCTCACACATTCAAATGAAATGAACTCATCAAAATGAAGATCAATGAAATGATTTCGCAAACTTTTGAAAATCAAATTCAATTGGGGAAACTTTTTTTTTATTTTTCAATCCAATTGACCCGATTTCTTTGTGACACTGGTTGTTGTTGAAGTCAATTAATTCAATCTCTCGATTGATAAAAAAGAAAATTAATTCAATTTCCGTTCTTGCAATGATAAATAAATTAATCGCATGTTGTTCTCGAAGTGATTGAATGCAGCCACGCGATCATCTTTTTTCCATTTTTTGCTGTCGTGGAGGGCGTATTATTCAGTGTCGATAAACAATATCTCAGTTCTGCTTATCTCGTAAGATAAATTGTTTTCTCGACGGGAAAACAGCATCAATTAAATGTAGTAATTGCGTTTTAATTTTTTGAATTTTCTTTGGGTCAAATGTTGAGTAAAAATAGGAAGTGCAAGGGGCAATTAAATCAGATATTTTTAATTAACACAGTCTTACTCGCTCCCTATCACTTTAACACAAGTTCATTCATTTAATTAATCAATATGATCACGCACGTCGTGTCAAAAGAATGAAACTATGGCCTAAAAAGATAATTTCTCCATTTCTCCATACCAAATGTTTGTTGACGATGTCAAAATATCTCCACTCCGATACTTTGTGTTAAGTAAACAATAAGCGTTGTGGAAAGATTGTGATGGATTCCAATTGCGATAAGTTAGTATGAATACGTGAACAGTATTTGAAGGAATGTTGCTCGTTATGTTTGTGTCAGACACTCCCTTTGAAGAGATACTTGAATTGTTTACAGTTTGATTATTCGGTTGTTCTCAAATTATGTGACGTTATAGAATTAAAATGCTTGAAGTGCGATGATCATATCAACGTGCACGACAATAGCTTCTTCTTTTTTTCTTAACTTCTCTTTGTTTCGTGCTTTAACAATGAATAAAAAAATACACAATACGTCGAGAATTTAATAGCAGTAGAAAATCTTTGTGAATCTGAAGCTGAAACATTTAAAGAAATCTCCTTTGATTATCTCTGCTCTGATATCATCCATAACTAGTTTAATGCATGAAACAGAAACCACATTTATCTAATGAAAACTCATTTTACTTCTTGTGCCAGTTCTCAGTTTGTAATCTTTTGTGAACTGAAAAGTTCTTCAAATAACTTTGTTTAGTCTTAAAGTGAAGCAAATTTGTAATGTGCGCATCACGATATGTAAATTAAAGTAAGAATAATAGTTTAACAAGAAAAGCAAAGCACTGACAACCATGTACATTGTTTCCGACTTAGATTGATGGAATGTTAGATTTTTGTGCAAGTAAACATCATAGAATTTCGTTCCATATCGACGATTTACAACTTCTTGTCTTTGATACCAATGAAAGGAACGAAATTTGCCTCATCTTGACTTATTTGTTGACATCGTAAATTATAATCGCAACCTGACATTTGATTTTAATGATAATCATTTTATATTACACAAAATATAGATTAGAATTCAACTAGGGATGTTCATAGTTAAAAAGTCACATAAATAAGTCGTCATGGAGATCATTGACTGTAGTTGTTTCTTTCAAAAACTTTTTGAAGTTCTCGAAATGGAAAGACAGCGAAATAATGATTGATTTACTTCCTCCATTCGAAAAGTTATCAGAAAACGATCGAAAAAAAAACACGACGAACAATTAAAGTTTTTTTGAGTCTGCGTACGGAAATTGTTGTCAAAATTACGAAAATTTAAAACAAGCGACGTCATTCGTCCAAATACCTAAAACCACAAGTTATTGCTTTTGTTTTATGTTTATAAGTTCGACTGTTGAAGGGAACTTATTTATTGATCAAACGCATTTAAATAAAAAGAAAACAAATCACTCACAAGTCGACATTTGATATTTGATTCACGTAAAATTTGTGCTCAACGTTGTTAGAAACGATAAAAAAGAAAAAGTTCTTGAAGGGGGAATGTTTACAACGTTCCTTGATCCTCCTAAATAGTCGTTGAACAAAAACGGATCATTCATTCATAAAAAACGAAGAAATAAAAGTGAAGTATTGTTTAACTCATGAAAAGAATAATTTGAGATGAAAAGAAAAGAATTTACTTAATGAATAACATTTTTCGCTTGTTTTTACTTACCACCACTTTAAATAAAAGTTTTTCTTTTGCATTGTTAACTCAAACTCTGTCAGAAGAACAACAATCAAACGAGAGTGAAATCGGAAACCACAGCAAGCAGAGAGGAGCGCCTTGATCTCCATTCATCTTTTCGATGAGGGTCTCTCATCGGAATCGTTTTCCGTGTGCCTTTCATTTGAGTGAGAAACTTATAAAAAACCCGTGAGATTTATGTGGAATTGCTTCGTTCGTGCCTTCTTCCCTAACTGTGCGGTTGTTGTTTGCCTTCAATAATGAGTCGTCATTGTTAGCCAACAACTTGTTCACCATTAGTTGCATTTCTGTGTTAAACATAATAGTAATAAATGTTTTTAATTACGTTTGAGTTGTTAACACACTGGTTTCCACTCAAGTCTTATGAGAAGTTTCGTTGTTTGATGCTCGATGGGGGATGGGTAGAACTTGTTTCATATGTCACGTTCACGTATTTTGTGTCCTATATTTTTATATGTATCCAGTTACCGTGCTAAAGTTTATGGAATTTTGTTTATATCTTTGATTCTATTTAATCGCATTGTATCCATGTATCATTTTTCTTTTCTTTTGTTTTTACATTTTGCGGCTTTTTTTCTTTTTGAGGAAATGAGGCTTTGGTGGTCAGATATTTAATCGTTTGCTTGTTGTGTCATAACAAAGCTTAGATAATTTACAAAGAGAATCTTGAGTGAAGCAATAATTTTCGTATCCGTTAACTTCGCTATTTGAAATTAAAAATGAAAACTTTCCAAGAATGTTTAAAACCAAAATGTCAGCAATTATTGTGGCATTCAAGTGTTTCATACAATGAGACAATTCTGACAAAAATGTGAGTGACAAGAAGCATTCTTGATAGAATGAAGAACTTGCTTGGGAAACTCGAAATTTGATACGATTTGGAGCTACAACAATAAGTAATTGTACATGAATATTTGAGCTAGCTAATGCCCAAATGTTGTTGCGGTTATTACACTCGCCGATGATCGTGAAAAGAGTGATGATGATTGTGATAATTTAAAATTAATTCTGCCAATCAACGATTCTTTCAGAAGTCTTCGTCATCGATTTCGCGTGATTCATTTTAAAATTATTTACAAACTAAAGTAATTCAAAGAAACGTGACGAGTTGGAAGAAGTTAATAAACATTTTGATTTTTATACTCGTTGGCAATATTACAATTAGCCGTAATTGTAAAAATGTTTTCTATGTCAAATTAATTCAGTTAAGGGATTCAAGACAAGCAGAGTATTTGTGTCAAAGCGATGGAATTAACAATCAGTGTCACATTAAATTTATGAATCCTCGATTTTCATCAATAAAATTCTTAAGTTATTTAACAAAACTTGCATTCTTGCATGTAGATATTTAGCATGTTAGCGCAACCACATGAGCAAATTTATTTATCAATATTTTTCATTTGTTAACAACATCACATAGAAAAAAATCTTAAATGTGCATTTAATTTTTCACGTTTTGTTGTTAATTTAGCGCAAATCATGAAACTTGTTATTCAATTTGGCATTCCATTGTCACATAAACAGCAGTAACTGAGACTGACATGAGCAAATTGAATTCTATTTGATATGAAGATCGACAATTCACATAACAATGGTGAAACACGACGTCGAAAACATTATAAATTTTAGTTTAATTGCATTTGTCGCTTTGACAATGGGATGGAAAAAAAGAGAAATAAAAATGACCAAATGTACGTTGGAAACTTAATAAACGAAATTCGCAGACATGTGTTCAATAAATGTTCTGAAATATTGCAAAAATGTGCTTATTAAATATTATGGCCAGTTTATGTTGTTAAGGGGAAGGAATTCATCATAATTATTTACTTTTGTGGTGACCATCGATATGGAAATGAACATTACTTGTTACTTGCTTGATACAGAAGAATGCACTCATACGTAGTTATTGTTATAAATTATGTACGTTTAAAAGGGAGACTCGTTCCATCGAGATCACATGAATATTTATTAAGAATTTATGAAATTTGAGAGAAAAATTTCGTAAACATTCGATTGTTATTGTAGGAATTCACGCGCTGTTACAATTTTGACTGTAAAACGTTTTTCAATACATGCCTCGTTAAATGAATGTCCAATCGATTCTACCTTTTTCAAACTATTATAATATTTATCAGTTTGCATTTTTGTGACTTAAACTTCGGGTGGGTCTCGTTGTGTAACAAAAGCATCCCTTGATTGACATGTTGTTGCATTCAGTAGGGAGATAAATAACAAAAGATGTTGCTAGGAAAACTAAAGTAACATCATCGTCGTCGTCTTGATAAATAATAATAGAAATGGTAACAAAAGCAGGAAAAGAAGAAATTTCTTTTATTTCCTAAAGGGACGAGATTGAAAGAAAAAAAAGTAGTTTTATTAGGAAGTTAGTTATGTTTATGGATTTTATCTCAATCTCAAGACGCTCATGACTAGGACTACATAAATTCCGGTCTGATTTCTATTACGATGTTGGCACTTTCATTGATGATGTTTTATGGTACGAGTCAGTTAAGAATTGATGAGAAGTGAAAGACTTTCTCTGAATGAAGAAAGAATGATTTCTTTGAATTGACGATAGGTTTGTGACGGTAATAAATTAAATAAGTAATGTTTTTTTTTTGCAAAAGAAATCTTCTAAAGATAGCTTTCAAAGAAATTTAATGCAAAGACCAATAACAAGCATGAGGGTTGGGAGTTCACTGAGTTGGAAAATTCTTTAATGAATACATGCGAGCAGTGAATAAAAGCAGTAATGCTTCATAATTTGATTATGAATGAATTATTGACCATTGAAAATTTGATGGGATTCGGTCTGTGTGATTTTTACTGTTTCCTTACTTGCTTTAAATAGCAAAAATTCTTAAGATGTTTTTAAGCACCAAACCAGATTGCCCATCAACGTTTATTTTTAGATTCCATATTTTGATGGTTTTTTTTTCTTCTTGTTGTTTGTTTTTCTTTCACACGAACTTCGTTTTTATTTTCGCAGCGTGATTATGAACGGCGATTGTGATGAGCGAAGAATTTCCTTGAACTTTATTTATGATTTTTTGAAGGTTGATTGCCAGCAACATTAAATATTAAAATTTTTAAATTCTTTTGTCAAGGGCATATTATTATTTAACTATGCATGTTATGGAAGTGGTTTGGTTCAGTTTCCTTTAAGATGAGATTAAAACTTTCTTCTTCCTTTCCCGCCTTTTTTTTTGTCATAATTTCACATATCTCAGCTGACGCAATTAAAAAGAAATAAAAAGTAGGAAGCAGCAGACTGTGACCTTGAGGGCATAGGAATTTTTGACAAAAGAAATCACAATCCATTCAAAGGATTACATATTGAAATCCTTAATAAAAACAAACATATTTTTGCTGAGATTTTAGTTTTTATCTTGACGAACCATGTGACATGTTTTTTCTTCCGTAACATTCTTATACATGTAATGTGTCGAATGATTGATGGGATTATGACGGAATGATGACATGGAAAAGGGGTGAAGAGAAAAATATTTTTAATTTATTTTGTTTTTCTTGTTTCCTTTCAGATCTATCAAACCAACAACACCACAACATAAATGACAATGTCACTGAACGAGAAACGAATGCTGGATCGCGAAGCTTTACGATCAGTGATCCAGCAATGGAATGCTAATCGTTTGGATCTTTTTGAATTGTCAGAGCCTAATGAAAATCTTGAATTTCATGGCGTCATGCGATTTTATTTCCAAGATGTTGGACAAAAAGTCGCCACTAAATGTATTCGTGTGGCGAGTGACGCAACAGTTGCTGATGTTATTGAGACATTAATCGAGAAATTCCGTCCCGATATGCGAATGTTATCCGTCCCAAATTATGCACTCTATGAAGTGCATGCCAACGGCGAGGAGAGAAAATTGAATCCTGATGAGAAGCCTTTATTAGTGCAACTAAATTGGCATGTTGATGATCGTGAAGGAAGATTTTTACTCAAAGATCTTGATCAAAAGCCAACGGTAAGTGAAACTGTCAATGATGTTGATGTCGTTTTTCATTCTTTCCTTTGTTTTCTTTTCTTACAGACGTTAGACAACAACACAGACACTAATTTCAAGCGAAAACTATCGAAACGTGAAAAGAAAGAACAGAAAAAGAAAGAGAAACTGCAGAAGCTTAATCCCAATGGTGAAGATTCAGAAAATCATGTAGCCGAAAAGCTTTATACCGGTAAAATGTTTATTTGTCTTTATTCGTTGCTGTTAGTTGCACAAAGCACAATGCATTAATTTTAGAACTTCCTGAGACATCATTCACACGCTCCATCTCAAATCCTGAAGCAGTTATGCGTCGTCGACGTCAACAAAAGTTGGAAAAGAAATTGCAACAATTTCGAGCGAGAGACGGGGGACCTGACACTGGTGGAACGTTGAAAATTTATGGAGAGAGTCTTTGCCGTGATGTGCCTTATAAAACACTTTTATTGTCAATTCGTGATTGCGCCCAAGCTGTTGTTAGGGAAATGTTGGCAAAGTACGGTATGGATAAAGCTGATCCATTGCATTATTGTCTTGTGCAGGTAAGAAGTCTTTCCTTAATGTGACTAACTGATGTCTGACACTAATGAGAATTTTATGGCTCATACAGGTCAACAGTGATGGCTCTGAGTATATTCTTGATGATGATGAGTGTCCATTATCCATTCTTATGAATCATCCAACTTCACGTGGTGAGTAATATAAAAAAAAAGACAAATGATGATTTACATAATTTCGTGAATTTAACAAAATTTTGTTAAAGCATAGAAACAGTTTTGAAATCTTTGCATTTGTAAGAAACATTGGCGAAAAGTTTGAGAATCTCAGACTTAAATGAACAAATATTTATCGCCATCTATCGGCCGGTTTAATTATTAGAGATAACTTTGCTTAATAATAGGAATTATTTATGAAAAGACTACTCATGTTTCCATTCGATGAAGCATTAATATTTTATTAAGAGCGGTTGTAGCTTTTTCTTTTTTGGTTTTTAATTAACGATTTCAATTTTCCTTTTTCTTCAACTGAAAATCAATAAACTTATCTATTTTTATCCGTTTTCAATATTTTCCTGATAAAATGATAAATCAAATATTTTTATTGAGATTATTTTAAAACTCTAGTCATTAAATTTAATAGACTTCATTTTTATTATTCTATTTGTTATAAACAATCGGTAGTCTGTGTCGCAATTAAACGTAAGACTCCGAGACCACGCGAATGGAAATATATAAACAAACACGAGACATTTTTCTCAATTCTCTTGATGAATCGACTTTCTTTATCAAAATGTGATTGAGGAAACACATTTTGCTTCTGTGAGAATGCAGTTTTCCGAACATTTTTTCTCAATTCCATCTTTTCTCTCTTTCTCTTGGTTGTCCGCTCACGAATTGTCGAGAAAATCATCTGGCAACGATGTCGGCAGTAAAAGAAGCAAGCACACGATGTGAAGGAAAAACAATGAAAAACATTTTCTCTGCTTCGATTGTAAATATTCAGTTTCAGTGATTACTTGCTTGTCGAACGGATGTGTACGATGGAATCTCGCGGCACCATCGTCACATCATTATCAGAAAAGTGTTTTAAATTATGAGATAAAAAAAACAAAACAAAAAATTATCGTATAGTGAAAATTTATAGAAAAAGTTTACGCTTATAGATCGTTGATTTTTCCTTTAAGCCGCTCTTCGCGGGATTTTTTTCTTACTTATATTGTTTGATGTTTGTATAAGTTTTTTAATCTTGTCTTGTTGCTTGATGAATTCATGTAACTTGAGCAGAAAGAAATCCAAAGAGGAAATTAAGTGGTGCTCAGCGTGAAACTCTATATTGTGGTGTAATGAGAAAAATATTCGCTTCTCTTTTCTTGTTCCATCACTTCAAAAGACAAATAACAATTGATTCGTACACGTTTGGAGAGCTTTTCCTCTACCCTCACATCTCCTTAGCTAAAAGAAAAGTTTGTCAATAAATAAATATAAAAGAGGGGATATTAAGATAGAGATCGTTATAAAGTGGTTCAATTAGAAGCAACAGAAGTTAACGTTGGATAAATGCGCAATAGCCTCACGTGAATAGCTTTGAATTAACCACCACAGCGATACTTTTAAATTATTGACACTATCATATTTAGACATAAAAAATAGAAGCAATTTCTTTTTTCGAAATTAAACGAGTCATCGTTTACGATAATCGATGATGATAATAATGGAAATATCTTGCTCATCGTGTGTCGATGTCTCATTCAATACATCAATGTGCCCTTTTTCTATTTGCGATTCCCTTTGAAATGATACCAAAAAGCTGAATTTGGGTCGTTCGTTTAATTTCATTAAGTCTCTAGATAGTAAAGCACAGGAGAATTGGAAATTGTTGTGAGTTTATTGATCAAAGAAGAATAGAACAGAAGAAAATAACATTCTTCATTTCGTGATGAACTCAACAATTCTTTTTCATGGTGGATTTTAAGTCTGTTGTTCACAGACATCTAAATACTCAGCTATCATAAATCTCTGTTCTTTTAAAGTTTTCTCATTTAAAAAAGTAACGAGCGCCACCAGTTCGTGATGTTATTAACAGTTTAGCTACTGTAGGAAAATTTGCTTCCCTTAAACTTCCTTTAAATGTCCGTCCGAATACCGTAAAACAGTAAAAAGTTTATCTCCGTAACACAACAGGACATCACTGAAAGTAAACGAATGGAGGCAAGATAGGAGAGTAGAAAGAGACGGCGGTGTGACAGTGATTATTAATTGAATCTTCCGAGACACGAAAAAAAAGTTTTCATTAGTTTCCTAAAGTGTCTCACACTGTAACGTCAAATTGACTTGGACAGCTACTTACTTTGCACAAAATTGCTTTCCCAGCTTTCCTCTTTCACTTTAATGCTTTTAATGCTGTTTTTCTCTTCTTGCTTATTTACGCAGAAAATTTAGCGCTAATAAATTACTTCATCGGACATCGCGAGAGAAGTGGGTAGCGAATGGAAATTTTCTCACTTTCTTTTTCGGCAGGCGGGCAATAAATATTTATAGTTCGCTGAATAATTGTATAATCAAATTCTGAAAAATGTAAATGAGAGCTTCCGAAGCTTGCGTAATGAGCTGCGAATTGAATGAAAAAGATTGTTGATGAAAAGAAGCAAAGAATGAATAAGTTTCTCTGCTAGAATGAAGACGATTCTGTTGTAAAGAATTTAAAAAAAGAAAACCGAGAAACAAGAATTCAACCAAATCATTAGTCATTCGAGTGTACGTTATTTCGTCTTTCAAATGCTCAGTGCCACTTTAGGGATTCAAAGGATTTCTTTTACGATTTGCTTCTCGAAACACGAGAATCTCATCTCTTGATTTTATTTTTCCTTGCAGTTTCCTTCTTACATTTCATTTTTCTTTTCTTTCGCGTAATTTGCATTCGTAAATAAAACGACGAATAATCTTGTTCAACAAGCAGAAGTGAAAACGAACAATTTCCATAATGATGGATTGGGGAATTCGACGTAAGTTCAAAGCTGGAAGGTTTTTCCTTGTCGTTATTCATTTGTCATATTTATTGTTGTACTAAACTGTTTCCTTTTTCCCCTTTCCTTTTAATAAAGCACCACAGCAAAAAAGTTCGTTGATTTTTTCAACCTTTCCCCGTTCCCTTATCATGACCTAAAAATTATTATTTATTTTGTTATTGTATCTTATTAAAAAAGGACAATAATTTATAAGTTGAAATTCGACCGAAAATCAATCTCAATTCCATTTATTATTGCTAGCTTTAAAGGACATACTGGAAAGAATCTCTGAATGAAGAATCGATGATCGCGTGTTATTTCAATGAGATTTCTATCAAAACTTCTTTAACTAATTTAAAAGTGAGCATTCAAAGTTGTTCAATTGAGTATTCTCTCTAATTTGACATTTAAACATTCTTCTTGTACAAAAAAAGTAAAATTACCAAATTAAGTCTTTTCAGAAGAGGAAGAAAAAACTTTCCTTAATTAACTCTTCGAATCGATTCAATGATTCTTTTTTATTAATAATTAATTTGTGACATTTCCCATGAAAATCAAGTTTTTGGAAATGTCACAAATTTATTTAAAAAAAAAAAGAACTTAAAAAATAAACTTTCAATTATGTTTGCTTTTATTCTTTCTTCTAACACGGTTACACATGTCATTATCACAAATTGTGCCATATGCTAAGTGAGAAATGCTGAACACCTTAAAATGGAATTAATTTTGCATGTGTTGTGGTCTTAATACTCATTTCATGTCTCAATGCTTCCATAAAAAGCTTATCATTATCTTAACTTCACTTCGATATACCAACAAAAACATTAGAAAAAAAGTGGAAAACAAAATGAAAATAAAAAGCACAAAAAAATAAAGGTTCGCAAAGTGTAACATAATCATTTTTCGACGGTTGCCGTTTAGTCATTAGCTTTTTCATGTCCCTTGATGGTGGAATTAATTATCATTTGTTTTTTCCTTTTTTTCATTTTTGGGCATCTCTTTCTCCCATTTTGATCTTGACTGTTGAGAACATCTTTGTGTCATCATCACACAATTGTTGACTTGACATTATTCACACTCTCGTCGCTTTAGGGTCTAGTAGCGTATTCTTTTCTATCAGCAAGGGAGAAGAATGAAAATGAATGACTCAATTAATTTTGTAAGCTCACGATCGATAAACATTCCATCAGTAAACGCGTGCGAGAGAGACACAATAGATTGAGTAAAGAAAAATGAGAAAATATTTTGTCCTCATGCATTTATATTTTATTTAAAAGTAATAGTTTTTTATTACTTTCTCCGCCCACGACTTTAGTTCGCTCTCTCGTGCTTTCTTATAGTTTATTTCATTCATTTTATTTATCAATGACACCATGTGAAAGAATAACATGAAAGAAATGTGAATGTACCATCTGCCACTGAAATTCTATTGTTTTCTTTCATCACTGATATTATTATGAACACATATAGCTTCATTATTTTAAGGATGGAAACAGAAGAAGCGAAAGGATGAGTAGCGATTGCTGAGAATTCATTTTGAAAGGAGTGAGTGGCAATATTTAGTAGAAGAAAGCTTCGTTCTGTTCGTGCTCATTCTCACATTTCCTTTGTTTGTGTCAAGCACAACTTTTTGTGTCGCGCATTTCGTTTATTTGCTGGTAGTTTGCTTGCCGAAGGATAAGAAAACAAAGCGAAACGCGAGCAACACTACTTGAAAAGTGAGAAATCGCTGCGAGCTTTCAATCGCAACGTGCTATACGCGCCTCATTGCTTTTTCTAGTTTTAAAGGAACAACAAGCATTTCTCAAAGTGATTTTATTCATCCTTAAAGGTGTGAAAGAAATTGAATGTTTGTGATCGTTTCACAATTTTATTTTAAATATTTTCTGAACATTTCAATCAAGCAAGGAAGTAGAAATAAAAGTTTAAATTGTTTTCGAAAAAGTCATTAATTCAAACCTTGAATGATTGAATTATGAAAGTTAAAGTTTTCTCATTGCAAGCAGGAACTTTCATCACTACGAGATGTGTTCTGCATAAAAACTTTTACGGATTATTTTGCATTCTAATATGAATTGAATAAAAGTGATGAGAAAATCATAACTCGTCCTCTCTGCACCCGCAAGATTTCTTGGTAAATTTTTCATTCGCTGTGTTCTAATTTATTTTAGTTTATGAAGGTTTTTCAAGGATGGAAAATTGTGTAGAAGAAGTTTTGTAATATAAACAAAATAATAAAAAAATATTCTGACAAGAAAAGCTTGTCTTCATTCTTTCTTTTTATAGTTTGAAAGTCTTTAAAAACAAATTCTGAAAGTTGTTTTCGTTTGAAAATTAATACATAAATAAATGCAAAGGGTATTTTGAGATAACCTTCGTGTGATAACAATTTAAGTGAATTAATGTGCATGTGAAAGGTAAATGTTCTTCTGTAATTAATTTATTTGTTTAATTTACTGGTAAACGAACCAATTTTTCTAAGAAAATTTATTTCTATTTATCAGGTTCTGGAATTACTTTTCATTTCAATTCCAAAACGAATTCATTTCTTAAATGAATTTCAATTTTTTTCCAAGCTCTGATTTCTATTCGCCTTTTCTTATCAAGATTATTTTGTAAATGGGATACTTATCTATCGTATCAAATGATTATTCTCATTAGTTTTCATTTAAGTTGATAATAATTCGTTTTCCATTTAATTGACACTAACCAGACATTGGCAGCGTAATAAAATTCTCTGCCAGACCGTTCGGTCCATCTGCTATTGATGAATGAATCATCGATAGATAAAGAGAAATAGAAATTATACAAATAGAAACTAGAATCGATCGATAACAGTTTCAATTCTCCTTATCACATTAATTTGTGTACACAGTTTCGTCAAACTGGCAAAATATTGGCGCCAACAAAACAAGAACCAAAAAATTGCGATTTACGTGCCAATGTGTGAGAAAAGGAAAACAAAAGCATGAAACAATTCATCAAATCATTCGACTGAAATATACGATTGTACGGTACAAAACATAAAAAAGACACACAAAACGTAAAATAAATGAAACAGAAAATGAAAATCGATAACATTTCTTTGACGGCACGAGCTTGTAGCCAGAAGGGAGTATTGAAAACTGAAGAGTGAAGTGTACAAGTTGAATAATGCATTTTAATCAGTTTACGGTTGTGATGACATATAATATACATAATATACACAGGAATAAATGGCAATAAAGAATTATAGCAAAGCATCAAATATTCTGTGATTTAAAAACGAAAAGTCAAAACCATAAAACATACTCATGAGTATCATAAAAAGCTCATAAAACACTGTCAGAAGCTTTTAATCTTCCCTTGATTCAAGATGTAAAGCGACAGTAGGAGCGAGTAAGCGAAAAAGTAAGCAGATTTTCAATTCACCAGATGCTGGTTCATCCATGATTGTTTTTAATTCGAAATAAAAGTTTATGGTTGACAATCAACTGAGCAATAATCTTGAATAATTTAAACATTTTTCCTTCTGGGAAATAATTTCTTAGGTTAACTTCAGGGAATTTTATTAAATCATATAAACCATCTGATATGTTCGTGACGGCATTAAAATTATCTTTGACATCATCATCATCATCATTCTTGTCTTCTCTGAATATCAAGTGAAGCATGACAGTATCAATAATTTCCCACACCCTCATAACTTTCCCCAATTTCATTTTGTCTCTAATTACGTCACAGAGAATTTCCATTATAGGCCATCTGTGCTTTCCCTCATTGCGTGTTGCTTCAACTGCGAGAGTCTCTCCAGTCATCCAGTCACTCAGTCGTGCTTAAATTGTTCAATAATCTCTTCTTTTTTTTATGGACATAAGCCGAAGACAAATCGATAATGAAGAAAGAAAAGCAAAAGCCGGCCACAACATCATCCATGTTGTGTCTCATTTTTCCTGATGACTTGAGACAACACGCACAACGTCAATTTTTTTTAAACACGTTTTGATTTTCGCTTTTAAAAAATTCATGCTTTGGCCATAAAAAAGTTTTCTAATAAAAAATTTAATCTGCTGTTATGCGTGTAGCTAACAGACATTCTTTACGCTTCACAACTTTTTTGTATCGCTTTGATTGCCTCATAACTTATTTGTTATTGCAATAATGAAAAGCTTCATTGAATGTCGGAAGAAATTAAGAGAAAGAAAAATAAATAAATATTTGATGGCGATCATCCCTGTGTAGCTTTTCTATAACTAAGGTTTAAATTTTTTGATAAATATTTAACTCGTGATCTTTGAAACGAAATGAATTTATTTCAAATGAGAAATCGATTTTCATCTAAAATTATTGATGAGATTTTTTCTCTGAATTTATGTCGCCTCATTCTCAAATCAGTCAAGAGTAATAACACGACCTAGATAATTGAGTTATTCGCTAATAATCTATTTTTCCTTCTTCTTTCTTCATTCAGGATCCATAATGTTCCACGTCCGTCGACGACCAGCGGCCGACACATCACAACCAAGACGACGAAAGAAAAAACCACTTGGGATCAGCAATGGAAGTGGAAACATGTCAGCAGAACGTGAGGGACCTGTGCTTATTGAAATAACACATTCTGGCGATGGTGGACGAAGATTAAAGTTGACAACCGAACCAGTAGAAGTTGGGTCTGCAAACACAAATGCATTACAACTCTTCGGGCCATCGATTCAACCTCGTCATTGTCTGATATCATTACATGAAGGAGTTTGTACTGTTACACCTTTACATGCTGATGGGTTGACCTTTGTCAATGGACATCACATCACGCAACCGACAATTCTCCATGTAAGTTCCATTTTGATTCAGACGTGACCTATTTCAGTCACATATCGTCATGCCAATGCATTTTAATGAAATCATTGAACTGAAAAGTGAAAACTCATTCACACATGTTCTTAGAAATCATTTTCCTGTTTTTCCTACTTAAGTAAACACAAAAAGAAGAAAAATTTTCTTTTTATTCTTCTGTTGATCATCGCACGATTCTCATGTTGTTTATAAGATTGTGATTTAAATGTTATTTTTATTTATTTATAGAATGGATCTGTGGTGATGTTTGGACGTGCAGCATCTTATCGTTTTGTCGATGTACCATCAGATGGACGGTACAATTTGGCACTGTCACAATCCCAACTCGATTCTGCTTATCTCTATGAAAAGTAAGTTTATTTCTCGATCACTTTTATTTGATTTTTTGTGGCTTTGTCCGACACAGTTGTCTGCTTTTTGTAAGATATTTATTTATCATTTTATTGCCGGTTCCTTTTCTCACCATCAAGATAAATGTCGTAACTTTTTGACCTTTTATTTTTATTGTAAATATCATTTTAATATGAAAATATTAAATATTGCCAACGATTTTTCGTATCCATATCCATTTCCGCTGTCGATCTCATTCTCTCTGGGAGGCATCAAGGCAACCCCTCAGGGTGCAATCACAATATTATAGACAAGAGAATGGAAAGAAAATTCACACATGATATCATAAAATATTGATTGCCTTTGTTAGGTGGTGGAAAAGTTTTTTTTTATTGATGAACGGACAAGTTTCTCTTGGGAAATTTCACTTGCGTTCATGATATTTGAAGTTTTTTTAAACTTGTCAATTTTTTCTGACATCAAAATGAAAGCGAGGGAAAGAAAAGAAAATTCTGAAGAAAATGCTTTGCTTCTCGTCATTGCATAATAGCAAGCACAAAATAAGCTACTTACTCACATTCTTGTCAAGCTACTTGAATGTTGTTTTCATCCAATTTCCTTCCTTATTTTGTTTCTCACTTCACCATTTCAAACCATATTCAAACATAACACGCCTTAATCCAATTTCACTCTTACACATAAGAAATCCAATCGCTTATCACTCTCGCGACGCACCCTTAAATGTCACTGACAAGTATTTTGTGCGGATGGGTGGTCGACAATGAATTTTATTCAATGCCAAAAGAATTTTTATGAGATTGATGGAAAAGAAGTTAAAGAGATGAACAAAATCACTTTAACATTATGAAGAAGGAAATGATGCAAAGTGAAAATGAAGAAGAATTTTGCCGCTGCCACAATATCATCCATCAAGTTTTCTCATGTCGCTTCATAAATTTTTTACTCGCACAAAAAAGAAAAATAAGGAATAAAGCTTTGGCTTTAAATTTTAATGTCGATATTCATAATTTTTATATGTTTTTATTTATTATTGTTTTCCTTTTATCATAACATCATTTAACTCCCACACTTCATCCTTTCCTTAAAATCACTTCCCTCATAAATGTATTTGTACATACATAAATTCACAATCCACCCACGAACCCTGTTCAGTCGTTCATCAACGAATCCACCTTCTTGGCATGAAGAAGAAGATGCAAGCATTGCAAGCTCAAGTTACTCTAAAAAGCAACACCAGCAAGCTTTCCCACAACAACAGCAGAAGCAATTGCAATTAGCACAACCTCCACAATTGTCACATCTTCAGCAACAACAACAGCAAAAGAACGCATTGACACAATCCCAACATAGTCCAGGAAGTAATGAATTGAAGACGACAACAAATCAACAACCATCTGATGACAAATCGTTATTTGAAAATGATAGCGGAAATATGGAAAATGAAACGAAATCTGTGTCGAGTATGCGGAGCCAAGACAGGTACACGTACATGAAAACATATCAACTCAATTTCACCTCCCTACAAAACTTTCATTCGTTTGCTTGTTTGTTTGTTTAATCAATCACCTCATGGCTGTTTGGTGTCGCATTTGAATATCGTGTTGTCAAAATTTAGATTTTATTTTTATTTATTTCTCTTTACTTTTTTTATTGTCACCGAAATAGAATGAAAAGCTAAAAGTTTTTGTCTCTTCAACAGCCGCCCGCAATCGTTTGCAAAGCCACCTGCGGGAATGTCGGCGACACCGACAATGGAACCGCAAGGTCAAGAAGCAATTTTGCCAGCCGTCCTTGAGTTTCCCGAACATCATCAGGAGCAGTTCTTGAAGCAAGTTATCAGTGAGTTGGACGTAAACTCACCCAACTTTAAGCTTGCACCCGTCTACACGCTTTATTTATGTGCCAGATATCGTGCTTCCACTCATTACCGTCCCGATTTGCAACCAACTGAAAGAGCCCATAAGCTGACGGTTTTCTTACATCATGTTGCCAATCTCATTCACAATGTGATTCAAGAGAAGTACAATGACCCGAAGATTCTCTCATTTTGGATGGCAAACAGCAGCGAATTTCTTCATTTTCTGAAATCTGATCGTCACATTTCCGCATTCAGCGTTCAAGCTCAAGAAGTTCTCGCTGAATGTGTACAAACAGCTTTTCAAAATCTTGTGTCAATTTTCCATTCGGAATTATCACAAACATTGAATCAATTTTTATCTGAAAATATCGACCATGATTCAGCTGCTGGTTTAGTGCTTTCAGTTTTGGGATCAGCGATGGCACTCTTAAGACGATGTCGTGTCAATGCAGCATTAACAATTCAACTGTTTTCACAATTGTTTCACTACATTAATGTTGTTTGTTTCAACAAGGTCAGCTTTGAATAATTTGTCAAGTGACATAATGTTTAACTTTTAATATTTTATTCCAAATAAACAGTTCGTAACAACATCACACATGTGTACAAGTACATGGGGAAAAGCGTTAAGCGATCGTCTGTCACTTCTTGAATTGTGGGCGGAAAAACAAGGCTTGGAACTTGCCGCTGATTGTCATCTTGCGAAGATCAATCAATGTGCTGAATTTCTTCAAGCACCGAAAACAAATGTGACTGAAGTACAACAACTTGCCTGTTCATGTTTCCGTCTTAATTCACTTCAAATGGCAGCTTTATTGTCACAAGAAACAATTCCAAGAACGTTGATTGATGCGACAGTGAGAATGGCTGAATCTGTTGCTGACGAATTGACACGTGCTGATGGTCGTGAGATTCGTTTGGAAGAATCACCTGACTTACCATTGGCACTCCTACTTCCTGTTGATGGTTTCAGTTGTGATGTTGTTCGTGGAATTCCCGCTGGCTTAGTTGATTTCTTAAGTCCATATCAAGTTGCAGGAATGTGCCGCTTAGCATCACAACTAACAAGCATCGGACTATGGACAGTTTACATGCATCAGTTTAATGTAAGATAAAATTTAATTTAAAAAATGAACATCCAGTTTATTTATAAATTTTCTTCCTGCAATCAGGGACGTTCACCAAGTGTTATGTCAACAAAAATGCCACAACCTGAAGTGCAAACAATAAAATTACATAAAAACACCAACGGTATGGGATTATCGATTGTTGCCGCAAAAGGAGCTGGTCAAGTAAGTTAATTGACGTTTAAAATGCTCAGTTAAAAATTTTAATATATTAATCAATTAGGATCGTTTGGGAATCTACATAAAGTCAGTAGTAGCTGGCGGTGCTGCGGATGCTGATGGACGTCTTCAGGCTGGCGATCAATTACTACGTGTTGACGGACAAAGTTTGATTGGAATCACACAAGAACGCGCTGCTGATTATCTCGTTCGAACAGGTCCGATTGTAACTCTGGAAGTTGCTAAACAAGGTGCGATCTTTCATGGATTAGCAACACTTCTTCAACAGCCAAGTCCCGTCATTCAAAGAGGTGAGTTGATGATGTTAGCAGTTTATGATTAATTAATTAGTTACTAAAGTAATTAGCGTTAATCTTACTACTAACAATTGAACATTATGAAATTCCAATCCTTCCCCCCAATGCTTTCTCTTGATGGACTACTTAAGATGAGAATAATTTGTATCATTCGGATTCAGATGAAAGTCTTCATCAATATCGCTTAAGTCAACAACCTCCTCCTCCCCTGCGTCCCCAAAGTACTTTATCGCTTAGTCAATTATTGAGCTCACGACGAAATTCAACTCCTGAAATGTATCCTGGCGCAAGACGTTTCAGTATGTCTTATTCTCACGAAGATATTCTTTCCAATGATCAACTTGATCAAATTCATTTCGATCCACGTTATCGCGATTATCGATCGGCCTCAAGTCTCAATAATAGTCACAATCGAACGCGAAGTAACAGCTTGAATTCAATGGGTGGAAGTGGTAATATCTTTCAAAATCTACAATATCGACGAATGTCAAGTCAATCGTCGCCTCCATTATTAGGATTAGGAATAGGTGTGGGTGGAAGTAGAAATGGGAGTGTAGGTATAGGTTTAGGATTGGGAGTTACAACTCCACTTGTAACACAAAAGCGATGGGACACAAATCCATCGATATTCATTGAAGAATATCAAGAAGTCGACCAAAACAAGTCAAAGACTGAATCAATCAAAACCGAGTCAAAAAGCGAAAAAAGAAATTCGTCAAAGGAAACACTTTACAGTAGCAATGAATCTCTTCAACCGCTTAGCGAATCTGATATTAAATCATTCGGTGATTTGAGTAAAATTCCTTTTATTGACGACGACGATTCGACGGAGTCAGCGCCTTGTCGTTTCATGGACATTGATGTGGATGATGGGACGAAGACAAATGGAGTTGCTTCATCAAGTGGTCAAAGAAATGCGTGTCGAAAGACAGTTAGTTTCGATGTTATTGCTAGTGGGCCATCAGCAAGCGGTTTCTATCAACATCTGTTCACACACAATGGTAAAAATTCCCCTAAAAATTTCCCATACTCGAACTCATATCCAACTGACAAGAATCCGTTGTTTTATGATTCAAATCGGTTCAGAACAAATGTGAGGTCGTCCCGTGATGGCATCAATCGTTCAACAAGTTCATCAGTACCTAACATCAATATTTTGTCAACTCCTAAATCCTCTGGTGGCGATCATTCTACCCTTGTCAATAAATTGATACGAATGCGAATGGAAGAAGACGATAAAAATAATAAAATATTTTGTGGTAGTCAATCTTCAGCAAAGCCACTTTCAAAGTGGTTAGAAAATGACAATGAAAATTCGCGTGTTTGTGAAGGAAAAGTAAAAGCATTGACAACATATTTCAATACAATTCCTTACATGGTTAACGATTGCAATTGTGTAAATGTTCATCAATCGTCGCCCGACTTGTCAACGATGTCACGAAATCGAAATAAGTTGTCATGTGAAGAAATGGAAATTGTCAGGAAACAGTTAAAAGAATGGAGTCAATTTGGGTTGAAGTTGAAGGAAACACAGAACGACGATCAAGTTCCGTGTAAATTTCTCAAACATCCTGTTTTTTCATCATCATCATCAGTGACAATGTTACGTTCAAATCATAAAAATGAGTGGAAAAATAAACATCAAGACATTCCTTCGAATAAGTTAGATGAAGTTGAATTGAGAAATAAAAAGAAATTCTATCAAAATACGAAAACAAACATATTCCATCCAAATTTATTGCCAAGCTGTCTCTTTTCCCACAATTTGCAACGCGAGCAACAACAACCACCACAGACAAATCTTCATTGTCATTCAAAATGTTATCGAGGATGTTGGCGGCTCAAGGATGAAAAGTTCATTTTGGCACAAATACCGCCCTCTTCAGCTCGTTCTGAAAAACACAAATGTCGTTCTGCTTGTTTCAACATTAAAGATCCAGCCAAAAAGAAGAAGAAAAAGAAGACAAGTGAAAAGGAAATGAGAACTGTGACGTCATCATATGATGACGATAACAACGAGAGCTTAATTATATGACACAGTATGATGATAATGATGATATTAAAAATTGTTGTTCTCACCTTCTTTTCTTTTTTTTATTTCTTTTTTCAATGTTATTCATGTTTCCGATTACCTATTGCTCCAATTTTCACAAAACTTTCACGGTACATAAATCTTTAAATAAGAAGTTGACATGTGAAATGAAAATGCTTCCAGGACGCTGAGAAAATAAAATAATGAACTTTCTTCTCAGTTTACAGTTCAAGTTACATTTCTTTAATTAATGAAGCAAGCCATCTGTTGTTTTTCTTTCTTATTAACGCCTTCATTGCTTGAGTTTCGTAATGTTATCAGATTTGCTTTTTCACTTCATCAACCACAAGCTTTATTTGATAAATTTCCTGTTGTTTATCTTTTCCATCCTCTTCTTGAAGCTTCAGAATTTATCTTTCAGTTCTTCTTTTTTCATGAACTTAAGCTCGTGTTTGAGTGGTTGAAAGAATGATGACAATAGAAGCGGAAGCCGAGGCCTTTTAAAAGAAAGAGATGAAAAGATTTACAATAATTAGGGTTCGCCATTCTTATGTTTTACACTGCAGTGATGTTTTTGTTACTGATTACACCAAAAGTTCTTTTTAAGAAGGAATTTTATTGTTTTCTTACTTTTAAATTAACTTCATTCCTCCATGTAGAGTGAAATATGAGTTTGAATTTATACATGTTACATTTGACATTATACTTTACCGATATAAATAGATATCGTAACTTGGTTCACCTTCCTATCATTTTCTAAGTATTTCCTTTCGGCTTTTCCTACGAAACTGCTTCATTAAAACTCTTCTCACGTTCTCAACTTTTGTTTTAAATGTCAAAGCGTAACAAATCGATCAATTTTCTTTGTCATATTTACTTATGTTTCCTTCTTGACAAAAGCTTTCAATTAATGTAAATTTAGTTAAATTTCTGCCTTCTCATGCGATGCGTCATATATGCAATATCGTCACAAGCATCTAAATCCAATTTAAAAATTTATTTGCTTCAAACAAACTGCAGCAATGTTACAGGAAAAGGAAGTGAAAAAAGGAGAGCACAATGCTTAAATTTAAAAGCTTTCGTGATGCACAAACAATCTTAATATTATTTATTTGTGTACATGCAAAATATTTTTTATTGTTTACAATGAGGAGTTCGACATGATTCTGAGATGAAGAATCACATTTTAAATCGATACATTGTCGAGCTTTCTCTCTTCCGTTCTTATTTATGTTTGTTATTTGTTTTTATTTGCATGAAAATTCTGAAACATTTTTTCAAATTTTTCATTTTTTGTTTTAAAATTTTTCAGGTGGACGGAGAATGTCAGAACGAGACATGACCAGAGTTGGAGCTGATGTGAAACCTTCTCCAGCACCAGGACCACAACTCTTGAACAGTAAATCAGTTCCGACACTCCATCACATAGGTAAGGAGCTTTTAATATTTAATGTGCGAGATTTTCATGAAAAATTGATTGCAGGAAATGCGAGCAACAAATCAAGAAGTGTTCACAGTTTGGTTGGTCCAAGCAACAGCGCTGGTAACATTAACACTGCTTCAGCAACTGATCAAGGATTTTATCAGAACTTGAGTGTTTATCGACAACAGAATCAAAGCCAACCAAATCTTGGCGACAAGTAAGTTGAAACTTTTTCCCCTTTTGATATTTCCGAAAATGAAACTCAGATTAATTGTTACACATTTAATTCATTTTGTGGCTAATTTCATCATTATTCTTCATTATTTATTTATTCTCATCTCCAGTCGTTCTCTCTCCCATCAATTGACTCCATTAAGTATGCAGCAGCAACAACAGCAGCAACAAATCAGCGGTAGCAACACACCAACGTCGACCAACATAATTAACCGTCCGGCATCTGCCTTCTTCAACAATAGCAATAATAACAATGTAATGAATCAACAATCACCATCAACTCCAAACATTCCAAGCACTCAAAGCACCAGCACTGGCAATTTGATGCAACAACAACCGATGGTTGGTTTCAATCAATTGCCTTCTTCTGTTATTCAAGCACCTCATGCTCACATTTCACATCCAAATTTGAGTGGACAATCAAACATAAATCGTCCTCCAATGTTGCCTAATAAAATGATTCCCCAACAACAGCAACAGCAGTCTGGTGGTGGTAATGGTGGAAATTTCATGCGCGATATTCAATCACAACATAGTTTGAGAATGACTCAACAACAAATGATGGCACCATCAATGCCAAACATTGCACATGCGAGTGGATATGCGAATAATATTTCAGCAAGTCAAAGTATGCAGAACATGAATCAAATGTCTGGTAATTATCCGATGTATCAAGTTCAACAACAGCAACAAATCTTCCAAGATCCACAATTGTCACCGAATACTAACAACAATCATCATCATCATCATCAACACCAGACATCATTGTTAAGAGGTTCCGCGAAAATGGCTGAAATGGGTGAACTTTTGAAGCGTCAACAACGAAATCAACAGCAGCAACAAATGACAAATGGTGGACCGATGCACTTTGCAAATTCCATGGATAACATTCACAATAATTCCGCAAATACAAATCAAATGATGTCACCAGCACAAAATTTCCATCCGCAAAGTCCACAAAAGCAATTACCACCAACGGCACCAAAGCCACAGGTACAAGAACAAAAACACATTGCACAAGTTTTTCTTTCTTTTTAATTTGTTCTATTGGTGACTATTTTTATTGAATTTATTTATGTTTTTTTATTTAGCGTCATCCAATGGATGAACCATCCCAACTACAAATTCAACCACAGCCACAGCCCCCGTTGCCGCCTTCATCCACGCATCCGCTTTTTAAGAGCCCAATTACTCAGCAACCATCAACAGCACAGCAACAAAACTCGACATCAGCAACATTAAGCTACAATGTCAATTCAAACGATGTTCAATCAAAAGCTGGTTACTATCAACAACAGCCACAACAGCAATCGATTAATAAAAGTGCAACGTCAAATCCATGGGAACGTGAAGAACGTGAGAGAGAGAATGAAATGAGACGAGAACAGTTACGTCATTGGCGTGATCAACAAATCGTTGAACTTTCATTGTTGCCATCAAGATCACCGCAGCAAGAGGAACAATTGAAGACGCTTGTACTTGAACGTGACTTTGAGCGAAGAGCTCAAGAGGAAGAGAATGAAGAGGAGAATGAAGCACAATATCAGAAGAATCAAGAAATACTTCGATTGCAACCAGGTAACAACAATAATGTAAGCATACCGCCTAGTCAAACTTCAACAGCAGCGACACGTCTCAAACAGGTGGACATTAAAACAATGCCAACAAATATCTCACCATCATCAGAAATGATAATGAATTCTAATGATAACTTCCAAACGGCACCTCCAATCCAGCCGAAAAGTATTTTGAAGTCAACAAATGCTTACAACAACAGCAACCCTTCGTCACCTTCGAAACATGCAAAAGTAACCAGCTTTGCCCCGAAAAATCAAAACTTGTCTGAAATCACAATGAACAATACGAATGCCAATCAAATGTTGACACAAATCAATAAGGAAATGAGTGAAATGACAATTGAATATCAAGCTGAAGAAACGAATGGACCGATGATGCCACCACCCCCACCAGAACGTGGCAGTTCATTTGCTGTGATGCAACATCAAAAAGTGAGAACTAGCAATAGTAATAATAGTGGCAATAGTGCCAATTTTACAAAACTCACATTCAATGATCCTCAATTGATGTCTAATAATATCAGCGGAAACGTCAACAATAACAACAACAGCAAATTCGTTCCTTCAACTAACAACAATGAACATTCACCAATGGTGATGATGTCACCAACAACAACAACAACAGTCGCAGGAACATTCACAGCACATCAAATTCAACAGCAAATGAATTTAATTAACAATAATGTTGGAGCATTCACGAGAGATAACAAACGTGTTTCATTCCATGATCATGAGAATAATAATAATAACAACATCAACAATAATGTTGAGATTATTGGTGAACAGGATTTGTCAATGATTCGTGAAGATCCAAACGTAAGTTTTGAACATATCAAATGTGAAATTTTGAATTAATTTTTAATTTTTAGCGTTTCATTGATGAGACCGCTGCGATGTTACAAAGTCCCCAATCACCAGATGGCGACACTAACTGGAGCATTCAAGTGCAGTCAACGCCAGGCGTTATCGGTGCTCAGGAAGTGTATCGGTGAGTGAACTTATAAAATAAATATGAAAACAACTTAGAATAAAAAATGAATTGCAGCGACCCACGACAGAGACGTCTTGCTGAGCAACAACAGAAGAAAAGTGAAGCTCCCGTGCCAGAAAAGTTAACATTCAAAGAGAAAATGAAAATGTTTGCACTCGAGTCCGGCGAGAACACACCGAAAGATAAGTTAAAAATCTCACGTGCTCAACGGGACATTGATGCGGTTCATTAATAATAATGCAACACCATTTTTTTAATTGTTTAGTGTTTAAGATGAGAAATCCGATGTGACATAAAAAGAGAAAAATGAAAAAATCTTATTTAACTTTTATTGATAAATATTTAACTCCACATAAGAACGTAGATATGTATATGAGATAAACATGTTTAATTAAATAATATCTAATTTAAAATAATTGAGAAGCAATTGAAGAAACACAAAAGTGCTGCTTAAATTGACGAAAAGAAAAAAAAAGAAAATTTTAAATAATTTCTATAATTTCTTGGGGTTGAAAATTTTAATTTTAAAATGTGGAAAAATAGAAGGAAGAAAGAAATAGTTTTAATCATATGGAGGGGAGAAAAATGTGTATAAATAAATATTTGACAGTAAATAAATAATTTCTTATGTTAACATGACACCCCCACCTCTCCAAGTTTCAATAAATTTCAACTCAACATATCCTGAGACGGTTCGAGAGACTTTCAAGATGAAGAAATGAAAGGAAATATTTACAGATTCGAACTTCTAACACATCCAATGCGGACCAAAACTTTGATAAGTTTATTTTCTCATTCGCTTCGATTGCGACGTTTTAAAGATGAAAAAATATTTTTTCCTAGAAAATAAATTTTAAAAAGAAAATTAATGTGACGAATGGTTGGAGGAAAAAGAGAGAGAAAAGTCTCTAAAGAAACAAATCAGCAATTTAAGTGATTTAACGACAGATATCGATAGAAGTTCTCTTTAAATTTTATTTCTTTGTCAATTCAAGTATATGTTGATAGTTTTTCCTCGTCTCTTAGCAAAGTTTTCACTTGAAGTTCCGATCAAGAGAAAATCAAACATTCTATAGCCGTAGCAAGAAAGTTCTTTTTATTATTTTTATTATCGTAAATAAGATTATGTTTAAAGTTTTCTTTTACCTTGTTTATAAAAGAATTATAACAGAGAAAAGTTTCTTTATTGTGCGTTGAATAATCTGAATATTTCTTTAACTTTCTTTTGTAGCCTAAGATAATTGATACAACAAAAGAGTAAAATTGAAAATGGAAAGCAAGAAAAGTGTAAAATACAAACATCAATTAGAAAGTTTTATGAAATAAATGAAAATATTTTTCTTTGTGTAATATGAATTGAAATTTTTCCAATTGTCAATTAGTTGAAAAGTTTTCAGGAAAAGCTTGAAAAGTTTTCAGGAGAAGCTTGAAAAGTTTTCATTTTCAGCTGAGTGGATAATTGGTTTTAATTAAGGTCATCAATTCAACTGGACTGAAAGAATTCATTGAACTCTTCCAATTACGTTCCTTTCTCCTAAACTGTTAAGTAAGTAATCGGACCCAGAATCGGTAGTCAATTAATTTTATCGCAGTTGCACGTTTGTGACAAGTGTCACGATAACCACACTTTCATTTAAATCATTTGTGTTTGTGAGCGATAAGTTTTTTTTATTTTATTTCTTTTATTATCACAACAGTGAATAAACCAGAACATACAATTTCATTCGATTGCAAACAGTCTGGATAGTCAAACATTTTTTCTACTTTTCTATAAATAAAATATATTTGCAATTCCTTGTTAATTGTAGCTAATTGAAAATAATGGAAAATATTTTTGGAAGCAATGGAAGAAAGAAAAATTTTAGCATTTCTCATTCGGGTCGATTTAAAAATCGTGTTAAGAAACGAATATCGATAACTGAACAAATTTGGATTGAACCAAACGAAAATACAGAGAGAAGCAAGGTTTGTTAATTACTTTTCAAATGATCATTATCTCTGTGACATGTTCACCGAAATGAAGTTTTTAATTTCAAAGGCGTCGTCAGAAGTACAGAAAAGCGTTACAGAGGCAAAAAACGACGAAAATAAATGTCATGGGCTTTCTACGAATGTTTATAATAACGATAAGAAGCTCTCAAATGATAAATATATTCGCGAAACTGTTAACAGCAAAAAGTAAATCCGCACTTAAAAAAGTGCCGAATGTGCAATTTAAGATTTCAAGTGTTGGGTTTATTTACAAAATGATGTCAGCAGTTGAAAGATTAAACGAATTAAAAAATATATTTAATTAATTTCTAGTGTTAAATAAAGTGTAAATAGTTTAAGGAAAACTTATGGATGACTGAGTTGTTGTTGATTGATATGAAAGTCTTCAAAATGAACAAATATTTAATATAAGGAATCAAATCTTGATGTGATAATAGTAGAAAATCTTCCTGACAATATAGATAAGTATTCAGAACGAAAGAAATCATTCAACACATTAATAAGTGCAATCACGTCGTAGCCTGAAATTAAATTGAACCACTTGATAGCTTCCGATGATAATAAAACACAAATTATTTTGTTTTTTTTACAATATTTGTTGTTTGTAAAAAACTGTGAGGATTTATCTTTCTCTTTATTAGTCGATTAGTTATTTAGTTTCAATAAGATTCAAAAGAGTTTCTTTTGCATTAAAAGAAGTTAATAAAGTAGGATTGTATAATTATTAAACATAATTAATAAATAAATGAATACTGAGTAGTTTAATTACTTTCTGTTGACTTCATAGATGCTTCATAGAAAGTCATCATCTGTCAGTCTATTCTACAATTATCATTTATTTTAGTTGGTTAATGATTTTCATAACACTGTCAGTTCTTCATGTGTTTTTCTTGATGATTTTGGAATATTTTTTATGGTTTATTAATGACGATAATCATGCTTTGCTTTCGAAATGAAGAATGTTCAAGTTCCTGTGAGATTTGAATTCTTCATTTGATTGTAGATTGTATGGGAATAAAATTTAAATATTTTAATAGCTAAAGAGATTTTTAGGGTGAGATAATAGTTTGATTGCTTTGCGGTAGTCTTTGTCGTGAAATTTTCCTTTTTATGAAAATGGTTTGGTGGGAGGAAATTTCTAGAATGATATGCATTAAAGTTCAACATTCAGCTTTCAACGGATTTTTGAAGTTCAACAGCTAAACGTCGTAAATCCTCTGATACGATACAGAAAATTAATATTTTAATAAGCGAGATAAAAATGAAGGAAGACACATTTCAAAGCTCTTTTGAATGTTACTTTTATGTTCGCTTTGTACCAATCGTTTTATATTACAATTTGAGCATTAAGGGAGGTCGGAGTTCTTATTTACATTCACGGTGTTTATTTTACAACATTTTAATATGTTTGTTTACCTTGCTTTGAGTTTATGTAATACCTGAGTGGGCCTTTGAACAAGAAAATCACCCCCAGATATCATTAATCATGTAAAAAATTAGAAAACTTTTAGAACTTCAGTAAAGTAAAGAAAAAGTTTTTTTTTCGGTTAAACATCAATATTTGGCACATAATGAACGAGCTTACTACGATTCTTGTTAGAAACTCAAATGGAGCAAAAGGTAAATAAATAAACAATAAACTTTTCACTCTACAGGAAAAACTTTGACTACGTCAGAAAATAAAATTACGATTTTTCATTCTAATTTTCTCTCTAAAGTATGTCTGAAAATTTCACAAGAAAAACTACCAGCTAAGTACTAAAGAAGGAAAAATAAATTGAAAATTGGGAAGGGAAGAATTTCAGTCTAATGCTGAATTATGAATGAAAGTTCTGAAAAGTTTAACTAGGTAAGTATGTTTCTAAAATGGATGGATTTCACTACAATTTTTTTTAAAGTTCTTCAACTATAAGTTTGCAAACTTTTTTCTTCTATGCTCCCGAGAATATTTAACTTTTGAAGTTTAAAGCTGAACGTAAATCACGTCAAAATCATTTCTGATCAAAAGCATTTCAACTTTCTATGGCAAGATATTTCAAAAAACGATTTTAAGTTCTTCTTTTGTTCATGTTTGTCGAGATTTACGAGCAGCAAATCAATAAATAAGAAATAAAGAAAAAGTTTTTTATATCGTTTCTAGAAACTATAATTAAATTTATCAATTTACTTCCTTCTTCAAAAGGGCAAATCAATATCTAGGTATGTATGTTAAAGAAATAAATAAAGAAAGAGTTTATTGAGAGCTTTCATTTCAATTTTTCATCTCTGTAAATAGATTTTCATTGACATGAAATTGAAAAACTTTTAGATTATTTCACTCGGCCTTAAGTTTAGATTCGAATATCGAATTGAAAAGAATTATAAATACGACGAAGGTTGACTTAATAAGATAATTTGAAATATCACAAAATAGAAATGAAAAGAACATTGAATATTTTTTTAGTTACAACAAAATTCTTTTTCATCTAACATTTTAACACAAAACGATTTGATTAACATGTAAAGAATTCATTTTAACTAAGTAAAGTTAAGAACGAAAATAACAAAAATGTTTTAAAGAAATTTTCCTTATAAAAATGAGATTTTATCTTATGCTTAAAGTATTTTCTTCTTTACAGACTAAACAGCTATTCATCAGGGGAGGAAATTGCTACCATGCTATGCGATTTCCCTTTCAATTATCAGAATCATGCAGTTCATTAAGCTCTAAGCTTTGATCTTCAAGACTTCGTTTGATATCTTCAATCGTTTTCATAATCAATTTTCTTTTGATGTTATCATCAACAAGTGGTTTGGGGCTTTCAGTTGAGTTATTAGTATTGGCATTCGTATGTTCAGCAGCTGTCGGTTCTTCTTTCCATTTTCCAGCTTGACGTTCCTTTCGTAACATTTGAATTTTCTGAAGAAGAGCTTTCTTCGGGACTTCTGAAATGTTTTTTCATATCATAAAAAGGGAAAGTTAAAAACAGTTCTTTAAAATAAAATTAAATGCAGACTGACCTGAGTCGAAATCCAAAGATCTTTGAATCTTATCGAGGGTTGAACTGCAAGAATAAATTTTCCTTTTCAACGGTTCACTTTGAGGGAAGAACAAATCTTCAGCTTCAGCATTATTACAAACAACTGAACGGAAGGAAATCATGGGAGGATTATTTTTTGCTGGTTCAACGTCAACTTTAATTCTGCTGATGTGCTTGCTAGAATTTTCTTTTCCCGAAGCTCTTGAGTGGCTCGATTTGTTATCAGATTCAGAATCTGAATCAGCATCTTGTTTAGGAGTCAAAAATCGTCTTCTTAGTGGCGCTGGAGACTTTGGTGTTATTTTGTTTGATGATGCTTCACGTCTTTGCATAAGTTCGATTTCATTTTGATATATGAAGTTTGTGACGTGAGTTTTGATTGGCGCCACACGATTTGTCTTGGGACTTGATGGCGCTGACATTGACGTCTCATATCGTAACATTTCCAGACGTTTATTGATAATGGAATGAGCGTTTGCCGGTGGTGCATCATTAAATTTAGTCGTATGAACATTATTATTGTTGGATGTTTTCGATAATTCTCGTTTCAAATCAACTTCACAGTTTCTAAGCATTTCAACTCGCTTGTTTGTTGGGACATTACAAACACGTCTTGGACTACTAATGACAGTTGTTGGCACTTCTTTTGGTGTAACATTAGACTTCATTGATATGAGAATTGACTCAGCTTCATGAATTAATTGTCTGTACTTGACATCAGCTTCTAAATCAGCTTTAATTAAAGCTTTTTCACTTTCAGAAATGGCAAGCATTCTACTGTGAATCAAATGAACTTCACTAAATGTGAGAGAATTTGAGCGATTAGATAGTGAAGCTTCAAGTTGTCTTCGTTCGTTTCCTTTTTCATTACGTCTTAATGAGACGGGAGTTCCACCAACTGACCGACAACCTCGATTAGATGTCACTGGTGATCTACATTCGGAATTTCTGCTTCTCTTTCGTAAGATTTTCTTTCTCTTCTTTGGTTGATTATCCTGAACTTTCTTCACTTTAGCTTTTAATTGCTTTTTCTTCTCGGTAGTTGGAGGGACTTTTTCGGTATCCGTTCGATTACTTTTGTCAATATATTCTACGTCTAATAAATCATCTGTATCACACTCATCCCCTGCCTCTTGTCCCAAATCCGAAACACAATCAGTCCGATCGGAATCACTGCAAAGATAATCATTAATCAAAAGAATAAAAGACATCGGTCATGATGTTGATGTAAGGTACCAATGAATTATCTAACATCAAATGATACAAACCTTAAGAAGTCATTCTCCTTCTCATACACATAACTCTCATCAAACTTTCCAATTTCATTTAAAGTGGCATCATCATCGCTATCGCCATGTTGATTTGTTGAATTTGACACATGTTGGCTATTTTCTTTTTTATATTTCTTACGAAATTCTGTCAGCGACACTAACGTTTTGTTGGGTTTTTCTGTTGAACTGCTGGAATCAGAATCTGACAAGTGACCAGAATTTTTTCGACCTTTTAACTTTTCATTCGACTCATCGCTGTTGGATTTAATTCCAGATGATGAAGTTGCGGAATCACCGCTGTCACGATCCCGTCGTTGTTTAATTGGTGCTTTGAAGTCGGTAGTGATATTAAAGGGTTCAGGATCGACACTGGAAAACCACGGATTTGTTCTTATGCGACAACGTTGTCTCGGACTTGGTGCTGTAAATTGAAAGAAAAAGAAATTTAATAAAAAAGTGTTCAATACCCGAGAAATAAAATTCAGGAAATTAAATTTACTTCTGAATTGTGAAGCCATGACAATGTTCTTTCGCAGCACGGGACTCATGCCAGGATTTGGCATCGCATTACAATTGCTCTTGATACCTGTTGCCGTCGTGGTTTTCACCCGAAGCGAGTCAATGACTTGGCCCTGGGGAGTTGACGTTATCGCACTTTTGCAGAAATCGAAAGATTCTGTTCGCTTGTGGGAGAATTGTTGCTAAGGAAACGGTAAATAAAAAGACAAAAACAAGATAAATAAATAAATAAATATGCCATGATACAATAAATAAAGAATTAAGTAAGAAATTTATTGGTTGTTGGCAATGCTTAAGTAATACGACAACAACCATTGGTATATTTAATCATGGAAAATGGACAATTTTCTTCAATCCATTCTTGAATCAAAACAAGCAATTGCTCAACACGAACACGAATGAAAGCTTAAAAGGGATTTTCACTTGTTTTATGTGAAAAATCGTAACAGGAATTCAATGTACATATTCAAAGATATCTAAAGTCTCTAGAAGAGTTTTTGATTCAATTTCTTTCAATTTAAAATGATTGCCATGAGAGGTTTCCGCAAAGTACCGCATTATAAAAGTTTTTACAGGCACAATTCACACAATAAGTATCATTGATTTAAGAAGCTTTGTTCTGTTTTCAAACAAAACATAAAAAAGAAAAACATTTAAATGGTTTCAAAAAGACAAAATTTTCTTCCTTACCTCATCGTTCTTTTCCTCGATTCGATTCAAACCGGATTTGAATCTATTGCTGCCAGCTTCTATTGCAGCATTCCCTTTAGGGAAATAGTGAATGCCAGTTCGTATGTTGATATAATACTCTGGCGAGTATGATGCTCCACCTGTGAACAAGCAGAAAGTTTTTCATATCTAAATTGAATTTTTTTAGCCTTTTTGCGGCACAATAAAAAAAATTTCTTTCGTATTCGTTTCGCTTGGAAGTTTCCACAGAAGAAAAATTGAAAAGGCGGATGAAGTTGAATAAATGTTGTGAATGTGGTGGAGAAATGATAAGAAAAGCAAGACAGCACAGCACATACATATTCAATTATGGAATAAATAAAATAAATAAATTTATTGGCGCTTTTCTCAATAATCGTGTATGATGTGTGAGCGGCTGTTTGGTTATATTCATGAGGGAATTCCATTCCATCTATCTCAACTTATGTTTGCTTCTTAAGCTTAAAAGGTTTTTCACGTGAGTTCAGGATGAATACAATAAATTTTTACAAATGGGGAAGAGATAAATAAGCAATAAATTCCAATCCATTTCTGGATGTTTTTTTGAAGTCTATCATTGTGCGAATAAATAGGAAAACATCTAACGCTCGTCAGAACGTTACGCTTCATATTCTTCCCTACTTGGTATTATTAATTTCCAGATGCTTTTTACCAATTTGCCAGTCATCGTCATAGCTTTGCTTCGCACTTTAGCAAACTCAATTTTTTTCATCTTTTTTTGCCTCGTTCCGCTAGTGACTTCTTTTTTGTGGATTCAGTTTTGTAGTGGTATGAGGTGAATAATAGAAGGGTGAAGGGAAAGGAAATTTAAGAAGAGAAAATCAAACAACATAAGAAATTTCAGAGATGAAAAATTTCTCGTTCGGGATCCGAAACGTGACTGAATTTGAAGGCAGATTTTCAACTCACAACAAAAGTTCATAAAGTCATGAAAAATGAGATTCCTGTCTCGCTTCTCGCTTACCTGGTGAATTGCCATCTGTCGAATAACCCGTTGAATATGCACTTTCAGGAGAAGAAACATGATTGATGACTGAATATCCGAGTTTATTCGGTCCATGTTGAAGTGTCTGGTGTTGAGTAACTGGGGGTGCGAGGTTGTTATTTGCAACTCCACTAAACACATTTCCGCTTCCACTTTTATAAAGCTTCGATGTCGTTGCATTTGATGAGGGTTGTTGTAAGGTGGATGAAGAATGTCCACCCAATGTATTTCGAGCGACTCTATTATTGATTTCATTATTAAATTTAATCGAATTACTCTTCGCTCCATTTGTAGAATCACAAATAATGCTGTTCAGGTTCTTCCCTTTTCCTCCTCCATCGTTTAACGCTGTCGTTTTCGTCGTTTGTGCATCGTGTAATGTAGCATTGCTAGCACAAAAATCATCGCTTGAGTTGCCATTATACCGATCAATGCTCGATGTATTTTTGGAAAAGAATCGATACTTGCTCATGTATTTGTTGATGGGCTGGATCTTTCCATATTTACTCTCAGATGATTGCTGTTGTTGTTGTTGCTTGACGAAAACGTTATTGTTCGACTCATTTTGGTTTTTAATTACGGCTGAATTGACAGATGATGACGATGAACTAATTAAATATTTTGGTTTATCATCCAGAAGCTCGTTTGATGAGCTGGTGGCTGTTGAGTAGCAGAGAGGTGGTGGATGTAGAGTGTTATTGTAGTGAATATTATTATTATTATTAATATTATTAATGCTGTTAATGCCGTTCGAAGATTTACTAGTGACAATAATTTGTGGATTTTGTTGCATCATGCTTTGATCAAGTTCTTTCATTTGGTAGAATGTCGTCGGTGCCGTAGTGAGATAAGTTGTAGGTCTATTGCTGTTGGAATTGTACGGGATTGTGTTTGTACTCAAAGATGAACTTTCTTTGAACGAATGATTGCCGTTTGGCTTTATTAAAGGATAATCTACTCTCGATGAGATCGGAATTTCTTGGTTTGGTGATTGCCATCCACGTCGTCCTTTCTGTAAATATGTAAGAAGAGAAATGCTTCAGAAACGTGTTGGCTTAAAATTATGCATGGAATGTATTGGCCAACGATCCAATCCTTTTTGGTATTCTGAATTCACGATTCATTTGAGACAATTGAGATTCATAAATGATATCGTAAAGAGAAGCTCGATTGAGTTTTATATTTGATTAGGGGATATTTATTTTATCGGTCATCACACGATGCTTTACTATGAACGGAACGGTCAGTTGAACGTCCGTCCGACGATAAAAGATTTGACGTCGTAAAAGATGACCAGAAAAAAAAAACAAAGAAAGTGAACAATAAATCAGCAAATGGTAATGATCGTTATCAGAATGGAATGTGAATCACTTCACATAAAACTTCTCCTACTTCTTCACTCTTTTTCGCCATCGTATTTTTCTCATCAATTCTAGTCTGATAAAATAGCAAACACATATACACACACCTTTTTATTTCACAAAACAAAGCACTTTTTTCTTTCTCTCTCTCTCTCTTTTATTTTTATTATGTAAGTATCCTAATGAATTCTTTACGGTATTTACTCACATGATTTTGAATGGGCGATACTTCACTACGTCGTGCTGGACTCGAAATACTCGTTTCATTTTGATACACAGCTCCTTTATAATCATTTGAAGTGTTTTGTGATACCAAATTGCTGTTTGTTAGATGCGTTGCGAGAATGCGTGTTGAGTCGTCGAAGAATGTTGATGGAATGAAAAGGAAAAAAGAACAGAAAAGCATTTTATCAGAAAAATTCGCTTTGAAAGTTTTCTTCGAGAGGGAGATGATGATAAGACTGGGATCTAATTTACCCGCACTTTTATTTTGTCAGTGGCGTGGGTTTGGGTCATGAATTAAGATTTTTCTAACTGATTATCTAAACTTCAAATATACGCTTAGGCTGTGGATGACGACACTTAAGCTTGCTACAACCAAGAATAATTTTTCCTTAACTTGACGATACATTTTTGAAACCTTTACCATGATAAAAAGCTTTTTTTCTATCTTCAGAGATCTACGATAATCATGTTTTACTGATTTCGAGTCACTGACTGACAGAAGCACAAGAAGAAGAAAATTAAGAAAAATAAGCTTTCGTCTCAACATCAATAAATGTTAAGGAAAGAAAACTTTTTCCCACATAAAAAAGCAAAAGATATTTGTTGTGGAACTATCCTCGCCACTGGCAAAACGACCAAAAGTAGAAAGAAAAACAGAAAAAAAAGAAGTTCTTTCTCTGGCAATTCCTTAAAATGCCGAGGAAGAAAGAAAAAGATGGAAAAAAGAAACAAAAGGATGAATTGGGAGAAAGGAGGCACATAATATTTTATTTATTCAATGAAGTACCCGAAGAGTGAAAAAAGGAAAATATTTTCCGCTTCCATAGCTAGTTCTGCCTTAGATTACGTTATTGTTATTATTATTTTTATGATGAGCGAAGGAACGGCATAAAAATATCACGAGGAAGATTCTGTCTGTTGTTTTCATTTTTCATGATTCTGAATTCTTTGCTTCAATCGCTAAAAACGAAAACTGTCTCATTGTTGTGCAAAAATTTTCTTTACTTTTTATTAGCCATAGTCATTCTTAGAGAATCTTATAGCGGTATTGTTGTAGTTTTATTAGTGCAATGTTGGTCTCATCAAATACCCTAATCTCTAATTTTCGCCTTGACAAAAGATTCGTTTCTTTATCAAAATGAAACCTGCGATAAAATTTTCTTTTTAAGACTTAAGTAGACATTTGATTATATCCATTTGTCCGAAGAAGGAGAAACTACTTCTCTACAGAATTTCCCTGTGTTAAGTTAACAAAGCAGGAAAGAATGTTTCCGTCCAACAGTGGAAAAAGCTTTTCGCACATGTCAGATAAAATTAAATATTTTACACGAGGGACAAATTTTGAAAAGCCGTACATTTCCCCTATCCCCCGAACAGCGGAATTGAGCTTATCATTGGGTAATCGTAGTGAAGCTTTTATGATGCCTTTATTTACCGACTGAGTTTCTTTTCTTGTCTTTTTTTTTGAGTCCCCATCAACACGAAAGCACCTCACGCGAAGGACATATTTCATTGTGACGCTCTTTTGTATCCTTCGTCTTAATTAAAGATGACAACGAATGGAATGAGAAAAGGGTCTGTGAAGAAACAAATGAATGAGTAGGCGTTGTTGATGGGCATAAAATAGCAAATTGAACGTCTTTTTCATGACATCACACTTTCCCTTCTTGCAGCTTGAATGCCATTATCTCCATCTTATGATAATTTAGTGAATTGGATTACATTTTTAATTAAAAAAAATTGGGCCGAATAAAATAGCGCAAAAACTTTTTCGATTTGATGACGAGTTAAAAGGGGAAAAACTGGGAAAATGGTGAAAATAATAGCAAAAGGATGGGCGAAAGTTTAAAAGTTTCAGTTGAGAAAATGAAAAAGTTTTTTTCTTTCGCTGTTCTTTGTTGTTTCGCATATTTTTGCATTGCTTAAGTTGGGAATTCAAAAGAAATGGGTGGGATGAACGTTTGCTTCGCATTTTCCATAATCAGACCCGGGAATGTAATAAAGTATGATTTAAATAGTTCAAGTCAAACCCAAGAAGATGTGAGGATTGTAAAATTTTTATATTTCTGTTGATTTCCTTTTTCGATCTCAATCTTATCGAGATTAAAGTTCGCGAGAAGCAGGAAAGGAAGAACTTCTCATGAATAAATTTACATGTCATGAAATATTTGTTTGACTTCATTCCATATCCGCAATTCATGTGTAAAATCAAAAAATAAAAAATGAAACGTAAAAATATTTGTGATTGTCAACAACATCTGAGTGGTGACAAATTTTTCTGTTTTAAGGTTTGTCGCATTATTTCGAGGAACACAAACATAAAAAGGAATAAAAACAAAACTGAGATTTATTTGATGTCGTTGGAGGATCCATTTTATTGATCAACTCCAAAAGGTTTTAAATAAGTACAATTCTACCATTGAAACAATGACCTGGACCTTTTTTTCTCGTTCCTAAATGTATTGGCTTGCATCCCATAAACCGTTTTTCCACCCAACTAAATGTCACATTGAATAAAATCAAACTTTTCTATCTTCCTTCTTTTGAAAGGGATTCTTTTTCTCGTATTTCATTTGAAATGAAAGTTTCTTTCAAAGAAAATAAACATAAAAAGCGAATAAATTGTGCTTTTCCATTCCATGCTATTAGTAGAAGAACAAAGCAAACGACAGATAGGAATTTTCCAAGGAATTTTCTACTCCACGCAGTGATTCTCTGACAAGACTTAATATGATAAGCAGCTTCTTGTTAATTTGAAATTTTTACTGGTCGTTTGACTTCAGCATTCTTGTTTAGAGTCTCATATTTTCACATTTTATGTCCTATTCAAGATCCTACGAGGATTCTTTATTTATTCAACAGAACTTTTCTTGTCTCTTTAGCACCATCTGAAATAAAATAAAATTACCTCGCTTTGTTTAAAACAACTGAAGATATGCAAATTTGCTATTTGTTTTGAATTTTTGATTTTATGTAGCTTGGTGAACGAAACTTAACTACCTTTTATTGGATTTTTTGATCGCTTTATTGCTATCTAAAGCTTACTTGGAAGTTTAAACTTACCACAGTCTGTGGCTCAGTTCAATTAAAAGTTTTCCAGAAAATAGTTTTGGTTTTACAGAGAAGCTCCAGATGATGTTGATGATGATAAGGAAAACTCTGCTGATAGAATTATTTTTTTGCAACTTAAGATGATGAGAATATATTCAAATTATAATTGGGAAAGATAACAAATATTAAGCTTTACTTTACTTCCACCCGGAACATGATGAGGTGTTTTTTTTCTTCCCTCCTTGATTTCAGTATTTTCCCGAGGATATTTCGGGAAATTTTTATTTTTCATGTAAATTACCATCATCATAGATTTGAATAAATTTTCCGCCTTGTTGAAAACGAAACTTTGAGCTTCTTTTTCTCTCTCCTAACGTTTGTTGAAAAAAAAGATTTTCCACAACTGATTTCACGAGTTGAAATAATGAAATCGTAATTAAAATAGAATTAACGGCTGTCAAAAAAATAATTTTTTGGTGAAAAAACTTTTCTTTTTACATTGAAATTTTATTCAGCATGACAGCGGCGTTAAAAATTTTTAAACTGATAAGCGAATGTAGTAATTTTGTTATGTGAGTTAGACTTTGAATAAAAATTACAATTTTTGGATGAGAGCCTCGAACATTGCAACTTCTAAATTCGCATTTAAAATTCAAGAGATGTGGAATTGAGCTACTCGACATTTCCCTAGAGAAATACAAAATTATTTAAATTCTTTTTTTGCTATCAAAACTAGTCCTCATCACCCTAAATTATGCAAATCACGTTGGTTTTTATGTGTCTAGTCATGAACGCGTGTGAAGATATTGCTTCATGATTAAAAGACGAACAAGTTTTTCATTTAGAAAACATCATGCCGAAGGGAATATTCGTAAAATTCACGTTTTTCTTTGAACATTGCAATTTTCCTTTATCAAAGAAAACGACGAACTTGGAAGAGAAAAAGAAGTTAAGATAAAATCTTTTCTCTTTTTCTCAACCCATGTAAAGAGATATCTGATGTAATAACTCTTCTTTATTCGATTTTGAGGCTGAATACACAAAGATATGAAAGATCTCATAATTTAATCTCCCAAATGTATGAATGATTTCTAGTCAACCTGCAACGAAATTTTTCTTCTTCTTTTTACCGTCAACTTGTTTTTTGTTCTCAAAACAATTTTCATTTCAAGCTTTTCTCCAACTCTCAAATTTCTTCTTTTTTTGCTGATATCGTGATTTTTCGGTTGTTTTTATACCAAAAAGAAATGTAAGCTATCATAAAGAAACAACATATTAAGCGGAAAAAAGAAATTCTGTTTGATATTGCGATGAGAATTTTTATATGTTTTTCTCGAATTTTCTTCTTGACATAAAATTGAATAGATGTAAGGAAAAGTTTTAATCTGCTCATTTTTAACATGTTTGAATCTGATTCGAGGATGAATCGGATTGAATTGAAACTGTAAATTGAAAATATAAACTTTTATGTTGATTGAGCGTGAATTGTCGCTGTCTAAATCTGTTTTTATACGTCAAACTTTTCTCATTACATGACGCCTTAAGCTGAAAATCTGTTGGGTTTCATTTGTCAATGAGCCTTAACGATAAACATTCAACTGAATCGACTCATTATCGATTAAAATTTCAAAGCCATTAGCGAAACGATGAAAAATCATTTCAAGTTGTCTGGTTTTATTTTTTTTTATGGAAAATTCAATTTTGTTGCCATTTGAAATTTGTGGGAATTTTTAAATATTTCTGTAACTTAATTTAAAGTTGGAATCGAGTTTGAATTTCTATTTCAAATCAAATTTCAATCATTTTGAAGTTAGAGATTTTTTATTTATTGATTTCGCAGGAAAAGCTGTAACAACTTCTCACGCACCCACAATGGAAAATGATTATTGGTTTTTACAAGAGTTTTTCTTTGCTGAGCATCCACAATAATTCTCATGTTTTATTCACGCATTTCATAAATATTATTTCAATCTTATTCTTCTGTACAGCTGAGATTTCTGCTCATTCTCTAATGATTCTCTCGTGAGTCTTATGTTTAATCTTAATAAAGCTCATTAAGAACGCTGAACACAGATTGATGAAAATTAAGGTCAGAAGCAGAAGTTAATTATCACTCAAGGTTAATTGAAATCTTTTCTTGCCACAAATCGAGTAAGACAGAATTTCATTTCTTTTCGTCGAGTGTTTTTGCGGTCATCAAGATTGTGGATTTTTTACTTAACTGTGTTACAAAAGATAAGCGTTCGTAATTGAAACGCTAACCCAATTAAATCTCGCACGAAAGACATTTTGGAAGAAATCCATCAAAACCTGGAATCATCAGCGTGGGTGTAATCAAAGAAAATTAATTTTACGACTCTTCCTGTTTTTTTTATGAGTTCCGCCTTTTTATTTGCCTCCCGCTGCCTATGTTGTCAGACTTGAGACATTCATGGAATGATTTATGAGATGAGACATAAAAGTCGTGTTACTCAATTATCACTTCAAAGCAGAATTTTTACTTGAAGCGCAATCGAGTTTTTATGTCGAAGAAAAGTTTTAATAGTTTACAGTACTCCATTGAAAGCGAGGAAAGCTCGAGAGCTTCAAAACAAAATTGTCACTTCATTTTAATGGTGGAAAGTTTGTTTTATGAATTTTAATTGAATTTAAAGTGCATTTACTGTTTGTTTTTATGATAATGAACAAATGCAAATGAATCACTAACAATCTTAACGACTTAGTGTTGAATATACAGTGAATGCAAATGTTTTCAATAAAGCTCACTAATTGATTCTCTTCTCGTGTGAAACTAAAGCTCGTTTTCCAATATTTGCTTTTAATTTCCGAATTGTGCATAAATAATTTCATTTTGATATCATCATTCGATTTTACGCTATGCTTGAAGGCATTTCGAGTTGTAAAAGTAGTATAAATTAAATTAATAGGCTGATATAAAAAGGGCGATTGTATCCCCAAAGGGGAGCTTCGTCAAAGCAATATTTTCACTCCCACTCTTAGTTTACTTCATTGTTTCTATCGCACCAGCACTAAACAGGATGATATTCTCCATAATAAAGGAGAAACGAAAATTTTCCGGTCATTTTTCAACGTTCTCAATCATTAATTACGCATTCGAAGCATGTTTTCTCACTGCTTTTTTGTTTTCCATTTCTTTTTCGAAGCTTCATGCCTTTTTCCTGTGTATCAAATCATTCCCTACTCTCCCTTTTTATATCATCCCATCCTCAATTCATTGCGTAGAGAAATGAATGGATACGAATAAATATCGTCAATGAAAAATGATATAACTACAGACATTGTTACTCTACTCAACTTAAGAGTTGAGTATTTGTTTTATGGCAAATATTTGGCGCTGTTCATTGCCTTGTTTATTGCTTTGACAGTAAACTTCTTCATCAGTCTTTGGATGATTGAATTTTGCTAACAGTTGCTAACAGAAAAAAAGCGACAGCATCGCAAAAAATCCTTTTTCATCACTTACCCGTTTCCATTTTTATTTTTGTTGGATTTTTTTCTTGGGCGTACAATTTCCATCCATTTTTGTATTTTCGCTCCAAACATTGCAACTCTGATTTCCTCCTAACGCCCTTTGAGAGCGCGTTAACCGAAATTATGACGATGTTTATGTCTCGTTGTGGTGATTTGGATTTTATTCACTTATATTTTTATGCTTAAAGTAATTAATCAACTTTATATGACTCTCTTGTCTCTTGTTTCTTGTTTCAACATTTGTCAACGTAAAAGCTTTTTTAGTTTACTTTTTTCGCTTGTCACTTGATACGTGGTTTAAATTTTCACACACTCGCGCTTTCTTTAATCTTTAACTATCAATCTCAGTTTGTTCATTGTAATGTAAACTCACACGAAAATCGTTTACCACAAGGAGAGTATGAAATGAGTTTTGCTTTTGCTTGCACATTAAACAGTGTTCAACTTTTAATAAGTCGTTATGACGATGCTTCATCAGCATTAATATTTAATTGAAATTTCATATTAAACTATGTTCTGTTGTTTACACAAATTTTTTTCTGTTTCCGAGGGCGTTTTTAGATTGCAAAATCTTCATTCGCCCAGTAGATCTGCCTTTCAGTCTCTGCTTAAAGAAATATTCTTCCGAATCCTTTTTGTTGTCGTTTTTCTGTCTTTTTTTTTGTTGAACTAGGAGAAATCTGAAAAGATACAAGAAACATTTTTGTTTTAATATGAGAAATATGACACAAACTCGACTTCCATTTTCATAAATTTTCTTTATTTCTTTTTTGACTCTCATATGTCATTCTCATTCTCTGCACAAATATCTTCAACTTTTCTTCTTCATTCATATTTTAGTATCTAATGAAAAAGCATTCGAAAAAGCCATCAGAGAAATGGAAAAGTTTTCATTTAGTCATTTCAAGTACTTAAAGTTGAAATTGGAAACTTTCTTGATGAATGCAATAGGATTGTTTTAAATGAATAAATAAAATCTGTCGAGAAAATGAGAAACATGCCAAAATTATTTCAATTTCCTTGAAAACGAGTTTAATGTTCAAGCTTCTAAGTTTGATTTTCATTTCCATTCTATTGGAAGTGAAAATTTGTTAAACTTTCTTTTGCAATTTCTAAAAGGGATTTCATTTCCTTCCCTTAACCATGTTATGGCATTTTCACGTATAAAATGGCAATCATAATTCAACCTCATGAATATAATATTTTATATTTCTAGAAATTCACAATCTTATTTATTTCGATTTCAGTTTCATCTCAATACTTATCAACCGCTCATCAATCGTTACGTACATGAATATTTCATGTTTTGATGCCTACTATCCTTATCACAACAGTTGACTCGTGTCGTCTGTATCACTGCCATAAAGAATATAAAATAGTCTAACGAACAGAGATGAAAATGAAGCGTCAGATAGGACAGAACAAAATTTATTTGAAGTGAAGTTTTTATTTATTCAAAAACTTAAACCTGAAAACAGAAACTTTTTTAATGAATTCAATGAATTTGTTTTAAATAAATAAATTTTATCGACTAAATAAGACATATAGTGCTATTCAGTTTCAATTTCGCATTGAATTAAACATCAGATTTTGAAAATAAATTGGGACAATTTATCAATAACATAAGAGATGAGAAAAGTTTTCTTGTTAACAGACATTTTATATTGAAAGACGTTAAGCTTTTAAGAAGAGATGAAAGCTTTATATATAAGAAATATTTCTCGCTTCAGATCTTTTATCACCACCCACAATTATTTTTAAAGACGTATATATTGTCGTCTTTAAGCAAATTAAAATTTTATTAAACTAGCATTCAACAGAAGTTACATCTTGAAGGTTCTTTCATTTTATGACGTAATTTATTTTAATTCCCAATTATGTCACATATAAAAACATTAAAATTGCTAAATATTTCCTTATGTATATTTTATGAGTTTATTTATAATTTTAAGTCTCAATATTCACCAGTAAAATGGCTTTGTCAAGAATGAATAAAATAATGGAGTCTCGAATACAAATGTTGGAAGGAACCTTAAGGCAATGACGAAGAGTGAATTTAAATTGCTGACTACACACATTATGAAGAGTTTTTTATGTATTTTAATCACTTGAGGCATTATTAAAATTTATTGAGCATTTTTAGTGTTCACAGTGCTAGGAGAGTCTCGAATGAAATTTCCTTTTTCGATGTTTTAAAAACTTAAAATTTTCTGCAATCTGCATTTTTATGGAACGATAAATAAAAAGAAAAGAAATTTCCTTTTAAAAACTTACGACTTTTGGCTCAAATAAAAATGTATCTACGAGGCATTACTGCTAGAAGAGATTAAAGAGAGAGTCATGCAGAAGAATAAATGAAACGAAGATTTATTAGAACAAATTCTTTATAAACTTTTATTACTCTTTAAACGTTGTCGATCGAGAGCGAAGGAGGGATGAGTTATGTCGCAATAGAAAAGCTTTCGAAGACACTGAGAAATAATTTTTCATTGTCATAGATAATATCGTTCGACTAAAATGCGCATAACACCGGTTAACATTCTGTTTGCTATCCCATGTTCCAAACTGTTTTAGATAAACAATTTAATCGTTGTTTATGAAATTAATAAAACTTTTATTTCTATCCCGTTTCAAAGGAGAATTTATTATCGGAAAATATTTATAATAACGGTGGGAGGGAAAATTGAAACTTATTCTTCATGCCACGACATCGAACGATAGAAATTGAATTTTCATCAATTCAGAAGTCTATCAGAAATAGATTTAAGAGATAGAGTTGTTGCAATTTACGATTTCTGTTTGTATAAAAAGCCACTTGAGGGTTCGCATGCGGCGTGAATTTCTCAGTTCGGTGAATAAAAAAGCTTCAAGGGATCGTCTAGTAGTAATTTTATTACTCCAACATGTTTTGTTTCCATCCATAGAGCCTTAGAGGGAGCATTTAAAATTTGTGTTCCCATTCGAACCATTCGTTACATGACTCCCGACGGTTCGAAAACATTGGGAGTTTTTCACAGGGCAAGAGAGATGAATGCGTTAAAACGTGCTACCAATTTAACTGATGCCGTAATATTGTTTCAGAATACTAAACACACCCGGAGTTATTCTACAATTTCAATATTTCTTTCCCACACTCAGTTCAGGTTCTCAGTTCTATCACGTGAACGGTGTTGGGAGGAAAAAGGAAAAGAAAGTAAAAAAACAGAGTCGTCAATGTGCTTCTGATATTAAGCTCTCTTTTATGTTGCGATTTAAATTCAAACACACACAAAACTAGAGAAAATCTCAACCAATTGATGGAATGAGAAGATGTTTTATATGCTTTTGGAATAGGCTGAAAGATGGAAAGTGGATTAAATTTCGCGTTGAACATTTTCTGTTTTTCAATTTTTCAATTTTTCTCCATTTCAGTTCACAATTTTTTAATGGTATGTCGACGGATAAGATGAAAACAATAACATTATCAGCATTTTTATTCATTGATTTCACAAATTTGGGTGATGAAATGAAGCGCGTGGCTCATCTTTATATTTCGTTGGAGATTTTAATATGCACGATGTTAAGTCAAGAATGAAATTACTGACAATTTGCTTCTTGTAATGCGATGGGGTCTTTTATCTTGCTGACTTCTTGACGCCTTTATTTAGATAAGGATTATTGTTAATGTAAGAAAATTTACATGTGACAAGTTGCCAAATGGGTTGACTGTTTTAAAAGTTTTCCTAATTTGAAAAAATGACTTAGAACAGCTTAAATTGAAAACAAAGGCATATCAATGTGTGATGCTTCAAAGCAAAATATTTTTGATGTAGAAATGAGCAAAG